CACGATCCAGTTTGGCTGGTAGCGACATTGCGAAATCTGGGATTGGCCACGATGAACTTCATACTTTGACACAAGATTCCTTTGACCCCGACGATCACGTTGATCTATGCCATTAAAGAGCCCACGTTTGATTGTAAAGTTTAGAGATACATGCACCTTTATGTTTTACATATGCTGTAAGCGTGATGCTATATGAAGGGTGGTCTTTGTTCATTGGAAGTAGCTTGTCCCTGATAGAGAGAAAGATGCAGCGGGGCGTGTTTGTGTAACTAGGCTTATCATGTAGGGCTGAAAGGATGATGGATGATGCTTTATACACAATTCAGCAACAGCTCATCCTTGGCAGCTAATAGCCACTTCCTTCCTATAAGCACTGTTGCATATTCCATTGCATTGTAACGATGCGTTTGCTCCAGGCATTTATTTATGTGATTCAGCTGTCTTGATCCAAGCTGATTTGACTGAGCTACATCCAAACAAAGAGTATTTCAGTGTTCAAGTGCAGCATGTCACAGTGGTCGTCTACCATTATCGAGATGATACTACGAGATTGTAACGTAGTTGCGTAAACATTTAAGCTTGTTGTAATACTACTACACCAGGAAAAATCGATATTTACGAGCGAAGCGAGCAATTGATGAATACTATCTTTTTTATTTAAGGTACACGATATGAAGCCTAGTGTAATAACAATGACACTGGTGGTGATTATGGGGTAGCGCAATGTAGAAACGTACGCATTGTATGTATATGTGGCTGTTATTTAAAGGTGTATGTGTGCCAACTGGATCGGTCATTCATTATGCAACGGTGCCTTCAGCGTTGGTGCTGGTGTTTGTTGTCGTGGCAACTCCTGCCGGTGAAGGGGATGGTACAGCTGTCAAGTAAAGATCCTTGGATGAAATAGCCTTTTGATATACTGGAGTTTTTACAAATTTGGGTACTGAATCGGAAGCCATGAGGCGTAAAATGTGCTCTTCCACACGATCAAACCATTTAAGCATCATACGTAAGCTCTGTGATGGGGTAGCAGCGTGAAGGTGAGCCGTATTACTATGAAGGTGATGCCCAATGGATCCTTTGCTTTCCATGGTGGTCACCAATCGATCCATTTCTTGGCGCAAGGTATGGTCGACATTGAGTTCGCTGGTAGCATGTGGTGCCAAGTACATCTTCCATAGACTGTATGCATCATCCAGCAGATCACGTTGGTTCTGAGAAGGCATGGCAGGGCTTTGGTTGCGGCATTTGCGACGTAGGGTGGTGTAATCAATCCAAAAATCGAGATTCTCTTCACAAAAATTGGCACTCAAAAAGTCCTTGAACAAAGAGCGTAAATGTGGATCATCGAGAATTTGCTTGAGTCGACCATGTTGTGCATCTTGATTGGCGAGAGCAGCAGCAGCAGCAGCCGCTGACGATGTCGTTGAACAAATGCTTCCTTGACGCATGGCATTGCGTTCCAGTAATACAGAGCCATCACTTTCCACACAAATACCACCAATCTCGAATTGTTGCACAATTTGCTTTCCATTTGCAGTGACACGTAGCATTTGGGACTTGTAAGCATTGACAGCTTGTTGATGCTTGGATTCATTTTGAAATTCAATCCACCCATACTTGAGAAGACTATTGGCAATCTCCTCTGCCTCATCTCGATTGGCCAATGTACATGTCTCTGTTAACCAGTCGCAGCACATTTGTGAAGAGAATAAAAGACGCATCTTATTGTTGCCACCAGCCGTATGTTTGTTTGTGCGACGTACAGCTAAAGTGGCAGATGCAAGTAAATTGCCATCTAAAAGCCGATCGCTAACAACAGAGGATGTTTGGGATGACATGGAAAAAGGGGCATGAAAACCAGAACCGGATGAAGTTGAAGAGGATGTTGATGACATGGATTCGGTACGCTTGGGTCCTGTACCACTCGTAGCTGGGGTGATGTTGCTGTTGTTGGTGATACGTCTTTCACCATGCATAGGAAGGCTTGATAGCATGATACGAAAAAGTATACCCATGGTTGGCCTGCTCAGCACCATTTGATCATCGTCAGCATTGCGTTCAATACGCACCAATTGAAAACCAGCTGTGTCATGCAACTTTTTGGTAATCTCGGCAGCAATCTCAGTGCGTTGACAGAAATCATGCACCAAAAAGACACCTTTAGGTGTAAGCTGCCACATGCCTCGATCACGGAAAGAACGTGCTTGTGGATCAACAGCATTTTCGAAAAGCCGAGCCCATACAAATTGTTGACATAGCGCTTTGGCCATATCCCTCGCCATATTAAACGTTGTTGTCGTCGTTGTGCGTAATAGCCGTGATGGATCATTTGGATCAGGTACACGTACAGTATGTGAGAAACGCAAGCTGCCCAAAGTTTGGATGGCATCCTCGGATGTAAATGTATTGTTGTAGTTGCGGAATAGATATCGATGCGTTCCAATGCTGATTTGCACCATGAGGGCACCAAATAAATCATGAATGTCCTATTACAACGGTGTTAGTTTGTATATGGAATAGCGTTTCATTTTGTATGTATACCTTGATATAAGGTCTGCCATCCATGGTGAACTTCATCATGGATGTGTAAGCCTGTGACGCTTGTGGATCCATGGTTTGCTTGTGTTTGCGTGTATGTGTGTGCGAGAAAGAAAGTGGAGGAGATGAAACGAGGAGAAGCACTCCGTATGATGGAATGCTTTTATATGAACAAGTAGGAGGAAGAAAGAGGAAGAAAAACAAGAAAGCGTGGTTGAAAGGGAGTCATGTTTGATAGAAAGGTAAAAACAGCGATCGCCAACTATGTCTTAGTGAGGAGCACGATGGGAACCACTTTTATCATGCAATCACCCGACGAAACAGAACTTCAGGGCTCCTTAACTATCCATCAACCCACACACACTCCTTTGACTCGTCCCTTGTTACCAATGCAACTACACCGCGGGATCGGTTGTATAACAATGCGTGTGGACGCACAGAAGCAGGGTATGCAAGGGTAGTAAATAGCAATAAAAAAAAAGAAAGCATGAACCAATTTGGTAATGTACAATAATGCACGCAACTTTAACTTATGCACGCGTTGTTCTTCCATATTTTATCTGTTTGGATAACGAGGAAAGGAGATGATCAGGAAATAAGGGGGTGGTTGAGAAGAAAGAAAATGAAATCGGGAGAGAGAGAGAGCGAGAAAGAATCAATCAAGATCAATGCTATGTTGAAAGTGGATGACTATGTGATGGTGTGTGTGTGTGTGGAGAAGGGGAGGAGGGTGGGGGGTTGTTTGATCATTTATTTACTACTCTGGTCTAGCAAAAAGTTACTTGCTTTAACGAGATCCTGGTCATACCGATCCAAAGCTTCTTTGGCTTGTTTACGTTCAAAGCCCATTTTCATCAACTCATCCAAATTGCTATTGTCTCCTGATAATGCTAGCTCCTGTTTTGCTGGTGCTGCTGGTGCAAAGCCACTACTAGAAAATGCATCTTCGAATCCGAACACGTTCTTCTCATTGTTGTCGGCCTTGTTTTCTGTTACGCCAGAGGTTGCCGTTGTCGTAGTTGCAGCTGCAGCAGCAGAAGTATTCTTAGAGTTCGATCCTCCAAAGATAGAATCCCAATCATCCTCCTTGTTGTTGTTGTTGTTGCCTGCACCCTTTGTATCACCTTCAGCAAAGTCAAATCCACCGAAATTACTGGCCCAATTCAAATCACTCGTATTGGTCTTTTTGGTCTCGCTTGGTTTCGCTTCTTTATCAAAGGAGGCAAAAGCATCATCGAATCCATCAAAGTCGTTACCACCAGCTTGGACAACTTGTGCATTGCTCATTTGACCTGAAAATGCTGCATCAAAATCATCCACGGGTGGTGGTGATGTTGTTGTGGCTGTAGTAGTAGATGGCATAAAAGCAGAGTCGAATTCATTATCAGCCTTTTCAGTTGACTTTTGAGCAGCAGTTGGTGGAGGTGGAGGTGGAGCACGAGGTTTCTTTGTAATGGAAGTGGTGGTGGATGCTGTTGTATGGCTCGCATCAGACGTATTTCGGTGATGTCTACTTTGTGGTGGCGGTGGAGGAGGAGCTGGTCTTGCTGCACGAGTTGTATTAGTGGTTGTGTTGGGTGGTGAGCTGGTGGTGGTGGGTTCAGGTGGTGTTGCCCAGCCAACGGGATCAAATGGACTAAATGGGCTGCTTTGTGTAGCTGGGGATGTTGGTTTGCTTGATTGGATATTCCCAAAAATGGCATCAAAGTCGTTTGACGATCCTTCCTTCTTTCCACCCTCATCTTTGTCAGTTGGCTTTGCTGTAAACAAATCAAAGAGGTTGCTTGAAGTAGTAGCAGGGGAACTGGCAGCAGCAGCTTGAGGTGATTTTTGTGCCTCGCTTTCTTTTGGTTTTGGCTTTGCTGCTTCAACCATGTCATCTGAAAGTTGTCGCTCTTCCTTAAAGTCTTCAAGGTCACGTTTTGCCTGATCACGATCCTGTTCTGATGCTGTTACTTGACGACGATTGATATCCAACATCATATCTTGCTGCTTGAGCTGCGATCGTAAATTGTTGAGCTGAGTCGTGAGCTGAGCCGTCTCATCTTGAATTTCATGCACACGCTTTCTAAGTTGTTCACTCTCAGTGCGGCTGGTTTCCAATGTTTGTTGTAGTTGAGCAATCTCGTTTTGTGTTGCAATAAGCTGTTGTTGAGCAGCGTCGTGTTCTTGTTGTGCCTGCATCCATCCAGGTCGCTCATTTTCTACTTGTTGTTGTAATTCTTGCAATTCCTTCACTTCAGTCTCATGAGCCAATTGCACTTGGGCCAATTGTGCCTGCAACTCCTTCTTTTGTTTGGCAAGTTGTTCAAGTGTTTGCTGAGCATCCATCTTTTGATGTTGTACTTGTCCAGTCGAAGTCTTTAGTGCTGCCATCTGATTCTGTAGCTGATTGACTTGGTTTGTATCCTGAGTAAGTTGTTCATTATCACCAAAATCACCGAGAAGATCTTGATTCTCAAATGGCGATGTATCTATTTCAAGTTGTTAATAAAGATATGACATCTCCCAACACAAAATAAAGGCTTACTGGTAGCGAGAGGTGATTGAACAGCAGGTTGATGGTGTACCATTGCAGGGCTTTGGTGTGCTGCAACTGCCGGTGCCATGGCAGGGCTCGCTCCTTGGGGTAAAGCAAGTGCATTGGGTAAAGTAGTAGGCAATGGTTCTCCACGTAGTCGTTTATGAATCAAATGCATTGCCACGGCAAATTGATCACGTGATAGTCGACCTTGTTGACTTGAATCTGCCAAATCCCAAATTTGTGCAAGATCTGCTTCAGGCAAACGGGAGTTTGTAAAGAATTCCACAGCATCGGTGCCTTGAACAAAACCCGTCCTTTTGGTATCAATCTTATCGAAGAATGCATCAAACTGGATCTTTTCTTGTGGTGTAATATTCCATTGTTGTTGATTAGGCTGTTGATCAACACCCGCTGATGATGAAAATGCCAAGCTGCCAAGTGAATCAATTGTCTGAGATCGTTGTGGTACTTGTTGCTGTGGCTGTTGTGGTTGTGGTTGTTGAATCGGTTGCACAGGATTATTATCACCGGCTGCGGTTGCATAAACGCTTGGCGGCAATTGTGAAGGAAGAGTTGAAATTGTACCATCCATAAGCTTTGCAATGTAATGCATAGCAATCGCAAATTCTGCTTGATTGAGGTTGCCGGTTTGACGTACATCTGCAAGGTTCCTATACATTTGTTTTCCCTTTATCAGCCAATCCATCCTCTTTATGTTCATCTTCCTCATCATCCCATCCTTACCAAATTTGGCCCAGTGCTTCGTTTGGTAGCTTTGATTTCATAAAGATATTCTTGGCGCTTTCACCATCCAAGAACCCTCCTGCTGGTTGGTGGACACGGAAAATGGAATAGTACTTTTCACGCTCTTCAGGAGTGATTGTCATTGCAGGACCATGAGCAGCAGCAGCAGCAGCACCAACATGAGGACTTGCAGCAGCAGGAGCTTCTGAATCCAATCCTTCAAATTGTGGTAGTGGTACGGCTATGTATGCGCATAATGAATATACGCCCCATGAACGCGTTGTCTCCTCCAAGTATACTTACAAGTGGATAATACGGGGTTTTGGGGATCCTTGCCATGCTGAGTACATGCAATAAGCTTTAACGCAATAGAGAACGTCTCGGGTGTCAAATAGCCTTGATTGTCACGATCAGCCGTCTCCCAAATCTACCACCCCATGAACAACACGAGATGAGCACGCTATCAACATTGAACCACTTGCAAGCTTACATCAGAAAGGATTTGGTTGGGAACACCCGAAGTTGCAAAGAAGCGTACAGCTTCTGGACCAGTGACTAGACCCGATTGACTACGACTTGCAGCACGAAAGCATTTGTTGAAGAATTGTTGTTCTTGAGGTGTCAAATAAGACTCCCAAGATGAAGTCGACATGTTGATGGTGGTTGGCCGAGATGCACTCGTGTGGTAAAAGAAAAGAGAAGTGAGAGAGAGAGAAGAAAAAAGTTAACCCACTCTAACCCCTCCCATATTGGTTGGTTATCTAAATTGCACCTTCCACTGAAGCATAAAAGTCAATTCGACACGCTTTTCTCTTGGCAAGCCCATCACCATCATTCATTGTTACACATCCTTATACCGTTCTTACACCATATCCTTGATACATCTTATAAACGATTACTTTCATAAAGTCTTCTATATCAAAAATCTCTATTGGTGTGTGGGGCATGATAATACAGCGAGGTACATGTTGCTTGGTACCACCATAGGCTAATTGTTATGGTATCTGAGTAACGTGTTGCTAGTGTCATTTGGATTGTTGGTCCGCGCGGTCGTGCATATTAAACCATCATTCAATACTTTGCTTTTGTGACTAAATGCAGAATCCATGTGTCTATGTTAGTTGAGTGTCTTAATAAGAGAGAAGGAAAAAAGGGTACTTTTTCTTATGCACCATCGAATTCCTCTTTCCAGGGACGATCCGGTTGCTTATACTTTTTGAAGATCACTTTCGCTCCGAGTTTGGACGAATCAGCTTGGATGTGTCTGTTGACGTAAATAAAGGTGTTTGCTCGCTGCATCAACAATCAAAACAAAAATACATCACCATCATCATCAAAGAGAGAGAAAGCAATAGAAAGAGAGAAAATGGGCTTTTGGGTGCATCACGCAGGGGGCCTCGCCTTTTTTCCCTTCACTTGAAAGTAGCGTCGAGTTAAAGAGATTGTTTACCAACATTACAGTACTAGCAGAGTGCTGATGCATAATGTGTGCGCATGTTAGCGATATGTATTCAAGCACGCACCGACCAACCTGACCCAATGTGGAAGGTGGTGTGATGGATGTAGTAGATTGTTTACCAAACCATCCTCATTTTCTTTGCATGAATCGACACCTGAACCTTTGCTTGAGTGAGCAACAAGATGATATGTGTATACCTCCTCCAGTCATTATCTTTCCTGCTCCTTTTTTTCACCCTAAGGCGTAAAATCGCTTTGCATAAAGTTTTGCCTTCCGCCATGTTGATACGAACGGTGTACATACGCTATCGCTCTTACCATTACTACATGCGCCCCTCAAAAGGGGCTGTTCAAAGTAGCGACTTGTCCATAGCGGTCATATGCATTTGCATATACAGTATACTCTCAAAGTTTTCTTCACCTCTACCATGTACAAAGCTTTTACGCCATCCCAGTACTAGAGAAAAGGAGCTGCAGCATGTTGCAGCAACTAGTCTTTCCATGGTTTACAATGCCATCAAGGCTGCACAACCCATCACTGCACATGTCGTGCTTGTGTGTGTGCGGGTGTCAATAATGTATGACCTTGTAATTGGGACCATGGGTGTGAGCCAAATATAAAGCAAATTGATTGACACAGCAACGTGATACATACACACATACACATGATGTTCTTAAAAATGATTCAGTAAGCGGATGATGCCGATTGCTGATGCTTATGGTTGCTGCACATATTGTCCGAGACCGACATTTGAAGGAAATTTCTTTTCTCAGGAGCTTCCTGTGTGCATACATCAAAATTTACTGTACAAGTATATACATGGCAGCAGGGGCTACGTTACTCTACTACTATATGCGTGGTATACTTGCACTTGATAAACCGTGGATTGCATACGGAGCAATGTGGATCTTCGAATTATGCAAAGTGGAGATCAAAATTGGCTGTCAATCATCCCTCTATCGATATGGCATTCGTAAAAGGAGACCACGTAGCAAAGAATATAAAAAGAGGAACCTTTTGGCTTTGATCTTTATTCTCATCATCACTACTACATTCAATTCTACACTATGACCCGCTTCGCTACTTTGACTTTGGCTGCTTTGATGGCACTTGCTGTTTCCGTGCAAGCTGCTCCCATCCGAGGAGTTGAAAAGAGAACCGTTTACAAGTCTTCCTCGATGAATACGTCATCCATTGATACAACACCTGCTGGCGTTCCTATTCCTGGTCACAAGAAGGTGCTGAATGAGAACGCACCAGGCTATGATGAGAATGAGAATGAGCCAGAAGAAGTTACCGGCGACGAGCACGAGAAGAATGAGAATGAGAATGAGCCAGAAGAAGTTACCGGCAACGAGACAGAAGGAGGAACCGATGGTGCTTAAATGGACGCGTACTTGTCTTTTTTCAAAGTTTATAACCACTCCCCCATCATGCTTGTCTAATGCCATTTGTAACCGAGTATACACCTCCAACCCCAATTGCATATCGTCGACTGTAAAAGTAATAAAGTCGAATTCATACATTCATCATTGACATCTTTGACATCTCTTGGGATAGCTTGCATGGATTCTAAAAGTCGTACAAAGGACGTTGTGCATAACACAGTGCCACCCACGTGGAGTGATCGAGGCGCCACAATAGCAACAGAACACAAAAGTTGGCTTTCCATAGTCTTGGGTTGTGTGAGTTTCGGTTGACAAAGCAGCAAAATCCAGGGTCAGCAACTCAATGTGGCAGGAGATTGGATAAGAATAGATTTACGGCGCTTTAAATAGTCAAAACATGCTTATTAGATTGTGATAACATAATCTGGTACGCCACTCTATACGGGTAAATGGTCGGCTAAACACCTGCCCATTGTCTTTTTCGGATGACAATTCATACCGATCCACCATGATCGTAGGAAAAATGTAAAACATGAATCCTTTTGCCGTTGCATGCCTGCTAGCACTCCCTATTTGGTACTCAGTGCAGCTGCATCTCACAATGCCCGATCCATTTCTCGGAAAGCGGACAATCCTTGCCTTGTCAACCAAATAGCTATATAAAAAGAACGCGTTGGGAGAATTCTGGATCGTGTTTTATTATCACATCATGTCTGAAAAAACAACTACATCATTAATTGTCGTATTACAATCATCCAACACGGATGTTGAGAAGGACGGCCAAATCATCAACTTCGGTTCGGGTGCCAACATCGATACTGTACGCAACCTTGCCATGGAGAAGCTTGGTGTTGCCAAGAATATCCCATTGGGCGACATCATTTTGCGAGATGCATCCGGTAAAATGCTCGATGGCATTGATCAAGTACGACAACAACAAGTGATCTACCTCGACTTGAAGGAACATGTCAAAGAAGTCATTCCTGGTCCATTCAAGTATCCATTTGTTGGTTCCATTCGTGAATTACTACCCAACATGTAAGTTGGAGCGTGCTTCAATGCCAATGCCATGCTAATCGTTATTACCTTTATGATGCATACAGGACACTCGGATGGATGCGTATGTTTGATACTTATGGTCCTGTTGTCAATATGAATTTGATGGGCGAAGAAATCGTCGGCACCAATGATCCTGCAGTTGCTGAGTTGTTTGTCAAGGAGTCTGAGTATTTCACCAAAAAGCTCTCGGGTGGTCTCAAGGAAATCAAGGCTTTCGGTGGTCAAGGCTTGTTCACAACCAACACTGACGATGAAGATTGGAAGCTCGCACACAAGTTGCTCATGCCCGCATTCAGCCCTCGTGCTATCAAGGTAAACCCATTGTGATGGTGGTGTGGTGGTGTTGATGCAACTAAAAGGACGAGACGTTGATCGCTTCATTTATGCATAGGCATACCTACACGAAATGGGTGTCATTTCCTTGCAAACCATCAAGACTCTTGAGCAGTACGATCCTTCAGAAAAGGTCGAGATTCTGGATTGGACAACACGCTTGACATTTGAGACCATTGGCCGTTGCGGTTTCGGCTATGATTTTGGTCTTCTTGACTCCAAGGACACGCCCAACCACCCCTTCATTGATGCCATGGCCTATTGTTTGAAGCATGCCGTTGCCCGGTTACAACAAATGTCATTCGTCAAGCACCTACCACTCGAGCAGAACCGTCATTTTGATCGATCAGTCAAGTTGATGAATGATACGGTGGATGAAGTCATTAAGGAACGCAAGAGTGGCCCTGAAGCTGGTGACATGCACAAGGACTTGTTGGGATTCATGTTGAACGCACGTGATGAGCATCAGCTTGGTCTTTCAGATGAGAACATTCGTTATCAAGTTGTCACTTTTCTTATTGCTGGCCATGATGTAAGTTTATTTAACCTACGAGGATGGAATGGGATACTCATTCGAGCTATCATAGACAACGGCCAATACGCTCGCTTGGACATTGTACGAGTTGTCACGTAACCCTCATGTCGAAGCCAAGTTGTTGCAAGAAATCGCCAATGTTGGTATCACCCATGACAAGATTCCCACTATCGAGCAAGTGAGCGAGCTCAAGTATACTCATCAAGTACTCAAGGAGACTTTGCGCAAGTATCCCCCTGTACGTGCACTTGGCAAATACTGCAAGAAGGATTGCGTCATTCCTGGTGGATATCTCGTCAAGGCCAATACTCCTGTATCCGTCAACTTGTTCGCCATGCATCGCAACCCCAACGTGTATCCTGATCCCTTGCGTTATGATCCTGAACGATTCACACCCGAGGAAGAGCAAAAGCGTTCCCGTTTCTCATGGCTGCCTTTCAGTACTGGTCCACGTGCATGCATTGGTATGGCATTCGCCCTACAGGAGGCCAAGGTGGTTTTGGCCATGCTTTTGCATCGATTCAAGTTCCATTATGGTATGTATCATCATTATCTTCCCATCCGCTCATTGTACTTATATGGAATCATTGTTTTGTGTCTGTAGATGGCCCTGATGTTGAATTTGATCCAATGATGGCAACTACCAAGCCCACCGATTTCTTTGTCAATATTCAACCACGTACCGATATGCCTGAGCCCAATGCCACTCCTATTCCTCCCAAGGCTGCCGAAAGTGATGAAGCTGACAAGCCCAAAGCCACCATTCCCCATTTTGAATCGATTGCCGAACAAGTGGCTGCACGTCCTGCTGCTGAGCTTCCAGCTGTCACCTTCTTGTATGGTACACAAACAGGCACTGCTCAAGACTATGCATCCGTACTTGCATCTCAAGCTCGCTCCTTTGGTTTCAAGCAAGTAACGCTATGCGAGATGGACAAATGGAATGTACTTGATGCTGGCAAGTATCAGCCCAAGGAATCGGGTCCTCAAGAACTTGTCGTTATTTGTACAGCAACCTACAATGGCCAACCCCCTGATTCAGCTGAACGTTTCAGCAACTTTATCACCGAGAAGCTCAAGGAAGAAGGCCATGAGACACTTCTCAAGTCATTGCAATTTGCTGTCTTTGGTGTGGGTAACAAGAATTGGCGTACATATCAAGCTTTCCCTCGCAAGGTCAATGAGACTCTTGAGCAATTTGGTGCTGAGCGCTTCTTTGGATGTGGCGAAGGCAATGCAGACAAGGATATGGATGCCGACTTTAATGAATGGTACGTTTATTGGATATTCTTTCTTCTATCCTTATGATTAACATTGCCTCGTTGTTTAGGTCTGCACACTTTTGGGTACACGCATTGAGCAGCTTTGGTCTTTCACTTGCCGAGAATCAATCTGTGGTACCATCAGCAAGCCGTGGCATGGATACGCCAAACGTCAATGTCAACTTCATCAGCCCTATGGATGAGGATAAGTGGAAACAAGGTGCTATCAACCGCAACGGCAGCTACAATGTGGAGATTCTTCGCAACCGGGAATTGCAGCAACCTACCTCTGACCGAAGCACTCGTCACATTGAACTTGATATTTCAGCACTCAAGCCTCTTTGCAAGGATGGTCAATTGTATATGGCTGGTGATCATCTTGAAGTGTTCCCTGAGAATGATCCCGAGATTGTTGAAGCCATTGGTGTCAATTTTGGATGGGTCTTGGATTCAGTTTTCGAGATCGATCATGAATCCCTTGGCAACGTATCGCCTCGTTCGCTTGCAGCCTCGATTCAAGGTCCATGCAGTATCCGCAATGCTCTCACCTACTATGCTGATCTCTCATCGCCACCCACACGTACCATGTTATCCATCTTTGCTGAGCAATTGAGCAGCACATCGGCCGAAACAGCTGAAGCATTCCGCAAGCTTATTATGCCCGACAGCCCTGAATATGCATCCTTTATCGAGAAACATCGCACCATTCTTGATCTTCAGAAGCATTATCCTCAAGTGAAGCGATTGGACCTTGGTCAATTCTTGGCAGCTGTGGGTGTTATGCAACCTCGTCGCTACTCGATTGCTTCATCGCCTTTGTCTCATCCTCAACAAGCTCATTTGACTATTGGTGTTGTCCATGATAAGCTCAAGGATGGTCGTGAATACTATGGTTTGGCTTCATCCTACTTGGCTCGTAGCCATGAATCTGTCACTTTACGTGCGGCTCTAAAGTCATCCAAGAGTACGTTTAGCTTGCCTACCGATCCTGCTACTCCCATCATTATGATCGCTGCTGGTACAGGTGTCTCTCCTTTCCGTGGCTTTTTGCAAGAACGGTACTTCCAACATACCAAGGGTGATGGCAATGTTGGTGATTGTGTTCTCTTCTTTGGTTGCCGTCGTCAAGATCAAGATTACATTTATGCTGATGAAATGCAAGAATACGTCAACAGTGGTGTTCTCAAAGGTTTGCATGTCGCCTTTTCACGTCAAGGTCAACCTATCAAGTATGTCCAGCACCAACTGCTTGAGAATGCCATTCAAGTATGGAAGTTGATCCAAGCCAACGCTTCGATTTATGTCTGTGGTGCCGGTACTATGAGCCGAGATGTTCGACGCACTTTTTGCACCATGGCAAAGAGCTTTGGCCAAGTCAGCACTGATGAAGAGGCTGATGCTTTCGTGCAAGACTTGATTGACCAAGGACGTTACAATGAGGATGTTTGGGGTTAAGCAATGCCAAGCACATGTAGAAGTAGCAATAGACCACCACCATCATGTACATAGACCATCAATACACATTCATTTTTTGCCCTTTGTTACACAGCATGATCCTTTGTATTACTCCCGCTTTGAATACCAATTCCGCCGATGGGATTTTTATCATTGTTGCCATGGTTTCTACCTACATCAAGTGAACAATGCATTTCAAGGACCAGCCCATATGATTCCCAAAGCCGTGTGTGACGTTGAAGCAACCAAAACAATTACCTTATGCGATCACAATGGTACGCGCAGCAATCTGAATTTCTCTTATTGGGTGATGGTGCATCACACGAGCTTTTGGACTGTGCTGCAATGTTGTCTCAGGTGATATCGCCAATGCGCCATGTATCCATCAGGTCGCCAGGTCGCCCACTTGATCAAAAATGGGTTATGTCATTGGGTCACACTTCCATTCCAAATAGGGAATAATCCATCGGGGGTTTTCGGGAAACGAAACCAATCATGAGCTGCCAAGAAAATTATATAAAGGAGCCCTCTCCCATCGATGAAAAATTTTCGTCACCCGTGCTTCTTTTCCGTTTTCATGTCTCCAATTTCAATCCAACTTGATGTCTTTCGATGATACCGCTACCTTTACCCTTATTACCCTATTGTCTCTACTCAATGGAAGATGAACTTTTACCATCGGGGCTGCGTTAGCGAAATGGCTTTGTGGGCTTGATAGTCAAACTTCTTGCAAGTGTTATTTTCCCAAGTCAATTGTGTCCACCCTGTGAGGCTTTCCTTTTCATCGCCTTGGTGTATGTCAGTGGTTAAGGTATGTATCATCTATACTTGTACATCATGGAAAAAGCACATTTGCTCATCAATCTCTTTGTTATTATAGTAATGAGGAGTGAATTGCTTTCCTTTATTCTGGGTGGTTCTATTTTCTATACGCTTTGAGGGAATCTGCCTTTTGAGGCAACGCATCTTTGTGCAAACCCTGCATACTCTTGAGACATTGTTGGGAAGGCCGCATGTATTTTCTTTTGGGCCTATTCTCGGATGATCAGTGATATTCTACTTTCTGTTTTGCAATCAATGTTCCGGTTACAGCGATTTATGAGTTGACGTTAATCATGCGGCCAACGTCTTTGGAGTTTAATCAACCTGTTACACGACTACAATCTTGAGAGCTATCATCATCAGTCTTTCGACCATATGCAAGTGAAATCTTTTTCAGTATTTTCCGATTCAACGTCCAGTGGTTGCCCGTTGACGTTATCGCTTTCGAATCATGATCTTGAAGGGGCAGTTTCTTTGGCTTTCGGGTGATCATAGTATCACTTTTGAATGTTGCAATACAATCTTCCTGGCGCAAGCGTCTAGCAGATGACTTTCGAATGTCTCCTTTGTGGATCTGAGCAATCCGGTGGACATGGTGGTTGCGAGATACATTCATGCATTATCATAATTGCGCCATCCCCTTTGAAAGAACACAGCTTTATGCAACCTAATATCCCTTGAAGCAACATTGACATCTTTCACATATCGACCCTGCTTATGTATTATTTCACATCTTCGCGCACTTTCAAGATACCACGTCCTCAAGTTTTGATCGTGGTCTTCAAGGAATCTTGATGGTGGTTTGATCCTTCTCTCTATCACTTCCTTCATTGTTAAAACCCCTTGAACCTTTATTCCAATGGTTATTTGGGTATGAAGAGGCTCTGTTGCTACTTGTATTTCATGTCTGCTACACGCACACCTATGCACCCCAGTTGATAGTGAGTCTCTGGTTATGGTTGCATACGTATCAGTCATTTGCTCGCGGTGTGTTCCAACGTATCATCTATGCATATGTAACGATGCTCTTATTTTCATTTGGACGGGTTCACCCTTTGAGCTGTGCTGAAGAGTCTTGTCAAGCTCCATGATCGGCTGTATTCGAAATGCAAGCTATGGATGGATGTACACTATTATGTATTACTATGCAATGGCAGTTGCGCCTATGACTTGCATGTTCCAATTAATGGCCCTCTCCATGGTCAGGATGTGTATTGAAAACCTGCTTTGATCGAGTCATCATTTGCCTGCACATGCCATCTGATACGAATGTCGCCCTGTATGGCTTTGGTCTAAACATGCTTCAAATCACAAGGCTAAATGTTGCCCCGCTTATGTGCCATCTATCCACGTTGCTATAAGAGAAAGGATATGGCATGGTTCCAGACTGATCAACCGAGGCAGTGTGGTCAATGTATCACTGATGCTGTGTTCAAGCACGATCCAAGCATGGGGTGATAAAGTACAAGGCTGTTGATGGAATGTACGCACCCTAGGTGATCCCTTGTATGTCATGTTGGCTCGTTCAAGTCATGTATCATGATCATCCACAAGATGCGTGAATCATGGGTAGATCGTGCAAACCTTGGATTGGTGCATTCAAGAACCTTTGGGATGGTGCGTTCAAGATCTACCATTGGGACAGTGCATTCAAGAATCATTGGTGATGGGTTCAAGAGCCTTTGGGATGGTGCGTTCAAGATCCTTTTGGTGATGCATCAAAAATCCTTTAGGATGGTGCGTTCAAGATCCTTTTGGTGGTGCATTCAAGATCCTTTGGTGATGCTCTCGTGAACCTTTAGGATGGTGTACTCAAGAATCTTACTTTGGGTGATGCATTCAGGATTGGTGCGCTCAAGAACCTTTAGGTGGTGCATTCAAGAAACTTTTGGTGCGCTCATGAACCTTTAGGATGGCGTGCTCAAGTACCCCTTAGGGATGGTGTGCTCAAGAACTTTGCCTTTGGGATGGCGCGTGCAAGTATTTTTGGGTGGCCCGTTCAAGAACCTGTTAGGATGGTGTTCAAGAACCTCATAGGATGGTGCGTTCAAGGACTTGTAGGATGGTGCGTTCAAGGACTCGTAGGATGGCGCGTTCAAGAACCTCATAGGATGGTGCGTTCAAGGACTTGTAGGATGGCGCGTTCAAGGACTTGTAGGATGGCGCGTTCAAGAACCTCATAGGATGGCGCGTTCAAGGACTTGTAGGATGGCACGTTCAAGAACCTGTAGGATGGTGCGTTCAATAACCTCGTAGGATGGTGCGTTCAAGGATCTTTAGGATGGCGCGTTCAAGGATCTTTAGGATGGCGCGTTCAAGAACCTGTAGGATGGTGCGTGCAAGAACCTCATAGGATGGTGCGTTCAAGGACCTCATAGGATGGTGCGTTTAAGGACCTCTTTTGGAATGGTGCGTATAAGGTTATAACTTGGATCGTATGCTCGCTCATGTGGCTCTAATCAATGGTTACGCTCTCAAGTCCCGATGGTTGTGAAGGGTATGTTCAAGGTCAATGGTTGGCGTTTCAGGTTCAAAGCAAGTATACAACACCAATCAAGTTCGTTTTACCCGTTAATGGATGGCCCATGCGGATTTTTCTCGGGACTAGTTGAAAGCTATGTATGAAGCGACTCGAGCGATCCATGCGAGATTTTATTGCAGTATCCAAGTCAATATCGAAGCTGCTGTATGCCAGGTTTGGTGAAGGCGATCCAAGGCTTCTAAGTTCCCCATGAACCACTATGATCTATTCAAGCGGGTTCCATGGTTAGGTGGCTAAGGCGGTTGTTTCTATGATGGTATGTATCCAGTGCTATACCTTTAGTAATATGATTCCACAATGCTAACTTGAGACTTTCCTCAGGCCAATCGAGGGTAGGATATTGTATTCAAGACTTTGACAAGGCACGTTTGACATCACTACTACTATTGCACGGCATCTTCAAGTCATGGTGGTCCAAGGATGGTTTTACATATGCATAGGCAACAATCCCAAGAATGATATACGAAAGACTAACTTGATGAATGGTATGCCCTGCAAGAGGCATGAGTTGCTTTTCAAGAACAACAGGTATGCATGTGCTTTGAATTTTGATATACTGGATGCTGACAAGTGATTGCTTTCAAAAGTTGTATCTAAGGTAAACATCGAACAATGGGATTGTCATGCCACGAAGGCCAAGGAGCAACGTCATGCACGTATGGCTATTTCCTACTGCTATTGGTCAAGAGGGCTCTTGGTGGTTTTTCGGTTTTTCGGCTATTGTAGGTTTATAGCCGTTTCCATGCCAACAGGATTTTGTAAGTGATTGGAACAAAACATGCGATATGACATACAATGATCCACTAACATCTCGCCTAGTTAGCAAGGTTTGTCCAACATGAAGGGTAATAGCAAGTAGTATGCTGGAGAAGCGGTCACTGGTTTCCATCATGAGCCCACTCGAGGACCTATGGCATTGTGCGATATCGTGGTTGAGAAGACGACAGCACGTGGTGCAGCTATCCTTGGTTGGTTTTGGTCATTTTCAGTAAGCTCATGACAACATGTTCAGCTCACTATGGCGACCTGGCTCATTGGCTTGCAACTATGCTGGAGACAGCGGTCAACTATCACGTGCAACGTAATCGACCCATACTCGATCCCTCAACGTGCCTACTACTACACCTATAGACGACAACATTTTCTAGCACTAATCAGCGTTACGACTCACAACGACTTTTCAGATTTCATCAAGATAAACAAGGCGGCGTGGCGACTTTTTCGGCAATCTATTGACGCATCTTGTACAGTTTCAGCATTGATCACAATTCATCAAGCTCTATCACGTGGTATGATAACAATACGAACACGTCAACAACAACGGCGACAGCAATTGACGACCTATCAAGGTCTTTCTCTTGGTATATGTATCGATTCTCTCTTTTGCAAATGTAGTCCAAAACGATAGAAGAAAATCATCTCTTTCCAAACACCCATAAAAAGCAATGCAAAACAAAGCATGTATTATCATTTCATTATGCAAAAATACCGCTTCTTTTCTTTCATGTGATGGATAAAAGATTTCAATGTTATGTTGTTGATTATAGTAATAATGGGATGCTTGAGTCACCATGCTGAAACATAAGCTCTTTTACTGTAAAGTATATATGCTTTGAAACGATGTCTCCAACGGGTGGATGTGCGGGTTGTCATTGTTTTCTGAACTTGTCTCTGACATGTTTTCATTTCGAAACGCAATTTGCCACCCTTCAGGGGTTGGTGGGGGATACGTGATATATCGCTGTTTCCCGTTTGGAGGCAGCTGAGAGGATATATAAACAGCTATCACCTTTTTCCTCGACCTTTGTTTTCTTTTTGCTTCATTCCTTTTTTTATTAGTTGTAACTTGACAGTTATTGTTGGCATGATGCTTCATCAGTCACCACCGACTAAGCAGGTCCTTTTATACAAGACCGAGTATTGCCGTAATTGGACCGAGCTCGGTTACTGCAGGCACGTAAACGATGATTTAGACATAAAACAGGATCGCCCACGCTGATCAACCACTTGGATACATCCAGATACGGTAAAAAATGTCGATACGCCCATGGGTCCACAGAGCTACGCAATGCACCACGACACTCACGATACAAGACTGAAATTTGTCGCGCCTATCATTTTGAAGGAGCATGCCCTTATGGTATTCGGTGCACCTATATCCACGATATGCCTTTTTCAAACTACTGGTCAAAGCTACCTATACCATCATCACGCACCGATTCACGCTTTTTCTCCCGGAGAGATAGCTTTGCAAGTAGCAGCATCAGCAGTAGCAGCAGTGCTAGTAGTACCACCTCTTCTTCATCCACCCCTTCTTCTCCACTCCTCCCCTGGTCACCTTCATTTGAGATGACCATGTATTGAGATTTTATTTCTGTGTTCTGCTTTCCTTGTTTTTGTCCTTTTTTAATTATGTGTACCATGTCAGCATGATGCTGTTTTCTCAGCTGGTGCTTTTAATATTGCAATTTTTTACCTTCATTCACAGGTCACGCGTGACAAAACCAAAGTTTCAATTGCTTTTTAGGTTGTCAAGGGATTGCGGTGTATCATGTTTCGTGTTTGATTTTCCCGCCACTTTCATCATGATTTGTTTTGGAAAAAAAAAGTCTCTCTTTCACAAGGTTTGATTACCCAAACGCCACACGCCGGTTGTCAACACGTAACACATTTCCTTTGGGCGCAACAAAAGTGTAGCATCGATACTGCTGCTTTATTTCTAAACCTCTCTTTTACCATGTCTTATCGGAACAATGCGAGCAGGACAAAGAACACAAATATGAGAACAATGACAATACATATGGAGCCTATAAACAACGTCGTTAGCCAAATAAAGAGACCAACCCACTTGTCATTATCCAACTTACGATTATCCTTGACTTTGCGTCCAACATAGTTGAGCTTTTTCCTTGCTTTCTGCAATCTTGCATCAGTGCGATCCACCATTTCATGTGTTTCATCAATCAGCTGTGCATGTGTATCCAATTCGTCGCCGATCAAGAGACCCAGCTCCCGCTGCCTTCGAATGGCGTCTGACAAATGATCCAAGTTTGTATCTTGGTCTAATGATCGCGTGAGTTCTATTGTTCATGCTCGCCTTTTTCCTCCCCACTCCCACTTTGACTCTACCTTCAATGATCCTTTGTTGCAATTGTAATATTTGTCCATTTTCCAAATCACTAGGATCCACCTCCATTTGATTTGCTGGTGAGAAACGAACACTTTTGCCTCGTTTGTTGCCAAATAACGCCTCCCTACCATAACCAATGCTATGAATTCCCCCATCCACTTCATCATCATCATCATCATCATCGTGTCCTTGCTTTACCTCGCTTGATCAGCATCTCCCATCAAGGCATCCAGCTTGTCTACTTTGACTTGAAGCTCCACTAGCTTATCTTCGTCGGTCTTGGTATCCCTAAAATAGAGTGGCACATTAGTTTACTGTGATATGCATGTACACAAAAGTGGGAGGAGAATTATGTGCCATGTGGGTATAGTGTCAACTCACGCAACACCAGCTTCTTCTTCTGCAGCAAGCTGTTCTTCCAAAGTCTTGAGCCCATCTCGCAATTGCGTCAACTTTTTCTGTATCTGCGTCTCGTACTTGTCGTAATTTAACCTGGGCGAAAAAGTAAGAATGAGGGTCTTGGCAAACAGGAAAGAAGAACCCAACATTGACTTTACTTGAGATCTCGTAATCGATTACGTTCGTAGACGGTAGCAAGGGTATTGTCGGCCAGAATATCAAGGCGAGATGCGAGCTTTGTGTCCATTGGGATTCCGGGAATATGTGTAGGGTCGTATGGGAGGTATGTTGGGTGTGGTGAAATAGGAAAGAAATGCAGCTGTCCCGATGCTCTGATAACAGTGGCAAGATCGAATACAATACACTAGGTCTCCCTCCATTATCTATCACCAACACACATATACACTTACAAGAACGTCATCATCATGGTAGTGTAAGCTCGTAGCTATGGATTAGAGAATGGTTGCCAAGAAACGTTAATTAATCAACGGTATCCATGGCAGCTTGGCAGCAGCAACATGCGTAGAATATAGAACCATCGATCCTTTGTGGCCCCTTTTCGATACATGATCGATCACAAACTCTCTGGACGTTAAATAAAGCTTACATGATACGTATTGCTGACGAGGTAATAGAAAGAGCTATGACATCAACAACTTGGAGAATAAAGTGGGTGTCAATGATTCAAAGGGTACATGTGAGTGCTGGCAACAACTATTATCTCATCATTGCCGTGAGTGCTTTAATCAAGTCCAGGATTGGCGAATTAACCCAGCCGGTTCCTGCTGGTAAAACCATTGTCATCCCTGTTCTCTCTCTCTCGCTCCCTTCCCTCGTTCTTCTCTCTTTCTCTTTTTGGTTCCCTTTTCTCTCGTTACCAAGTCAACCATTTCACAAGTACAATGAGCTACTTTTATTCTCTACCTACAACGGGTGCAATGTCCTTTGTGGATTTCTTACAAAACGTGGGACCCTATTCAACTGAAATCTCTGATGCAACGGCACAACGCGGACGACTGAGAACAGTGCTCAAAGACCTTAAAAGAGACTCCCAAGAAACACGCGATTACCGCCACATTCTCAACGTAAGTCAAATGGTAGTATCGAGTAGGTGTTTACTAATACAATGCTCGGTTATCAGACCATTGAAGACTATTTGCCATATCTCGTCAGCATATTGAATTGCCTCGAATCGGGTGACCTTACGTTAAAGAAGAACATTGGTACGAGCGTCCTTTTTTGAGTGTATCACGAGATCTCATCCATATCCAAATTAATTAGAAACGTCTTGGCGTTCTACCCTCAGTGACCACATCATCCACACCGGAAGCAATGCACCACGGATAGTGTGCGGCGGCATCTATTATGAGCTTATTTTCGTGCTGATGACTTATGCCTATGCATGGTCGATGCAAAGCCATGATATTCTCAAGACCGTACAAGAAGGATCTTCATCGCCTACGCAATACAACAAAGTAAGAAAAAGATGTTTTCATTGTCATCGTTTGACGATTTATACCTTGGGTGGATTAGGCAGCAGATGCATTGAATATAGCAGCCAGCGTGTTTCATTTCATCGCCTATGACGTGATCCCCAAGTGGCGCCAATCACCTGAAAATCGACCCGTCGAAACTATCAAGGAGCTGCCCGCAGCATTATCAAAGTAAGCGTTGTCGTCAGAGTAAGCAAGAAGCATGCGATACTGACAGGGTGGGGGGAAACGATCGTATAGGATGGCTTTGGCAGATGCACAGTACATTGCCATCAACAAGGCTTTACTCGCTGGGCAGGTATCAAAATCATTGGTTGCAAAACTTTATATTGGAGTGGCAGGTGAATACGAGATGGCATACGGCTTGATATCATCCATTGCTGGTGCTCAAGAGGTGTCAACGGATTTGAAAAAGTATATATACGATGGTGTCCAATTCTACAAGGTAGGTAATTAACTACGTGGATGCTTGTTGAGCCCATTTACTAACATGTATGTATATGAATAATAGGCTATGGGGAAAAAGTTTCTTGCCATGGATGCCAACGACAACCAGCAAGTATCTTATCCACATTGTTCAATTAGATTTTCCACGATGAAGCACGTGTGTTAATCGGTTTGTAGAAAAATGGGTGAAGCTGTCGGATTCATGCGAGAATGCAAGGCGGATCTACGGTCTATCCAGCACTCAAGTCTTGCGAAACCCCATTTGCGTAAATCGGCTGTAGCAGGACGAGCACTCAAAGAAGAAGAATCGGTGTCTGAGCTCTTGCAACGTTATACCATGATCAATGATACGGTGAGTGATTCAACAAGAGCATGATGGGGATTGGATGCTTATGCGAAAACATAGGTGGCGTACCAATCGATTCCTTCTCGGCAGGACTTACAAAGGATTATTCCCAATGGACGTGGCGTGTTACAAATGAAGAAATACCAATTACCACCACCAAAGTTTGGACCAGCACATGAAGAAGAAAGCAATGCCAATTATGCAAGATCAGGCGCTTATTACTAGTTGTAGTTGTGGTGGTTCAATGTATTAAAGTCGAAGAGTTGGCGTGTCAAAGATGATTTTAATGGGAGAACATGTAGATGGATATGTAGTGAAGATGGGGTTTTCATGGCCTAAGGGATCATTAGGGGGGGTAGTTGACGATATCTATAGTGGCAGCATACTCGAAGTGTTGTCAGTGACACAAAGAATGGCTGTAAAAGGACAAAGTTTAAAAGTGCGATCCGACGGGCCTCTTTCATTTTCAACAGCTTCCTTTTGGCACAATGATCAACTCTTGGCTTTCGGGATCAAAGAGTGAGTTGAGTCCTTTTCATTCACAGTGACAGCAAGCCGTTTTAGTAATGACAAACAACAACACACAGAAAATAAGGAACAACGTGCAACGTCTCCAACACCACCACCTCCACCACCACCACCTGCCAAGTCATCTCCACCTTTGACATCCCAACGCAATGAACCCAAATCAGGCGTGCTGCTTATTCGTGTATGCGATGCGCAAGGATTGACGCTTCCTGAAGGGATCGAGCATAAGGCAACGACTCCAGCACGTAGTGCAGCTTCAAATAACCGAGACTCGTTGACAAGGAAACAAAATTGGTGGCTACCCTACGTTGTATTGGAATTTGACAGGAATGAACTCCTTGTGGATGCTCTAGGAGGGGATGCCACCAACCCTATTTATCAATACCGGGCCCATTTGTAAGTGTGTGTGTGTGTGCGCTTATCCATCTATCATCAAGGAGAAAGAATGTTAAATAAGGATCATTGTTTAGTGATGTGTCACGGAGCTCAGAAATGTCGATATCTATCTATATGCGCCAATCAACTCAAGAGGGAACACCTGCTAGAGGTACCAACGATTGCTTCCTTGGCTTTGTCAAGGTGCGTCCCAACTTCGAGAGCAACAAGGTGGAGGATCAGTTTTTGGAAATTACTGGTGGCACCGGTGTGATTCACGTGCAGCTTTGTTATAAACCAGCTCAAGTAAGTAAGGAAACAATGGAAGAAATGAGGGATAGGCTGCTTACGGGTTGATTAATTACCCCATTTTCATCATCATAGCAAAGCCAACGTATAGCCATTGATTCATTTGAGCTACTAAAGGTTATTGGCCAGGGCAGCTTTGGAAAGGTAAAGTAAAAATCGGGCATGGTCATGGGGCAAGGTATCAAATGGTCTATTGACATTGGAAGGATATTGCGTGTAGGTGTATGTGGTGCGCAAGAAGGATACGAATCGGATCTACGCCATGAAAGTGCTACGCAAATCGCACATCATTTCACGATCGGAAGTGACACACACGATGGCAGAGAAGACGGTGTTGGCTCAAGTGAGAAATCCTTTCATTGTTCCGCTCAAGTTTGCATTCCAATCACCCGAGAAGCTATATTTGGTATTGGCTTTTGTCAATGGCGGAGAGTTATTCCATCATTTGCAAATGGAAGGGAAGTTCAGCGAGGAGCGATCTCGGTTTTATACGGCTGAATTATTAAGTGCCCTCGAGTGCCTTCATGGTTTCAATGTCATTTATCGGTAATGTATTTCAAAAAGCGAGTAATCCATTGATGTATTGACACAATCTTTATGCAGGGATTTGAAACCAGAGAATATTTTAATTGATTACAATGGACATATTGCGCTATGTGATTTTGGATTGTGCAAGCTCAACATGACCGACGACGAGCGAACCAACACCTTTTGCGGCACACCCGAATACCTTGCACCGGAGCTCTTATTGGGTCAAAGCTATACAAAGGCAGTCGATTGGTGGACCCTTGGCGTGCTGCTATACGAGATGATGACGGGCCTTCCACCGTTTTATGATCAAGATACCAATGAAATGTATCGCAAAATCCTTCAGGATGAGCTGCGATTCCCCGAGGATATGTCACAAGAGGCACAAAGCTTATTGCGAGGCGTAAGTAAAAGGATCCACACGCTATTGCAACTCAATACTAAACGCATATCATTAGCTTCTTACACGTGATCCAGATGAGCGATTAGGCAACAATGGATCAGAGGAAATTAAGGACCATCCGTTCTTTGCAAGTATCGATTGGCGTAAGCTATTGCAGAAAAAAGTACAACCACCTTTCAAGCCTACGATTGAAAGCGCGTTCGATACATCGAATTTTGATGACGAGTTTACATCCAAAGAGCCAAACGAATCCGCACCTGATGAATCACATATTTCAAGGACGATGCAGGAGCAATTTGCTGGGTTCACTTACAATCCTGCTGGAGATGGAGTCATGAGTGAAAGTTTCAATCCATCTACGCCTGGTGTTGGACATAGCAGTGGTACACGATGGTAGAAAAGTCACTTGTCTTTAATCGATCATATCAATAAAGGGATTACCTATGTATTCTACTTTGTGGATAGTATACTATTGCTATTACAACAAGATTTCCAGTTGCTGACAATCTGAGCATGTCCATGTAAGAAAGACCATATCGCCCGCCATGGTAGTTACAGCGACCCTGCCTCCAGGTTGACATGTACTACATTGCATTAGCATCAATAATAAAGACTTGCGACATGTGTATGTAAAAACCTATTACCTATGATCGTTGCGTACCATATCAAGCATATGCTGTATAAAGTCTACCGTCAAATCACGACATTCCACTTCAATGGTCAGCTTGCAAGATGAGCAGTGAACTCCATTCTGGCATGGTATGAGTTGATGGGTATCGCATTTGGGGCAAAGAAAGTAGCCATCATGAGCTGTACGTGTTCGCTTGACTTGTGGAGCTTGTTGAAAAATGTCGCCTATCTGCTCAAATAGTCTTTTCCTCCACACTGACATTCGGTGAGATATTTCGGTTGAGATGCCAAGAGAGCGTGTGTGGATGGATGTGCTTTGTTTTCTCGGTAACTTTTTTTCAATCACACGTAACATTATCTCTTTTTTGCTCCCTTTACTTGAAAAAACCTCATGACCTATTGTTTGGAGCCACAATTATCGTCGATAGGACCATCCTTGGTGGAAAGGCGTCGTTCAACGCGTTCCTTGGGTCAACCCCCTAATATTAAAACCGTCAAGCCAACTTTGGTAACATCCAATCATTCGACCAAATCAGGTGAACATGTGACGGAAAGATTAAAGACAGTGCCATTTAAAGAGCTTGAAAAGGTAAGTTGCTTGCAATAATGAGAAGGGGGGAAGATACACACACATACGCACACGCATTGGAGAGCAGTAGTAGTAGTAGTAGTAAATACGCATTCGATATTAAGGAGACGTGGGATACTTGCTGCATAACATCATGTACACACGCACACACACTCATACCCAACCCGTTCGTGTAGATGATTGCGGATCTAAAAAAGGAAAACTTTGATCTCAAACTAAGGCTATTTCATTTAGAAGATGCACAACGAGAGGTATGGGAAAAGGAGGGCAAATGATAGAGTATGGTTTAGTAAGGAGAGGGAAAAATAGCACTGGAGGGATAAGGTTGGGAGTGCTTTGAGTGAGTGGGAAACGCTTACGACGATGCATTGACAATTTTTACCCTTTTACCATAGCAACATGATCAGCAAAACCAAAAGCAACGAAGCGTTGGTACACAGACACCCATGGAAAAGGCAACTGTGTCATCATCACCAAGAACGTTTTATACCGCCTTTGAAGCATCAGCTGAAGGAATTGCATTGTTGCCAGGTGAACAGGTGACGATCTTTGAGCATGACGACGATGACTATTATAGCAACCACAACAGCAACACCATGGATACAATGACGAAAGCGTTTTCAAAAGTGGAGATTGGAGCAACAGCAGCAGAGGACAATGATACGTCTATGGATAAAGTGCAGGGATGGTTGCAAGAGTTAGAAGATGATGAGGGCTTGATCAGTGGACAAGAAGAACAAGATGATAAAGACGACGATCAAATTAGCCCACTGCACATCAACCATACCACGTGGTAGAGAAGGGATTAAAGTTTTCAGTTGCCCCCCTTTCAACCAACCAAAGGTTTCGTACTACGCTCTTTATTGAGTGGACGCACTGTGTTTTACACACACACCTTATACGCACACATACTCGCTCTCTCTGCCTCTCACATCTCCATTCGCTTTCTTTCTCTTTCTCTCTTTCTTCCTTTCCTGCACTGGTACGACACATTTTATACTTTTGCCTCACTCCTCTTTTTTTGGGCAGTCGCTGTTATTATTACTACCACTCTCCTCATTACTTGAACTTGTGGATCGCTCCTCTCTCTTTCTGTTTCTCTTTCTTCCTTTCTTCTTCTTGCCATCCTCACACTCTTTTTCTATTTCTCATTTGTCGCGACTCAGTAAAATAACCCAGGCCACAACGCAACACACACATACACACGCAACCAGTACATGAATGAAAACTTGAGTGAATGCTAGCAATGGACCCTTCACACTGCTCCATTGTCGTACTTGACCACTCGAATACTCGGCCTTATCGTATACAACTCTATGACGACGACGACGAAGACAATGACAATAGCCCCGAATATATCTCTATACTTGAAAAAGTCTTTGGTCAAGGTATCTATCACTAATGACGTCGTCCTGTTCGTATTCCAACATGTATATTCTCCTTTTGTGCCCATTTTTATTGTTCGTTATCTCCCATTCTCCCTGCAGTATCAGTACACACAAGCCCTGCAGATGCATTACAGCATATTCAAAAGCAACAACAACAACCGACCATTTGCTTGATCGACTTCTCCAATGACACCACAACGGACGATGCAACCGCGTTGATCATGCAAATGATTACCCCAAATATCTCGGTCGCTGGTAAAAGCTATATTCAACATGCATGAGGAGCTTCTCCCAATTTACTCATATACTTGAATGATAGTATGCTCGACGATCGAGGATTTCGATTTCATGTTCGGTTGTATCAACGCAGGTGCTTCGGAATATCTCATCAAGCCCCTGCGTGCTGATGTAATAAGGACATTGCCTTTGGTAACTATCTTATTAAACAATAACAAAGATCCACAAGGTTGACAGCTTTACTCCTTTTCAGAAATTACACCGACATCAGCCAACCGCATTGTTACATCATCGCTTGACAGATACCACTACCAAAGATTCCATGTAAGTCATCATTGATCAAAAAGGATCGACAATGCCCAAAACTCATCATACAATAGACTTTCGAAAACCATGATGGAGATCTATGCACCTTCTGTATCACGTCAGGTGACCCATATATCCGATCATCGTGCAGCCTTTTTACGACACAAGATTGAGAATTGGGATTTCTGTCCTTTTGATGTGGATCATGATGATTTAATCCATTGCTCCTATTTGATCTTTGAACGCGTATTGAATCTACCAGAAATGGCTCATATTTCCATATCCAAAGGTAAATTGGCATGATACATGGAATGATGAAGCACAATGATTCACTCACAAGTATGTTGATTACATAGATCAATTGTACAATTTCATTGTCGAGCTTTCGGTCTCGTATCACAATGGCAATCCATATCACAACTTTGCACATGCGGTGGACGTTTTGCAATGCTGCTACTATTTTCTCGGCCAATTGGGTCTTGTTCCTTTTCCAAACCAAGTGACTCGGCCACAGGATTTGTTACGACCCAACGATGTCTTTGCTCTCTTGATTGCAGCATTGGGCCATGACGCTGCTCATCCGGGTGTCAATAACATGTTCATGGTAAATCATACAACGCCGTTATTTTCGGGATCAAGCTCTCACACACACATACGCTCTTGGTAACAGGTGAACTCCGCTACCCCATTGGCATTATTATACAACGATCGTTCTGTACTCGAGAGCTTCCACTCCATGACACTATTCCAGATCTTGAAAAAGCATGGTATCGATCAATGTTTGAAATCAGCAAGTGAATATCAAGGTACATCTATTTATTTATTCTATCGAACGATGCAAAGGAGCAATAGACTCATCATCATGGTGATAGATTTTCGAAAGACGGTGGTAGCGACCATCCTTGCAACCGACATGTCATTGCATAATGATTACGTAAGCAGGATCAAGGAGCAGGCCATTCGATTGAAAGATGTCAGGTCGTTGGATCCTGCAGCACAAGAAGAAGAGCGGATACTACTATGCAGTGCCTTGATCAAATGTGCTGATATTAGTAATGTGGTAAGTAAATGGGATGCGTCAATGCGAGACCACGTGCACTTTTTAATGTCCCCACTAGACACGGCCTTTTCGTCGAGCTATCAAATGGGCTGAATTACTGGCTCAAGAATTTGCATGTCAAGGCGATTTGGAACGACAACTAGGAATGCCCGTACAACCAATGAATGATCGTGACAAGATGGTGTTAGAGGATATGCAGATTGGATTTATACGTTTTGTGGCAATGAATTTGTTCCAGAGTGTTGCCGATGTTACACATGGTATGTACGATGATGACAATGATATACACGCCATACTTATCAGCATGAGAATAGAAATATCGTTCACTGTCGAGACAATGGAAGAAAATTTGAAAAGGTGGGAAGATAGGAAACACAATCAGCAGCAACAAGAAGTAGTCGAAGAAAAGGATAGCATCATGGCTGAAGCGACAGGTAAATGACTACCAACAGAAAGAGGTGATGATGATCCAATGTCTGATCAAGCCCCCCACCTTTTTTCCTTTTATTTGCCAGCAGTGCCTGAAGAAAAACGAGAGCCAGAGTGTCGGCATTCCATGGACAAGAGCCAAATCCTAAAGGGACTACCACAAATGCCAGCTGTAGCCATGTCAAGTTATGGCAATCCATCCAATACCACCGATTCCCATAGTGCAACTCCCGATTGGGGTCCTCAAAACGGGCCACAGGATGTTGTTTATTGTCAATGCACTATCATGTAGAAACTGTTCTTTATTTCACCTCTCTTTATACTTTTGCCTCCTGCTGCCCGTTGCCCTCCTCCAACATCTCCATTTTCTTTCTCTTTCTCTCTCTTTCCTTTCCCCTTTTTTTTTATGTAATTGTTTCTTTCTAATTTGGTTCGGCCCGATGTATAGAAGCGTTCCTTTTTTCCCCCACTCCTCCTTCTTTGTAGATTGTATATTTCAATACTTTGCACTTACACACAGCTCTCTTTCTTCTCTTCTACTCCCCCTTTTTCTTTAAACAAACACATTGGATTAATAACAAGAAGCTTAACTGATAACCACATTTGGCATCGAATTACTTTTTAGGTTTATTGGGTGTTGTTGTATTTTGATGATGGCCTATTTCACGTCGTCGTGGAGAGGAGGCTTTTTGGATGCTGTTGCTATTGTTGCTATGTAGGCGAGAATGGGAAAATGTAACTTTGGATGTGGTTGTTTTGCGAATAATCGTAGTGGTGCTCGTAGGGAATCCTGTAGAAGAGGAGGAGGAGGTTGTTGTTGGTTGTTGGGTGACGACTTTTTGTTCCTGTCGCTGTTCTTGTTCTATTACAATGTTTTCCTAACACATTCACAAAAGAGTCAGGGTTACAATCATCATCGTGGGTCACTGCTGCTGCTCATACTTACTTTTGTCTTATGCTGAGATGATGGTGGTTGATGGACATGATGTTGTACAAAATCAGTGATTGACTTTCCAGCGGCCAGCAGCTGTTTATGGAAAATGCTCATGATTGCATAAGATGCCTGTATAAAGGAAGGAAGGATGATCAGTATCATACATGCGTGATGGATGAATGTCATCTCGCCACTTACATAGGCGTCATTTGCAGCATATTTCACTTGCGCAGGTGTCAAGCTGAGCCTACTCCAATTACTGCATTGAACCTTTTTCTTCTTGCTCATATTCATTTCAAGCTGTGGATACCATAATGCATCAGATGAATGTCGTTCTTCATGATGGGATGTAACTTACAAAGTAGCCGGTGAGTGCCCGTAATGAACGAGTTGGCTTTTGAGGATAAAGAAATGCGCATATCCGATCCAAGTCTACGAAGGCATTGCATTCCACCTTGAAATCCCGTGCCAATTTGCGACCATCGCCTCGGATATTCACACCAGATTTCAATAAGGTTTTTGTTTTCAAGAATCGGACAAGCTGAGATGGTAGATCTATAAACAAAGGATTATAAGGAAACATGATGCGAGACGATAGTAACAATAAAGCCTTACATGGGAGACGTAGTACTTGTAAGAGTAGAATGGTATCTTTGCCGCATATTTGGATGAGTGCTGTTTTGTTCTCCTTGGCACCACGCCTGAATTGTGGTTGCCATTCCATATCGAATCCATAAAAAGTGTCGCCCTGGCTACGATACAATCAGTATCTCCACGCATAAAATTTGCCAGCCTTTTGTCATACCACACGAGCTCTGCAATACGCTTGTTGATGGTTTCAGGGTTGGATAAACATTCCACTTTGAAATGCTTTGGATAAGATAGAGGAGGCATGCTGTTAAAAAGCTCGTCCAACTCGGCTTTGGTGGGCTGTGGTGTAATCTCAACTTGAGCTTGTGTTTGTTGCTGTAATGGGCGGCTCTCATGATTGACAGTAGTAGTAGTAGTAGTAACCGTTGCTGCCTCTGCCTGCAATTGGGTTGTTGTCATGGGTCGATTCAATGAAAGGTGCCTTGACCAGTTGGTTGGTAACTCTCGTCTCATTCGGCAAGAGGCATTTCTTATGGCTGACATGGTGTCGATCGGGAAGAAGAAAAGATAATTTTACAGGGCACTTTGAAAGAGCTGCTGCTTTACGCAGATTAAAAATCAGGGGCTGCTGTCATAGGCTAAACAATTGTGCAAAGCAAAGGATATATGTATTTGATATGTTGCATATAAACGACTAATCAATGTCCACAAAGAAATTCCATCGTCCATCTTGTAATCCCTTCAAGGTATCTTCAAGTAGGATATCCCGTCGATGTTTGACATATACAGTCTTGTCAAGCACATTTTGTCTAAGCTGTGCAATGCTTTCAGGTTCAAGCGGCTTATCCAGTAATTCAGAAAGGTGCTCCGTAGCCATCTCCAGATCACGTTGGTTGTCCTAAGCCCCTCTTATTAGTGGGTGTGATTCTATATGCAACTACCCTCCTCCCTCCCACTCACCTCAAATATAGCTGTTTGATGAGTGCGATCCAAATAAAATGCAAATGCATAGGTCCATTTCAACGTCATTCGACACTCAACGGTAGTATCCACTGCCTTCTTTAAAAACTGCACCTCGATCCAGGATAGATCACTGTTTTGCTGCACTTCTTCCATTTTTTGCTCCGTCTTTCTGTATAGGTCTTGGTCAAGCTTTGCCGATTGGTCATGGTTGGCATAGCGGTTGTAGTACTGGATGAAACAATGTCAACATATGGATAATTCAAAATGAAGGGTGATAACTTACATGTAGGTATCTCTCGAGACTTGCTCGTGATTTTGCTTGATTCTCGCGTGCTTCAGTGGCTGAACGATCATCAAATCTGTTACAAGCATAGTATTGAGAGCGATGCTCGGACCAAGGACCTGGGATGTAAAGAAAGAAAAATTAATATCCCCATTGACAACCCTAATGATGATCTTCCTTACCCATGCACACCCAGCAGAATTCGTATCGACACTTTCGACATGTCATGTGATTGCAGCCTCCGTTCTTTTCAATCGCCGATTGACATTTTGGACAATCCTTGGTATGAGCAGAAATCCAGTTGGCTGTTTCTGAATCATCCTTGCATTTCTGTAACCACTTTTTCACGAGAGAACAGACGCATGGCTAATAAAAAAAGGACGTCTTAGATATATATAAATGTATAATCCTCGTCATTGATCGTTTGTTACCTGATGATCACTTAATCCACAACCAAAGCAGAATTTGTGACCTTCTCCGCATTCTACAGTGGGTACGATCGAGCTCAAGGACACGCTGGGTATATGGCATTCAATGGCATATTCGCAATCAGGGGCAGGGCACCATCGCATGGCATCATTGTCATCCACAAAGGTACGATCAAGCAATTCTGAGTATCTAAATAAATATCACATGAGTGGGATGGGTTTCCGCAGTCATTATCGCGCAGCTCCTTGTATCATACATACCTTGATTTCACTTTATCATCCACCAAGAGTGACACCGTTTTCTCATCCACGATCCTGTTACACTTGTCCTGAGGGCATTGGATATTTCGGCATTCGCCTTCCTCGATGATCTTTTGACGCAAGTAGTGCTCATAGCAGGTGTTGCAGAATCGGTGTTCGCATGAAAGAGCCGCTGTTTCCATATCGGGGTCATCGTCGAAACAAATCTCGCATGTGAAGCTATTCTTGACACGCTTTGCTGGTAATGTTGGTGCCACTTGTCGATCCTTTTCAACAGCATCCACTAAGCCGGCTGATTCAAGCACTTTTTCGGGTGAGTCGGTGTAGCGTTCAAACAGCTTCTCCTTGTTCCACTGAAAATAGCGAAGTAAAATGGCTGCTTCTTGGTTCGCCAAGCCTAAACCCCATCAATCAGTACTACCACTCTACGCATCATGGCTTGAGTCACGGTACGATGCACTTACCCAATATATTGACAACTTGATCTATTTGTACATTCTGTATCCTTCGAAGGTGTGTGGTGCTGTGTGCAACATAGTCCACCTCGTATGCTTTCTTCTCGCGCCGATCCTCAGTGTCAAAGCACACATCGTCATTGTCGTCCTCCTCTATTGCAATGCCGTCAATCTCTTGTCCGTTGTGAAGCTCAACAAAGCGGCAAAAAGAACCTACCGGACTCATTCATCGAGTCTCCAAAGATGGATTCATTCATAGAATTGTCGTCCATGGAGTCGTCGTCTTCGATCTACAAGTTGAACCATATAAGCTGTCAAATGACATACGTGAATAAACGATGTAGACGTACTGAAATGATATCAGCTGGGTCGGCACAGTGACTCATGATAGTGGTGTGTGAAGGGGAGAAAGAAATGATAGAGTGGGAGACAATAAAAGTGAAAGAGAGAGTGAGAGAGAAAGAGTAGGCTTAACTTTTATGCTAAAGCGAGCTGCTTTTACTGCTGCTGCGGGTTGAATCTCCTCCGCCCATCGTTCTTCTCAAAACAGGCAACTGTGTTTGTGTGGCGATTGCACGCCACATGGAGCACCATCCCTCCCACACACACTCTCGCTCTCTTACCTTAAAAACTAGCTATCGATGATGAGGGTGGCTGCGGATGCTTTCCCCAAAGAGTGATATTCATGCTCATTCAACTGAGCAACTATGACGTGTGCTGCGCCGTTTTCCGAATCCATCATGCTATTAAGGGTAAACAATGAAAGTTCGCTTATGACTTTGATTCATGCTGAACCCTGCTCATTTAATACTCGTAATCACAACCACTTTACTTGAATCCATTGTAATGAGATGATGATTGCTATGCCTCAAATCATGCCATGAATGGTTTTATTTGCATGTAACATTATCTTGCCCACACCATCGTATCATAATAAACAAGCACTGTATCACATGCTGCTGCTGCTGCTGTTGTTGTTGTTGTGTTGTTTAGGTCTCTTGATAATGTTCTCGAAGCTCATGTCGTACTTGCCACTACTGCATGTAATAAATGGGACCTTGTGTTTCATGCTGCCCTGAAGTACAATCAAGCTTCCTTTTCCGGTTGCCTTTCCGGAAGCCGATGGGTTGGATCGATTTCTATACCAGCATCATGATAGAGGAGAGCTTATCTATGCGACCAAATGTGGGGAGCTCCAATGATAATACGTATTCGGCATCTCGGATTCTTTTCGGTGCTTGGTTGAATGCTGCTGCTGATCAATGCGCACAATGGTGCCTATGTTGATACAATGATGGGTTTAGCTGGTGTGCCGGCAACTACTATTACGTCGATCTATTTTTGACAGCAAGACGCTTTGTTTCTTTTTTCCCTTTTTCCCTTTTGACAACCACTTGCTTTTCTTTGACCTTCTTTGTTTGTTCGCATGATCCACATTTGGGGGGGAAGAGAGAGCGTATCCTCATTTTACTTATATCATTGTATTCCCTCCTATACGATAGACTAAGGCAACAAGCAGCCAATGGAACCAGTGTATGTGTGTGGGGTTGTTAATAGAGAGCTGAAAAAGGATAAAAAGCGGACCAGGTGGAATGAAGGAGTGAAAGAGAACGAATGGGCAACCGATGGTATGAAAATCGCCGACCAAACTTGCCTATTGTGGGCACTGCTACCACCCATCCACACTCCACTTTTTTTTTCTTTCGCCATTCTGACACCAACCCTGTATCTTTATCCTCTTTTCCTTTATTGTTTACTTTTATTACATGGATGGATCAACCTACCAATCGACCTCAGTTGAATCACTCACGCTCTTGTCCTAATATTCCAGAGTTGGTAGTGGAGAACGACGATGACGGCTCTGAAGCAACAACTCAACAACAGCCTCCTGCACCTGAAGAACAACAACACGATGATGATGATGACGATGATGAAATGAATGATTCTTCCGATACCCTAGTGGATGCTGTTTTGGATCATCGAGATGCTCGAGACCGACACGTTCGTTTCCAGGAGCACGTTGTTGAATCAGCAGCACTTGTAGAACGCATGTTGAGCTTGAGTGGAAGGCATCAATCACCCTCTTCACCTGTAAATCGTTATCAAACAAAAATCAACAACGATACAGAGGAACCCGAAGATGACATCGATGACAAGCTAAGCGACAAGGGTAGTAGTACAGCAACCAACAGGACAACAGCAGCTGCAGCTGGTGGTGCTGGTGGTGGTAGTGTATTATCAAGTTTGATGCGACTTGAAGCACAACGACGACAAAAGGAACAAGAATACGAACTCAAAAAGCAACAACGTAAAGCAAGACGAGTAAGTAGGATGTAACCAAGGGAACGGAAAGAGGCCTGATTTTTTTTTACTTTAGAAGGGAGCCCATACTGAAGGAGGAGGACGGCATCAATTACGACCTAAAATGCCCCATCGACCAGCTAGTTGGCTGTCTTCGAATCATTTAGTTCCCAGCCTTCAAAAACGAAAACTCGAGACACCTTCATTATCACGACGCTCGTCCATCGACAGCATGTTGACTACAGCCTCTCAATTTGAGCCTATTACATTGGAGGATCGTGTGCGTATTACGTTTGAGATTGCCAACATTTTGCAAAAGCAAGAGTTTTTACGAAAGTTGGTCAAATCATTGATGTTGTACGGGTGCCCTGCTCATCGATTGGAGTACATCATGCGACGAGTTTCCGACACGCTACTTGTGGACGCTGAGTATGTTTACGTACCTAATGTCATGTTTATGAGTGTGTTTGATCCGAGCACACATACCACCGAGACACACTTTATCCGCCAAGTGCAGGATTTTGAAATGCATAAACTCGGCGAGATTTACCGATTGGAACGGCTTGTTTCCCACGGCGAAGTCTCTGTGGATGAAGCTCTTGAGTTTATTGACCGGGTTACCAATCAGCCCGGCTTATATCCAAAATGGCTCAACCTCATCATCTACAGCTTGGCAAGCTTTTGTGGTTGTCTCTTGTTCTTTGGTGGCTATTGGTTCGATGCCCTGATTGCTGCAGGCCTTGCAAGTGAGTGCTACATAAACACACATACACAAATCAAGGATGCAGGTTGACTTACTGATAGATCATCATTTCCTTCCCTTCCCATAGTGGTGCTTGCCATATATGAACTCTTTACCGGTCGCATACAAAGCTTTCAACCCATTTGGGAAATCACTGTTTGTATCCTTATCGGTTTTGTTGCAAGAGGTATGTATGCATTTAGTTTCTCACCCCACAAAAAAATGCCTCACACACACACATGCACACACACATCAGCTGATACAAATACGCTTTACCAATAGCATTGACCCTATACTCGTTTTGTTTTACGCCCATTGCATTTGCATCATTTATTGTCATTCTCCCAGGATACACGATGGCCATATCCGTGGTCGAATTGGTATCTAGGCAACTGGTGAGCGGCGTGGTGCGTATGGTGTATGCGATCTTGTATTCGTTCTTGCTCGGCTATGGCGTTGCTATGGGCTCTGAGTTGTATATCACTATCGATCCAAGCACACGACACACAACCACTGAATGTGCTCATGCAACCTCCTTGACGACGTGTGATGTGCAACGTATTGATCAACGATTCTTTATTCTCTTGGTGCCGTTGTTTGCCATAGCCTATTGCATCTATGTACGAGCACGTCCCTTCCGATGGCCTATCATGCTCATTGTAGCAGTGGTCGGTTATGTGGTCAATTACCTCTTATCATGCCATGCTGGTGCTCCATCACAAGTTCTTCAAGTCGTACCTGCCTTTTCAGTAGGCTTGATTGGTAATTTACTTACCAAACTTACGGGGAAAATGTCGTTTGATGCCGTGTTGCTTGGCGTGTTTTTCTTGGTGCCAGGAAGTTTGGGCATCAAGGCTGGCTTTGGTATCTTTGATAGTGGAGGTGATGATTCAACATCATCGTATCTTGGCAACACAGGAGCTGCATTTGCTTTGGCTATGATCGAATCGGCTATTGGTAGGTTCTAGAATGGGGGCATTATTATTAAATTGAATCAAATCACGCTAACAATAGCAACATAGGTATCACCATTGGGCTGTTTGTGGCAACGTTACTGGTATACCCCAGAGGCAGCCAACGCACCCCATTGATGAATTTTTAGATGTTCGTTTTGTTTTTATCATCACTTGTATTTTTATTCCCCCATCCTTCCATCCTGTACTAGTACCACTACTTAATAGCATTCTTCATCTTGCATTCTATGTTTGGTTGATCATGTGATATCATTTTAATGTCAAAATGGAGAGCCAAGGCGTATATGGATATTATGGCATCATATGATGCTCGTTTATGAATGGATGTGCAAATTGGAGTGGTATGCTGTAAGGAATGATGATATTATTGTGCTGCGTTGTTGTAGTTCATGAAAAATCGATTAACCCCAAACATCCTCATTGTATCGGCCTTGGTCAATCAGGTCTTGAATAAATGCCTCGCCCTCTTCATCCGTGTGGACTTGACCAAAGCTCTTTGCCATCGTAGCAAAAGTTCGACGTACATCACGGCTCATGGCACCAGCACCACACACGTAGATGGAAGCATTCTTTTTCTGTAGCAAGGTCCATACCTTGATGGCCGTTTCAAGCAATTGGTGTTGGACGTATTTGCATGGCTGGTTTTCACGTGAGAAGGCTGCGTGTAAATGTGTCAATACACCCGTGTTGACGTGATCTTGTAATTCATCCGCATAAATAAAGTCATGGTCACGATGTCGACATCCAAAGTACAATACACATTCGCCTACAGGTACGCCCTTGGTACGTTGATGAGCACGTTCTTGCAAGAAACCACGGAAGGGTGATAAACCGGTACCAGCAGCAATCATGATGATAGGTACAGCGGGGTCTTTGGGTAAGCCAAACGTGCTCTTGGATGATTTGAGTGCCGCTCGCAAAGTCAATGCTTCAGAACTACGCGATAGGTAGGATGATGCTAGGCCATAGTATTCACGACCATCCTTGAGTACATCATGAACAACGCCCACAGTGAGATGTGCTTGCTTTGGATGGGCCAAGGAGGAGGATGCAATCGAATAGCGACGTGGTTGCATAACACCCACAGCTGTCAAGAATTGAGCAAGATCCAATTGGTTCACTTGAGGATAGCTCTTTTGTAAATCAAGAATGGTGCGATGCTGTTCAATGAAGGATGCATAATCAGGGCTATCAGGCATGATCAAGTTGCGGAATGCTTCAGCTGTTTCAGGCGATGTGCTACTCAATTGCTCGGCAAAGATAGCCAACATGGTGCGACTGGGGGGTGATGTCAAATCGGCATAATAGGTAAGTGCATTGCGAATGGTACATGGACCATGGATTGATGCGGCAAGGGATCGTGGTGATACGCCTTGTAGACTTGCTTCATCCACTTCAAATACAGAATCCAATACCCAACCAAAGTTGACAGCAATCGCCTCCACAACACGTGCATCGTTCTCTGGCATCACTTCCAAATGATCACCCGCAACATACAATTGTCCATCTTCATACAATGGCTTGAGTTTTGAGATATCGAGCTCGATATGGCGAGTGCTACGATTGGATGCTGGTTGTTGAAGCTCGCTATTGTGCAAGATGTGTGCATTGTATTCGCCGTTACGGTTGATTGCACCCGATGCCCACTTTTCTTCATCCATAGGATTGACATAGTTGATCTTGACTTGCAGCTTTTCCATACCCGTATTGGCAGATGGCACAACCGATTGACCTTCAGAAAGTGGGATACCAAATCGACTCAATGTATGTACCCAGAAATGGGCAGACCTTGATAAATATGAAGGTGAGTTGTCATTTCACAGCCATACCTATATATGCACACTTACCATTCATTGAATTCGGCATCAATGTCCTTATCTGCATTACCCTCACCGCATGAAAAGAAACGCTCAGCACCCAATTGATCAAGTCCTTCATTCACCTTGCGAGGGAAGGCTTGGTAAGTACGCCAATTCTTGTTGCCCACACCAAATACAGCAAATTGAAGACCCTTCAACAAATCCTCATTTCCATCTTGCTTGGTTTTGTCGGTAATGAATGCGCTGAAACGTTCTGCACAATCCGGTGGCTGACCATTGTAGGTTGCTGTGCTGATCACCACCAATTCTTGAGGACCAGACGAGGATGGAGGGTTGTATTTGCCAGTCTCGAGCACATTCCACTTGTCCATTTCACAAAAAGTAACCTTGTCAAATCCAAATCCACGTGCTTGTGATGCAAGTTGAGCTGCATAATCTTGGGCTGTGCCTGTTTGCGAGCCGTAAAGGAAAGTGATGGGTGGGAATTTGATATCAGCTGTACGAGATGCATTGATATCCACTTGAGGAATTGATACTTTGGCTGCTGCTGATGCTGATGACGATGATGATGATGAATCATGTACATTGGCTGCTGTTGTAGGAGTCGATGAAGTGGTGTTGGGTTGTGGCATATCAGTGCGTGGCAAAATGTTGACCAAAAAGTCCTTGGGTTTGACAGTTGCCATCTGAGGATCAAAATCAACCGGAGGTCCATCTACAACAACGTTGCATGAATATAATGAATGATACACGAGACGAGCATAGCATACATACCATAACGGAATTTGTATCGATGCAAAAGCATTGCCAAGACGACCTTGGCTTCTTGAAGAGCAAATGCCATACCAATGCAACTACGTGGACCAGTGCTAAAGGGCAGCCATGCAAAACGGGATCGTTTTTGTTCTTCCTCAGGCGAGAAACGATCTGGATCAAAGCGTTCGGGATCAGGGTACACCTCTGGGTTGCGATGCATGGCGAAGACGTGAATAAGAGCCACCGTATCAGCTTTCATAAGGTAACCACCAGGAACGACACAATCCTTTTTGCAGTATTTGCCAAGCTGGCGTAATGGAGGGTACTTGCGTAGAGTCTCCTTGAACACCTGATGCATATACTTGAGCTCGCTTATTTGAGCAACGGTGGGGATCTCGTCATGGGTGATGCCGGCATTGGCGATCTCTTGTAAGACCTTTGCTTCGACTTTGGGATTCTGTGATAGCTCGTACAATGCCCATGCCAGTGTGTTGGCTGTTGTCTATGTGTATACATATATAAAAGTTATAAACGATGCTTCTTTTCCATATGCGATGGTTACTTACATCATGACCAGCGATAAGGAAAGTGACAACCTGGTATCGAATGTTCTCATCGGACAATCCCAAATCATGTTCATCACGTGCATTCAACATGAACCCCAATAAATCCTTATCCTTGTCACCAGCCTCAGGTCCATTCTTGCGTTCCTTGATAACTTGATCCACAATATCATTCATCAACTTGACGGATCGATCAAATTGGCGATTACGTTCCAAAGGCAAATGTTTGATGAATCCCAATTGACGTGTGCGTTCCACAGCATGATTGAGACAGTATCCCATAGCATCAATAAATGGATGCGGGGGTGCATCGCGTGAATCAAGAAGACCAAATTCATAGCCAAATCCGCATCGACCAATGGTTTCAAATGTCAATCGTGTCGTCCAATCCAAGATTTCCACCTTTTCTGATGGATCATATTGCTCAAGTGTTTTGATCGTTTGTTTGGCAATCACTCCCATCTCGTGTAGATAAGCCTAATATGTATAAATGAGACATGCAGCTTCCCAAAGTTGACTCTCATCTCCTCCATCCCTTTTACCTTAATAGCACGTGGGCTGAATGCCGGCATAAGTAATTTGTGTGCAAGCTTCCAATCATCATCATCCGTATCAGTCGTGAATAAACCTTGACCACCAAAAGCCTTGATTTCTTTAAGATTCAACCCAATTTTCTTTGTGAAATACTCGGACTCCTTTGCAAACAATTCGGCTACAGCTGGATGGTTGGTGCCTACAACCTCGGTGCCCATAAGACTCATGTTGACCACGGGTCCATATTTTTCAAAAACGCGCATCCATCCACGTGTACTATACAAAGAGAGCGTGTGTATACAACATGAGCCTACTACTACTACTACTATCACTCACGCCACTTCGATCGTGTGTGTATGGCTATGGATAGACTTACGGCTCTGGCAAGATCTCACGAATGGATCCTGTAAACGGGTATTTGACAGGACCGGGAATGGTTGTTTTGATGCTGCCTTTGATACCAACGTATACAACTTGCTGTTGACGCACTTGGTCGATACCATCCAAAATGTTGCCTGACCCATCACGTAAAAGAATATCGCTGAGCGGGATATTACGGGCAATGGCAAGTTTATCAATAGCTAAATTGCGCACAGTGTCAATGCTAGCTCCATTGCCAAATACAATGATTTTGCCGTCATTCTCGATATGTTGGCTTCCTTCCAACACCACAATTAAGGATGTTATGGTATCTTTCGACATGTGTGTGGGGCAAAAGAAAGATAAGGTTAAACAAAAGTGGGCGGTGGTGATACGGAGGTTGTGGAGAAAAAGCGGGAACAAATGCCCATATTGCAACATGGTTTATATATTAGTTGGGATTATCCGTGACACGTGGTGAAGAAGCCCGACAAAGACAGCTGATGGCTCATGTCAATAGACGTCCTAATATGTAAGTGTAGAACAACGACACATGGATGCAGTATCCCAAAGAAAAACTTGTGTGGCTGATGATGGCTCTTTAACAACATCGTCTCATACACCTTTTATTGAATGAAGTTATCATCACCCAGGTACAAAATGTTGGGTAGCGGACAATGTGGAAATAGAAATTGGTGGTCTAGTGTAGTTTCGGTCCTTGACACGGATTCCCGGATATACTTCTTGTGTTCAAGCAAATACAATTACTAAGCTACTTTGCATGGTAGTCTGTGAATTTTTTAGATTTCGGGTTAATTTGAGCATTTACTCCCATAGGGGCATACAATGCTAAGTATTCAATGAAAGAGCTCTTCTATGATGTATTAAAAAGTGACTCGGCATCTCCTCTTCAATGAGGCGGCAAAATAGTTTAATTGACGAACGATGCGCGCACATACCAAGCACGCTGATCTTTGGTGCAACAACATCCAAGACCTGAAAAAGGGCAGCTTAGGTAACCTTACAAGTTTAAAGCGCATAAACCAAAATGCATATACAAACATCATCACAAAAGGAAATGGTGGGGATGTTTATTATTAACGTCGACTAGAACGATGGGAGTCTCTAGAGCGTGATCGCCTCCGTCGACGACTGCTGCTATCCCTGTCACGGCTTGAATGACGGCTGCTATGACGACTGCTGCTGCCACTGTTGCTATGGCGATCTCGGCTTCGACTACGACGACGACTCTTGCTGCTATGGCGACTGCTACTACTGCGACCTGGGCTACGGCTTCGACTACGATGACGGCTTTTGCTGCTGTTTCGTGAACTGCTTCTTGAATCATTCTCACTTGTGTCGCTGCTGCCACCACCACCGCCACCTTCACGTTCTTCCAAATTTCTTTTTGCCACCTTTTTGAACAAGCTGGTCTCCTTGTATACATACGCACTGCGCCTATCCTTCTTTTTGCCATTGGTCACATCTTCTGGTTTGGCTCCAAGACCAAGTAATGCTTCTCGTTGCTTGGCAGGTTCGAATGGCTTTGGTAAACTAGAATGTGGATATTAGATGACAATCACATCATGACATTCTTTTCACTTACGGTGTGTTTTTTCTATTTCGACCAATGCCTTCGCCTTCTTTCCATCCCAATCCACGTAGTAATGCCGCACCAAATTGTTCAACTGGCACACGTTCATAATCCTCCATGGTAGCTTCATCGGGTCGTGTTTTCACATCTTCACGGAAGGCTTCGGTCTCATCTGCTGGAATCACGATACGCTCAGCAATTTCATCCTCATCTTGTGTTGCCTCTATATAAGTCATAAAATTTGTTAAAAGACCATTCACCCCACTCATTTCATCATCCATGTCCCACACTTACCCTTCATCAATGCTTCAGCAGCTTGTTCATCAAGGGTTTTCACTCGTTCTTCCTCCACTACTGTATCCTCCTGCACTGTGGTATCTGCCGTGGCTTGTGTTGATGTTTGATGATCATCTGTGGATGTCGTTGTTGTTGATCTGCTGCTTTGGACTTGAAGGCCAAATGTCTGATTTTGTTGCCCAAGCACTTCAGGTGTTTGCTCGGACTGTGTCGATGATTGAGTTGCTGCACCGGTAGGAACAAAGAGCTTCCGCCGTTTGGTACGCCAATTCTCGCTAAAGACGGGTGTAATCGTCAAAGGTTTCTCCTCGGGCTTGTCATTCAACCTTTAAAGATGATGCGAGGATGTGCGTTAACAAGTGTGTGTGAAGAATTGGATATCGAGGGCGCAGCAAGGATACAACGAAGCCAACACGTTCCTCTTTGACGGAAGTAAAGCAATCAGTCAACTGATCAACCGACGCAATGGGAAAGGGATGGGATCAAAGAGGGAATTGGGTTTCCTTGGCACCATAAGAAAAAGAAAGCAACAATACTTACTCTTGCAACTTGTTATCTTCAAAGCCGGTGACCATCGACACTTGATCTTGCTCATCCTGGTCATCGTCGTCATCGCCGAAGCCGAATTTGTTGTTGCGATTGAATTGCGGTCGAAAACCAGCTTTCTTTTGGAAGGGGAGCTTTGCACTCATATTGAGGATATGTATAGTAAAGAGGAGAGGAGGAGTAAATTCAGCGGTGGTGGTGGAAGGGATGGATACACAATGGCTTTTGAACGTCAGATCCAATCATGCGACATGCAATCGTATTTCCTTTTTCCATACACACACACGCACACACACACACAATGAATGTAAATGAAAGAAAGAGAACTTTTTTTATTTGTGGTGGTGGATAAAGGCAATGAGGAGAGGTTATGATACAATTTACAATACAAAGAAACATTGAGGAACATGATGATGATGCATAGTACGACTAGGGAAGAAGAAGGTTCTTTTAAAAAGAGTACCTCAGACTTGATTTGACCCCCCAAACAAAGTCATCCTGGCGTCTTGTCAGAAATTGCCTATTACGCAGGGGACGTACGATCTTTGCTCGACGCATCATGGTTTTCTCGACAGCGAGCATACGAAGCTCATCCGAATTGATACGCACATCTCTTACATGAGCATGCGTATACGACCACAAAGGTGGTTGTTGTAGTGCAGGTGGTGGCAATGAATCCCTGGTCTTCAACAAACTGGCTGCTGCAGAGATCAATGCATTGTGGTTATTGATTAAGGTGCCTGGGATCAAACTGCTCGTTTTTTCATTGAGCAATGTCATCACTTTTGATACAAGATTGGGGTTGTTGGTGTTGTTGTTCATGGATACGATCGCCATCAAGGTCCGAATGATCCCATCAAATGCACTCGTGGTGCTATGTGCCGTTGTATTTTCTTTGATGTCTTGTTTTTCATCCACGGACTCATTGGTGGTGACAAGAGGATGTGTCGGGGTGATGGGAGGTAACGCATGTAAAAGACAACTAACCATGATGATGTAGTGTGGAAGGAAAGAGAGCGTGTGATGCAACCGGAGAGAGAAAGAGAGCTGGCCTTGCAGTGGTGTGCTTTTATAGTAGCAGCAGGACACTTTGCTCACGGTTGTCTTTTTGCACATCATATGCATCGCTCTCTCTCTCTATCACACTTTTTGTTTGTAGAGTACCTCCACATCGAAACAGATAAACAAAATCCAAACAGTAACACACAAGATATTCAACCTATATATGTACGCCGCTCTTTTTCTTTATTGTAATCTATATACAAGGTTAATGTTTGCGGTATACAATTTACACGCCCCATTTGGCGCTCGTGCGTTTGTTGCGCCCCATGAGTATGTACATAATACGCCTCCACGTCGATTATTCTCCTATACACAACAGCAACAACAACAACAATCACGACGACACCGTATGTGGAACAACAATTTACATGCTGAAAGTTGAAATACTTGTAGGGTGTGATGATTGATACTAATCCTTTAAAGGAATCCTTCACCTGCAATATGCGCAATATCATGCACATCAACCGATTTCCCTAATGTCAGTGACGGGGGATTTGGATACGTTGTTGTTCATTTACATCTTGTCTCCCCTCATACAACACACCTCCCTTCCAATCCAATGAAAATCATGTTGACCATATTAACCGAGATGGGTAGTGGATCGTGATAAGGTACATACATCTTTGATCTTGCGGAAAACCACCTTTATGAAGCAACGTGATCTACCATGATGCATCGATTGGTTCTCATTGGGCATCATCGACATTCCTATTTTCATCATGTAACATGCTGCACACTTGGCATGCTTCCCACCACTCATTCAGCACATTTGACATCATACATAGCAGCAGTGACAGTAGGATAGTTTTCTATAAAATCTCCCAAGCCTCCATGTGTGTATTTAGAGAAAAAGCCAAGGGTGATATACGCAATAGATATATTGATTGTTGTTGGAGGAGAGCCAATGATATGTGTGTTCATGTGAGAGATCTGCAAAGGGAGAATTGACTTGTTTAAGGGAAAGACACCACCCAATCCAGTCCTTGCTCCAATGCTATCTTTTTGTTGTTGGATGACGAAGAGGTGGAGGATGATCCTTTGGTAGTAGTGCGTTGACGTCGTTTACGGCCTTGTTCGTCCACGTTATGGCCATGATCGAATACAACGGATGTCGTATAGCGTTGGCGACGAGGTCGTTGTTTTGCCGAGAGCTTCATAGAACGACGAAGACGACGATGAGACGATTTGTATTGACCATGGAGCTCATCTCCTAGATCGTGTTGCGATTCGAAAGTGGGATGCCATGTATCTGTTGCTTTGCGGAGCAAAGAGGAACGTCGACGAGCAGCTGGTTTTGCGACAACAGGTAAAGTAAACGTGGTGGTGGAAGAGTTGATGTCATCATCATCAAGAGCACGACTTGCTACTTGAGCATACAATGCGGGTCGATGTTCTTTTGTAATACACTGCCAATCCCATTCTTGTGGAACCACCTTGTGCACAAATGCATGATGATGGTCGTCATCGTCAGCATCCGCCTCATTCAGCAACTGCCATCCATCTTGAAGCGGTGGAAAGTCCATCTCGTCGTAAAGGAGGGCTGGCGAAATTGAACTATCCTGGCTCATCACGTCTTCTGCAAACGCAATACGATGGAAGGCCATGATGCTGATTGTTGTTGATTAAAGTATGTGTGTGTGTGTGTGTGTTTGTAGGGGAAAAAAGAGAAAAGAGAAAAAGAGAAATGGGGAAATCTAAAATCGAGTTCATTTTCTTTTTTAAATAACATTGGCTTATCAGCCGATTGTCTCATGAGATATCATCCCGTTCAGCCATGTGAATAATCTACTATGTATGTACGTACTCGGCAGATTGGAGCGAGAAAGGAGAGAGTACGATAGACCAGTCGATATCGCTTTTTCCCCCGTCATCATTCCGAATTTAATATTACGTGGTTCCTGGGTACGTACCCACACTGCCGGTGCGCACGGTGTATTGTGCAACAATCATGCACATAATAATGACCCCCTTCTCACGACACGCTTTGTATTGTATCTTCCATGCATTCATTGTCAATCTTGTTGTCGTTGTTCCCTTTCTTGTTACGTATTAAAATAGTATCCAAATAACGTACTAAGGTTCCAAACTATTCCTGTACCATAGCCAATATCATCATCATCATCATGATCCCTGCTCAGCGGACGCTAAACTGCAGCAGCGGTCATAGGGTCATGTATTCGTTGGACGATTCTGATACAAGTCGTTAGGTATACTAGTAGCTGCTCAATGATGATTAAGAGCTCACCCACGTGATAAAGCACTAGCCAAACGTTTATCATGGTTTGATGCCGTGCACAAGTTTACTAATGAAACCTCGGTCTCATACATATTTCAAAGTCGCACCATGTCCCATGATGATGAATGCAGCAGTTACAACAGCAGCATTCCATAAGATTACGTCATGTGTACAGGTTCTTTTTGGCATTGCACTAGCTCAATACCAAGGTCTTCCTCGTACAAAGTAACTTGAGTCGGGGTATCATGATAGCTAAACTTCTTGCCATTTCCGCTAATGATTCATAGCATGAATAAGACATACCCCATCGTGGGGATTGCAGCGGATCCATTCAACCAGGAGAGTGGTTGTTCCTCTTTTCATGCATTAATCAGGTTTTGAGATGATACGAACTCCAATTAGGAAAGCTTGACAACAATAAACATCTTGAATGTATAGCAAAGTCATTTTCCTCTGGATTTGGATGCCAATGAAGAAAATGCTACATATCAACTTTTCATCAGCTACCTTAAGCTAGCTGGTACCGCTGTTCTTTGGATGGCTTTATGCGCTTGTATTGTATGGAGAGATGATTGGGCTTGTGCTAGCTGACTCTTAAAACGATCCTATGTAGCGTACCTCGTCCCTTCAAAACGCAAGCACACAGCCGATCATCAAGATGAATGAAACCACATTTCTGCTTCCGCTGTTTGGTAATTGGAGCTAGATCACTGGTAATAGCAACTTGATAGTAATTCATAACAATGACCATGTGCCATGTAAATAGGATTCATTTCGTCACTATTATGCCCTGAAGAAAGTCCATTTACAGAAGCTATTACAAGGATCCAATGGTTGACAAATGTTGCCCTGATGTAAACAAATTTCAGCTCCTGAAACCAAGTCACCCTCGAGGAGTAGGAGGGAAGAAAGACTTTTTGCTTCAATGTGTACAATTAGCGTTACCATGGACGATGCCCAAAAAAGGCACGGCAGATTTCCAAAACAATGGAGCGGGGTAACGGACCAGGTGATTAATCGTTTTTGGGTTCAACAAACTTTAATTCTCTTGTCATCCGGTGCTGTGTTTTCATGCTAACAGGACATTGGTCGCATGGAGCGATGTCAAGGTATTCATAAACTTTGTGGATAAAACAAACACATGTTACAATATAGATGGATGTCATACACAATGGATCCTCCTCTCAGATGAATGTGTGAGCACATCCTAAAAGGGAAGGACGATTTCCCCGAGTGGGTGGGTGGGTTGGGTTATTAAAGTAGAGGTGTGGGGGAAATTGTTGTGAGTGGTCCTTCTCTCTTACTCTTACTCTTTTTCCTTCCCTTTCACCATTCCTTTCACCATCTCCTTAACTCCCGTTTTCTCGAGTGGAGGATGCAAGCCAATGAAGCTACCGAGGAAGGAATCCAAGCAACGTCCATTCTCTTATCACAGCATTCGTCAACGATGGTCCATCAAGCATAGAAAGAAACGAGCTGCAGCAGCATTCACCAAAGACGGCCTGACCCGAGATCAGCTATCCTCAATGTCCTCATTGGCCGACTATGCAGAACGCACTTTTCATTTGCAACTCGAAGACAAACATATCCATGACCTACTCGCCGCCAATGCTTGGGACTTGAAGCGGGCCATGATCGAGCTCGACCATTACGAGGAAGCTTACCATGGACTTTTACATACAACACCTGAGCCTGGTAGCTCCATGCTAGGCGCTGAAAATGATGGTGGTACCAGTTGTTATATCGATGCTTTATTATTTGCCATGTTCATCTCGCTTATGGTAAGTGGATAGAGTGTTGTGTCCCTTTTCTTCTTTATGACTAACGATATCTAGGCATTTGATCCTCTATTGACATACGATACCTCTTCCGATCAACCTGAAAAAGCAACACTGCAAACAGCATTACGCCTTTTTGTCAATACGATGCGCAAAGGCCAGCTGGTACGAAGACATGTCGTTGTACAACTACGTGAAGCCCTTCAAGCTGCTGGTTGGAATGGCAAGAGTGAACGTGGATCTTGGCGACAAGAAGATGCAAGTGAGCTGCTACTATTTTTGACCGAAGCCTTTGATCTTCCATATCTTCCGGTAAGCTTCTTTTCAGGGGTGGGGCTTGGGGAATGTATGCATCAGTAGATTCATTGTATAATATGTTTATAGTTCCAAATGCGGTTATTCCATGGTGCCAAAAAGGACGTGGATGATGATCGAGTGACGACGGATCGAGTGCTATCACTATCCATGCCAACGGATTCGCATGAACAAGTCATTCGACTCGAGAATATCCTCCTTGATCATTTCTACAGCAGCATCGTTACCGGTGTTAGACGACAAGTTGATTGGCATGAATTCAGTCCCAATTCGGCACCAGCTTCGCCTACCAGTATGACGAGCATGTCCTCAATCACCAAAGTAAAGTTGACAGAGCGAAGGGAGGAAATTGCTGTCAATGCTTGGCAAGTGTTGGAGCTGCTCCCGTTTTACAGTGGTATCAATGAACAGGGTGAACAAATCAAGTCCCAGAATCGTGGATCGTTTCCAGACTCTCGTATGGTGTTGCCCATCATTCTAAAACGATATCGCTGCTCCAATCGAGGCACCTATTCCAAAGATCAGCGAAGAGTCCTTGTCCCTGCCAGCATTCATTTCAATCGCTTTCTCAACCAAAACGCTGATGATCCTCTTTGTGATACCTGTGGCCAAAAGATTGAAGGTGTCATGCGCTTACGCAGTGCTGTATGCCACAAAGGACATGCTCCATTTTCTGGTCATTACATTGCTTATTCCCGGTCATTCAAGGATGGTCATGATTATTGGCTGAAGCACGGTATGTTTGTTAAGGAGGAAGATGATGGTTTTATACATGGAATGTTGAGTGACTTATATATACATCCTATCATCAAGATGATTTATCTACTAGTGAGCGTGTCAAACCTTTACGCCCTCAAGACGAGCAAGCCATCTATGAAGAACTAAGTCGAGATGGTTATTTATTCTTTTACGAGTTATATCGCGAATGTCAACATCATGAAACACCACCACCATCACAAGAGCCAATACGACGACCCTCCACCAGCAAAGATCCAAAAGGTGCCTATCCCCCTTTATCCCCTGTTCTCGTTGCCAGTGCACCTGTACAAGAATCCCCAACTGAAGCTGAAGACGCTGTTGCCCCCTCATCATCCACTAAATCCCGTCATTCCTTCTTAAGAAAGAAGCATTCATCATGTCATATCATGTAAAAGAAGAATCATATAATACATTATCTATTTCGAGTAATCAAAAACACCTTTGCCTGATTTACGTCCATAATGACCTTGGCTGATAAGTTCATCGAGAATAGCACATGGCTTGACATAGGCATCGTCAAGGGATCCTTCCTTGGCCCAGCCATCAACAATGAATTTAAGGGTATCCAAGCCGACAAACTACATGTGTACATTACACCATCATCAATGACAATGCCCACATTTTTTTGTTGTATACCACACTCACATCAGATAACTCAAGAGGGCCCATGGGCATGCCTGCACCAAGCTTCATAGCAGTATCAATGTCCTTCGCACTAGCCTCGCCACGTTCAAGGATACGGAATGCTTCCATCATATAAGGAATCAACAAGCGGTTGACGATGAAGCTATGTATGTATCAACCAAAACAAGGTTGAGTCATTCTACTTTATGCATACATGTATGTATTGACCCTTACCCTGGTGTGTCCTTGCATTCTACAGGTGTCTTGCCAGTCTTCTTGGTAAATGTAACCAAATCCTCATACACAGGGTCGGTGACAGCTTCAGTGCGTACAATCTCAACGAGCTTCATAGCAGGAACGGGATTGAAAAAGTGCAAACCAGCAAAGCGTTGGCGACGTTCAGGTGAAGTAGCTTCAGCAATCTTGGTGACAGGAAGCGAAGATGTATTGGTACAAAAGATGGTATCCTTATCAGCAACGGCATCCAATGATTTGAAGAGGGCTTGTTTGGCATCGATGTTTTCCACAATAGCTTCAACCACAAGGTCGGTGTTACCAATGGTTTTGACAGCATCCGTACTCGTGGCAATGTTACTGAGAGCCTTGTCGATGAAGGCTTGTTGTTGGGCGGCGTCTTCGGGGAACTTTTTACGAGCGACACGCTTGATAGAGTTGCCAATGATCTTTTGTCCATTTTCCAAAGCAGCCTCGGTCGTATCCACCATGGTCACCTTGTAGTCAGCTTGAGCCGCCACTTGCACAATGCCAGATCCCATAAGACCAGCACCAATGACAGTGACATTGCGAATGTCCTTCAGCTGACGAGCACTCGTAGAGAAGTTGTAGGAGCTGACAAGCGTCTTGTTGAACAAAGGACGAGCACGAGTAAAGAACAACATACGTGTGTGTAAGTGTGTAAAAGCGAAACAAAAAGGATTAAAGTTAAACGAGGCCGATAGCTGAATCCTGCTTTTTGCTTAGATCGCTGTGAATCATATGAAAGTGATCAGCATGACGTTTAGTACCTTTTTACACAGAGTCCACTCACACACACACACACACCTTATTATGTACTTCTACATTATCCAAATAAACCATAGCATATAAAGATTTATCGACACACCATCACATTCTTATTCAATTTGTTTGTTGATCATCAAAAGAAATCCATCATTTATTACACAACGCAATCTACATGTGAACATGACAATGCGGTTTCGGAGATATGCATTGTGTCTCCTCCTCACAACGACGACGACTGTTGAATGTCATTTAAAAAGAGCTTGACTGCGTCGGCTGTTCCAAAGACGGCACAAAATATACCCACAGCAGCTATAAGCGCACATCCAAGCAGCTCCCAAGGGTTTCTATCATGCCATGCAAGCTTGATCCAAAAAATACATGGCAACACAAAGGTAAGCGACTCGGCTGCAATGGTGCCTATCAAGGACATAAAGTCCGAAAAATACGGAGTGAGCATGGCAACCACTGCACATGAGCAAATTTCCACTGTTCGAAGCACGATCCGTGTTGCTCTTGCATGGCGTTGTAGCCATAGACGTTGTCGCTTTAGCCATGAAAGTTGGTGTCCCATAGTGGTAGTAGTAGTATCATCATCATCATGATCCTCTTGGTGGTCATCCATGGTGGCGTTGACGTCAACATCTTGATCTTCTTTATATCTTTTCATGGTTGCAGCAGCATGTTGATGTTCTTGAAGATAGCTCACACCAAGCCATGTCTCGATGCTCACTGTAAGCACATAAAGATACATTGGCACTGCTAATAACACATGCAGCGTGGCTACTAGCATAGCTACATTTTGTGCAGCGCCTGTGGGGGGGATTTAAAGACATCAACATTTATTGTATCCATCCATGGAGACGTACATCTTAATACTATACATACCTTGTGGCAAGCTGTCATAGACTGGATTGTGCACATCAGCACCATAGGCAAGATAGGCCAAAAATCCCACCGTCATGTACATGATGGTGACCGCAAATGTGGCCACCAATAAGACCTTGGGCCAATCGGATGGTGCAGCCATGGATGATTCAAGGTGTGGATAAATGACATTGCCACAATATGAAAAGCTAAAGGTGCTGAAGGCAATAGGGATACCTCCAGGATTAGCCCAATCATGGTGCACATTGGGTTGTTCATGGATAGTGGAAACGGATGCAGACGTAATCACAAATAATAAGCCTACCGTTGCCATGGATGCAAAAAAGCTACATTGTTATATATCAGCTGATCACGTTCATGTTTCAATCTTTGGTCTACCTCATAAAAGAAACGTCGCGCATGGTTCGCACCAATGCAAATGGAAAACCAACAACAGCAGATACAATCCAAGTACACGCTTTGCGGCTCACCACAACACCTGCAGAACCCAAGAGACGTGACACATTGTCGCCTGCCAAGATCATGTAGAGTATGGGCGTAAAGAGCAGCAGCAACATTGAGAATACAATACCCACAATGCGTCCTGGTAGACCAAATGTGACATGCCCAATCTCTGGAAAACCTGAAAGGCGGTGGCTCCTATAGCATCAAAATCTCGATAAGTCATCCTTCAAACTTTGGGATGCATGATTTAATAATACGTTACTGCCGATGATACAAGCAACGAATCAAAAGACATCCAGAAAATTGAGCCATCACCGCACTCAACCCGAGAAAAACTAAACCGATCCATCCAGATCGGCTTAGCGCATGAGGAATACCGAGTGCACCGGTACCTGCAACCACGCAGCTATTGCATGAAATGAATATTGATCTCGTTATCCCCTTAGCCAAAAACAACATGGGGCAGGGCACTTACACAATACTCGCTAATGTGGATGTATTGGACACCTTGGCAACATTTTCTCGGCCCTCTTGTTGTTGATGTTGGTCACTTTTCGAACGGATGGATGCATGTATGGCTGATGGCTTTAGCACCTGCTTCTCCTTTCTTTCTTTCACTGTGGTCGTTTGCTCTTGAGTCAACACTTTTATATGCCTTGTGTGAGTGCTTGAGAGATTACATGTAGCAAGTTGTTATGTGTATGACGTTGCTCACCAAGGTAATCATCATTGTTAACAGTGGAAGAATTCAATGAATGAATGTCGTCCGCCTCTGTCATTTGAGGAAAAGGCTGCAAGGGTATTGTGATATCGAAAAAGCTGTCTTGAGATAAAAAGACCAGTACTAGTTATATGGCACTTGCCACCTTCTCTCCTAATGATCATCCCTTTACTGCACTCACCCATCCTTTTTCCCTCTCACCCACATTATTCACCCCCTTTCTCCATGCGTTCGGTTTGAGATCGATCTAAGATCTTGTCATACATATACAAATGTTTTAATGCGTATAGTGTCAATGGGGTTGAAAACAATGCTATATACAAAATTAACGATTTTGACGAGCCTTCTCCTTCTCTGCAACTTCTTCACGATCCTCCTCGGCTAGCTCACGATCGATGCGATGTCCTCGGGATTCATGTTGTGCTCTCTTTGGCTGCGAGTGTCTTTCCTTGAACACGTCATCGACATTGTCGTACCATTTGTTTTCACCTTCATTGGGTCGTTCATAGTCAACGCCGGTACCAAGGGCAGCTTCGGTATGTGCTACCGTGCCCAAACGTGCAGTGTGGTGGTGGGTGGGATGATTGTTGTTGCGGTTGCTCATGGTAAATAAAAAGAGTCAGATGCACTACGTAGCCATGGATCGCTTAAAGTGGGACGTTTATATACCCAACATGGCATCCAACCCATGTTCTTTGTGACAAAAGCATGATATCATGGGTTGAGAAATTGAAACATGGCGTGGAAACTACACGCCCCCTCCAATGACAAACCCCTGGTCAACATGGTGTATGCATATGATTTCTTTTTACTTGTGAAGGAAAAAAAGAAGCTGCTGTATTGTTGGTTCCTTTAATACACGATACATTTATGCTTTGGAGATGACCGTTTCACTACTTGCTTTGCTGCTGCATGTAATTGTACTTTTTGAGACCTGATCAGGTTGTTCGGCGTGATTCCAGGATAGTCTATGACTAGCAACGTCGCTCTTTTTTGATGTTGTATGCGTCTTTTCATCCATGATCTTGATGCATGTACTATCGGAGCTGGTGGTGGTGGACGTTGATGATGATGATGTTTGCAGCAAATGATCCATAACATGTTCCAGCCGTACGATTCCCAATGAAGTTATCCTATGCGTACGGCTGCTACTACTTGTATCACTGCTGCTGTTATTAGCTGTGGATAATGATTCAAGAGACCCATTGCTATCATGGCTTGTTCGAGGGCTTGTATTACGTGATGTACATGATGTCACAAGTGCCATATGTGCTAAATGGATAACAAGGCAAGGTTAATCGTCAAATCACATTACAAGTTTAAACGATGTTACTTGCATGGCTCATTTTGGAGTAGCTGTAAAAGCGTTAGAACCCTCGTGGATGCTGGTATCTCAATCACAGGATCCAATGTCAAGTCGCGGATGGTTTTCTTTTCTGAACTATTATAATGAAGCACCGAAAACAGCTGTTTTGGCAATAGGTATTAAAAGTGCTGTAGGATAGAGAGATGTGGCCTCCTTTCTTTTCTTTCTTTCTTACTTTGCTAGCTGTGATCGTTCCAATCACTGCCTCTTGTTTTGTTTCTTGCTGGTTAAGTATTCGATCATAGACAGGGAGAGCTGCGTAGCCACTAGCAACGACGCGGCCCAATAATGCGTTGTCGATTGCATCATCCGCATAAAGCATACACTCATGGTGATGGTGTTGTGGTGGTGGATGTGGGCTATAGAGCAAATCGCCTGCTGTCTTTTCTGATACTTTCAAAATGCATTGAAGTAATGACGTGGTGCTTTGATCAAGCGGCCCTGGATGCAATTGATTTGAGTTGCTGTTGCTATGGAGACCGATAAGCTCACAAAGCTCTAAATTCATACATGGATACCATCATGGTGAATGTTTTGTGGGCGAACAAAGTGTGAATCCTGTTCTTCTTACCAGAGACATTATATACAAAGCCATGATGTTTTCCAAGGCACTTGTCCAAAATTTTGGAAATGGGCCATGCAATGATATACCAAAAGCCTATCAATACTCGAACCGGTATCGCAAAGAATGCACCAATGGCGAGACCATTACGAGAACAAACGGCCTGAGGTATAATTTCCGAAAAGAGAACAATGAGCACGGTCGATAGAATGATAGCCAAATACCCTACAATACATAATAGCCGGCGGTATTGGGATAAAAAGAACATGACGTGATGGTAGGGGATACTAATAATGATGACTTGCCTTGTCCAAAAAGGCCATCAATAAGCACAGGCAAGGTTTCATTCAACACGGTGTTGGTGAGGAGTAAGGCTGTCAGGAGCAAATGGCCGTTTTTGCGGATAGGCATGATGCGTGCAGCATATTTCCGTTGTTTGGGCGTACCAGCTGCAGATAATATGGCGAGATTGGTGACATCTTGAGACATCTAGTACCATTGACAAGGAGTAATAGAACATCCATTTGAGTGACCGCTATTATTGTGATAACGTTGAAATCCACCATCCCCCCTTTTTTTCCCTGTTGCAGCTTGCATGATAAAGAGAGGAAGAGGGAGCAGCGTGCCCAAGTGGGAAAAAAAGTTAGATGGAACCACTTACCAAACCAAGTGTCAATCCTACATACATACATACGCAGGGAGGAAGGCGTATATGGATCATCATGAGTTTCCACACCATGTGACATTAAAGTAGGGCAGTGGGCCCACGATTTAATCATACCTGCGACAATACCACTACATACAACGAGTGCTATGATGGCGATGATTTGTCCCCAGAATTGAGCTGATGAAAGATTAGATGATGATGCTTCTTCCTGGACATTAGCAGTAGTGGTGGTCGTGGAGGACGCTTCATCAGCAGCTTGAGTTATGGAAAAAATCAATGCTTGTAACAGCAAAAGGACAATGAAAGAAAAGACGTTTTTCATAGGTATGCAAAAGAAAGATAGAGAATGAACCTTGGAAAAGAGGTGCAATAAATAAAGGAGAAGATTCAAGGTGCAAAGATGGGCGCTTGGATCTTCGGGTGGTGTTCTTAATATCATCGTCACATGAATGGACGCCTTCGATCCTTTCTCAAGATTATCGTGAATGGTAGTCTGCGTGGCGAAACTCTCTCTCTTCATGCAGGATTCTCGCCATTTGATTATTCCTGCTCATTATCCGTACATGGCGTCACTTTGATACACTAGATACTCGGCACCTGAGAGCCATTTTCTTGTTCAAGTTCCTCCATCCATCTTGCACAACGTCCAGCATCCGCTTTGAGCCATACCATCAATAATACGTATGCTGCACCTCCTATAGAATGACAGCTTGTCCCGTTTTTCCTTATTACAGTTTGCTCATATTTCAATTATCGACATAGCCGGCCTAGTCTTGTTATGAATAAACCTTGTTTTTTCTTGTCATTGTGATGGAAAAGCGACAACTTGAGCATTATCTTGGTTTATCTACCAACGCATTAGGAATGACGTTATGATAGAACAAGCATGGTGGTCAATAAAGATGTAGTTGTAACGCCGGCTGAGTAATGCATTGAGAAGATTACATGTATGGCAAAACAAAGAACAAAGGACAAAGAGTGAGCTCATTGTAGGTAAAAGTTACAGCGATATGGCTTCTTTCCTTTCCATATACAATCATGGTTCAAAATTAAATTTAGGAGTGAAGAGCACAAAGGAATCATGTTAGCATGTCATTTTGATGATAGCAATGGTATCCTTTATTTCATGATCATATCAAAATGCGCATTTTCAAATAGCTATTATTCTTGTCAAGGAAAACCAAACATTTATTGTCAGCAAAACAAGTGAATAGTAGGATGCTTCTATGGCCCGCATATCATGCATACATCTCGATCCATCCAATCATCGACCTTATTGCTTTTGCTTCTTGTTGCTGTTTCCATCAGGGTTGTTGGTTGATTTGCGCTTGATCATGGATGAAAGGTCATTGACAGTGGCTGTGTTGAGAGCTGCGACGGCCGATTGTCCACCAGCACCCAGGAAGCTCTTGAGTAATGCTTCTGCTTCCTTTTGTTTCTCTTGGCGACTTGTCAGTTCTTCAGCCTTAAACATATAAATAAGCATTTTATCCTGCCGGCATCCAACTCTTTCCCTAATTGGTTTACCTTTTCCTCCATATCAACAATCAATTGCTTGATTTCCTTGACTTCCTTGTTGTCATCAGCAGCAGCAGGGGTCGTAGCAGCCTTTCCTTTTCCTTTGACATCCTCCTCATCCTTGCTAGTGTCAGCCTGTATACTCTCAATTCGCTTCTTGAGGACTTGGATGGCATTCTTGATCTCTTCACCAGCTTGATCTCCTTCATTTGTCGAAAATTCGAGTGCTAATGCCAACTTGTAATGTGCCTCGGCCAACTGACGATCGCCTTGATCCAATAACTCCTTTTTGATCTCCAACGCTTTCCTATAATCAGGCAATGCTTGATCGAATTTTTCTACCATGGCATGTTAATATCTCTCTCGCTCTTTCCTACATGATGCGTATTGATATTTACCTGTTTCCACTGACACATCACCAAGGCATAAATGCACATCAGCCAATTTTAATCGCGTCTCCTTGTCGTCGCTCTTTTCAAGAATCACACGTGACAAATCAAGAATCTCCCATGCAGTCTGAAAGTCATCTTCGTCATCCTCATCATCGCCTTGTTGTTGCTGCTGCTCGTCTTGTTCTTGATCCTCCTCCTCTTCTTGTTCATCATCTTCAAAATGGAACTTGGAGTTGGATGTAGTCTCTATTAATATAGGTTAAGCACTTAAGATATCCACCTTGTCTTTATCCAACCTACTTGGCTTGGCTTCTGATGATGCTGTGGAAGCCGCTGCAGCTTCGTCTTGACGCTTGGAGTCGCCCAATACTGTGTTTTGTTGAATAGCGTGTTGCAAGAGAGCACGACCATATGCAAAGTAGGCATCACCACTCTCAGGAGCCAATTCACCGTGGATGGAGTCACTATCGAAAGAACATTCGCTTGTATCAATGTATGCCCCCAGGAACAGATCGCATTGCTGATCGAGAACAAGCCTTACAGTAACTGACAAGCTTCGCCGAGCTTTTCCACACTGGTCTCGTAATCGTTGAGGGACAAGGATCGATTGCCTTCTTCCAAGAGCGTGTTGATTTTTTGTTGCTGATCACTGCTGTCGGCCATGGTTTATGCGAGGTAAAGAGAAAAGGAGGGAGAGAACAAAATAGAGTGAGGAGAGGAGGAGGTACGTCTCTTTTTGTCATCCCGCGGCATCCCGACGCGTTCTTTTCTCGTCAATGCAGTAAAGCGGCTCCTCAGTAGTATGTAAGGAACACATTGATACTTGGTTTTCAAGACACCAGCACCACCCATGCATGATGTTGTATAGCTAGAGATTTCATCTATGTTACTATTGGATTGTGGGATCATTCAACATTCCTCCTCCTCCATAAAACATATAATAATAAAACGCGACATTTATAAATGTGGGATGTATACAGTGCTTTGCGTTTGAAAATACAAAATCTGGTTGGAGTGTGTGGGGACGAAATTAAGGCTGCTGTTAACGCGCCCGCTTGTGAATAAGGTGATGGTGAAGTTATTACTGCTACTGTTTGCGTAGAAGATGACGATGGTGCCATAAAATCCCTGCTACTGTAATGCCTTCCAAACTACCATTACAGATTTGTGCTTGCATCATCAACGTCAAAGCCTTGTCGTATATCTTCGGGAAGGTATCTTTGCCAGTCTTTGCTATAAAGTATTGCTAGATCTTCGTATCTTCCACTCTTCATCTTGAAGTACTTCTTCAACATTTGATACACGCTTTGAGGTTGCATACACAATTCTTCCAACAAATGGCTTGTACGCCACTCGATATGTACTTGTCGATCATGATACGTATAAACTTGTATGCAACATCAGAGCGACTGAAACCGGCCTATTCTGCTAGCATTGCCTCATACAGATCTTGGCCTACACAAAACAAGGCAAGATTAACCCCTTGTAATTGTAGAAGCAATGTATGTACTTACCAACAACAGCTTTGTCAACAATGTTTATGATAGCAAGACCGATTTTGCTCATTAGGTCCGTTCCCGGCAAATATTGGCCTCACCAATGGTGCCAGATACTACCATCCACTTCTTCATGAGGTTTTCATTCGTTTTGGTTCATCGAAGGAGCTTGCCATCAAAGCTGCCTTCTTGTTTTCGTTAGGAGAGCCCACCACAATGGGTGCATCACCCTGAGTACTTGCCACATTGGAGGGATCATCATACGTAGAAAGGGAGCTCCCACCCTTATCATCAAAAATCGGATCCCCTAATCCTTGCAGCCTGGGGGTTGTATGGGTCGATTGTTTACTTCGCCATGATCCTTTTGCTTACACGCATATCCTTATCAATGTCATTGTATGCTTCATTATTGCATTGTCGTGAAATTGACTCTTCAAAGCCATCAGGTTTAAACGCATTGAATGTGATACCCGTGAATGCCTTGTGTTTTATGCGTCGTTATGGAGGTGGATCATTGACGTGATCCCCATCCTCGATCATGGTGCTGCTAACAGCAAAGCTGGCATTATTGATTGGATGAAGCCGTTATATAACCACCATGCGGGCTGCAGTAGTGGACTATGCCACCTATTCCGCCTTTTGCAGACGATGCATATAGGGAAGTAGCTACATCAAAAGGAATATTAGTATGTCATTCATCAAGCGAGGTTATCACATTTTACCATAATAGAAAGCCAAATCCACAATGACAATAAGGATAATGAAAGTAGGGTGATAATGAAACGCTAAAGATCACCGCAAATGTTACTAAATGGATCACTCACAAAGAAGCCAATCTACCATGGTGATCACATTACCTTGGGGTTTGAAAGGTGTCAGCTATCAAAGAGTGATATGATGGAAGAAAGAAGAAATAGGCGTATGGGAGTACAATGATGGACGAAACATCTTTTATGTGCATGGTGGGCGCGGGTAGATTTCTGTGGTCACAAAAAGAAGAAAAGAGTAATAGAATGTTTACAGGACATGGTAGTGGGTTGATAGATTGGCAGAAAGCCTTCACCAATGATGTATCTAAAGAGTCTTTGTGACTGAATACGAATGCATAAATCAGGATCTGGGATCCATCTACTACAACAAATCACCTGCTGCTGTTGCGCTAGAAGACGTTGTTCGAGGATACATGCATACAAGCGTACATGTTCCCTGCCACCACAGCTCCCTACAACGGCTTCCAAAGCTACCTTGCATGTGTATTATAGATTACGGGAATTGTATTGGTTCTCGCAACAACTTTGTATTTGCATACGCAAATGGCTGTATTTGGATCGTGCCATGTTGCGTGGATGGTAGTACAATAAACCATGCCGCGGGTAATAAGAGCCGACAGGGTGCTTGCTCTTATCATTGTTGCTATACGCATGACGATGGTGCGACTTTTTTATTATCACTGACAACTTTTCTGGAATGATTACTGGGTAAGGGAAAAAAGTGTTGTGATGCTGGTAGATAGCAAACAAGTGCGCGTGTGTGATTGTTTGTTGGGTGAATCAGGCCATAAACACGTTCCCACTTGCGATCAGATGACAACCATGGGCATGCAGACGCTGTGATTGGATGCTGCGATTATAAAAGAGACATGCATGTTTCGTTTCTTTGTCTTAATTTGAAACCTTTCACCTAACTTTCTTCTTTCTTCTTCCAAACACTTTCTCTTTCTCTCTTCAAAACACAACCATGCTTCGCGTCTCTTCTCGTCTTGTTACTCGTCGTGCCGCTATGTGCCGTTTCTATTCCAATGGTGGTGGATACGGTGGTAGTGAAGGTGCTACTGTCAGCTCCCGTGGTGGTTTCAGCGACAAGGAAAAGGCTGTTGAAAACCAATGGGCTCGCTCACACGTAAGTATAAGGTTGGGTTTACGCGTCATCGTGTAAATACATGCATGTATATTCATGGATGATGTACATAGGATGAGGAAAAGATCCGTGCTTTACGTGAAGCTCTTGAACATCAAAAGCAAGAAACCGAATCACTCAAGAAGGATATTGATGAATTGAAGAAATCCGTCAAAAAGTAAAAAACGCCCACCACCATTATCCATTGCAAATAAATCTTTTTCGTGTACAGCATTCTCACAATCATATATATATATATATATATGTACAAAGTGATGCCTCTTTCTTCTTTATTTTACATTGGCTACGTAATCACAATAGGTGTTTGCAAAATCCACCAGGTTGTTTAGCAACCCGTTGTCTTGACGTGGCTCTTTGATGAACATGGCAGGTTGACCAAGGGGAGTGTCCACCGTTTTGTAGCTTCCATCCGCTTCAAAATATTTACCAGACCATACATGACGCCATGAGACATCGCGGGAATCCTGTGGAAAGTACACCTTGACAAAGGACGCTGATGGCGACAAGGTAGGTGCTACCAAAAGATCGGGTCCAAACAAGAATTGCGTGTAGCAAAGTTGCCTGACAGTGGCATCGTGTGGGTAGTACAATACAAGATGACGCATCATCGGCCAGCCTTTCTCATGAGCTTCTTGCATAAGCTTTTTTCGATAAGGAGCTAGCGCAACGTACAATTTGGCCATGTGTGCAAAGTGCGTGTAGGTGTCTGTTTTTGGGGAATAAGCCAATGTTGGACGTCTTTAATCCCTTATGCGAGCACTTACCATCATTGTCATAAAATTGAGCATTTCTTTCGGGAAGGATGCCTGCAAAGAGGTGTGAGCTAAATATAGGCGACACGATACTTTTTTCTTTCTTTCCATCGTTCACGCACCTTCATGAGTCCGATACATGGCTGTAAATACCGCCAATTCCATCCATCGGTAAAGCAACTCGCGTGAGCGTGTCATGCTAGCACCTCTTAATTGTCCTTCAATGGTATTGTAGCCACCAATATCCGAATGCGTAAGCGTAAAACCAGAAAATCCACCTGAAAGCATGGCAGCCACAGCGCCTTTCAATCCATCGGTTTGATCCCAGCATACATTGTGATCCCCTGTCCACGCCAACGACATGTATTGTGGAGAGCGTGTATAACCAGCTCGATAAAAGCAGACAGCATCATCATCAAGAGACTGCTCTTCCATAACCTCTTGATTCAACTTGGCCCACATTTCAGCATAGAGATTATGGTATGTGCTTGGAGGCTTGTTTTCCTTGAGGATGATCTTTCTTGCATCATAAGGAAGCTCTTCGCCACTATCCACCATCATTCCTTTTACACACAAATATTGTCAATCCCTGTATCAAGTGCATATGCAGTCCTAATCTTTACCTGAAATTCCAGCATCCCATACTTGGTCCTTGAGCACACCCTTGAACCATTCTCTTGCTTCAGGATTGGTAAGGTCTAATAACCCTGCCTCCAAACCACCACTGTGCACAATGTAAGGCTGCTGATTGGGTGCACGCACCAAATACTGCTTGTTGGCTGCTTCCTGAAATAGGTCACGTTGTGTTCCTGGTTTTTGGGTGGTTGTCAATAATGGGTTGATGTAAGTGAGCACGCGCACATTTTTGTCGTTGGTGAGTTCTTTGACAAAGGCCTTCCAATCCGGATACGCATTCGCATCAGCTTCCCAATTCCACCATAAACGCTTCAATGCCACGTTGGGTGTCAAAGATTGTACACGTTGACCACACCAATCCGGAATCCATACAGCTGCCAAAGGCGTATCATGTTGTTGAAGTTGCTGCACGATTTGATGCACTTTGTCTTTGCCACCAGAGATACCAGCAACCACACCTTCATTCACCCAATCAGGCAACGGTGCCATACGACCACAATAGGATGTATATTCAGTGATCAATTCCAGCATGGATTCGCCATCCACAATGCGTCCTGTTTATTCTTCTTGTGAGTATTCATGTGACACCCCTTTTGAAAATGGTTACATTACCTGCCATTTCACTAGCGTCAATGCGCACTGTGACACGATCCGGATCAGTAAGGTTGAAGCTTGTATACTCGGACGTCTCAAGAAACAGGCATCGTCGATCCGATGTGATGTATTGTGGAACCGACAAGGTAGAACTACAATAGCCATCATCACCGCCAAAGTAGCCCTCGACAAAGCTGACTGCTGAATTGATGAAAGATGATGTCTACAGTAATGCATGGTTGAGTCATATGCCGCCGTTGCCTAGTTACACAAAACATACCTGTGGCCCACCTCGACCGTGACCTCGTTCTCTTTGAAATAGGATGTATTCTTGTTAGTACCCATATCATCATCATGCATTCATACACACACACGCACACACACCTGATCATAATAGGGACTTTGTGTCCTTTGAGTGATCCATACGTAAATTGTTCACCAAATCCATAAAAATCTTCGTCCTTGTGGCTCTCAAAGACCAACAAAAGTCGCTGATAATTGGCCATGGGTGTATCTCGATTGACAATGCGTGCTGTGAAATGGAGCTGGTTGGGTGATAATTCCTCGAGGATGAACTCGTAATCCAAGTGCGTTTGTGGAGATATCTTGGTGCCAAGGCCACCATAGATGCGTACTTGGTTATTGCTGGTTTCAATGCGGGTAATGGTTTGAAGTCGGGTGATGTGCTCGTCATGTTCCACAATCTTGTAAAGCGCATCGTTGTAGGGCTCCGTGGTTATTTCATCATCGCCGATACTTGACAAAAGAAAAGGAATGTTATGGAGAGCTGTGGGGAGGAGGAGGAGGAGGAGCGTGAGAATTATGATTCCCTATGTATGTAATGCAACAACATGGCTCGCTTACATTTCCATATTACTCGACCCTTGCTGTTCTTGATAATGAGAGCTCTTGCTTGTGCATCCATATGCACCTTAAAGTTGCCAGTAGATAGTTCACGATCGTATACAGCATTCCCAATAGATATGCGTGGTTCAACATAGGCATCCAAGGGAGCAAGCCCCACAGACTTGATGAAGGATTGTAGCATGAATGAAAAAGTAAAAAGGGAAAAGGGAAAAAGCGTGTCCACGAGAGCTGCCAACTGAATCTGCCCATTTAGCTTTTTCCTGTTTCGGGACTTGTCGTGGTGTTGTGGTGAAACCTACCTCTTTGTTGCCCATCTCGTCGCAATGGGACATTTCCAATCCATTGACCTCATCCATGTAGTTGCAATAGACGTATGCATTAGCTCCATCACGATGTATGCCAAGAAGACAATATCGAATGTTGATGGATAGCGGAATAAAGAAGAGTCAAGTCTCCAAGATACTTTTTTATTTCGAAAGGTGTGAGGGGGGAGATAAATGGGGAATTAAAGAAAATGAGAAGGGAAGATATCATCAGCACGCGAGTTTAGAGAGGTGCATGGATGTTGTTGAAGGTGCATAGTATTGGCGAGGATGTCGTACAATCTATTCTGCAGCTCAACAGGCGATGAAGCTGTTGCTTGCTTCCGGTTCCGATGTTGTGCTGCTGCTGTTGCTGCTGGGGATGACATTTCATACACTGTTTCAGCCATCTCATACACCCGGGTCATATCCTTTTGCCACTACATCATCATTCTCAATCAGATCTAAAAGTCTATGAAGCATGTTTGGGTGCAACTATGAACCTACCTTGCGCTTCTCAGCCATATGCTGTCGTTTTTGATACGCGAGCTCTTGTTGTAACTTTTAATCATCCCCCATGTTAGCATCATCTATGGCATTAAATGGATTCATTTACCTTGACTACTTGTTCTTTGGCAATATCAGCTTCTTTTTCCAAGGTTGTATGTCTACGACGCTCTTCCACATATAAGTGCTGCAATGCTTCTATAGCCAGCCGATGACAATCCATAATGTTCGCCTTATTGAGTGCCGGTGCAGGATCCGAAAAAGAACGTAGCAACACACCACGTCGATATTGTTCCTTCAAACAATGCTGTGCTTGATTGATATCATCTTGGCAGCTGGATAAAGATTCGATCACAGTGGCATCGTCAATATTGGGTTTGTCATCGTCATGATGCATGAACGAGGAGCTGGGAGGTGATGGAGGCGTTACAATGATTTGGTCGTCTTGCATGTTGTTGCTGTCCCTTGATTTCATTGCAAAAAGAACACACAAAGAAAAAGAAACACAAAAAAATGTGCGTGTTGTCTATGTTGTTTTTATAGTAGGCATGTATGTATCTCTATCGGGTGGTATGTATGCGTTTGTGGAAAAAGATGCAACGCGTGCAGACTATATTTGGCTATATATGCATTCTGTGCAGTGCAAGATTCCTTGTTGTCTGGGTACTCTTGTTGCCCTCCGTTGAATCTGAAACAGTAGACTTGCTACTACACAACCCCGTGTCACAGCTGTTTTTTCTTTGTGTTCATGAGTAAAGCTCAAAGACGCCCATGTTTGTAACATGCTCGAGTATGTGCGCACGAAGCACACTTGACAGTGCCACAGCGCATTATATCATCCAAAGTTCCACTAGCATCATCGTACAGGGTTGCACCATTTCTTGAGACATACACTCAACAAGCATGAATGGAATGTGTTGAAAGATGATGATGTGCCGGGTTACAATGGATGGCACCTTTGATGGTCATTGCATGTCATTATTTGCCGGATGACCGATTCCGGTAATCCCATGGGCTTTCATTGTCAAGATGTGAATGTTCTTTTCAAGACGCATGGCAACAATATCTTTATACTGCATGCTGCTGAAAACCATGTATATTTACGATATGCGTGTATGTAAGCATACGCATAAAAGAGCGTGTCCGTGTATATCACAAAAACATCAAGGTCTATGTAGCAACGGATCCCATATGCAGATAAATCCGGATTGGCTCTTCCATAAGCTACTGCAATTTCATGCACGATTTGAGTTAATGTAAGGGGCTGCAGGGTGCGGCGTTAACGCTCCTTCAAAAAAAAACCACCATCATGTCATTCCTTTTTTCACCTGCTGTTTAGCTCATCCATCATGCATGAGGTACAAATCCAAGACCATCAGGAAGATAAAAGCGAACGACGAAACACAACGCGTCATTGTTGTTATCGTTGGTGCAAGGTCGAAACTCAAGGCATTGATCCTGTTCCTCCTAATCAACGACCACACACTCGTATATGGGATAACTTTACGATTTGGTTCTCTGTCAGCAGCACTTTGGCCTACCTAATGATTGGGATGCTGGGCTGGCAACTCTATGAGCTAGCGTTTTGGCAGGCCTTTCTTTGCATTGTCCTTGGAAACATGATTGCTTCAATACCAGGTATGTATATCCATAGACTGGCAAAGTATCACTTCTTGAGACCAACGAATGCCACACACTTTGCAGGCTCCATTTACAGCACACTAGGTTTTCGAACCGGGTTGCGACAAATGGTTCTTGTGAGATATAGCTTTGGCTATTATGGTGGTAAACTTATCTCAGCTCTTAATTGGATCAACTCTGTCGGTTGGATGATCATCAACATTATTCAATCAGCACAATTCTTTGTTGCCATGGGAACACCTGGACAACCATCAAGTTTGCCATTGTGGGCGGGCGTTGTGATTTTGGCAGTAGCAACGTGGATCATTTGCTTGATTGGATACAAGCTTATTCATAATCTGCAACGGTGGCTATGGATACCAATGTGGACTGCATTCGGCTTATTGTTTGGGCTGGGTTTGGCAAGATACGATCCTAATAGGTCTGTTCTTTCGTATCCTGAAGCCGAACCCAAAGCCGTAATGTCATTTTTTGGACTCATCTACTCAAGCACAGCACTATGGCCATTTGCAGCAGCTGATTTTACAGTAAGGCAGGTATGCTATTGTTCATATCATCTTTGTTCTTTATGTGCTCATGCATGTATTACATGTACATAGCCCACCACATTCAATCCATATACAGTTGGCATGCTTAGCTATCTAGGAGGTGTCCTACCAACCATCTTGCTAGAGTCATTAGCATTTGTCCTTGCTGCCGTTTGGGTACCCGAGCATCTTGAGAAATCAGGTGACTCTGGCGCATTAGCAGCTGACGTGTTTGCCCCTATTGGTTGGTTTGGCCAATTTTTACTTGTGGTGTTTGCATTCAATGCGGTGGGTCACGTGGTACCAAGTGCATACAACATGGCACTTACGGTACAAACAATTGTGCCATGGCGACGAATTTGGGCGTTGGCAACCATCAACATGATCATCGTTGCTATCTTGGGTGCGTTTGGTGCCGAGGATCTTGTGCGTATACTCCAAATCTTTTTGCCTCCCATCACATATTGTATCGCTGGTTACAATGCAATCCTCTTATCCGAGCACTTTGTATTTCGATCAAGGAGGAAATACAACATTGAATCATGGAACGATCCACGACAACTGCCTGTAGGTGCAGCTGCTATACTGACATTGGTGATTGCCTTTGGGGCTGGCATGTTAGCCACAAGTCAACCATGGTTTATTGGTCCAATAGCGAAGCGTGTTGGTGATTTTGGGGTTATTCTTTCATTGGCATTTGGCTTTTGCTTTTACAATCCCTTGCGTTATTGGGAGAAAAAGATATTTCATCGATAATTTTATTCAAAGACGATCACTAATAGACAACATGTACATGATGCTATGGGAAGAGGTGGTCCGTCGCAATATTCTTTTACCCGTGTTTTTGGATGACAGCTCATAAATACTCACGAGGAAATGGGTGGTGCCTGAGAACGTGATTGTCTGGTTTTTTCCCCACGCATACATTTTTCATGCTCCTCAGCACTGCAGCATTACTAAGGAGATCTCATCCTCTGTCAACACACACCTCTTTATCTTTATCCCGAAGTTTTTCTTCTCGTGCCATGGATATCGTCGCCTCTGCCACTGCCAAAGAGATTCGTCCTTCGGCAACGTAAGTCTCATTCCTCGGCTGTTGCCAATCTGGTCTAATTGCTTGTCCATGAATGACCCACACAGACTCATTGTTGCTGCTCCCAATAAAGCCAATGGCCACAACTACAAGGTTCTCATGATGAAGCGGTAATGTAGTCGACATTGCAAACCAAGTATTGCTCTTCTGACATGGTTTCATATAGCAACGCCAAAAGCAGTTTCATCCATGCACATGTCTTCCCCGGTGGTGTTGTGGATAAGCATGATGATGCGTCTCTATGGCAACCTTTATTGAAGCAGCAACCCACAACAGAGTATGGACGAATCACGTGTATATTGTACAGCTTTTTAACATGATGGCATCGTACGTTTCAGATTGACCAACAAGATTTGTGCTATTCGTGAGACATTTGAAGAATCCGGGCTATTGTTGACGCATCCACCAGCCACGGCGATCCAAGACAAGCAAGTGTGGCGTGAACGTGTGCATAATAATGCTTCTCAATTCAAGGTGCTATGTGAAACGCATGGATTGGTACCTGCCGTGGATCGTTTGACACCCTTTGCCAATTGGATCACACCTGGAGCTGAAAAGCGACGTTACAATACCCACTTTTTCTTAACTGTCTGGTCACCCGATAGCGTGGCTCAAGCCGATGGTACCGAAACAGTACATCTCGATTGGTTTAGTCCCAAGGAAGCACTTGAACAATGGCGACAACAAAAGATTGTGCTCTTCCCACCCCAATGGTACTCTTTGGAATCCATGATGCCCATCCAGGATCACGTGAATTTAGCTGCCAATGCTGGCATTGGTGCCCTACGCACAAGCAACGGCAAATTATCCACCATCATGCCACAACACAACCCTGTCAATGATCCCACATGGTCCGAACGTGGTTATCATACCTTTTTGGCTTATCCTGGTGACGAATATTATCTTGATTTGAAGCACGGTCAACCTACTGGTCAATCGGGTGATCGTCATCGCATCTATATCCGTGGTCGTATGGAGGGCTTTGAATTGGAAAAGAACGTGAATGTCCCAGAAGAAGAGCAATCAACATCATCCACCGGGAAGATCAACAAGGCATCTCTATAGTAGTTATTGTATCTACGAGGTTTATTTATATATGTATATATGTATCCATGCGCTGCAAGTTTACATTGTATGATGCGGGGTATCTATTAAACGATGGTTCACTGATGATGAGGAGGATGGCGATGAGGATGTTTTGGCTAAGATGGCAAATTGGTACACCGAGTCTTCAATACGACCGACGTCATGCAATAGATCCTTGACATCATGGCTGATCATATCCGTCACAAGATCAAGCCATGCAGGATTGTTGTTGGAAGAATGATTGAGCTCGAGATGGCAGCCAGGATGGTTGAAATGAGTGAGTAGGGAAGCGACTTGAGTTTGCGTGGTTTCAAAGAGATGCGGGATGTCATGTTGTACAATATGGCTGATGGTGGTGCGAAGTTGTTCTGCTATATGATGGCTGATATACGATAACAATTGCTGACCATGTTCGGCAAGACATTGATTCAAAATAACATTGGAAGGAGGACACAGGTCGCGTGCAAAGTGTTCAATGAGGTATTCGAGAGATGCCTTGTCTAGTGCTTTGGCGTGCTCATTCCAGACGCTAGGTAATTTGTCTTCAATATAGGCTATTATTGGCAAATTAACTATCTTGAGAGTCGAGGCACACACATATGAGTTTTACTTACATCCAATGGCTCCACTGATTTGTCCTTTGAGAAGTTGTACGTCGAGAGGTAGACACCCTGTGTCATTGGCCCCCATGCTATCGATCTGGATCTCTTCACGAAAGCGATTGGAAATGGTCCTTGAAAACATTTTCAATGTAGTGTCGACATGGTCAAACAAGAGATGCGTTGACACGATATGAGAAAACCGGTGGACGTCAAGTTCGAAATCCTCTTGGATCACCCATTGCCCTTGTTGGCCCATTGCCATAGCAACAATAGCCATTGATGTCCATATCCATAATAGCAAATGCTTCATGCTGGATGTGTAGATGATGTGATTAAAGACCAATTGTGAACACGTCGCATAGAAGTTGCTCTCGGCAAAAAGGAGAGCGAGAATGGAAAAGTCGCTGCAATCGTTCCCGATTCACAAGGGGGTGGAAAGGAAAAAGAGAGAGAGAGAGAGAGAGAGCAAGAGGGCTCTACAAGAAACAACGGAAGGATACAAGCTACACACATCAACGCGCTTGTTAAATCTGGTGTTACTTTTGTGAGTGCCACAGTGTAACGATATGAATGCCCGGGTTTCATCACGGCACTTTTTCCCCAATTGGCAAAATGCATTTATCCATTGTTGACTTCCTTGCCCATCCTCCACCCTCACAGTAATGGCTCACCCATTCCATGTAATAGCATCATCATCATCAAACAACAATACTCAATCGTGCCCATTCGTAAATACATTTTCCAAATAAAACAGCAACTACTTGCATTTGGGACGCAGGGGATGTGTGGCAAACCGGTCATTCAGGGACAAGGAAGGGGAGAGATCTTTTCAAAGGCATTGTATGTAGCCACATTGCATAGCAACTTCCCCCCAACATTGACATGCAGTATACGACGTATCCATGGATACGATCCATCAGCCGTTGGTGTATATGATCGAAAAGGGTAAAATGAAAAAGGATCGACAAATGTCTGCATTGGGTTATATGATCATCTTTTTGGCCATTTTTATTGTATGAGGAAAAAAACCATTATCTGGTAAAAAAAAAAGCAATGGGCCTGAGGCGAAAAAAGCTGTGGAGGAGAAAGGGCAAACTGTCACTCCTATCAGGAAAAAAAACGCCTCTTGATACAAACCGCGTAACAATGCTTTGAGTACAGCAAAGAATAGGGATGGGGGGTGGGAGAGTGTTTGGGGGGTTGTGGGAAGAGGATAAAGTATGAAGATGAGTTATAGGAAAGGGGTGGATTGTTAGTTGACTGACAATTTGGGATTTCGCAAAGATAGATAGATAAAGAGAGAGAGAGAGAGGGATAAAGAGAAGGTAAAAAAAAAGAATAAAGATCAAGAAAGAAATAAAAAAAGTGTGGTTAAAGGAAATCCTTGCACCAAGATGGAGTGACAGCTGGTGTTTCTGGTAATGGATAGGATGACCAGCTGACAGGGTGTGAATGATTCCAATTGTACGATGGGTCCACTAAACCAGGTGGGGGATAGTGATACTCGTATTTGGATGCACGCGTATCAAGATGTTCTGGGGCCTGAAAGAAATCCACCTTGCGAGCAGTATCAATAGGAGCATGAAAGTATTCAGCAGCACTAGTAGCAGTAGTAGTAGGCAGCATCATGGATGAAGCAAAACTAGCACGCCGATCAGGTGTCGATGATAAGGGTGGAGGAAGCAAGCTTGTGCTGCTATTGTTGCTGCAATTGCTACCTTGGCGACTAATGGGAGGAGGTGGTGCTGTTTGGCGACGTGGCAATGTGGGTGTCTCTGGAGGGCCCCAAGTATCCAATGCATGTGCCTTGGCATACAAGTACAGATTATGCTGACGTTGTCGATTTTCCACTTGCAGTCGTGATGCTTCCAAAGCAGCTTCCCATATAGCTCGTTCTTGTTGTTCTAGAGCATCCTTGTAACGTCGCTTGTTATCATCTTCAAAGGTTGTTGTTGTTGTGGAAGATTGTGGAGGAGGAGGAGCATGTCGTTGTTGCTGTTGTTTTGGTTGTTGACCCGATAGACCCAATGATAACAACACAGCTTGGATAAGATTGTCCAGGTAATACTGATATCCATCCATCGACATCCTCTCCACGTGTATGCGGCACCCTTCCACCGCATGTTTCCATTGGTCAAATTCATCTTGACATACAAAAAGACCGTAGCCAATGACTTCAAGGAATTCGGCCTCCATGGTATTCAAGTCATGCAACTTCATACCCGATACTTCAGACCACGTCTTGTTTGTAAAAGTGCTGTCATCCAAGAATTTGTTGGCTATCGTATCATTAGCATCATCATCAAGGAGAAATCGAGGGAGATGATAAATTACCTAACATGAGAGCCACCGTGAATAATCTGTATTCGGAACCCTCGGCACCTTCGATATTAGGACTGGTTCGTAACAAAGCACAGACGTAGTTGAGTGCAAGGTACACCGCATTTTGAGACAGCTGAGTTGCAGTCAGCAGCTATAGGAGAGAGAGCGTATGATGAGTCATCCATCCATGCAATATGCTTTTCTCGGGTTTCATTATTACCTGCAAACAAAACTTTTTGAATGCAGCGCTTGGCTTAGTTGCATCTACCGTATAATGCTGTCGATAATGAGCGGTATGATTGTTGGTGGTGGTCATTGTCTTTTTCCGCCCATGCCACATCAAATAGACAATCGATGCCGCATAATCAGCTACTTGAGAAATCGTATCCACTTTGACGGGTGGTGGTGAAGGGGTCGCCAATACCGGTTCAAAAGCTGATGGATGTCGATGACGTTGCTGTTGTTTGGCAATCGAATAAGAGGGTTGTTGTTGTTGATGATGATGGCGATGATGATGATGTTGTTGGAGTGATGGCGGCGGTGGTGGAGGTGGTGGAAACATACATTGTTGCCGTGAAGGGTTGCTCACAAACGAGGTCGGCTTATTGAGCGGAAAGAGAGTGTAAGGCTGTACTGCCTCCAACCGCAATTGCATTCTTTCTGAGCAGAGAGAAAAGAAGCCTTGGACAGACGACGACGACGACGACGTTATAGAGATAAAAGGAAATTACGGGTAGACTCTCTTATAAAAAGAGGTTCGCCGTAAAAGCTTGAAGGGTAGATAGAGATAAGACCTCTGTCGGCCGACAAGGGTGAGAACCAGTAAATGAAAAGAGAGGGCGTATGCTGCTCTGCTCGATGTTTACTGTTGCAATCGCTGCTCTCGAGAAAGGGACAATGACCAATGACGACAATAGAGATGGGCGGAAAAGAGCAAACCGGCCATTTTCAACCAAAGCAAAAAGTTTTACGCTGCGTGACGCCGCCCTCCATTTTCATTGGCTCATTCTTTCTCCTGACTAGAAAAAAGTGCCACTGTACCCATCATCCCACCCCCAAATGCCCCCTTGATGATGCTTAATAGAGTCGATCTTTTCACTTGGTAGCACTGTGTTACATTCAATACTATAGTTAAAAAAGCGGAACTAGCCGAGATGTAATGTGTATGTGCGTATATACGTATATTACTTTTGTAACCAATCCTCTTTTGCAGCATAATAAAAAGTAGGGCAAATGTTGTTCACAAAGAGTTGTTATTATCTACAGGTCTACTACATCATAGGTATCTTTCATTGCCGTACTTCAGCAAGATATTCTCTGGGGGGAATAGGCAACTTGTATGCTGGGCTGTCTTTGGGTGGAGGAGTCGGGAATGCGTGGATATCAGAAAACGATGATGATGATTTGAATCGATCAGAGTGACGCCATTCCTGTAATAGATTACTTAGTCGCCTATTTACTTAGCTGCAACACTCTTCTTCTTCCCTTTGAATTTATCCCTTGTTTACCTTTTGCAGATCAACAACCTCAACCTCCATTCTTTCAAAATCCTTCTCCAGCTGTGAGACAATGGTATCCTTCATTTGCAACTCGTTCTTGAGCATTTGTATATCCTCTTCCTTCTCTTGTATGAGTTGATCCAATGCATCTCGATCGGCTTTCATCGATTCAATATCCTGACGTAATCGACCATTCTCATGTTCCTTGGCAACGGCAAGATCTCCAGCTGTGATATGTGATCGAATCGAGGGTCGACAAATGTGTTGTGGTTTTGCTTGTTGTTCATCGCTGTCATCCGGTGGTAGTGTCAATACGGAGAATCCTTCACTCAAAGGCTTATCGGTAAAACAGCACGTGTTGTCGCATGTTGCTTTTCCTTGCAGCTGCATTAATTTCGTGTGATTAAAAACGCGTCAATCAGTCATATGCAAGAGATAAAGAGAGAGAGAGAAAAGGGATATTTACCTGTCGATACAAGAGATTGATAATTTGAACAAGGTATTCGTATTCGGGACCGACAGTCTTCATATTCCTGATCTGGTCTTCACGCACCTGATTCTTTTCCATCTATACAAGTCCGAGGTTAAACACAGCATTGAATTCAATTCACCTACCAATACTTACAATATGCTGATTAAGATCCTCTTGTAATAACCTGTTGCTTCGCTGCAGCCGTACATTTTGATATCTCAAATGCTTGATCTCCTCCTTGAGTTCGTTGACCTGCTCATCGACGACTCGGTCACTATCCAGTTTGAGTATACGATTGGCACGTAATAAGCGCACATTGGAATGCGTCAACTCCTCATTCTCTTTCTCCAATTGTCGTAGTCGATTGTCCAAGTTGATGCTTTGGCTGGGTCGTCGTTCTGGTGGAATGCTTGGCTGCAAGTGAACAAGAGATGTGAGCGAGAATGAATGGGGCCCTGTCAACAAGAGTGGATCAAGCAACCTTACCACTGATGAGGAACGTGCAGATTCAGCTAGTGGTATTGCATAGTCGGTGGAATTGCGCATTGTATCTCGAATAGTAGTTGACGTACGTGGAGAATAATATTGCATGCTTGTGACAATAAAAGAAAAAAGGTAGAAAAGAAAGAAAGAAAGAAAGAGAGAGAGGGATGGATAATGTTCGCGGCCTTTCAAAGACAAGAGCAGTGTGTGTGCGTGTGTGTGTGCGATGATGTCCTTGCCTTTTGACTTTTTCAATGTTTAACTCCTTATGTCAGTCAACCTGCATGGGTTTCACGACTCTTTATGATCTTTTATCGCTCCATACAGTAAAGTAAGGGGCTTCTATGATGAGAGGGTCCTTTTTGTTCAACCATATTAACGGATGAAACAGTGGTGGGAGAGAGCGAGAGAGCTATCATCTTCATGTACACAAGGAGGAGCGGGGATTGTATGTCATATCCGACAGTATAGCTCTTCAGCTCAATGTATCTGAATTGGGCTTGTGGATCTCTTTATGCATTACAATAGGGGATTAGATACATTCACACACACACAAACACACGAAATACCAAGGCCGGGGAAAAGGATCTCTTGGGAGTAAATAAGAATAAAAAAGGGTCAGGGGGGAAGTAAAAGGCATTGTTCCTTGAACCAACCGCACTCCTAATAAGGAAATGGAGCCCCGTGCACACGGCGATTGCAAGACCGAATGCCGATTTACGTTATCATCCATTTCATCGCCACAAGTTTCCAAGCACCTATCATCTCCATTGATAATTCCATTGTTTCATCCCCTATCTTTCATATAATCTTACGTTCAATTTCGTGTGTATGAAATGACGTATCATCAATGTCAATGCTCATATATCGATCATGCACGCAGCATGGAGAAAGATTTATGCATTGGTCGTGCACCATTGCCCTGTGCATTTCTTCTATTTGATACATGCAGGCTCCTTGGTAAAACTTGAATCCAGCATAGGTATATAGGAAATAGGGAAAGCACATGTATGTAATTCATCAGTATCATCATGCTACTATTGCATACCACAATACAACCAAAATAGGATTTTAACTCGCTATGCATAATCCCATGCTTCCAATAATGATATAAAGCGGCTGATCACTAATTCACATTGTACAATGCAACATGGCTCCTTTCAATACAATTTGGCACATGATAGAAAGCATGTTAGTAGGATGATGATGAGACCCTACTATGAGATATCAAACTCTACGTATAATGATCCTGGATCACAACGATAAGGAGGAGAGAGAATGTTATATGTAGCCAACATTCTGCAACGCTTACTTGAATTAAATTTCCAGATTCTCAAGACATGTGATGTCTATGGCTGGATTTGTAACTATTGGCATGTATCCATCCAGCCATGGTTGTCATTACTCACACACACATCTCCTATACCCCGCGTGTTTTAAATCAACTAGGATCCTTGATTGAAAAATGTACATTTAATGAAGCGTCACGATTGGATTATGTATGTTCAATAAGGGCTCGCTTGAGAAGATCTCATGAGACTTTATTATATTGTTCTATTACATTGTTGTCAAGGCCATGTTTTTTCAAACGAGCCACGAGTGTGTCATCTAGCTGTAATCCTTGTTGTTGCATCTCGGATAGCAAGTCTTGAATATGGTGTGTATGGTTATGTGCTAAAAGACCATCGACCAGCATGGTATAAATCTTGACATCCGGTTTGATATGCAAATCCTGCTCCATGTCCTGCATGATGCGTCTTGCTCGTTGTAAACGACCTTTCCTTGCCCAACAAATGATCAATGCTTCGTACACAGGTCGATAGGGTAACCATCCTCGGCTCTTGATGTCAAGATAGATCCGATTTGCAATATGTGCACCACGTGGGGATTTCACCAATGCATCCATAATCAACTTGTACGTCAAACCATTGGTGTGAATGGGTGTGTCCTCAGGTACAGAAGGGAAGAGATGGCGTCGGTCGTTTTTCAATAGGATTTTTGCTGCCTTTGCTGGTCCCTGGTTTTCCACAATACGCGTGAGGGCCATGTTGTTCAAGAAAATCTCGTCTTGGCGGGTGGCATATTGATCCTGTAAGAGCTGATCAAAGAGCTGCTTTTCGATATCAGCGCCACGATAGATGGTGAGCAATGTTCGAAAGGTGGTTCGATCAGGTTCAATGTTGAGCTTGTTCATGTATTGCAACACCTTGAGAAGCTTTGACAGATCCACACTTTCACCCTCATTGATAGCTGTTGCACGCATGAGAAGGTTGTAATCCACACAGTCGGGTCCATGGGTAGAGGTGATCGTCTCAAATACTTGCATTGCTGATCCAACATCATCTGCCACCAAATAACAAGCCATAACAGCGTTCATGGTCTTGTAGTCAAGCTCCATATCGATTTCCCCTGCCATCATCAATAATTCACGAAACATTTTCACACGGCCGGTCTGAGCGCATAAGCTGTACATGGCGTAAAAGGTATTCCTCGTCATGGCGTCGGTAGGTATGTGGGATCTCATGTCGGAAAAAACCTCAAGCGCGTAATCAAAAGCCTTGACGTTGATAAAGCTCCTTAGGCAACTGTTGTATACATCCACAGAAAGAACTCCCGGGTATCGAGGCGCAACATGTCGATATAACTTCATCAAATGTTCGTGATAGTTGCTGGCTGCAAATGCTGACATTAACTTGGCATGTTGTTCTTCTGACACCACAGCGGGTAGATCACGTGTCGTCTCCCACACCCACATTGCATGTCGCATGTCTTTGCGTTGGATATAGTAATCAAGCAGCTTCTTGGTCACCACACGTGCCGCATCCAAATCGTTGTATTTGCAAGTATCCAACAATAAATCCGTAGCCGTTTTCATACGAAATGTGTACAAGCACTTTGTGATAATCCTTGAAGCAAGTGATGTGCCTTCGATGCCATGTTGTAACTTGTATCTTAGGAACCGAGTTGCTTCCGCCAAGCGCCATTCGTCCACGCATTGCTTGCCGCAATAGTCCAAAGCCGCTATCACATCCATATCCCAAAATCGCTTCGCCGTTTCATCAGCCTTGATCCAATCATCAAGCTTGATCCATCCTTCAATCATCGCACGTCCAACCAATGCATTCGTTGTAGCGTATCCACGCACTTGCATCTCCTTGAGCCATCCTTCCGCATGCGTCATCCTTCCATCACGTGCCAATCCAGCAACCAAAGTCGCCATCGCATCCTCCGGTAGTACATGTCCATCATCCATCCATTGTTGTACCATGGTTTCAGCCTTTTCCACTTGACCGCTGTCGACATAGAGCCTTATTAAGGGCTCAAACTCGTTGTGGGAAAATAAATCAGCACGTCGTCCAACGAGATCATCCATCACTTGGAAAGCGAGTGTTGTATCTTCGTCATCAGGATGAGGTATGAGTATTGACAACATAGCACGCACGTCGTCAGATGACAATTGCTCCAATAAAAGAGGATCCTCTCGAATCACTTGATATAGCTCGACAATACGTCGTCGTTTTATACGCCGTGCAATGGCATTTCGAACACGTTGTTGCTTACTTCCTCGTTTCTTTGGATTGGGTGATGATGATGAAGATGATGATGATGGTGTTGTTCGTTTATAGAGCTTCAGCCGTAGTTGTTGTACCGGCTCTGAAGAAGAGGTGTGTTGCTGTTGTTGCTGTGCAGTACCAGACTGAATAATCAGAGTACGTCTATGATAAAGGTTGGGAATACGAAAGGTGTTGTTGGAGGAAAGAGTAGGACGAGTCGTTGTTGTTGTTCTGATGGTGGCCCTTGAAAGGGTTAGATCGACTACTGAAAAGCGCGCCTTGCGAGCAGTCGTGGTGATCGCTGAGACTGGAAACCTTCGATAGAGACAATTGCGACATAGCACTTGAGCCGATGCAAGGAACATTAACGTCTGCGACTTCCAGCCCTCGCGATGTATAAGCGACCGGAACGTCATGAAGCTGTCGAAAACATACAACACGCGCACCAAAGAGCTGTCCAAGTAAACAGAGTTTTTCAATCGCCGCAACCACACCTGGAGAAGAATCTCACACACCCACCAGGGCCCAGCTAATATTACTTTCACCTTATTAGAAGATGACCACCTGCTACTACTGCTAGTCATATTCCAAGTTATCATCACCTTCAATCACCATGAATAGTGCCTTGTCCCATACCATCTTATCCAGAATTAACCCCACTTTTGATAACAAAGAATAGCAACAATGAATGTTCAGATGATCTATTACTATTATGGCTGCCCCCCAATACGTGACAATGAACCCTACCTTAAGATACGTATCAACAAATTCTTTATCATTCAATCTTTGTATAAAGGGTACATGTAAGCTCTAATGCTATTTGGATATAGAAGATGGTTTCGAGTGCACAAGTTGCACGATGATTACCATTCTGGTCGTTTAGTATGGAGACTCCTCCCCATACATATCTCCAAGTTTAGAAATTGATTGTAGCGCCAACAACATACCCCTTGATACATAGGCTCATTGTCCAAGAAAAGCACGTGGTACTAGTACTTGGATTATCAAGTGCTGATGAAAGGTTGATAACACATGTACATGATAGGATGATTAATGAACAGATTGGGAGAGTAAATGAACAACGCAAGGATGTAGCATGCATCACGTGGGACAAGTAAGCAATTCTGTGTCCAAGTCAATGTATTTCTTGGTATCATTGTATTGCGTGCGTTTATTGGACAAGAGAACATTAGCTATGTAGGGTTGAAGGTGTTACGGATGGTTGAATGGGTGATGCCTTGGCCTTCAAAAAGTCAACTCCAAAGATGATAAACCATTTTTGGCTTTGACACAAAAGTTTCAGGAATCTGCATATTCGTTGATCAATACACCAATGTATTAGCAGTAGTAAATAAGACACCAAGTGGTAGTAGTACGGAGTATGTATCCTTTCAACAGCATCCTTCGTAAGCACACGGTAGCTTATAGAGTATACCAACTAAGAAAGAATGTTGCCATGGAAATAGGTGTGTTGCATGGAAAATGACTATCTTTATTCAACTGCAAGTGAAAATTGGTGGCCGCTTGAAAAGGGAAAAGAGGGGAGGGGTAGCTGCTGCTTCAACTCTATCGGTCTGCTTTTTCAACGTGTCGCAATGAACTCATTGTACCAAGTGGATGAGCTTGTCAAGGAATATTTATTGGTATGCGTCTCTTTCTAGATGCCTCGTCCTTGATGGCGCGTGCATTCCCAATCTCACCTAATCTATCCATTCCTTTAGTTTCGCGGCTTTACAAACACATACCGAGCCCTTGAGAATGAGAGCCGAGGAGACAAGGATAAGGGTTTTCAGGTATACGCGTTTCAGGAGTAGTGAAGAATATGCATAACTAAAGGTGCAGATAGGTGGACAAGATCCTCGAAGAACTACTCGGCTACATATTCAACAGTGATATCCATCGGCTGATCGATTACTATCGCTATCTCGATCTACGCTTTTTCACTCGGCTAGATAGTCGCTTTCAACGCACAGTCAACAAGTTTGAACTTTGTCTCTTACGGCATTACCTCGTGTATGGTATGTAACCTACAACTTTACAAAAGTTTATGCAAAAAGAGAAAAGCTCTAATGAAAGGTCCTCGTTAGCCATCCAACACAAGCGACGAGACAAGGTCATTGAATTTTTTGATGTATTTGGTGCCGATTTACATGGCAAGCCAGAGTGGTCTCATTGGTTTGGTGAGTGATGTTCTTCTAAGGGAGTGAGAATGAGGGTTGGATTAACGCTATTGTAACCATAGCTTTACCCTATGTGAAGAATCCCGCTGCAGATCCGACATTTGAAACATTCTTTACCAAACAATGGACTGACAACTACATGATTTCACTCCACAATTTTCTTGCCACTACATTTCAGCATATGCGTAAGTAAATCATTTCTATGCACACATGGATCCATCCTCATTGATGTATGTATTATTAGCTTTACCGGCATTGGTTACATTGAACATGGATCGAGTACAACGCAAAGCTCAACAAACCGAGATTGAGAATATGAAGGTCACCATTGACAACCTAAAAGCAACCGCTGAAGCACGAGAGAATGAAATTGCCAAATTGAAGCACGAGGTAAGGATGATGATTATAACGCACACAACCGTTCTCATCCCATTTTAGATAGAGACCACTCGACGAGAAATGACCGATGGCATCACCCTTATACGCCAGCGAGCAGCATCAATGACAAATGATATCAAAGCAGCAGCTAATGGCACCCACAGATCAAAACAAGACAACGCTTTAGCACCAGCCAATGCGACCATCCCCATCGATCAAAATGGTACCAATACAACGGATACGGTCCCTGTGGAAGATGAGCCATTTGTGGTGGTGAGCCAAGATGAATATTCGGAGCATGCTTCAGCTATCACACACGCCAAGTTTTCTGCTGGGGGCAATTTGATTGCAAGCTGCGATATGGATAACATTGTCAGGTATAGGACATGCCTTTTTTTGGTATGACGTTTTCATTAACTCTTAGTGCTAGGATATGGAGTTACAAGGGCCAATCTACTTTCAACCCATTAAAGGTCAACAACAATACATCCTGTGTCTTATCCATGGAATGGGAAGCAAGGGCGGATCGATTTGTAAGTCACCAATGCGTAAAATGGAAACCATGTTTACTGATATTGTTAAAAAAAGTTATTCTTGGGCACTGATATGGGCACAATCCGCGTCTTCAATGTTGAAAGCAAGTCTATTGTACAAGAGTTTTCTGTGGAAAGGAAATATCCTTGGTAAGTGTTGCCATTGTGTGTTGCTAGGCTAGGTAACTAAATTGAACCGCTTTAGGGTCACTCAACTTTCATGCAGCCCTGTGGAGCCCATGTTTGTTGGCTATGCATCAGGAAATAAGATGGCATCAGATGGCAGCACCCAACCGGGAACATTGGTAGCTTGGAGTATGAAAAGTATGGATTCTATTGTAAGTATATTATCAAAGACACTTACGAAAGGGATAGACAACTCATGCCTACATGAAATAGGGATCGTTTTGTTTTGAGCCTGAGAATGAAAATGAATATGGCAACATCAATACGATCGAGCTCAATCATAATGGTCAAATGCTGGTTGCTGCTGATGATCAAGGTCTTATGCGTATCTTTGGTAAATCGCGTACTTCATGATGGTGGTATGTTTATTATAGCATTAACGAATGTTGTTAGATGTACGGACGATGAAATCGATTATGGAATGGAAGGATCCTTCACGACGATCATCATGCATTGCCCAATTCAGCTTTGATGAAAACTCGATATACAGCATTGATCGATCGGGACAATTGACACAATGGTCGATTCACAAACCAGGTACCAGTTTATCAACACACCAATTGGAAGGTTTTCCACCCCCGGCAGCCTATCCTCGCAAATCAGTATCGGCTAGTGTCAGTAATGCAACAGCAGCATTACCACCACGACCCACCTCCAATCCATCCACGTCATCCCTTTCACGTTTATCCATATCCTCAAACCGCTCCAACCGCCTTCCTTTGATTACCACGGATGATACAATTACACAATCACTTCTTTCGGTTACGCCAAGAGCACAAATGGTAGCATTCAGCGCTGATACCGATTTCTGCCTTTGTGCCACAGCATCCAGACCCATCTCTTCAACATCACCACCACCCGGCAACTCTGAAGATAGCTCTTCTTCTCCTTCCTCCTCTGCAACAACACAGGGAACCATTTATCGGGTATCGGATGGTCAGCCTTCTTTACGATTCGGCTATCAACCAATGCATCAAAAACTCACCACTGTCGATTGGACAAATGCATCAAATGCTTGCTTGCTTGGTAGTATAGATGGTAGCGTTAAAGTCACTAGTTTAATTAAGGTGTAAAATGGCCAGAACAATGAATACCCAGCATCATACCATTCCTTCCATTACATGCTTTTGAAACCACTTTTTTATTTACCCATCATTCCTATTTTGCTGCTTTATAGACACACACATGCACATACTAATTTGCTATATTCTTATTTAACGGTTGTTGTTGTTGTTCTTGTAGCTCGGTGATGTTGGGCTGTAGCTAGGCGATGTTGGGCTGTAACTTGGAGAAGTTGGGCTGTAGCTTGGGGAGGTAGGGCTATAGCTTGGCGACGTCGGGCTATAGCTTGGAGATGTTGGACTATAACTTGGCGACGTTGGACTATAGCTTGGAGATGTGGGGCTGTAGCTTGGCGACGTAGGGCTGTAGCTAGGTGATGTGGGGCTGTAGCTTGGCGACGTAGGGCTGTAGCTAGGAGACGTAGGGCTGTAGCTAGGAGACGTTGGGCTATAGCTTGGAGAAGTTGGACTGTAGCTTGGCGACGTTGGGCTATAGCTAGGAGATGTTGGACTATAGCTTGGTGATGTTGGGCTATAACTTGGAGAAGTTGGGCTATAACTTGGCGATGTTGGGCTGTAGCTTGGTGATGTTGGGCTGTAGCTCGGTGAAGTGGGACTATAGCTTGGCGATGTGGGGCTGTAGCTAGGTGAAGTGGGGCTGTAGCTTGGTGAAGTTGGGCTATAGCTTGGCGATGTTGGAGAATAAGATGGGCTCGTAGGCGAATAATTGGGTGATGCTGGTGAATAGCCAGGCGACGTAATGTACGAAGGACTCGATGGCGAGTATCCAGGCGATGTAGGTGAATAACCAGGGCTTGCTGCATATGGACTAAGATCACCACGCCAAGGACTAGCACCTGATGGTGATGCCGCACCTGTATTGCCCATAGGTGAGAACATAGGTTCTGAAGGCGATGATGGATGTGAAAAGTCGACCCAGTCTGGTGAACGAGTATCGTAAGGTGTACCCAAATTGGGCGTCATGTAACCAGGGCCTGGTGTAGTGAAACCTCCAACATCTCCAGGAACGCCATTAGGCATGGTTTGGCGATTATCATGAGGAATAGTCTTGAGCATATCTTCATCCAACATGACATCAAATTCACCGGTACCCAAAGGTGCCAATTGACCAAGCATGATGTTTTCAGCAACACCACGACAATCATCCAATTCACCGACAGCTGCTGCTTCCAATAGAATCTCCACAGTCTCTTCGAATGAACAACGCATCAAAGCACCCGTCTCAGCTCGATTGATACCATGACGAGTAATAGCCATCAAGTGGCCACGGTTGGTCATGACATCACAAAGCAATGCCAAGTGGCGATAGTTGACATAGGAACCATCAAATTCAATGACGTTACGCAATTCCTTGAGCAAAGCCTTGCGAGTAGCCTCAATACCAAGGACTTCCATGATTTCAACAGTGTTGTTGGAATAAGTGCGACGTTCATCAACACCACGTTGGCACATGACTTGTTGCAAATTGATGCCATCGGTATCCAAACCCCACTCCGTCACTGTGTCAAAGTTGCCATTTGCATTCAAACGAGTATCCTTGCGTTCAACAATATACACCTTTTGAATTCTTGGAATACCACGAAGATTGATCGAGCTAAGCATGCTGGTTTCAAGTTTACGCAAGAACGTATCCTCTTCAGCTCGGCCCTCGTCTTCGTCCATGCCCTTTTCTTCATTCTCATCCATCATAACACGACAACGGATGATAAGCTTCTCAGAGTTATCATCACTGCCAATGACGTGGAGATCACTCTTGAACTCTTCAGAGATTCTTTGCACCACTTCGGTGATATTCAAACGTTTGTCGACCATCATACCACGATCCAATTCAATACGGAGCAACCAAGGTGATACGCGAGTAACCACAGGTGAGTTGTCATCTTCAAGCTGATAGTATGTATCAACGAAATCCGCATCTTCTTCAATGATAGTGTTGCGTGGATCAGGATCGTAAAAGATCTCCGTACGTGCAGTGACCTTTTGCAAAGTGGTATGTTCAAGATGGACTTGAACTTCCTTGGCCAACTCAATGTTGCGAGAACGCTCAGCATCCAACCACACTTCGAGACGAGGCGTCTTGATATTCTTGGCAACGTTGATGATTTCCTTCAAACGTGGGACACCAAGAGTAACGTTCTTACTCGACACACCAGCATAATGGAAAGTGTTCAGAGTCATTTGTGTAGCAGGTTCACCAATAGATTGTGCAGCAATCGTGCCAACCATTTCACCAGGAGCAACCATGGCAGTTTGGAAACGGCTTTCAATTTCACCAAGAATCCTATATATACAGCATCTCATATTAGTCATTGTTCCTAGCAACAAAGAAACACGTATTACATACCATTCAAAGGCTTGGGATGTTAAGTGATATTCTTCAACCACACGCTTCACGGCAAATGTGGATCGTAACAAGGATCGGAAAAGACATGTTGCATTCTTTTGAGCTTCGGCGGAAATCTTATCACTGCCACGGACCACAAGTAATCGATCGGCCAATGATGAGATACCATCAATCACCTGAAGAGGATGAATGTCGGATGGCTTTCGAGGATCGATATGGAAAATTTGCTGAGCATTGGTGATAAGACGCTGCAAGTTGACTGGTAATGGCCATTTATCTTCTCCATCCTTGAAGATGTATTCACGCAACAAGTGTCGATCTTCTTCAAGACGAAGGAATTCTTGATCCAACTGGTTTTGAAGCATCTCATTGCCTTCCACAGCTTTGAGAACATTGTAGTTGAGTGTACCAGGTCGGAATCCTTTTTTGCTAGCAAGGTCCACCTTGAAGCGATCCACAAATTGTTCTTCGGAACAGCCAATGGTAGCCAACTTTTGCTTCTCGACAAAGCATGCATCCAAACCATCTTCACCATAGACCATTTGAATGATATCGCCCAAAGAGTTACGCACAGTGCCATCGTACTTGACCATGACATCTTCAAGTGCCTTAACAAGACGTCTTTGGATGTAACCGGTTTCTGCAGTCTTGACAGCCGTATCAATCAAACCTATACTTCAAATTAATAACAATGCGATAACACTCCTTTCCTATGATCTTACCTTCACGACCACCCATAGCGTGGAAGAAGAACTCTGTTGGTGTCAAACCACGCAAATATGAATTCTCGACGAAACCACGACTTTCAGGGCTGTGATCATCCTTGGAAAAGTGAGGAAGCGTACGGTATTGGAAACCATAAGGAATACGCTTGCCCTCCACGTTTTGTTGACCCACACAAGCTGACATTTGTGAAATATTGATAAAAGAACCCTTGGAACCAGCCAACACCATTTGCTTGACGTTGTTGTCGATCTTCAAATTCTCCTGGGCCATTTTACCAGCATCATCACGAGCCTTGTTCAAGGTTTGATTCACCTTGGCTTCAAAGGTCTCACGCAATGTCATACCAGGCTGTACTTCAAGCTTGTCTTGTTGTGCTGTCATGATGATTTCTTGCACACGTTGCTTTGCTTGGGCGATCACGTTGGTGATGGTTGCCATGGTATTACGATCGGCGATGGTGTCACCAATACCAATACTGAAACCATTTTGCAAAAGCCAATAGTTGACCACTTGTTGTGTGCCCGTCAAAAAGTTCTTGGCTGCTTCAGCACCTTGCTCATTGACAATGGTATGGACCAAACCACCACTTGCTGTACCCACAGTCTTTTTACAAACGATACCACAAATCAACTCGCCATTTTCAACAATGACACGCGTATCACCAGGCGAAATGTAGGTGTGTTCACGATCAGGATGAGTGGAATGGAAAGTTTGACAGTTGATACCCTTGGGAATCACCATGGCAAGGATTTGTTTACCAGTCCACATGGCCTTGGGTTTGATAATGGCTGGTGGGGGAATATAGCCATCCCAATCAGGGACCCACATGACAATATTCATCACCATATCCTTGGTCAAGAAGGTGTCTCGAAGCGTAAACTTGCGAATACCACAAAGTGTATCTTGCACAATACCCATGACCGGCTTGTTGGATTGCGGTGATACAATCTGCTTTGGCACCATACAAATCTCAGTGACTTCAGCTCGTGTCTCCAAGGATTGTGGAACGTGCAAGTTCATTTCATCACCATCGAAATCAGCATTGTAGGGTGTGGTGACCGACAAGTTGAGGCGGAATGTTGAATAAGGCATAACACGAACACGATGACCCATCATGGACATTTTGTGCAATGAAGGTTGACGATTGAAAATGACCACATCATCATCGTTGATATGACGCTCGACTTTGTATCCATATTGGAGGGGTATCTCGCCAGCGCGCTTTCTGTAACTCAAATCGATACGTTCGCCCGTGTCACGAATCACGTACTTAGCACCTGGATGTTCCAAGGGACCATTGCGTACAAGTGATTGTAGCTTGTCAATGTTGTATGGCGTAACAATTTCAGGATAGGTCAAATTGCGTGCAATGCTGCGTGGAACACCAACTTGATCAAGAGACAAGTTTGGATCACCAGTAATGACTGTACGTGCTGAAAAGTCGACACGTTTACCCATCAAATTGCCACGAAGACGTCCTTCTTTGCCTTTTAATCTTGCACGGATAGATTTGAGCTATTAAAGATCGACATTAATAATCACGTTCATTGATGCAGCCAATCAACAACACTTACAGGTCTACCCGATTTCTGCAAAGCTTGGGGCTGACCGGCAATATCATTATCCATGTACGTAGCAATATGGAACTATAATTGTGATCATGATGAGTTTCCATGGCAATCTTTCATTAAATCTTTTTCTTTACCTGAAGCAATTGCTCAAATTCTTGTACAACGTGTACAGGTGCACCTTCAGATTCACATCGCCGAACATTGGCATTGGCTTTGAGAACATCGGAAAGCTTGTGTGTCAAATCATCTTCGCCTCGACTCGTGCCATCCATTTGAATGCTGGGGCGTACTTGTGGTGGAGGAACAGGCAATACAGTAATGATCATCCATTCAGGTCGTGCAAACTCATCCGATAAACCCATGTCACGAATATCTTGATCTGAAATGTTCTTCAAGATTTGAAGGACCTTGTTGGCTGTGAGCTGCTGTCGACCTTCGGTAGCTGAGTCATCACCAGAGTTGCCTTTGGTTTGTGCATAAAGCTTGAGACCATCCTTGCGAATCGTTGGTTGCTTATATCCACATCCTCCATGTGCATGCTTGCGTTTGCCATCAGCATCCTCCCGATCATCGAGGCCATCATCATTTTCATCCCCTCCTTCGCAAACCATCTTCGTCTTGGCCAAATCCCACACTGCTCGCAAACGTGCTTTTGGATCCCGGATCTTTCTTGCCCGAACAAAGCGTGGATTCGACTAATATACGCTTACTTAGCTATCTTTACCATCATCCCAATAATACCATCCTTCCCCCCCCCAAACAGCTTACATCATCCACTTTCAATTTCGAACAATGAAAACAAACGCATTCGAGAATCTTTTTCACTTTTGTAAGGAAACCTATCATCGTTACCTAGATTAGTATACAAGGTTTCCAAGCAATGTATCATTCAGGATATGTACCAATGTGAAAGACAGGCTTAGCAAGCTCAATATGTGCAAAATGACCCGGACAGACTGCCATGCCTTCACCACAAGTTTGACACTTGTAGTTACGATCGATGGTTCCCATACGCGGATCAAGGAGACCTCCCACTCTTGGTTTTTGTGTGCCTTCATCATATAACTCTGGGAATTCGACTTTGGCCACAGACATCGCTTTCTGCAAACAGCAATTAGAGCCAATGGGTCAAAAGCTGTCCTGATTCTGATGAAAAACATACGATCTCTTCCGGAGACAGAATGCCAAACTGCACTGCTGCAACACGTCGCACCGGTGCTGAAGAATATGCGAATGGGTGTCCACTCATATTGTAAAAACGTTTCTCGCGTCAACCGATTCGAAAGCTAATCAGATGGGTGGTGTGGTGTATATTTTTTTTTGTCGATTTGGGTGTTTGAAAAAAGAAGATCGATAAAAGAAAGATGGGGCGAGTGTCGATGTCGTATTGGATTCGTCAATCAAGAATATGGCACAAGAACAGGTTGCGAGATTCTTAATCGAACGACAGCAAAGTTGAGGTTCGAGAGAAGAAGGCTACACCGCAGCAAAGAGGAAAAAGGCGAATCTAATACCAATCGGCCATACAAAACATTTAAGAAACGTCATCACACTCTGATTTGCCTTTCGGAATCACATTCATCCTCCGCTCTCCCATCCCTTTCTTCGCCTCACATGACCAACCCACTCACCATCATGTTCATTGTCAATGAAAACATGAAGAGCTTTTGCTGCTGTTATGGGATACCAAGTGGTCGACGTTTTTAGAGTTTTGCTGTATCAAGTATCTTCTAGCACAATCCCCTTAGTACAGTAGCTGTTTCCTTTACCATCAACCATACAACTCATCTGGTATCCTTTCTCCATTAACGTAATACATTTCATATTCTAACATGCTTTCTTTTCTCTTTGATTGCCGTACTATCTCCAATACCTTCATACTTCACGCTTTATTAAACAGCATAATGAATAAAGCTTACTATGAAGCAAGCTTCAGAACAAGCGCTAATGATGGACACCATCACCCTGGCTATATTATCTTTGTCAATCAACCGTTTACTAATCGCTACTATTGCTTTCGTCTATTCGCATGTGAATGCAAACGAAGATGTAAATGATCCTTCTCGTTTTCCAACCTTCAAATTGCCATTCCCCTTTTCAATCCATAAACCAACCAATTGACCCACAACCTTCCTGCACATACGAGCTGATATCACAATACCCAAAATATTATGTTGAATCCAATTTTAATTCACTGAATAAGTCGAAGAATAGCATATGGTAGTGTGGATGTTTATCAAGTAAATAGGATAAAGGAAATAAGATACAGGTGAATCACATAGAGGCAACAGGGATAATGGTGTCATTGTATTCTTGGTTGCTGCCATCATAAACACCCTTCATCCACGATCGCAAAATAGCTGCTGCATGCGTTGACTTGAGTATTCCAATATCATCCATGACTATAGGACATTTCTCTTCAATCACATCCAATCCATCACCATCCTCAGCCGTTTCCACGTGACATATCCATCCTTCCTGCTGACGACATCCCAAGTGGTCAAAGCAACATTCCAGAATTCATTACCACTGCACTTGATTCCATCCATCGATCCATCATCATAGCCAATGCAATTCCTTGAGAGAAAGAACCCTTGTGATCGCTTGTTGATGTACTCCCCTTTTCTATCCAGCTGTTGGTCTACCTCGTTCTTAGTCATTTTCCATCGCAACTCAACCAGATGAAGATTGCTTGTATTGTGGCGTATTTGGTATTTGATATGGCATCATCCATAAGGCATCGTGTGTATGAAAGCAAGCTGCTGCACGTACATAAAGTTGCTTCTATATGATGCTGATCGCCTGTTCACGTGAAAAGGCCGTAAGACTGGTTGCTGCAAGTAAAGAACGCTGTTTGAGACAATGTAGTAACGACCTTGCTAATAGCTACTGTCGTAATGAACGCTGTTACGAGTGGTTGAAATAGAGGAATGTACAAGAGAAGGTGTAGTGTCAAGAAACGTAGATGCTGCAGTGGGGTGCAACACACCATGCACTTGCCATTCAGTCAACGACAATCGGATCAGGACAATCGTAGGATGGACATGATGGGTTCAAGCAGGACAATCGTTCGCAGGTTGTAGTTGTACTTGAATGGGCCAACAGTTGAGATGGGATAAAGAGGGAAGAGGGTGGGAGTGGGAAGAGCTGCGAATTTAAGTGAGTTGAACTGAAGTTGAATGCTACTTCTTTGTTTGAGCGTAACTTGTTCAAATCCTCTCGAATCAAGAAAGTTGAACGATGGGCATGCTGGGCTGGAGCAGGGCAATCGTTCACATGCATTGGATTGCGAAACAAAGATGATTGGGAGGAATGGGCTGCTAGTTGGCAGTTTACAAATAACTTTGCCAAATGATTTTTCTCATATTGGATGATACTTCTGTTTTTGAGCGTGTCAACCAAATCCCCATGGATCAAGAAAGTTAAACGATGGACATGCTGGGATGGAGCAGGACAATCGTTCGTATGCATTGGATTGGACAACAAAGGTGAATGGGAGTAATGGGCTGCTAGCTGGCGTTTTGAACAATTCCTAAATAGTGTACAAGAATCATGCATCGCCTGTGCTGACTGACTCGGGTTACACAACACGACCCTCTGCATCTTTTGCTCTGCCAGGGTCCACCTACTTGACAATGAACAAAGACCACTCTTCATATAGCATCACACTTACAAACATAAAGGTGCCTGTATCTCCAAACTTTACAATGAAACGTGGGGTTTTTATTAGAGCAATGGGCTCGGCTTGGCCAACAGCACCTTGTGTGAAAGTTTCGCGTTCAATGTCGCAAACAGCCCAAAAAATATTTTTTGGTCGACGAAAAAAGTTTCAAGAGGTCGACCCCCAGATCCAGTTTGGCTGGTGGCGACATTGCGAAATCTGGGATTGGCAAGCTTGATCGTGAAACTTTCACACAAGGTGCTGTTGGCCAAGCCGAGCCCATTGTTGTAATAAAAACCCCACATTTCATTGTAAAGTTTGGAGATACAGGCACCTTCATGTTTGTAAGTGTGATGCTATAAGAAGAGTGGTCTTTGTTCATTGTCAAGTAGGTGGACCCTGGCAGAGCAAAAGATGCAGAGGGTCCTCTTTGCGTAACTCAGCTACTTTGCATGACTTCAAGGATGGAAGGATGATATTGCATACTATTGACAATAGCCCATACATTGGAAGTTAATAGCCACTTTTGTGCATTCCGAACTTTTGTGCATTCCATCATAATGGAACGATGCTCCTCCTCCAGACATTCATTTCCTTGATTCAATTATCTTGATCCGAGCTGATTTGGCTGAGCTACGGTCAAAGAGAGATACATCGATCCATACATCAGCATACATTCGAATGTCTCAGCTGGTTAATCCTTGTTCGACCGTAACTCAACCAAATCAGCTCGGATCAAGCTACTTGAATCATAGAAATGAATGTCTGGAGCAGGAGCATCATTCCCATCACGTGGATTTCGCAACAACGTTGATTGGATAAAAGTGGCTATTAGCTGCCAATGTATGACATAAAAGTGAGGGTTGCGTACCTGTCATGCATTGTCCCTGAAGTCCTGACTTTTTAGCTGAGTTACCCAAAGAGGTCCTTCTGCATCTTTCGCTCTCCAGGGTCCACCTACTTGACAATGAACAAAGACCACTCTTCATATAGCATCACGCTTGCAAACATAAAGACGCCTGTATCTCTAAACTTTACAATGAAACATGGGGTTTTGAATAGAGCAATGTGCTCGGCTTGGCCAACTGCACCTTGTGTGAAAGTTTCTCGATCAAGCTTGCCAATCCCAGATTTCGCAATGTCGCCACCAGCCAAACTGGATCTGGAGGTCGACCTCTTCGACGACGACGACCAAAAAAAATATTTTTTGGGCTAGTTGCGACATTGAACGTGAAACTTTCACACAAGGTGCTGTTGGCCAAGCCGAGCCCATTGCTCTAATAAAAACCCCACGTTTCATTGTAAAGTTTGGAGATACAGACACCTTTATGTTTGTAAGTGTGATGCTATAAGAAGAGTGGTCTTTGTTTAATGTAAAGTAGCTAGACCCTGACAGAGCAAAAGATGCAGAGGGTCGTGTTGTGTAACACAGCTACGTTTGCATGAATGAAAGGGTCGATGTATAATTACTTTATTGATCATCTAGGAACAGGCATGTATTGCTAGCTAACGGCCACTTTTATCCACTCATCATTGTTCCGAGATCCACTGCATGGGAACGATGCCCCTGCTCCAGACATTCATTTCCATGATTAAAGTAGGTTGATCCGAGCTGATTTGACTGAGCTGCGGTCAAAGAGAGGTTACATCACTCTGGACATCAAGCACGCTCGATGTAGCTCAACCGATGTAATCTTGTGTGAGCGTAACTCAACCAAATCAGCTCGGATCAACCTACTTTAATCATGGAAATGAATGTCTAGAGCAGGAGCATCGTCCACCTACACTAGAATGCACAAAAGTTGGGAATACACAAAAGTGGCTGTTAGCTGCCAATGCATGCATTGCAAATGAGGATTGCGTACCTGTCATGCATTGTCCCTGAAGTCCTGACTTTTTAGCTGAGTTACCCAAAGAGGTCCTTCTGCATCTTTCGCTCTCCAGGGTCTAGCTACTTGACAATGAACAAAGACCGCTTCTCATATAGCATCACGCTTACAAACATAAAGGTGCCTGTATCTCCGAACTTTACAATGAAACGTGGGGTCTTTAATAGAACGATGTTGCTCGGCGGGGTGAAAGCGATCTTGTGTCAAACTATGAAGTCCATCGTGGCCAACCCCAGATTTCGCAATGTCGCCACCAGCCAAAGTGGGTCGACCTCTTGAATTTTTTTTCGTCGACGACCAAAAAATATTTTTGGCTGGTGGTGACAATGCGAAATCTGGGAATGGCCACGATGGACTTCATACTTTGACACAAGATCCCTTTCACCCCGGCGAGTAACCTTGTTCTATTAAAGACACCACACTTCATTGTAAAGTCTTGAGATATGACTGTCTTTATGTTTTCACTATGCTGCAAGCGTGATGCTATATGAAGGATGGTCTTTGTTTATTGTCAAGTCGCTGGATCCTGACAGAGCAAAAGATGTAGAGGGGCGGGTTGGTGTAACACAGTCCATTTTGCATGACTGGAAGGGACAAAGCTATTCGTAAAGATTCCGTAATACCTCCTGGTCTCATAGTAAGGTAGCGTTAACTACAGCCCATTATTGCACATCGGGATCCATAATAAGGTTGCTAAAGGAAGCGCATGGCAAGCATGGTATGTTTGTATACTCTGTTGCCGTATTGTTGTATCATCCGCAAGTATCATCACATTACATGTAACGTGTCGTTTGATCCCCTCGTAAACCTTTATTTTGGTTGCCATTATGTAATCCAAAGCTTTCGTTAAGGATCCAATTTGCTAATAATAAAGTGCATTGGCATACAACGTTGTGACAAAATTAAAATCATTCAGCGCTCCACCTCGTATCTTCGTATGTCGTAGCTCTATGAGTGTACTACAGCCTCATTACATGTATAGTGGTGGCAACTAACAATGAGCCCAGTTTATTACTGCTTCACAGTTATGCATGTATTGTCCAACAAAGCGGATCATTCACCATTGTTTATTCCATAATCAATGCCTAATCCATTACACAATTGTATAAGTGTTAATACGTATTAGCTAAAAACTACTAGTCTTGAAATGCAGCTAGCTTAGAAGCATGAGCAGTACTAATTAATGAATACCAGCAAAAGTGGAATGGGCAATGAGAGATACATCTATAAATCGCGATACGCAAAGATGGGTGTAAGTTATTGACTATAAAGTATCACGACATAGCATTTGCATGGTACCTATATCATAAGGTGTGTGCCTGTTTCATTTCGGTTTTATATGGCGTCGCCGACATGACAGAGGACAACAGCAGCGATAGGGATCACGTGCTACAATGCTTTTAATATCCGCTTGCCAGTGCGCACAAATGAAGCATCTCTTGCAGACCTTCCACAACATGGTGAAACCATCCAAAGATACGGCGTCGCCGGGCAACAATAAGGAGCCATCAACCATAGATAACAGCGTACCGGAATCGCTCAAGAGGATCGTCATTCGACCTGACACCATTCAATGCATATCCTTTGTTTCGCGACATTATGCCACTCAAAGATGCTTCATTTCTTGCTTCTTTCCTTAACGACAATGCTCTGGATAGATACTGCGTTCCTATTGAACTTTGCTCTGACAATAGCAGCCGTCCCGTTCGACATTCGAATTCGTTTACTCAATCACTTGCCATCGTCTCCCGGGCCGATGAGGCTTGGTAACTCACACTCCAAAGGTCGCTTCCGAAAATTCAACCGCATATTAACGTATCACGCACGAACATAGTTTGATGGCACTACAAACACAATCCGATGATATGCCAGCTGTTATCCTCAAATCATTGCCTGTGTATCAAGACTTTCGATACGAGAGAGGTAAGATAGGTTCATAAGCTGTCAGGTAGTTTGGACTAAACAAGGTTGAATTTACCCAATGTAGCACAAGATTCGAACGACTCTTCTCAAGGTAAAAATGTCAAAGCGATCCAGATACCCCAATACCACCCATTAATATTGATTCCAGATCTCTTGGTGACGTTTGCTTCAAATGGAAAGGAGATTCATGCCACCTTCCCCGAGAAAAAGTACATGATGATCGTACTGGATGAGCTGCGTACTATCACTGAAACTGCAAGTACGTATTACTATATTGTTATCACATGTAAATACTCACAAGTTGTTATAGGGAAGAATGGATATTGCAAAGAGTCAAATACTCATCGATGGATGGATGCCTACGGCAAATTTGGTGGTAAGAATGGGGGATGGAGATATGATACATGTCCACCTATTGATTTGTTTTTTTCGTAGCCGAAGAAAAGCCAAGCATTAAGAGAAGACCTCGTCCTGCCAGCAGCCTTCCCCAAGTCTTGCCTATGCAACGTACTGAATCAGAAGCATTTGTCAGCTTACGACGTGCCGCTTCACGTGCCGCTTCCAAGATTGCAAACCACGTCCCTGCGCTAGCAGCTAAAAGGCACTGGATCAATGCTCGCTTGATGGATAGAGAGAATGAGTTCGTTACTAGGGAACCAGCAAAGTAAGTATGAAGGAAGGTTATATCGTAAAAGGGGTTAACATGGGAATGCTATTAGAGTTTTTGCAGGAACCTGGAACGTGCATGGAAGTCTACCATCGGAATCATTGGCAACATGGCTTGTTGATCATGCCGATTCAAAGGAGGGTTTTGATCCTGATTTCTATGTCATTGGGTATGTTTGAAGTATCACGATTGCGACTTTGACTCATGCGAATGCCTCCTTTGTATAGCCTGCAAGAAATGGAAACGAACAAAGACGCCTATATCAGATATGATCCTACCAAGGAGAACGCCTGGGTTCAAGCGATATTTGACGCTCTGGGAACTAAAAGTGATGAATACTATAAGGTAATGGTGGAAATCCATGAATTTTTGTAAGAGATGAGGGCTCAATCCATTATGGGATAATCGATAGGTGGCCACACAGCAACTCGTGACAATCCTCATTATCGTCATTGCCAAAAAGAAGCACCAGCCTTATATCACTGAAGTTGAAACAAACTATGTGGGCGTAGGATTGATGAACATGATCGTAAGTCTGCATGGATGAATGAGGAGCTCTTATTGACGACCCGTAAACAGGGCAACAAAGGTGGTGTTGGTGTTCGTCTACGCTTCTATGACAGCTATTTGTGCTTTATTGGTTCGCATCTGGCAGCTTTTACAGACCAAGTCGATCGCAGAAACCAAGATTTTGCCGAGATATGCAAGAGGTTGACTTTTACGCATAAGCAAGATCCGCTCTTATCATACGTTGATCACTCTTGGAATGATGGTGGTGATGAAGGTGTCTCGTTCCTTGAAAATCAAGGCGTCAAATATGATTGGTCACAAATGGCATCCGTTTTTCATTCCGAGTAAGTGGGATCTCATTGTTGATGCATCACATGACATTAACATGTCAAACGTAGTTTTCTGATTTGGTTGGGAGATCTGAATTACCGTATCAATCTTACCGAGCCAGAGATCAAATCCCGCTTAGAACGCAAGCAAGTAGCCAAGCTGATGGACTATGACCAGGTAAGGAGGAAAATGGTATTGTGAGAGATGATATCGATATTAACTCCATCTTAGCTTTCCATTGAACGAAAAGCGGGTAGAGCATTCCCTATGTTTGATGAAGGCGACATCGATTTTCTTCCCACCTACAAGTTTGATGCAGGAACCAATCAATACGATACAAGGTGAGCCTTTGATACATGTATGCATACGTAGCCTTAATACTGATCCATATCATTAAGTGCAAAACGACGTGCACCTTCATGGACGGATCGTATTTTGTGGAAGAAGGAGCGGGTGCCCATGTCAAGCGAGATGAAGGAAGAGCGTGTCCCATCCCTGAAACTTGAACGTTACGACAATTGCATGGAGATGATGTCAAGTGATCACAAGCCTGTGTATGCACATATGGAGTTGCAGGTAAACATTCATGCCATCATCCTCTTTTGATGCGTCATCTTACGTTTCCTTTTCAGATCCGCCAAATAGACAGCAAGAAGCAAAAAGATACCAAAGCAGCATTGGCACGACAATTGGCAGAAACCAAGGATAATATCACCAAGGGACAAATCTCCTCTTCCTTTGTCGAATTTGGTGATGTCAACTTTATGGAGCACAAAGAACGCACTCTCATCCTTGAGAACACTGGGCAGGTGCTGGCACCTTTCCGATTTATCCCCAAAATGGATGAGAATGAAGCATGCCCCTCATGGCTACACGTACACCCTATGTCTGGTATCCTTGGACCCGGTATGTAGATTCATTCCATGTTGCCATAATGTGTGTGATTCACTGATATACAACGTTGCTAGGCGAGAAAGTGGTGCTTCATTTTGAGATCTTGATAGATCCCACTATCTCGACACCATTCAATGAAGGCACTGAAAAGATTGACAGCATCCTCGTATTACGCTTGGAAAATGGAAAGGATTTCTTTATCGTTGTCTCCGGGGTTTATCATCCTACATGTTTTGGCGTGTACTTGGATCAATTGGCACTCATGACATTGCCTGTCAGCGAAGCAGCTACTGCACCTTCCGACAAGAAATCGAAAAAGCAGCAACAACCAACCGAACCCTCACCACAACAAGCTACACTACCTAAAGAACTATGGCGTTTACTCAACTTTTTGTGGAACAAAAACATGCTATGCCTTGTACGTATATGAACTATTGCTTTGTGCTTATGGTGTCCTGATTATTGTTGTTGGTATAGGAATCATTGTTCTTGCAAAGTGGTGATCGCGTGGTGTCAAACTATATTCGTCGTTGTCTTGACACTGGAGAGCAATTTGATACCCATGTTCTATTGAGCGGCCGTGCTTCCGAGGATGATACCAAAGAAGATGATGATACAACAGGCGCAAATTCGATGATCGATGTGCTTGTGGCATTCCTTGAATGTCTACCAGAACCAGTGATCCCAACCAACATGTATAAACAAGCGCTGAAAGCTGCAGAAAGCGTCGAGGCGTTATCAGAGGTATATATGGATATCGTTGGATACAGGATTAGGCACGTGGATGACTGACATTGCTCTTTTTGGGACCTAGTTCAAGGACAAGTTGCCTTACATCCATCTCAACGTCCTTTTGTATATTACCAGCTTCTTGAAAGATGCCATCAAATATGCACCTACATCATGTCGTCAGGATCGTATAGCACAAATTGGTAAGTTGGTTTGGCTGCTTATGGATTATGATTGTTGTAATGCTGATTGATCTTGGTTTCTCCCCCCTCTTTCAGTGCAACTCTTTACAGTATTGCTTCGACCATCAATCGATTATAAAGAACAAAATCCTCTGTTTGCACAGCAGCAACGTGAACGATTTATCCATCAAATTCTCAACAATTGAATAAACAATACTATGAAAGACAAGACGTGTGTTTATACAATTGATGCATGTAGTGGGATGTTGCGTTTATTGAACAAGCATTTACTTGCGGGACTATAAGGAATAGCAAAGAAAAAAGGGAGAACGATTAGTATCAGTATGCATATCCAAATTCATAATCAATGATGATCTTACCTTGATCTTCTTGAGGTAGAACTCAAGCTCCTTGCCTTCAAGAATGTAACCGTCAGCACGACCACATTGACCAGGGCGGGAAGAGATGACGGCATAGAGACGACCGGCAGCAAATTGGTCATCCAAAAGAGTGTCGACGGCACCGTTTTGTTGACGAGCAGCGACCTTCTTTTGGACGCTCTTGGACTTTTGAGCAACGGCAGCAGCGACTTCTTCAGCCTTGGAAGTAGCGAGCTTCTTCTTGCCGAGGGGAAGAGCATAGTGGTTCTCGTACCATTGACGGAAAGGAGTGGCATCAATTTGGACAACAGCGTTCTTGACAAGAGTGTTGGTACGGACCAACTCGTTGTTGGAGGCGTTGTAGACGACAGTCAAGATACGGGTCTTGCGAGTGACACCTTCAGAGCCCCAAGAGTAGTTGCCAGACTCCAAACGAAGAGCACGGAACTTGGAGTTACCACCACGAGTGCGCACAGTGTGGACACGCTTGGCACCAAGCTTGGTCATGGCAGCAGGACGACCCAACTCGAACCTAGCAATCAATGACACACACATCCCATTAGTCTACCTGTTCCTCCTCATCCTCCTCATCGATCAAGCCAATCTCATCCATAAACGATATTTACTTTCTTTTCTTGCGGTAAGGAGTGCGCTTGGCGCCCGTTTTGCTATAGAGGACATGGCCATGTGAGTGATGCTGGCACAAAAAAGACAATCGCAAAAAATTACTTACGAGCACTTGCTCAACGAAGAACGGCTAATACCTAAATAGTGGCAAATGGATCAATACGACATTCAAAGGATGAAGACATTCCATCGATGGATGAGGATGGATGATGTGGATTGTGATTTCTTACCCATATTGGATCGTGAGGAAAGAGGAGGTCCCTTCTGTAGCGCTGCCTTGATTGCTTTGGCCGGCGGTCTGCCTGAGCTCGCACTACACTTCCACCCAGCCAACCCAAAATTGCTATTAGCCAATCACGCCGTTGCTTGCCATACACTATACCACACTACGCATATGCACATCTATATAATAAAATCATGCTTTAATATCTAATTGCTTATACAAATTGGCATAGTGAACGAAATCATGAACGAACTTTTAAAAGGAAAGGAGAATGGTGTCGTTGGATATAGTACATGGATCAATAAGGAGGAGGTGGTGGTGGTTGTGGTGGTAACAAAGAATGGGGTATACAGCATATAAAGGAAATCAAATGTAAACATATCAAAATGGCACACCCTGAAAATGAGGATCAAGCAACCTTATCGGTTTGCAGGACAATGGTGTTGTAGCTGCTGCAATGAGTGCATTTGTGGTGGAAAAAGTGGTATCGTGTGTCGGAACGCATTTCACAGTCGTTGCAAAAAATACGTGAGATGTAGTGGCTGTATTCCTTTGGCATAGGTTGCTGGGCGACTTCCCTGTCAAGGAATTGAAAGTAGTGTGACATATCCGTCATGGATTTGAGACATGTAGGGCATTTGTAGGCAGTTTGGCTGTAGGCAGTGTAGCACGATCTATGTAAGCAATGTCCACAAGGCTATTATTATTGAACTTTATGTTAGCACAATGAGGATTCAAAATGTACCAAAACAATGACTTACCAGAAACGCAATAGCTGTTCGACTTGTAAACATGTATTCTCCACAAATGGGACAATCACTTTCGAGGCTGCGTTCGATACATTTGTGGTTGTCCTTCATGCTGATTGTCATGCACACATTACATGTTGCACAATGAAAGTAATCCTCGGGATTTCCTGTACGACAAATGCCACATTCATCACAATGAAATATGGATTGATTGGGCTGATCATCCCAAAGCTTGCATTTGTCGCAGTAGTACCGAGCCATCTCCGTATTACATTCGCCACACACCTTTGCAGGTGATTGAAGGGTGTTGCACAACATACATAACATGCTCTTTGTTTCATGCCTGTAGAATATAAGAAACATCATCAAAGAGAAGCTTTAGTTACAATCCGTGCTTTAAAACGATGCATGTAACTTCTTACCAAACTATCGGGTGATCTTTTGATTCATCATGGCATATCCGGCAAGGGAAGATTTCGTTGCAACAGGCAGCTTGGATCTTGGCTTTACGAGCATAATGTACACAACCCAAAATCTTTTGTCCTTTATCCTAGATAAAGCAATGTATGGTATGATGAGCATTATGTTTTTTTTCCAAACATCTTTTATTGTTCATTACATGATATGTCTTCTCATGAGGATCGACCATCCATGCTTCAGGTTCGGGCTTACTCGCTTGGGAGGCTGATGCCGTCATGAGACGCTATTATTTCACTTGTTAGATCATTATCCACAATGATGGTATGATTCGAGGAACATGTGCACAAGATGTATATATATGAGATATTACCATACCTGGATCTTTCTAGCCTTGGTTTGACTGTCTAAGGAAGAATCTTGATAAATCTCCCGTATCCGTTTACGTAAATCAACATCGGATGAACTGGATGATGACATGGATGAAGAAGAGGAACGTCGACAAAGCGAAGATGACGACGACGTTTGATGAAAAGCAGAGAGGCGAGTGTCAACGCCTCCCATGACAACTCTTGGTTGATGAGACCGACGTGATATAGGGTGATGGTGGTGGTGGTGGCTATTAGCCGCCGGTAAGGGATCGGTCATCATATCTCTCTATTGTTGTCTTGTTCTTTCAATATAGGATATAAAAAGAATGGAAACGATAGAACTATCAATATGGGTCGTTGCAAGAATTGAAAGGATCTTTTTTAATGAACGAAGGAAAAAGAGGAAGTAAGCATCATCCATTATCAAGCAAACGTTGTATCGTCTTTAGTCGCGCGAAAACCACGGCTTGGTGTAACCCAGGAGTATACAAGGACGCATAGGAGAAACAACGGATCCACAAAGTGAAAACACATGGTCCATGCATTTCACTGTTTGACGACGTACGACAATGATCGGATGAGTGTGGATATAGAAGCAAATGGATCATCATCGCCTTTAACCCCCCATTTTACTCCTACTATAGGTTGATGTAAGGGAATATAGGCACATGCACACATAACGCCGGGTCAATACTTTGCCCAATAGTCATATCGCGCGAAAGCTTATGAGTGTGTTTCTGCCATTTATTGTGTAACATCTTCAAATAGGATGAGCTGTCCCAAATAGGTGGCTCTTGCTCGCCCGTGGCCGCGTGTGCCTGACATCACCCCACGTTTGGCCACTAACACACCCCCCAAGGTGGCTGCAAGTCATCACTTTTGTATCTCTTTTCAACTATGCTCCCAAACGCTTACCATCCGCGAATTGCTGAAACATGTGATCTGAAAAAAGAGCGGTACTTTTCTTTGTTTCTCAACTGCATATTCGCTTTTGGATGTTTTCTTTGTCGATCCATGATTAAATGCATGTAGCTAAGTCGGTATATCATTTGTTCGCGCGAACATTGGAAAATACGCCATTCTACGTAATCATAACCCTCATAGCAATAGCCAATCAATAAGATGTGAGCGAGCTAATCAGCCAATGGATGATTTAGTAGTATAGTAGCAGATCCAATCAATGAAAAAGTATTATTGCATAATATTACGAAAAAGCAGGATTCTAAGATACATCATTAGAGTATATACAGAATGTAGGGTAAAGTAACAAGAAGATGAACAAACGACAATGATGAAAAAAGCATGTGCATCTAACTATGCTCCTTAAACTTGAGCATCAACAGATCGCCTACTTCACTAATTTCTTTCAGAGCATGATCTATGAAAGTACCATTGTCAGCAACATCAATAATGAATAAGCAGTAGTATCGCATACCTAAATCTTCTCTGGTATGAGCTGCTGATACGCAAAAACGAGCTCGGGAGCTGATAATAGGAGTCGCGGGATAACCAACAACACAAATAGCGATATCTCGCTTGAGCATCTCGCGCGAAAACGCAGAAATCTTTCCAGGATTGAATAAAAGTAAGGGAACAACAGGACTTCCTTCGTCTCCATAAACAATGAACCCCATTTCACGGAGCCGTGAGGCGAAGTAATGTGCATTGTCGGCTAATTGTCGAATACGGTTTGCACCATCATCCGTACCATCTTCACCTCTATCGAAAAAGAATCAAAGAACATCACCATCTCCGTTAGTATGCAGGTTCCGATAGGGATGCCGACAACCATATCCTCCCCATAATTATCTCCCTTTTGCTCATCTCTTTCTCTCTCTCCGCTGATGACTCTATTTACCTGATAATTCCCAGGCTGGTGATCACTTGCTGAGTGACAAGCGGTGTAATCGACTCGGCATAGAGGAAGGAATGGTTGGTAAGCCGCAGGCGGTCAATCACTGCCTATTCAGAACAAATAAAAGGTCAGCTCGCGCGAATCTATCAATTTTTCTCTCTCCACCACCACCACGCTCGTACCTTGTCGCCTGCAATGTAACCTCCTGCTGCACCAAACGATTTCGTAAAAGTGCCCATTAGGATATCAACGTGTTTCGGATTCACGCCTATCATAGAACATTCTCGTAAGACGTCCGCTGCCGCTGCTGCCAACAATGCATGCAATAGCAAATTTACCATAGAAATCACAAACACCGCCACCATGTTCGCCAAGAGCACCGATCGAATGAGCTTCATCCACATACAAATAAAACTAAAAAGTGTGTGTATGTGCATTCAGTCAACAAATCAAATAAAAACACAACCAAGATCTTACCTTGAATTCACGTTTCAATTTGATCAACTCGGGCAAATTGACAACTGATCCTTCCATAGAGTAAAGACCTTCGACAATCACAAGGATTTTCTTCCATGGTCGATGCGTACGTGGTTGACCTTGAGAAATGACCTCACGCAAAAGGTTACGTAAATCACCCATGTTGTTATGCTTGAAAACACGGATCGATGCGCCTGATAAACGTGCTCCAAAAACAATAGAACTATGGTTCAACTCGTCACTGATGATCAAACAACCCTAAACAAATAGTCGACACGTTAGCTACTTTTATCCTATCTCCCCCTGCAAATCGTAATGTACCTTTCCAACGAGTGATGGGATCGTAGTCGAGTTGGTTGCAAAGCCCATGGATACAACAATAGCATCTTGCTTGCCAACAAAGCGAGCCACTTGAGCTTCCACTTGACGATGCAAATCCAAGGTACCCGTTTCAGTGCGAGTGCTTGCACACGTAATACCATATTCACGCACAGTGTCCTCCACCGCATCAGCACAAGGTCCTTCGGCTTGAGCAAATCCAAGATAGTTGTATGAAGCAAAATTAAGAGCATCGATCTTGCGTCCGGTCAATCTGGATATTCATCATCAGTCATCCATGTTGTATGTAGGGGATATCCCATGCAAAGAATTACCTGAATGTCTTGTTGAAATCATCCGTTTCTCGTTCCAGCACCTGGGTCTTTCGGGTAGGCACACCGGTGATAGGTCGATTCCAGCAATCACTAAAATGGTTCACATGACATGGATAATGTAAGGTTTTTGGGTTTACCAAAAGAGATCAAGTGCATTACTGCATTGGGATATTTACCGAATCCGCATATACATCCGGCGAGTGTAAAAGGAATCGAAATCAGAGACCAATGGAGCATAACCCTACAAGAGAGCCATTGATGAATATATATACATCGTGAGGATTGCCTTTATTTACCTGGTTGTTTCGTAAATGAGCGTACTCCTTACGTTTAAACACCTTGCCAAGCACATCACGCAAATGACCAAGTAGAATAAGCACCAAGTAGTTCAAGTAAGTTGACACCAATACATAAAGAGGAGCTTCTTCCATCTTTTGCTGGAAATCCTCATATTTGCGTTGAGCAGCAGCTACTGAATGGCGTCGTTGGGTGGGTGTAACATGTTTGGCATGGAACCATATATCCTTGTCGACTGCCAACTGGTTACTGGTAGTGGTGTTTGCTTTAAGGTTGGAAGGTACAAGCGAAGGATGTATCATTTTAGGAGGATACGCTGATGAGACCGAGTAAGCTCGTCGTGTCTTGCCAACCAACGATGACAATGAGAATGTGCGAGGTCGATTGGTCGTTTGTCGAGGTGCAGGGCTCGGGGTAGTGGTGGTGGCAGTAGTGGAGGTGGTTGTGATGGTTGGAGTAGCCGTTGCACTCGCATTGGAAGAGGCATTACTTGTGCTGTTGGGGGTTGGAGTAGACATGTCGTTGTCTTGTTGAGAAGCTGATTGGATTTCAATGCTGGGAACCTGCAGAGTGTTGTTGGAAGTGGCTGCCGACATGCCGATCGATGAGGAAAGAAAAACAAAGCAACAGCGACCCACTCCTTGACAAGAGTGGCTGGTTGGTTTTAGATTCATTACCACCAGCCACCGTAGCGCAGTGTAACCCCCTTTGCAATGCACACCCTGCAAATCAAGACATCACACATAGAGACTCTCATGAACATTCAATGCCTGTAAATGTATAAACTCCCAATACACCTCTCAAGTAGAAGGACTATGTGATAGAGTGATCTTCTTGTATAACCATCTATGCATTAAATTGGCTTAAGATGCAATCAAAGCTTCTTCCAAATGGCATTACTCGATTACTGGAATTGAAAATCTGATAACTTGTGTCAAAGAAGAGATCTTGGATGCTGAAATACAATTAATGATTGAGTGAGGTTCATCGCTGAAGATGGCTGATGCGTCAACTTGTTGATCAATTTGGTTGGGCGAATACCCGGTAAAGTACAGCTAACATTGTGCAACGTGATAATGACATAAGCACCCTCCATCATGAAGAAACATAAATGTTATGGAATGCAACATGAAAGCAATCTATATTAACTAATATCCTAATACGAGGACATGCTAAAGCAAATACATAGAAGACTAGTACAAGAAACAACAAAATCAAAATACGTATTATACTACAAACGATGACGGCCCGATAAAGATCATCAACGTCTAGCTTTGCGTTTCCAGTAACAAAGCCCCAGAAATACAATCACGTTGAAGCCAAAGAAGGCAGCGACGATACCTAGATCACGCCACTTGTTGGCAGCATCCCATCCAAATGAAGTACTGTAATACTCCTTGCCAGAGCTGAAGGGACAATATTGGCACATGGTGTCGGTGGCATTGTCGTTGGCAACATAGCCAAGAGCCCCATTGTTGAAAAAGTTGGCCAAGTATTCGCCGCATGTTTGACCTGGTGGAGGAGTAAACTGGACAAAATCCTTTTCAGTGCATTCCACAGGAAGATTTTCCAATTCGTTCACGGATAAGCCTTCAATGAAATAATGGAATGGATCTATGTAATCCAATGGTCAATATCAACGCATGTACATACACCCAATAAAAGGTAAAACTTACTCAGCCAATACATCCATGCACTCCAAAAGCGTGGCATTGCATATACCGTTTGCATCAAGCCCGCAAACAAGATGAGGATACAAATGCACATAGGGTTGATAATAGCGGCCAAGGTAGGATTCTCGGCGATGGAAGCGATAAGGAAGCCCAAGGTAATAGCCCAAAAGACAAACAGCCTTTTCAAGAGTGAACGTAATAAAGGTAAGTCTCATGAAGTAGCATTCTCATCCTAAGGTGGTACTTACACAAGCATAAGGTAGAAATAGCCAACTGCCTCGGACGTGTTGACCAAACCTGCTGTCCAATACATGCCGCACATGAAGAAGGCGGAAAATACAAAGATGTATGGGACTTCGACCAAGATGGCGGCAAATGCAAAAGGCATCCATCCATAAAAGCGAGATGCATATTCACGGCGAAAGTAAAGACGCTCGACCATAAACTTGGGTTGGGCGAGAATGATCTACGAAATGAATGCCATTGTGAATCAACCGATCTTTGGATAGGACAATGAAACTTACCAGCATGTTGGCCATAATGAAGCTGTTGAACAAGACAAAGAGACGATTTTGCATGTCGATAGAGGAATACGTCATTTTCCAAAAGGTGAAGCCATTGAGCAACGAGATGAACATGATAGTCATAAAACGACCAATGTTGTAATCAGGTGATCGCCAATAGACAAGAGCCATGCGCTTGTTGACCATGTAGAATTGATACCAGAACGAAGTTGCATAGGTAAGCGCCTTGCGATTGGGATGCTGATCGGCAGTCGTGTGGATCTGTTCAAGCTCATCCTCCAATGCCTTTGCTTCCTTGGAATTAGCCCACACCTCGGCCCAGTCGCGTTTCGCTTTGCCTGCAGTACCGGCACCAACCACTTCAAGAATGTACTCGGCGGGATTGGCTTCAGGTGCACATTTGGGACCACCGTTGGATTCAAAGTAGTTGATCATGGTACGAGCATCGGGACCAATCTCTCCATAGTATGCAGTCTTGCCTCCACGAACGAGCAATAAAAGATGATCAAAGTATTCGAACAGAATGGAAGAGGGTTGATGGATCGTGCATAAAACAGGCCATCCAGCATCCGCCAATTTGCGAATGAATCGAACAATGTTGTATGAGCTTTGAGCATCCAATCCAGAAGTGGGTTCATCCAAAAAGATCAATTGTGGTTTGGCAACGAGTTCCATGGCAATTGTGAGCCGTTTGCGTTCTTCAACTGAGATACCACTTCCATGGTCAAGTTCACCAATTTGTGCATCAGCAATATCATCCATCTCCAATAGCTGAATGATTTGCTCGACATAATCATCCTTCTCTTGCTGTGGAATATCGGCATCTTGACGCAAATAAGCTGAGAATCGTAATGCTTCACGCACAGTAACAGCAGGCTGATGGATATCCATTTGCTCGCAATAGCCGGTGATACGATCAAAGTCACTCAAAAGGGCTTCACCATTGAGATACATTCTTCCATCAACATGGCCAATGGTCTTACGACGAGCCAATACATCAAGCAATGTGGTCTTGCCAGCACCAGAAGATCCCATCAAAGCAGTCAAGTGGCCAGGCTTGACAATACCAGAAATGTCGTTGAGCAAGTGAAGTGGACCACCCTTGAAAGGCACACTATAATTCACATGTTGCCACGAGAATGTTGTACCCGTGGACACCTTGCCCATGGTGGAAGTCATATCTTGTTGACGACGACGACGCTCATCTTCTTCCTCAGCTGTACGGGGCTTTGGCGCCTTGCCAGGGAGGTATAACTTGGTCACTGCACCACCTTTGCTGGTATTGAAGTATTCCATGCATAGAGAGTTGACGACAATGAACAACAACCCGAATCCCAAAAGAACCAAAAAATCTGGCCACAAAAGATTAGGTTCAAAGCTGAGCGCATTTCGCAAGTAGTCGTCTCCTAGCACATGATCTTGGCCTGGGGTGCCACCTTTCATAACACACACCTATTTTATATACAAGTGAGTATGGATACCTTGATTGACCAATGAGAAATTTCACTTACTTTGTGATTCCAATCATCGTAACCAGGACCATATGGAACAGCATTACCAGGTCCTTCGCATGAGTAAACTTGGTCTTTCATCTCGTTAATCAACAAAGCCTTATAGCCATAAGCAAGTGGGTTGATCCAATAAATCCTGAAAACAATAAAAAATGAGTCTTTGTATTGTTGATATGAATCGGGCTGAGCACATACCAAAAGAACCATGGATGCATTGAATCATATGGGATGAAATCTAGATGTTTGATAAGCACAATGCCGCCTTTTTTGATTGCTGCAAACTTACATCCGGTGTAGATGAAAATCAAAATGAGCAAAAGACTTGTCAACTGAGAGGCCACAAAGAAACTCGAAGAGACAATGCCACAAAATCTGAAAAAGCCATTCATGGTCATCATCATGCAAAAGAGAATCAAGAAGTAGGTGAAGAAGCGACCAGCATCCAAGTTGAGACCCATCATGAAATACGAGCACACCTCGAACAAAAGGACTGTAATGAAAAAGAATTAGCAACATCATCGTCGTGTATGTTGGATAGTGTGTATTACCTTGAGTAACAGCGAATGGGATATCAATGATGACTTGAGAGATGTAAAAGGCGGATGGCCGATACATGGCAAAGTGCTTATGCTTCTCCAATACAGGACGACCTGTTAAATACGCCACGAGCGAAGATTGTGATACGAGCACAACAAAGACCATGGCAAACATAAGACAACCAGCTCTTGAGAATGCACCTGAACCCGTCAAAGGGATGTTGAAAAAGCATGAAGCAGTAACCAAGCCCTGGATGAGAACAGTGCAAAAGCTTGATATCAAGGATTGCTTATCCTTGATCATCATTTGATATTGGCGAATGGTAAGTGCTAAAACTTGCTGATAGAACGATGCTGTATAAGGATCCTTTTTGGATGCACGCTTTTGATGTTCTTCATGGACCGCTTCTTCAAAGAGCTTGGATGGTTTCTCTTCTTGGATGTGTTGCTCAAAGGCATCCAATTCGGCCATCATGGATTTGTATACATCAGATGCATAGTAACGTTCTTGGAATTGAGAGGCAAACTTTGGCACCGAATCCTCATAACCAGGCAAAACTTGACGCTCCAATGGATTACAGATACCAGTCAAGAAATCAGGTGTCGATTTGCGTGGTGGACAATAAAAGCCAAGATCTTCAAAGTAATCACGAGCTTTGCCTACTGGACCAAAATAGATGCAGTAGCCTTCGTCGAGTAAAAGGACCTTGTCAAACAATGAGAAGATGCTGTTGGATGCTTGATACAAGGTAGCAATGGTGGTCTTGTTGAATACATTGGTCATGATACGCAACGAACGAACATAATCGAGTGCTGAAGCAGCGTCAAGACCACGTGTTGAGCAATCCCAGCAATTCACACAAGAGCTTGTAACCATAACTTCTGCAATCGATAATCTTTTGCGTTCGCCACCAGAGAGACCACGGATGAAAGCACTGCCAACCAAAGTATCCATTTGCTTTGTAAGACCAAGCATGTTGCCAAGGAGATACAAGATCTTGTCGACAAAGTCGGCTTTGGTCTCGTTGGGTAAACGATTGCCAGGTGTCTTCGTGCGGAGGGCAAACTGCAACGTCTCCTTAAGCGTAAGAGTAGGGTAATGCTGATCTTCCTCCTCATTATAGACAACTTGACCACGATAGCGCTTGGCAAATGTATCAGCATCAAGACCACCATAGCTAACATCACCATCGATACGCGTATAGGATCCACGTTCAAGAGCAAGGACCTTCAAGAGCGTTGTACAGCCTGCGCCTGGTCGACCTAGCACAAGTAACATCTCGCCAGGTTTGCAAAATCCATTCAAGCCCCGGAGGATTGATTTCTTGCTGGCACTATTACCAATACCAAATAGCTTCCATGGCTGGATCAACGATCTCACACGGCTAAAATTGGTGGGAATGATGTGTGCATCTGCACCAAGACCCTATGATCCAAATATTCTACGTGTGAGCAACAACGTAATAGTATGTAGATAATACAATGCATACCTCAACTACCAAGTTTCTCCAAATCAGGCCCAACTGCTTTGATTTGGTACCGGCTTGTGCAGCTTGATTCGACATGCCATGCAAAAAGTCATCAAGGTTGAATTCTTCCGCATTGCCTTCTTCAAGCTTGGCATCATTGTTGGTGGTTGTGCGGCTGATCCTTGATAGCTCACGTTTCACTTCATTGTATTCTTCAATAGCGGCTATATTGCAGATCACAAAAACCCAAAATTGTGTCAGATCGAAAATCTCTTTTTGTTTTATTGTTCTTGTTACCTTCAACGGAAACCGCATTGGCATCTGGTTCGCCATAGGAATCGCTTTTGCCAGGGCGCTCGTCAACTTCAATCGTGTCAAGGGAACCTTTGGCAGAAGCAGCGTCAGGCTGGCGGCTTGCTTTCTCCATCAAGTGATGTAATCCGTAATTTCAACAAAGAGGAATGTGTGTGTGTGTGTGTGTATGATGATGGGAGTAAAAAGGCACCGATTTGATCTGATCTATAGCGTGGTGTTGGGAAGAAGAAATGGAAAAACAGCGATGTTTATATATTAGTGCCAAATCTTGTGATTGTAACACCTGCCGGGAATTTCGGGAACCGTTGCAGGCGTTGTATCCCTTCAACACGAGAGCAATAGATCATAAATTGCTGCGGATCGCGGGATTGACAAAGTTTTTAAGCGGCAGTGGGGAGGGTAAAACACGCTATTGAGCATTGTACACTATTACTTGATTTGGATCCACGCCTGCTGCTGCGGCAAGCTGTCCCTGCTGCGGTCAGGTTTGGGTGGCTGCGACAATTGGATGATCCACCATCATGGTTTTGATCCGACGCATGACACCTCGTCACATACACACTCCTCCCCAATGCATCCTCAACACTTCTACATAGCTCAATCTCTATACAATCATGAAAAACGCAATAAAAAAAGATGCAAAAATGCTTTACTCTTGATCCTACTATGACACAATTGGTAGATCACAACATAGACACCATGATGTACGCTGATAAGCAATACCGAGGTCGCACAATGAGCATCTCGGTTCGGTGATCGGATGGCAAGTTACCGTCCCATTCATTGTAAGATGCTAAGTAGCTAAGTAGCCTTTGTCTCTTTAGGCATTTACATACGTAGCAAATGTCTCTAAATGTCTCTTTAGGCATACATACGTGGGCAATTTACAAGATCGGGCTCTACAGTGGTCATTTTGGGATTGGATATATCAACGCCATGATCTATTATCATCCTCTCACATGGCACGCTGTACGTGAAAGCATTTGATAAAATTCTTTTTCAAACACCATTTTAGCTCATTGCATCTGCAATCGCTTGCTTAGTACAAGTAGTAGCATGGAGATCCATGTGCTGATCCATGTTTCAGTATCACATGAAGCATTGCAGATAATGTGGCTCTAAAACGAGGACACTTGAAACTCTTTAATATATAGGCAAGCGAGGGGTAGTATTATCGATGATCATGGATGTATGGTCGGCCCGACATTGTTTACAAACAAATCTAAATCTCTACCATGTTGGCTTCATATGACGTCGGAGAAGATACAGCTTTGACATAAATATGTGGTATTCACATGCAGTGTTTGTGGAACGTAATGGGTGGTGATCGAACTCGCTGAAGACGAGAATGCAGACGGTGGTGATTACACCACTTTTATAGTTGACAAAGTTGTATGTATGGATAATGATGATTGTCTAGGGTGGCTTGATCCTGTGCCCACAAAAATAGATGATGATGATGATGATGATGAAGCTACCAAACGTGTAAACAACGGCAATGGCTTACATGCGCACATTCATGTTTTACATCCGAAGTTACTTACAGGTTGGGTTGTTCAAGCTCAGCAATTGAGCTGCATAACGCAATGGGATGCGCACGGACCTGATTGCCATAGCAACGTATGTTTTACCATGTAAAGCATGATCATGATGGTTATGCGCATTGCGCTATTGAGATGCGATGCGTTTTATTGATCAAGACATAGAAGATGGTATTTACAGCTGCGACCGTAGCAAATACGGGCTTGACAAAAGGAACCGCCCCTTCTTCTCCTCCACTTCCACTTTACGAATTCAAGACTACATCCATTCAACTACGTCCCATCAACTGCTGCCATTGCCAACAATCTTGGACGCCATCAGCAGCGCATGTCAACCGATCGCTGGTCATTGCCATGTCAAGACCAATGCCGATGCTTTCCAATCAGGCTCCTTCTTAAGGCTAACCCCCTGACACGAGCTTCATTTCAACGCGACACGTACGTTGCAATACTTTGCCTGCTTGTTGCTCAAGTTGGGCATTACGAACTTATGAAGTCCATGTTTAGAACGATGTCCTCTCGTTTCCAAAAGTCCAAAGGCGTGTTGTTGGATGGTACTCCTGAAGCTCACTGGTAAGTGTAGCATTGGCCATACCAAACGAGCACTGTCGATTAATGATTCTTGAAATGATGCCTTCCATGAAGATGCTGCAGCTTCCTTCTTTTCGGTAGCGGTGATACAAGTATCGTTTCCATGGCTTGAAGGAAGTTTGGTGATGTGGATCGTTCCCATAGCCGATCATTTCAATTCAGTGTTTTTGCTGTTATGAAGGTCCGAATTCTCTTTCATTGTCCTTGAACCTTTCTTCTAATATGTGTCCCTTGTTAGGCTTACTCTGTAAGCAACTTTGGTGTCCTCAAGCTTTTTCCCATCACATCAGCACTGCCATCTCATGCTATTCTATGTGCATCATTTCCAGCAAACGACTTGGATATGGTGACGTTAAGGTTATTCGATCGTCTTATGTACGGTGACCATTGTCAAGTGCCTTCAAACGACAGCACATTCAGGCATCCTTACGTTTTAATACGGGTACGTCCTTGACCTTGAAGCAGGAGACACCCCATGAAGTTCAGCAAGTGATCATTACGCTCCTTCTACAAATGACGTTCCTCTTACAATGCCAAATTACGGACAATCATTTTGTGGCATGGTTTGCTGGGTAAGTACTTGTATTGCAATATCAAGTATAGGTATCATCCTAATTACTGGTATTAGATATATGAGGCGAAGGGCCAATTCAGTCTTTCCAAGAATAATAATGCAAAGTTCAAGATAAATTACAAAGGAATCAGATGACATTGGCACGTGGTTGGAAATAAAGCTTGTTGTTTTCTGAATGAAGGCTTGTGTGTGTGTATGTCCATGTCGGTGGTGACTATCAAGGTTGCTCTTGCACGTTATCAGCTACTCCTTAACGCCTGATGTACTTTTCAAGTAAGGCGCGCTATTCATAGATAACCATGTAAAAAGGGGCCCAATTTAAACCACTCCTGCTTCACACCTACTAACCCACTAGACAATAGCACATTATTGAATGATTTCATGGCTGTGTTTTTAAGCTTTCAGAGCAAATAAAGAGAATATGATAGACAATACAAGAAAATTGATATGCGGGGGGAGGGGAGAGAAGAGAGAAAGAGATTGTGGAGATGTTGTGATGATATGCGAGTGCAACAAGTGTGCTCATATGCGTATGTGAGATCTGTTAGGAGCGACCACTAGTAGTAGTAGTAGGCGGGATGGCAAAAAAAAGCGAGAGAGAAGATGGATGAGGAAGGAGGATCAAGGATACAATTAAGTTTGGAGGGAGAAATATAAGAAAGGGGGTGGTGGTGGTGGGTGGTGGTGATGATCGTTATCTACAGCAGGCCACCTTCACGAAGATTGTTTTGAATAATGATATCATTCACTGCTGCCATGACAAACCGGATTTGTTGTGTATCGGTGGCACAGGTGAAATGAGTATAGATTTGTTTAGAGTCGGATTGGTTGAGGGAAACAAATCGATTCAAGATATAATCGCTCGTTGCTTCGTATGTTTCTGGGCCCGTAAAATCAGGGAAGTTTTCAGTAAGTGGATGTTTTGGCAGCTTCTCCTTGAAGATATCGATCTTGTTGAGGAAAAGAATGATGGATGTCTTTACGAACCATCGTGAATTGCAAATGGAATCAAATAGCGTCAAAGCTTCTTGCATACGATTCTATACAAAACATTGGTGATGAGTGATTTACTACTACCACATGCAAGGAAACCCCTGGGTAGTATGCCATGCTGCACTTACCACCGTCTCATCCTCTATAAGCACTTGATCATACTCTGAGATTGCCACCAAAAAGATGATGGCAGTGACGTTTTCAAAGCAATGGATCCACTTTTTACGTTCGGATCGTTGTCCGCCCACGTCAAACATGCGATAAGTCAAATCGCCAATGACAAATGTTGTCTCAGTGATACCCGTTGTCTTGACACGCGACCGAAGCACATCTTGATCCGTGGGTACGTAATTCATATCACCGATACGATCAATGGAATCGAAATAGCTATATAGCGCATACCTACATTAGCATTCACCCACATAAAGAAGTTGTTGTTGATTTACTTACTATTTGGCTGAATCATTAAGCTGATATTCACGGCTTCGTTCAAAAACGCCTTGCAAATTGGGATCTTTCCAAAGTGTCTTGACGGCTTGTGTCACCTCTTGCGGAAGCGAATCACGCTCAATTTGGGATGGCAAGTCCATAATGATGGTGGCATGGTGACGGTTGGACGAGTGTGACAGTGCCACACCCATATTATCCATGGCTTCTAAAATCACACGCATTGATTGAACCGTATTTGAAAAGATGATCTCCTTGAACGCCTCTCGTTCGTCGTGTGAATATCCTCCATCATGAATCAATTTCATCTGCTTGAGAATGGTGGATTTGCCTGATTCACCAGCACCTGTTGTTGTTGTCGTGCGTTGAGTCAGCCACACAATCATCTTGTCATACCCTCTTGATAGGATACATACCGAGCAACAGCATTTTGACTTCGTTTCGCATGTTAAGTTTATCGCGTTTGAGTTGATTTTCGATCTCTTCGTTACGTGCCTTGCCATCGTGAACCTCGTTGGATTGACAGCAGCCCATAGTGACTATGATGAAGGTGTATAGATGTGTGAATAAAGAAAGAAAAAGATGAAAGTAAAAGAAGGAAAGAGAAGAGAGAAAGAGAAAAGAAGAAGAAAAAAAGAGAGAGAGAAACGTATATGTTATATCAGTTGATCTTTATTCTTTTTGCCCACTCTCCTTGTTTCCTCAAAAATCGACCACTACCACTATCACCATCATCACCACCATCAACCTTCATCCCTGCTACTCCTTGACCTCTCCCTTTTCACCTGTGCATCATATGCACTCGCTTTGACGAGTACACCGTAAAAGAAACATGGTGTTGTATATATATCAAATACACAACAACAGGCTTTCTTTTGTTATTTCCATATCCCCTTTCCCCCTTTTACATTTCTTAAAGTTCAACTTTTCTCTCTCATTTTTAAATGAAGAAATCTTTCATTACCGTGATGGCTCATTTTCGTTAATGGCACGAAAGGAAAAAGCGGAAGAGAGTGTGCTTGCTACACCACCTTGATGTCTATACCTGCTTCGTGTGGAGAACCATGGTTGCACAATGGTCGGATGAGGATGTCCGCGCGTACAAAAAAGTGATGTGCTAGGAAAGGAGGAGATGGAGGAGGGGCAATGGTGCTTAGCAAAAAAGTAGCTTACCTGACTAGCTTGGGTTGACAGGCTAATAAAGATCTTGACGGATGCTCGTGCTGTTTTAGGGGAGAGAGAGAGAGGAGATGACACTCGTCAATAACAGATGCAACTTTTTCGCAATGGAGAATAATACAAGGGCGGGTATGTATATACGATTTCACAATGACCAAAGGGAAAAAAGAGGGCAATGGATGGTTCATTGTTCATCTTTTTTGCTGGGTAGGATATACTCTTTCTCTTTCTTTGGGGGGTCCCGAATCTAGGGGTAAATGTCGTCGCTAATCAAGGTTATGGGCAACACAAGAAGCGAATACACAAACATCATGAAACTTTGAGAACATGTTGTGCATGCTACTATTCATTTCCAATAATCTTAAAAGAGATGATATGGTTTATTATCCCTCCACCGATATGTCATTTTCTTGAATGATGCACCATCGTTTCTACAACAACTTCATGTAGATCATTCAAATCTGTGAGCGGGGTTGTGACAAGTTGCAAGCTTGACATGATCGTTTGTGTCACCTATAACTTTTGCGCACAGGCCTGTCATCATAGACTAACTAAATCACTTTTTCTCGCTCTCACACTCCCATGACCATCCATGATACTTTGAATAGAAAAATGTAAATTGTATTAGCAATAAGAAAAACTAATCCAAGAGAGAACCGCCACCATTGCTGGTATTGTACGATTGACCCATGTTAGTGGGGTAAGGTTGCTGCTGCTGTTGCTGTTGCGGTTGCTGTTGCCAGTATCCTGCTGGTGGTGGTTGTTGCATTTGTTGATACTGAGGAGGAGCTGCTGGTAGAGGTGGTTGTGCTCCGGATAAAGGTTGTTGTTGAGGTTGAGCATTGATTGGAGGAGGAGGATGAGAGGAAGCACCCATGTAAGGTTGTGGCTGTTGTGGTAATGGTGGTGGTGGAGGAGGAGGAGGTTGTTGTTGCTGCTGTTGCTGTGGCTGTCGATAACCAGAGATGGCAGAGGATGACAACATTGGATAATAACTTGGTGTTGTCGAAGTTACAGGAGATGACAATGGCTGTGTTTGCATCTGAGGAGGCTTGCTTGGAAGAGGAGGTGGTTGCTGTGGTTGCTGTTGCTGAGGAAACGAATAAGATGTAGGCGTACTTTGTGTTGGCATGGATACAGCAGGTTGCTGATAACGCTGAGAATAGGGTTGTGCTGGCTGCTGTTGAGGCATCATGGGTGTGGATGGTGACATTGGAACAGGCATTGTCGTATTACCACCATACATGTTGTTGGGTGGATAAGGCATCGTTTGCTGTAATGGTGGTGGTGCCCTATTAAAGTTCTCCTTTGGTGGCATAGGAGGAGGTACAACAGGACTGCTTTGTGCATACGAATAAGAAGATGTCGATAATGCAGGATACGAAGTAGCAGCTGGATTGGAAGAGTATGATGGCGCACGCTGGAGTGTCTCTGATTGTGGTTGCTGTGGCTGCGGTGGTGGTTGAGATTGAGGCAACGGGTACGGTTGCTGTTGTTGCTGCTGTTGTTGCTGTGGCAATGCAAAATTGGTATAAGGTGCGGGCTGAGCCGAGGTAGTTGAATAAGGTTGAGATTGGGTGGAATAGGTTGAAGGTGTCAAAGGAGATGCTGTTGGCTGTGGGCCATACACATTATTGGTATTGTTTCCACCAAGGGTCATTTCACGAGTCTTATCAACCAGTTGGGTGACCGATGGGCTGGTATCGATTTGAGGCACTGTTGGAGCTGATGGTGTGGTAGCAGTGGTGTACTTGCTTAGCTTTTCCTTGAGCATCTCCTGTTCCTTGGTGCTACGGCTACTTTCAATCCTCTCCACCAACTTGTCTCGCTCTTGACCACGCTCTGCAGTGAACTTGTTGACATTGCGAGTAAGGGACTCAATCACATCACACAAGCTGGAATAAAACTCGATCCCCTTTCTATATGAAATTATAAGTATACAGTATCCATATTCATGCCATTGTTTTGATCCTTTACCTGATTCCATTTTTAGTTTCAAAATAACGATGATGAGCCTGTCCCAGTTGATCCATAACAATGCGACGTTGTCGTTCAGCAGCGTCCCAACGTGATTGGAGCTTTTGTGCATCTTCTCCTTCCATAAGTGCCTTGAATGCAGCAGTCAACTCCTGGATCCCTTGTTGCTGTTGGTGAATGGATGTGGCAATACGCTGTTGGTGCGGGCGGAATTTTTCAAGCTCGGTGGTGAAGATCTGTTGCTCGACATTGACGGTCTTTTTGTTCAACACCAAAAGCTGTGAAATGTCATCTTGCATTGCCTGCATAGGTAATCCAATGTCAATGACTCCACCATGTGTCCCATTGATCATTTTCTATTTACCTTTTCCTTTAAATCTTGCAGCGTCTCCTGTCGCTCAATCTCGATCTTGCGCAGCTTATCCAAAGCATCCTCAACACGCTTCACCTTGACATCCATACTCTTGCTCGCAATCCCAACATCAAATTCCAAATCCAAGAGACTATCGGCCTTGCTGGATGACTTTTCAGCGAAAAGGTTGACCATCTTTTCAGCAAAAACAGCTTCTAATGCATTGCTCTTGCCACCTTGCTTGAGGATATCCACGTCCTTTGAGACTACTTCGTACGCATGCAAAAGCTGAGTATCCGATTGAGACGCACTGCTGAGAGATTCACGATGGTTTCTCAAATCCTGTCGAAAGTCACCGGTATAAGCACCTGAAGGCTCTTGGCTCCAATCGGCTCCGTATTTTGCCTATAAGTTGTATGATTAGTATATTGACAAATATAGATATGAATAAACTTACTCGCATGGATTCACATTCACGCATCTCTTGATCCAATGATAATGATGTTTGATCCAACATTTGTGATGCACGGGATTTGAGGCCTCCCAATGTTTGTATCAATTCATGCAACGTGGTGCTATTGCTGGTGGATTCCTCTTGTGCGATCTTATCAGCCCATTCACGTGCTTCAGGTAAAGGAACAGCAAAGGTATCAAGGATAGCACTATCAGCTTTGGCGCCATGTTGTTGTGGTTGCTTGAACTTATCCAAGGAACGTGGTAGACGCATGTACTCAAGAGATGCATTGAGCTCTGCTTTTGCCAGATCACATCGATCAGCTTCGGCACGGACGAGTTTTGCTTTCTCTTCTGAATACATGGATGCGCTTTCATGGACACTGAGCGGGATCAAACGTGAAAAGATGTCGCCACCAATAACTCGACTTGCTTCATTGGGGCCATATAATTCGGAAATGGGCACCGTCTTGACGGCCTTGAGACGATCAATGGGCGTGAGGATCGATTCCTTGGGGACGTTGTCATGGTAGATCATATCATTATCACGTGCTGCCATGGTATGCTTTTCAGCTAAGGATGCTGCCAATGCTTTGCATGATTCTTGAAGAACGGATACAGTATCTGCTGGCATTGTTGTGCTCGATTGAACCAGAGCTGACCATCCACCGCCATTGGCAATTTTGCCCGCTTCCTTGGCAGCCGTTTCACCTGCTGAAAGACGTGCTACTTGTTCACCATACGCATTATCTTGTTCGCAAGCAGCCGCACGATGTTGTTGAGCCAAAGCTTGATAATACTTGTGCTTCACCTGGCAGACCAAGAGCCAAGCACGTTCCACACCCACACCACGAGCAATGCATTCTTGAATATCATCGATCAAACTGCCATAGACCCACGCAGCATGGCTCACCAATTTGCCAATCAAGCCATCCTTTTTCTTCTCACGTAACGAGTTCTCCAAAAAGCATTCATGTGCTTGTGCCAACATCAACTCTGTCAACATCTTGACCGTATCACGATGCAAATCTTGTGATGGCGCGTGAAGAAAGTTGTCGTTGATGTATTGAAACATGCCGGCTGCTGCTTGGAAGTAGTTGAATGCTCGTTTACGTCCTTCGGCTTCAGCTCGGTTCTGTATAGCTGCAATGGCTGATAAGGTCGCTGCTGTATTGAAGATCACGCTCGCCTTCTCATACGCAAGAGAATACTGTGAAGTGGGTCGCCCGTTGAACGCATCGTACCTGGAAAAAGGAAGGAAGGAAGGCCCAATGAGTACTACTACTACTACACTACACCACCCATCTCGGTCGAAATGAGCTTACCATGTAAACAGAATCTTGATATGCTTCTCATCCACAGGGAAACGCAAGTCGAGAAGCTCGAGTTGACCAAAGTAACGATATAGCAAGTCGCGTCCAGTCAAGTCCTTGCCAGCACCGCGTATATCTTGTCGAAGTCGATTCAGTGTAAATGTCTCCTCATTGTACTTTTCAGCGTCATCCTGATAGACTTGGGAAATGTAGCGTTTGAGAGGTAGAATCCAATCGACATCATCGGTACGCTTGAACGGCGCATGGAGAAAAGGAATTTGTTGCTGGGCCATGGCGGCTGTGCAGGGAAAGGACGTGCTCCAACAAGGTCGCTGCTTGATCACTGGTTGAGTTTGTACTCAGCCGTTGCCGTGCATGGATGATGGAGTTGTTGCATACAAAATGTTTGAATAAACCCAATTTGATTTGCTACTCTTAATACCCTTTGAGATTGGGGGATAGAATGGGGATGATAGGAGGATAAAAGGGGAGTGGGTGTGTGTGTGTGAGAGAGAGAGAGAGAGAATGAAAAAGAGAAAATGCATGTTGATAGAAGTGATGGTAGTAGTCATGGTAGCAGCAGCACAGCAGAGATGAGTAGTAGAGAAGCAGCAAACAATCTAGATTCAATGTTCTTAGAAAGGTGGCGTCAAATGTCTTGTGATATCATTCATTGATGAATGAGGAGGAATAAAGGAGGCATATCCCATAGTCAGGGATTGGTGTATTTCCCAGAGTGCTGGGCACGCACACAATTCCTTATCCACACTTTTGATAGTGTTCGCAATAATGATGGTGATTGTCGTGTGAGCAAAAAAGAGGGACTGTCAATGATGATGTGTGTGTTTAAGCGTACAGCGTCTTGTGAGCGTTCCTGGAGCCGATTTGTTTGCTTTGTGGAAGCTAGCACTGAAAAGGGAATAACGAAAGCCTTGCACAGATCGAGACCAAACGAGGAGTGAATGAGACACGGCGTTGTGGGGTCAGCTGCCCTGGGTATTGGCACACTTGTGGTTACGGTAAACCAGCTGAATAAAAGTGATGAACATCTTTTCTGCAATAGAATCCATTGGTGCACTCGGGTTGCACATCATGGCCCATCACATCCGATCGACCGCTCTTCCGACAAAGGAAGCGATTCTTCAAGTTATTAAGCTATAAAACAACCCATTGTATCATATCACTTGAAAGGAAACCCGAATGTTTGTTTATATGTGTGTGTGCGCAGATATAACAAATTCTTACATTTAAGCGATGTTACATCATTATGGGCGTAGAGAGAGGGGAGCCCAATAAGCAATGCAGTATGTTTCTCGGAGTTTGCATGTCGTACACATACACATACACACAAAAGCAAACGATCCATTGGCCATGACGACATGACCCTTAAAATAGCCGTATGTGTGTGTTGTGGGGGGCTCTTTCTTTGGGTGCTGCTGCTGCTGCTGCTGCTAGTTTCGCTTCACGGAGTGATTGCGTTTAGAGGAGCCCGGGGGTTTATTGAGCTTTGTGCATCACATCCACGTTCATGATGTCATGCGGCAAACCGACAGATGATATTTAAACCTTTACTTCCGTCTCCATTTATTCCATCTGCACATCCTTCTTTTTACTTTTTAAACATCATGGCTTCTCTTTATACTGAACCTCACGCTGAAATCCATACCGGTGCATCAAGTCGCCATCATCGTCATCATCATCATCATCATTCTATATCAGCTTCCACGGTCAATAAGCGCTCGCTTACTCGCGAGGATTTATTGGCAATGGCAAGAAATGAATATGCTCGGCAGCTTTGCAAGTTTACCGAAGCTCAACTCAAGCAGCGTGTACCATCTTGTGTGACAAGTAACTTATCTTCGACCACCACCACAACCACCACAACCACTACATCTTCATCTTCATCGACCGCTTCTCCAACAGCAGAGTCGATTGCAGTGCGATCGGCACCATCTTCTCCTTCATCTTCTTGATATTATTTGCTTTCATGCCAATATACCCATAGTCGCCACCCCCTTGGTGGTGTGTGTATAACTCTTTTTTCTTTTTGCAGACCTCCCAAACACTCACCGCACACTCTTCTAATCGCACAAAATCCCCTTCCCTCTCCCACTCTTTCTCACCCTAATGTGTTACCCTCTCTAATAATCCCTTTGAATTAGCATTTCATTCTGTGGTTTATATAATTCTGCTTTGTAAATACAAATCTCATTCTTTATGATCTATACCTATAATTACTTCATATCCGTGGCTTTTCGTACACACATGCACGATGCCAACTTGCCTGATTTAGTCAATGAAAGTGCTGGGCACATTCCGAGGCTGTGTTATATGCGAAGCAAAATGGACGACAAGTCCAGACACCCACACATACACACGCACGCACGCATATAGATCCACGCACATAAACGCACGCAGCAACATGTGTCCGCCCTGAATTATTACAACTGGTTGATACCACTACATTGGGCTGTGCCATTTCTTCCTTGCTCTTTTTCTTTACTCTTCTTCTCTTCTTCTCTTGTTCCCCCTCCTTTTCCCCCAATGGACATTCCCATTGCACCATCGCCAACCCAAAATGCCCAGATTCGAGCGTGGTGGAAACGAGTGACTAAAATCAACAACGGCCTACCAACCGATAGCGACATGAAAGCAGCTGACGGTGAGCTTATTTTTTCCAGGACAACATTCCCATATACTGATTAGCTGTTCTTTTTTAGAAGGTGTCTTTGGTCTACCGCTCTCAGAGTCAATCCTGTATGCTCATTCAACTATCTCGTATATGGATCCTTCCAGTGGTGCTCTTTGTTATGGTGTTATTCCTACCATTGTTGCTAAATGCGGCTCATTTCTAAAATCAAAAGGCAAGTCAATGTTTTTTATGCATGATTATGTCATTGTTCTCATTTTATCATGCAGCGTTAGCCACAGAGGGCATTTTTCGCATGTCTGGTAGCATTCGACGTATTGCGGATTTACAATGCATCTTCAACACGCCCGAAGATTATGGAGCCAAATTCGAATGGGAACACGGCAAATACACGGTCCATGATGCTGCCAATGTCATGCGACGATTCCTCAATCACTTACCCGAGCCGGTCATCCCGTTGGATTATTATCGACCCTTCAAGGAAGCTTACGGTAAATATAGCAATCATGCATTGGATCATTGTTGTAAAATGGCTGCTGATCATCCCCCCTATACTATTAGATGACGACTATGATACATCGATGGCAAAGATTGAAGCATTCCAGAATCTCATTGATTGCCTTCCTCTTGTTCACCAATACCTGCTCATGTACATCATGGACATGCTCGGCTTGTTTGCCAATGCAGAAGAGAAAACAAGGATGAGCATCTCTTCATTGGCGGCTGTATTTGCTCCTGTAAATAGCACACGCACTTATCATGATTCATTCTTGCTATTTTTTACTAACATTGGATATCATGATAGGGAATCCTTTCACATCCAGATGACGAGTACAGACCTGGTGGTTACAAGGAATCACAAAATGTACTTGAATTCTTGATTCGAAATCATGATCAATTTACCGCACCTCGGTCATGTATCCCTGCTGGCCAATCGCTTATCCCTCGTTCTTCGCCTGCTAACATTCCAGGTAAGAAGAGTTGATGATGGCAAGTGACATTTAACCAATCTCATCCATTTCTTGTTTTTCAGCCTCATTACGTCGTAAGCCATCCACAGCCTCCTCAAAGGAATCTCGTCAAAGAAAAGGCAGCATGGATAAATCATTCAGTACAGTGCCACAACTGCCATCCTCATTACCCCAACAACATGCACTACTACAACAAAAACATCATATGATATCATCGCCATCCTTGTCAAAGCCAAGTCGTCGGCCCTCGTTACCTTTTAGTCAGACGACGATTTCTTTGCCCGATCATGATGGCACAACACCCCTATTGAAACGATCCAATACCATGCCGCTTAAACGTGTCAATAACAAAAATACCGAGCAAGGTAAAGAACGTTACATACATAAAGGGTCATGTGCTGATAGTGTTATATGTACAACAACAGGTTTGCCTGCGCCGATGAAAAAGTCAGCAGGACGATGGAAGTCGATTCGAAGGGTGCAACATGACAAGGAGCCACGTTTGTACTCTCGCTAACGATGCACCCCGCCCTCTTGTATTTTACTACTATTACCACCACCACCACCACCACTAGATTCGTCCTTTTATACATCTGCTCGTTATATTCTATGTACTCTTTTCCTCATTGTTGTTTTGTGTTTTCTTTGTAAAATCCATCTGTATGCAAATTATACATTCGCTTTTCTACAAGTATATACACATGTCCATCGTGATTGTGCACGTTGTTGAAGCTCTTAAAAACAATGATGTGATGGGCTGATACAACAACATCGGTCATATGATCAAGCTGCATTGTAAGGTGGATGGATGATCATCCTGGGGCCCAGGATAAGAATGATCTTTGGTCTTTTGTATGGGGTCGTGTTTTTTCCCACATCACCATGGCACCTGATTTCCATTTGACGTTGCTTAGAAACGCTCTGGAGTATTCTTTACAGGTTGTGAGCATGGCCATGCTTGGATTTGGAAATGGTGTCACGTGACATGGAGTGCTGTTGCCAATGGTTACATCAAGCAAGCACATGTCATTTATGGTGGTATGCAGTGCTTTTATTAGTATTAAAGTGGTAGTTGTAGAAGCATCAATGATTACAGCTAGTCTATTCTATGACGTCGTATTAAAACCTTTGTCATCCTTCATCTTCTTAAATGGCTGAAAAGTCGATCTTTTCTGGACCAAAAGCGAGTAAGCCAATATCATCCTTGGTCTTTAAGTTGCAGGTAGGATCCATGCCATATCCATAATGCAAGAAGAAATCCTTGGATTTCAGGCTATCAAGTGATACATCGGTGATAAAGAGACGCACGGACTTTTGATCATTCTCGATTCTCGCTTTGTAAATAGCTGGATTGTTGTTACCCTCGCTGTCACGGATAGAGAAACCAAAGACACGATCGACATGTTCCCAAGTAGTAGCATCATCATCCATGTTTTTGAATTTGACGAGAAGCGTGTATTGACGGCCTTGAGAAGGGTCACCACTTGCAGCAACGTTTGTTTCTTGGTAGGTTACACTATCCAATGAGGGGCTTGTAGCACCCGCTGTGTCGTGAAGCAAAGCATTCGCAGCTGCACGTGCCAACCGTTGACCCACTCGCTTTTGTCCCACCGCCGAAATATGAATACGATCATCCATAGGTAAATCAATCGTGGTCACCGCACCCACACGCTTAGGATCGTACTCATCATTGACAAGACGTTGAGCATCGCGTATCATAGACCATTCGTTGTCAATGTCTTGACCTCCTTGTACTTGACGTGCAATTTGCACAAAGAGAAAGGGGAGTCGAGAAGCATCAAGACGTTCACGCGTGGTGGTGATAAACTTTTCAAACTTGTCCTTGTAGCTTTCTGCATTCTCAGTCTTTTCGGCATCCGATTCACCTTGGTACCAAAGAATTCCAGCAACTTGGTTCTCTTGCTTTTCCAATCTTGCAAGCATAGCACCATAGAGGGTGTTATTGTAAGGATCGGTGGTGTTTTCTAACAGACTCGGGCTCCACTCGTTTAAAGTTGTTCCACCGTGCGCCGTTGCAATTAAACCTACAGGCACATTGTCCATATGTTTTCTGTACTCCGTTGCAAACGATGTCCCGAGCGAAAATCCACGCCACAAATGATACTTTGGATCCTTGACGGATGGGTCAGAGAGATTATGGTTCACTTGGCGAATTGATTGATCGAGACGATGCGTAGGCTCTTGTGCTAGTGTCCATGTTTCATTGCATTGAAAGAGGTGGATGTTGTTGTTAACATGATCAAGATAGCTTGTTGGTGGATCGGTCCATGGGTCTTCATAAAAGCCATTGCCACGCATGTTGCTTTGTCCACTCATCACCCATACATCGCCCACAAGCACATGATCAGCACCATTAATGCTGTAAGGTCCTCCCACAGGCAATGTCTTGGTGCCATTGTTTGTCTTTACAATGGCTGTGTTGGTTGTGAAATCCCGCTGCAGAACCTGATAGTCGGATACAGAGGTGTATATGTGTTGTTGGGGAGAAGGATTGAGAAGACCCATCTTTCTTCAAAGACTTCAATTGGTAAAAGAAAGAAAGATAGAGCGAAACAAGATGAGGGAGAAGTTTATATAGGGGGTAGAACGTACAAGAGTGGTAGGAATAGAAAGAATCTGCAAGCAATGTATCTGGCATTCAAGGTAAAACCCCCCTTTTCGGCTGAGCGATGAGATTTAAAGTAGTACAAAGGTGTGATGCTGAACAATAAAACCCGGATAAAACAACAATTAAAGGCACACAGCACGCCACACTTAATCATTTACAACCAAATCATGTTGATCATGATGTATCTTTGTATTCATCTTCATGACCGGCATGTTCCGATAAAAGTGGGTGTCCTTGGTGATAAGAAACGTAAGCTGGGTTGCTAGGGTCGAATGTATAATTCATTTCTCTAAATAGTCTCAATTGGTCCATGAATCCTGGATTTGGATTTGCAAAAGGGCGTTGTTGCTTAATGATGGCGAGGGCTGCTTTAGGATGAATGTGGCGTTTGCTCATGAGATAGGCTGACACGATGGTAGGACTCCTCGACACACCGGCTAAACAATGCACCAGTATCCGCCTGTCGGCTGCTAACGCTTCGTCGATAAAGTCGATGGCTGCTGGAAAGTGTTGAACAATGTTGGCATCTGGATTATCGGCAACAGCAATGATCTACCCATGAATGTTAGTGGACCGCTCATGATACACGTTGCATAGCAACATGATTATACCTTATGGATGAATTGCCCAGATGGATATTTATCTTTGAAATGGCCGAGTGATAGGATGGCAGAAATCTTGTTCTTGTGTAAAAAGTCGACGTCTTCATATGCCTTGTAACCTCCAAGCCAAACGTTGGGGAGCACTTGTTGAGCACAGCTGGTAATGAGGATGCCACCAGGGAGTCCATTCTCATCTTGTTGTAGTGCAAGGTAAAGTGAGGACTTTGCAATGTCGCCTACGGACTCGGTTGTACTTGACCCTTCGTCACAACCCATAGTGTGTCTATGTTTTTGAAAGAGGCAAAAGGTAGTAGCATTATGCAGCAGCAGCGGCAGCGGCACTTTTGTGTGTGGAGCTGAGTACTTGACGACACCACCACCACCCACCACCCACTGCCAGTGGCTTGTCTTTGTTGAGCCTTGACACATTGCCCCGACAGCCCCCTTCCCTTTCCATACATATACAATACATACACACATACACACAAATGTCCTTGTTACAACGACTGGCTCGTTCCTCAGTGCGCGCATTCAGCACAACAACTGCAGCAGCCAACAACACCACCACCACAACTACCAGCAGCGCTAAAGGATTGGCCCAATTCTTTGAGAATGGTGAAGCCTTGCCAAAACAAATCTGGACTGGTTCGTGCGCATTACCATCTCGACAGCTATCCATTGGAAGAACATGACTGAATAGTTTATTGCTATGTATAGGACGAGCATGGAAGGCTAGTGAACTACGCTTAAAGTCGTTTGAGGACTTGCACAAGCTGTGGTATGTTCTTCTCAAGGAACGCAACGTGCTTGCTACGCAACGTGAAGAAGCAAAACGGTTAGGTATTACCAAGGAACTTTGGACCAATGCAGGTCGTCTCAAGAAGGTATGTATGAGAAGGGGTATTGCGATAAGGGGAACAAGATCACTCAACAACAACAACAACAACATGTGTACCTCTTTTTTGTGCGTTTTTAGTGTCAAAAGTCGATGGCACGCATCAAATTTGTATTGAACGAGCGACAAAGAGAATACGAAAAGTTGATGGCATCCAAGCAAAACTCACCTTCCACCACCAACACCAACACCTCAACCACCACCACCACCACCCAATAGAGACATCCAAACTAATAAAAGAGCATTGTAACACGATTCATCCAATAATGCAATTATCTGTCTTTTATACATTTGTACTTGGCAAGGAAAGATTGGATTAGATAGAAAGCACGTCAAACTGCGACAAAGGGCCAGCATTATCTTCTTTCTTTCCCCCCCCCGCCCATTTTCTACTACTCCAACCACCCATGACACGTCTATTAGGCTCTCTTGTAGGGCTAGTGTCAATGGCGAGTGTGCTCGTCCAAGCAACTCTAGACTCCAACGATATCGACTTTGTAATGCACGCCGATCGTGCTGCCAACGACTCATTACTGTGGGGCACCTATCGACCTAATCTCTACTTTGGCACTCGCACTCGCTTCCCCGAATCCTTAATGACAGGCCTCATCTGGTTTGACGGTGGCGAGTTTCAAGGTTTCCAACGTAAGAGGATACAGCTATGCACACACGAGAACTATAAAAGATTGACGCGTCGATACTATCACAGGGGCTCGTCATGCTTGTGATCAAGGGGATGGATTGAATGGATATGGATATCATCAACATGATGGCCGTAGCTATGGCATGCAACAGATCAAGGATGGACCGAGCAATGTCGAGATCACTACAGAATTCATCAAAGTACCTGGTGGAGATCATGGCATGTAGATTCGATGCATAAACGTAGTACCAGCAACAACGCCTTGTAGCTAATCTCGTTTTATCTCTAGGTGGTGATTGGGGTGTGCGTATTCGAGGTGAACCCATGAATAGCCAAGGTACCTTATACCAAAAGTGTCCATGAACAACCCATTCATGCATCTTGTTTTATTCAGTGCCATCAACGACCACCATTATCTTTTATGCTGGATTGGAAGGACAAGGAAGCATGGATATAGTTAGCAAGTTATCACGCAAGGTAATGCATTATACAGCTCAAGGGAGGATGATTATCCATTCTTATCATGTATACAACACATAGGGCTTGAAATCACCCATCCAAATCGAAGGTGACACGCCAGACCTTGGTGACTTTGAGATCGAAATCGTGGATGGCCCTTTGAATGTGAGCCCCGAACAAGGCATTGATCAAGACCTTTCAAGGACACAATGGTGGGGTCTTCAAGTGAAGGAAGGCGATATTTGGCGTGCTAAAGGTAGGGTCACATGATACACACAATCTTACAAGGAATTCATGCGACCTGTTTTTTCCTCCCAGATATCATTATGCCGCGACTACTGATGTCTGCACGAGAAAAGATTGCCAAAGGTTCTCCCGAAGATGCAATGGCACACCCTTATTCGTATTTCACTTTGGACAACACTTTGACGGAGGAAGAGGATGAAGTCGCCAACATGTACGCATTCCAGAAAATCTTTCATGGGCAATTTCAGGTAGGCATCATCTTGATATGGGGATATTCAGGTATTCATGATACAGTGATACATAGTTTGATGTCATCTTTCGATCCGCAAGCTCTCCCAAGAAGCTGAGCAGTAAGTCCAATGATCTATGACAACAACAATGGTATATCTTTACATGTTTTATGTTTAGATGAAATGATGGGTCCCAAGATCAAGGAAAAAAGCAACGAATTTCAGGCACGCTTTGAAACGACTTTTCATCTCAAAGAAAAAGGATTCTCGGACAAGGAGATTGAATTTGCCCAGTTCTTGTTGAGCAACATGTTGGGTGGCATCGGATACTTTTATGGATCATCCATTGTTGATCGATCACACGGCCCTTTGCAGGATGAAGAGAGTTTTGCTGGCGAGCCTCTTTCTCCTCAGTATACCAGTCCCCAAAGCTTGTTTACTGCCACACCAAGTCGTCCCTTTTTCCCACGTGGTTTCTACTGGTAAGTGCCACTACACACACGACCAAGAAGGATGATGATAATAATAATCGACATGATAGGGATGAAGGTTTCCATGAGCTGGTTATTGGTAAATGGGACAATGATTTGAGGTATGTTTATTGGTGCCACATAAGGTTAACCACCTACTGATGGACTTTTTTTTCAAATAGCTTGGACATTATCAAGCATTGGATTTCCTTGATTGATGAGAATGGATGGGTTGGACGTGAGCAAATCCTGGGTGATGAAGCACGTAGCAAGGTGCCTAGCGAATTCCAAACGCAGTTTCCTCATTATGCAAATCCTCCTACTTTGTATCTTGCCATCAAACGCTATGTGGATCGATTTACGCACCAACAAGGCGCTGCCATGATGGAAGGATCGGGTGCCGCCACTACCATGTCGAGCTTTGACGACCCTGCTGTGTTACGCAACTTCCACCTGGAGAATGCTGTTCTTGGTCATGCTTGGCTTGACAAGGTGTATCCCAAGATGAAGCTCAATTGGGAATGGTTCCGTAAGACCCAACGCGGTCACTTGGCACGTTTTGGACGCAAGACATCCAATCAAGAAGCATACCGTTGGAGAGGACGTACCACTGAACATACCTTGACATCGGGTTTGGATGACTATCCTCGTGGAGAACCTCCCAACGTTGGTGAATTGCATGCTGATCTTATGGCTTGGATGACCTTTGCTACTCGACTTTTAAAGGATATTGCAACTGAACTTGGAAATCAAGAGGATGCACAACAATTTGCTCAAATTGAATTGGATATGCTGGAAAACTTGGATGCATTGCATTGGAATGAGGAGCAGCAGGCTTATTGCGATCAAACAGTGGAAGAAGGCAAGCCTGTTCATGTTTGTCACAAGGGATACTTATCCTTGTTCCCATTGGCACTCGGCCTTGTTCCTGCAGATTCACCCAAGCTTGGTGCTATTCTTGAAATGATCCGCAATGAAAATGAATTATGGTCGCCCTACGGATTGCGTTCGTTGTCAGCTTCGGATGAATACTACAACACAGGCGAAGTCTATTGGCGAGGCCCAATTTGGATCAACATGAATTATTTGACATTGCAAGGACTCTATAACGTAAGCCATATATGACATTCTCATGATGTAATTGTGCTTACAATGGTATCGTAGAATTATATGAACACCCCAGGCCCTTATCAAAAACGTGCGCAAGAAATCTATGCCGAGTTACGCAGCAATATCATCAACACCGTGTACAAGGTAAATGATTGTATTACGAGAGAGAGAGAAAGGGATCATGGATAACATTGACATGGATTGTGTATCTTAGGACTATGCCCAAACCGGTTATGTATGGGAGCAATATTCTGATAGCACTGGAAAGGGTCAACGTAGCCATCCATTCACGGGTTGGACTAGTCTTGTACTTCTTATTATGGCTGAGCAGTATTCGTAGTAGCAATGAGACAATGATAAAATAGACAATGTCCTTTACAATGGATTGTTTGTATTGGGAAAAGTGTGGCAAAAGAATGATACATAAACAAATGTGAGACCACTACATGCTATTTGTTTCCTGATCCACATAACGCGTGCTCTCGTTCAATTATACAACTGCTTCTCTTTTATTGAATCAATTGAATGCAACGTCGAGCTATATTACAAGGCCCTTCACATCCTCCTCCTGTTCCTTCTTTGGTTCATTGTCGTCATTCATCACTTCAAGCAAAGGTGGATGATAAAGAAAAAGTGGGACATTTATTATCTTCTAAAAAGCAACAACGACCAAGACCTTGTTCCGAATGTAATCATTGTCTCCTTTGTATGATCCGAGCTCCATGCAAAAGGTGTGAACAATTAGAGATGTCCCAAAGCAGCTTGTAGTTTCGTTGTTGAAAGTAATAAAAGGCTCGATTGTTGACAGTGGCGGAGTGTGTGTGTGGAGTACTTTTGGATGTTAGGAACAAGGACGCTCCTTCCTCTTTTGACTACAACAAATACATCATGGATAAAGACACCAACACAACAGCAACCACCCCCACCCCCAGCAATGATACTCAACCTTCGCTCAAGGATATGAAAAAGTTTGAAAAGTGGAGGAAATCGCTGCAATACATGACCGGCCTTGGCATGTCTGAACAAGAACGAGCCCATTTCCAGAAGCAACTCGAAGGCGAACTCGATTCCTACCAATGTCGACAATGCGAACTTTGGCGTGACAACTTGATGAAGAACAGCAAGTATTATGCTAGCACGTGTATACGGCATGCCATAGACTCATAGTAGTATCCTTTCAACAGGTCCACCTGTGCGATTCATGATTGATCACTTGAAGAAGGTTGGGCATGATATGAAGCGAGACCACTTTATTTGTGCACCATGCGATCCTACACGCTCTGGAGGATTTTCACCTGAAGATGGTATTCTACTATGCTACAATCGTATGAATTCAAAGACGCACCAAGAACACACCATGGTCCACGAGATGGTGCATTTGTATGATCATCACAAGTTCAAGGTCGACTGGCTCAACTTGAGACATCACGCATGCAGTGAGGTGAGAAAGAGAGAATGGGATGGGATGAAATTGGTAGGTTGCCTAGTTACTAATCATAGGGATTCATTAGGTACGAGCTGCTAGCCTTAGTGGAGATTGCAAATGGACACGAGAGATACAACGAGGTTTCTATACGTTCACCAAACAACATCAAGCTTGTGTAAGACGACGTGCTGTGCTCTCAGTCATGGAGAATCCCAGTTGTAAATCCAAGGAAGAAGCTGAGCGTGCTGTTGCCAGCGTGTTTGACAGCTGTTTTGCTGATACCCGGCCCTTTGACGAGATCTATTAGACAACACACATATATACACACACGCATATGCACATATCAGTAGAACGCATTAGACTTTAATACAATGGCTCAGTTGGAAACGTTTTATTACGAGGATTCAGAGTGGTGGAGTGGAGTGGTGGAGCGGCATCTTGGTTGGGTATGGTCACGTGTTTTCAATTTGGCAAGGTTTTAGTTTCCTCGGTGAATAATCCAATGACGGGTTTCAGGTAGAGAGATATGGATGGGAGCATTGTTTGCTTATTTTCTCGTTCATTGTTCTTCTATTGTCGGTCTCACCAACGAGAATGTTTTTTAAAAACAAATCAAAGTGGTTCTTGACGATCCTAATAGTGGCGGCAACAAGTAGTAGTAGCTTGTTTTGCAAGGCTCAAGACGATGGTTCAGTCTCGGCAGATGATGATGATAGCATGTCGCTCATGTCAAGTGATGTGACAGGATGGACGTATCCAGCACCCAAAGCACACGATCCACCCGAAAGTGTCTCTGACGGCAAGCTTCACTTTGCCATGATCGACCCCGAAGCTTTACGAGAGAACAAAAAACACATGCACGACTATGATCGCGAACTCCAGCATGCATTATGGTTCCTAAAAAAGAAAGCAGACCGCTATGTGACCAACACGACCACTTTTTCAGTGATTGAAAAGTCGATTGCTGTGCCCGGAAATGATTCGCATGATTACATGTCACTTGCACGTTACTTTTGGCCCAACGAGTCGCAACCCAATGGCATGCCTTATATTCGACATGATGGTCGTGTCAACCCTGAGATCGAAAAGGTGCCCGATTATCAGCATTTCCGCAACCTGGTGAAGCATGTGCAATATCTATCCTTGGCATATCACTTTTTCGACAATGAGACCTATGCAGCAAAAGCAACCCAACGTATCCACGATTGGTTCATTGACTCAAAAACAAGAATGAATCCACATTTGCAATACGCCTCCTTGGTCCGTGGGTACAATACAGGCCGTGCCAAAGGTATCATTGATTTCCACGTGTTGCCAGATCTTATGGATTCAATGGCTATCCTGCAGTATAGCAAGTCTTGGAAAGAGGGCATGAATCGTCACATCCGCTATTGGTTTGCACAATACATTGAATGGCTTATCAAGAGTCCCAATGGCATCTTTGAAAAAGAATCACACAATAACCACGGCACCTACTACGACGTACAACGAGTCGCCATTTATCGCTTTTTGGGGAAGAAAGATTTGGCACAACAGGTGCTCCAGAATGCTACAGCCTCCCGTATTGCACAACAGATTTTGTCATCGGGCGAAATGTATCAAGAAACAGCACGTCCTTTCTCTTGGTTCTATTCCATCTTTAATCTCAAAGCCTTGTTCCAACTTGCCCATATGGGCCGTCAAGTCGGTGTGGACTTGCATCAATATAAAACAGTGGATGGCAAAAGCATTCGTTCAGCTGTGGATTTCATGCTACCTTATGCAGCCAACGAATCGACTTGGAACTTTTATAACTCTGGAGGCTTTGATTCATCTTATATTTTATCCAATGTGCTCAATTGGGCCTATATTGCCTATGCCAATGAAACATACCTAGCAATGGCAAGAAAGCTTGGTGTTGAGCATTCTCATCCTTACAACATCACTCGTCTTAGTCTTCCATGGCGTGCCCTTGGTGATCATTCGGATAGGGCAATGGAAGGATTTCAACCTGCATCCCCTCCTCCACCACCAAGTAATGATGCATCGTCCTCTTTTTACTACACCACTCTAGTAGGTTGGATAGCAGCTACCCTACTTGGTTTCATCTTTACGCAATAAAGTATCATCCATGGTTCATCATTCGCGCGTAATGTATGTGCTTCCTCCCTGATGCTGATCCCGTTATCTCACTTTGGACTGCATCGTTGTGCATACGTTGTTGTGTTTTTTACTTTTTTGTACTGTTTATTGTTTTAACCAGCCATTAGTGATAGCAACAGACTTTGCGTCATACTCATAATCGTCCCATATCTGCAACAATTGATCCACAGCAGATGCCATGCATTTCTCGTCACCTATGTAAATGAATAAAGCGTAAGAAACAAGAAGACATCTACTACAACAATGGTAGGATGGTGATCGTTTTACCTTTTACAAGTGTAAAGCTTATCCTAACTTGGTCGCTTTGGGTATCAGTGGTGGTGGGAGGCATTTGAGTGATACGGCACAAGAAATGCAGTGATGTCTCCTGTTGTTGTTGTTGTTGTTGTCCTTCATGCATGCCTACTTTTTTTAATTGGAAAGGGACCAAAGAGGGGGGAGGAGGAGTACTCGTTAGAAACCATTGTATTCTCTCTCTCTCTCTCTCTCTCTCTCTCTCTCCTATTATCATGCGTTTTGCCACATGCAAAAAATAACCTTACCACCAATCGATCCACTCCATACAATCAAGCCATTCGGATAAACGCGACCACTGAGCTTTCCATTAAAGTGCTAGATAATTACATCATACATCATTGTTGTTGTTAGCGTCAAGAAGGGGATTGAACACAACATGATCTTACCTCTTCAAAGATTTGATGCATCTTGCCCGCAGCCTCACATTCATGCTTTGCAGGACGTTCAATCACTAGTGGTCGTTGTGGTTTGGAGCTCATATGATCCATGCATCGATCCCAAGTGGTGCTTAACCAATTTGAAAATGATGCAATGAACCCCTCTTCATTCTCCTTGGGTTTCCTTAGTAATGAGGATGCAGGACGTTGATGGTGGCGTTGGTGTTGAAGTAGCAATTGCTGCTGAGCTGCATGAGCAGGTGCTGCTAGGAGTGTGGGGGATGCATTTGTGTACCGGGCCACCATGGGATCAGCAAGACGACTTGTGAGATCATCTACTGCTGCTGCTGCTGTTGTGGTGGTGATGGATGCACGATGCCTTTGCTGCTTTTCTTCAATAATAACCTGCTTGCTGCTATTACCGTAAATAACATACAATGTCAGTTTTACACATGATGTGCTACGTGCGTCTGTGTTACTTACAATCTTCGTTTCTTGCATGCATCCACATTTTGTAATTGGATTTCAGAGTGCCATGAGAGATCAAGGTCAAATGCATGGATGCTCTTGGGTGTGGGTGGCATGTCCACCACTGTACGACCACATGACATCGTATCCACCGTTGAGTCTCGTGTCGTTGTAGGGAGACAATGAGAACTATATTCGACGTTGCTACAAAGAGGCGTCAATGGCGGAGTCATGGGCGCTATCGATGATCCATTATCTTCACTCAAAGGAGGTAACGATGATTTGGGAGCAGCTGTTGGAAAGCCTAATAACAATAATAGTAGATGGATCATTAGATGTTGTACATGAATCAAAACAATAACAACATACCATGTTCTTGACGCCAAGCACGTTGTTGGAGTAACCGACATGTCAATTTTGGAACATTGGGTCTATACAAAATTTTGTTGTCAGTCCATGTAACATGTTGATGACTTTTTCTCTTACCTATCGCTCGTGAGAGCTTGAAGCAAATCTTCTTGAGATGAGCGTCTCCATAAAACCTTGAGTGTTTCCCAAATGCGACCATCTAAATCAAGAGCATCGTTTACGATGGGGCGTCTTAGGTCATGATCCTGCAGGGGATTATGAGTCTTGTGATAAAGTGGTAATGCATCTGGGAAACGCAGGTCGGTACCCAAATAGGATTTGTTTGTCAGCCACGGGTGAGCAAGCACTGCATCGAGCTATAATAGACATATTGGCAAGAGAGCAAGAAGGAGAAATGCAGTGAGTAATAATAGCAACATTTATCATGCATCGTCCTTTTTTGCCCCTGTCGCTCTTTTTACACGCACCCACACACCCACAAATCACCCCGTCAACCCATCCACTTTGCTCCTCCTCCTCAAACTTAAACTTACTGTAATGCGTTTGGCTGGGTCAACAACCAACATGCTCTTTATCAAATCGCGCGCTTCACGTGAAACATGAGCAGGGAGTGGTAAGAAACGGCCCAATTTTATCTTTGCAAGCAATCTTCCAACATTGTCATCGTCAAAGGGTAGATGGCCAGTGAGCATAGCATACAAGATAACACCACACGACCATACATCGGTTGCTGGTCCATGATATCGTTTGCCCTATAAAGAAACTGTGTCAAGAAAAACAAAGACGTGGTCGAAAATGCAAAGGTGGTCTCGAGTTGACGAAATCCTACTTACCCTGACTATTTCTGGGCTTGCATAGTGAGGAGACCTATATGTCAAGTAACAAAAACAGAGGATGAGTATGTGCATCCTCCATCATGTTTCAGCCATTTACATACCCGCAGCTTGTGTTGAGGAGCTCATTTGGTGATTGGATGGTGGCCATACCAAAGTCGGCAATCTTGAGTGTTTTATGATCCTTGTCCAGCAGGATGTTCTCGGGCTTCAAGTCACGATGGCTAGTGTGTGTATAATTTTAGCCCAACATCAAGACGCAATGCAATGCATGACATGTATAAAGACAACTCTAATTTTTAAAAACGTACCAGATATGGTGAGCATGACACCAAGCAAGTGCAGTAGTTAGTTGACGGAACAAATGTCGAGCATCTGGTTCGGATAATCGGCCTCGCTCTGACAAGACTTGAAAAAGCTCGCCACCTTCAACGTATTCCATCACAAAATACACATTTGAAGCATCTTGAAGCACTTGGCGGAGATCCACAAGATGTGGATGATGCAGCAGTTGAAGCACAGCCAATTCACGTTGCACACAGCGTGCCATGGTGGATGATGTCGCTAGCTGGCTACGCGAGATCACCTTGATAGCAACTTGCTCACCGGTATGTCGATGGATCCCAATCTTGACTCGACCTGCAAAACATCAAATGCGGTCAACATTTATGGTTCTTTTTTCCTTTTTCGTCATATTAAGGAGCAAGGCATCATGGTTTTTTGGGGGGTTGTTTGTAGAGAGAGAAGCATCTTGGGGGAGGGTGAAAGAAAAGGGAAACGAAAATTGGGGGTCTTGTTGAAAGGAATGAGCCGATGAGTGAGTGTGTGTGTGAGTGCGATTGAAAGTAATATGAATTGTGGATGTGCATATGTGTGTGTGGTGTCAAACGATTTGGGGGGTTTGAATGCGATAAATGGAGCAGATCGCAATGTCGGCTGGTCACCCAAGCATGTGTGTATAAACACACAACGCGGGTATTGGGGGTGTTTGATGCAACAATCATTATCACCACGCCAAAGCCGCACCGTTGCATGGCAACCGTTGCTGTGGAGACATAAAGAGGATGATGATAATGGTAAAATGGGCAAGAGAAAGAAATCAAACATGTGGGTTGTGATAAATTGTCATGGAGAAGAATAGAATTGCTCCTTATATGAATTACCCTTCCGTGTCAACTTACCCGACGCACCTCGCCCAATGGTCTTGCCAAGTATATACTCGCCTACTTCTCGTCGTTTATGCTGTGATGATGATGATGAAGGAATATGCATTCCTTTGCCATGTTTAGTGGTGTGTGTATCGTGATGATTTGAGTTGTGCATGGCCTTGGTGTTGTTTTGTTGGTGTTGATGATGATGGCGCGTAAGGTAGGTCATGAATGGCATTATGCTGAGGTATAATAACGAGATCAGATAGGATTACAAAAAAAAGTGTACTGTATGCTGGCTTGGTATATGTTGATATGGAAGATGGACAACGAAAATGAGGATGTTGGATGCTGGATCGTTGTTGTCGTTATGCGGTTTATTGTTGTTGATGAGTCGATTGAAGTTGTTTGTGTACCGGCACAATGAGTATTAAGGGTATAATAAAAAGTCAAAGATGAAAGGGAAAAGAAAAAGGAAAAAAGACAGAAATGGTGATGAATTTTAAATAGAATGGCGAAAAAAAGTGAGGGGGTGGGATACTTACATATGCGTGTAGGTCACGAAGAGAGTGAGAGAGAGAGAGGGGAGAGCCAAAGTGAACCCATTAGGCGCCACTCTTTTGCATTTTGGTTATCTGCAGTTCTATATGCAAGATGATTCTCGCAGCCTTTGCTATCCATGGTTAAAGGCACCACCCTTAACTGATTTCAAATCAGCTGCTACGGCAGCCATGTTTACACCATTGGTGACAGTTACCATTTATCCATGATGTGCGATCGAAGCAAATGTGGATCATCAATTGTGATTTATTTATATACAGAAAGGGGGTGGTTGAGTGGGTTGGGTATCCTCTGCTGCGCGTGGAGATAGGATATGGATGTGGAATTTGCCATGGTAACGATACATGAGTGGGTGAGTGGGTGGTGGTAGGGGGAATCGCTCGAAAGAGATAATTGGAAAGCGAAATAAGATGCGTGCCGGAAGTCAATTGCCAGGCTAAAAGAAACACAAGAAATTGGGCCAGCTGCAAGTGTATGTACATAGGGATGCAGGTGGAAAACAAGTATGGTTATACTGACTTGAGAAGCGAAGCCAGTCCAACAACTAATATACCAACGAAAAAGAACACCGATACATAACGTTGTTGAGTATCCGCTTTAATCGCTTGTGGTAGCATACTCTAAAAGATATCATCGTTAACATCATAATCCAAAGCAAAGAGACAAAAATTTCTACCCGCTTACCTGGACGGCAATAAACGACATCATCCCACTCACCACACCAAAGGTAACGCCAAAAAGGGTATCTTGTTGTTCTTGGCTGACTTCACGGAAAGCAATGAGTCCCAAAACTGCTCCGATGGGTTGAGATAATCCTCCAAGAAGTGCTGCATAACCAAACGCGCTCCCCCTCGATTTAGTAGCAAAGTAGAGCGGAAGCGCAATCATAAATCCTTCAATAAAGTTGTGAATCGACATGGCAGCGCACACACTAAGCCCAAGACGACTGGATGCTTGTCCCGAGATGAACATGATTAATCCCTCTATAGCACGCAAGTAAGTTAAAAAGCTGCTTTTCTTCTTCCTTCATGAATCACACCTACCAGGAAACTTGTGAATGCAAATCGCAACAGCTGTTTGGATGCCGATACGAAAATAATCGTTTTCTTGATCATTGCTTTTCACAGGATCAAAATAGTCAGGATGTTGTTGTTGAGTGACAGCTCCATATTCGATCGAGTTCCATTGAAGTCGAGTGTGCTCTCCAAGGTGACCCGTTGTTGTTGTTGTTGTAGATTTCATAAAGGATGGATCATCATGCGTTGCCGTTGTTGGTAAAAGGGTGCTTTGGCTGCTGCAACTATCAACAGGATGTTCCAAGGGCGATGGATGATGATGATGATGATGGTGATGTTGATGAGGACCTTCATTATAAGCATGGATAGCGTTGGGGGCACACCAGTGGATACAACGATTGATGAAGATGGTCGTTGCTATCCCAACAAAGTAATACAGGTACATCCAATGATCGGAAGCGAGCCGAGCACGACTAGCAGGTAATAACGTGAAGAGCGAAGAGAACAGCATGACACCAGCAGCCAATGCCATCGACGAGGCGATCACTTTGGGTTGCTCCAGAATAGATGCACAGGATGCGTTGTAGCGTGATGAAGGCCATACAGTATCAATAAACACCACAGATGCTGGTTTGTCAATGGTAAAGAGGTGGGAAGGTATAAGCAATGGGGTTATGGATGCCATGAGAGTCGTGATCTTACCTCCCAGAATGCAAGCAATGCTCGAAATCAGCACCAAGAGCCAGCTCTCTTGCCAATTCTCGTCGTTCCTCAAGATGGTGGTGTCCATGGTTAAGCTGCAACCATTAAGGTACTCGACCGAGGTTTTAAAATCCAGTTTCGCGGGTCATGTGGTGGAAGACTTTTTTCATGGCCCATTCTTATCGTAACCACTGTGCAGCAATTTAGACTAGGAAACCCAACATGGAATATTCAGTAAACATGTGGACCATCATCTCTTGCTGTAGTCATTCATTTGTAGCATCTACATCCATTTAATATTAAAGGTCTCGAGTTAAAGTATGTATGCTTTGTGCATGTGAGGGAAGGGGGCGTTGTCGGGCTTTCCATGGGTAACTATGGTATCAATTGTTTCCATCTTTTCCTTTTCAATGACCAATCAATGCATTGGATGGTCTAAATCAGTATCATCAGATCTTTGTTATTCATCTACTCCTGATGATACGCGTTCTTGATCAAAAGACAACCAAAAAGACACCCACAATGAATAACACCTTCTTGTTCTTTTTACTCTAAGAGAAAGATGCACCCTTAATCTGGGAGTTGTTGGTGACACCATCCAGGGACACATACTCAATTACGTATACTTCAACACTTAAAGTGACAAAGCCAAAGCCAACATTTATTAAAAAGCTGCTTGTTGATGAAATAAGAGATAATCGCTGTGGTGAGGAAACCAGCAGCGGAGCTGCTGCATAAATGGTTAGAGATGCCGTCATACCTTGCTGTTCAGGACATTGGATGCATCGCATTTAGGCTCTCAAAATGTCATCATCCATGCGCATGGTGCTGCCGTTAGTCTTATGCCCCATTCTCAATTTTGACCTCATCCTTAAAGCTTATACAAGAAGACGTGTTGTAGTTGCAGTGAAAATAAGATATATTGATTCTTAACGTATTCTATCCTGTCTATCGTACCAAACATCACAAAAAAGTCGCATTGTCATCGATGCTAGTGGTCTGATTCGTACATCTCCCTCTTCCCTACCTGGTGACCATCTTGCGTACCCTCCGAGAATGATGCCTTCCTTGTTTGTATGTGCTGATGAGATCCCAGGTATCGTGATGGTGATGTCCTTAACCAGATAATTCCAAAGAAAAAGTCATCGTATCCATTTTACAGTACCTTGGTATTTGGCCTCTACCTCGTGAACGATGATCCATCATATGCCCACTTACTGCTGGCCTGTTGCTGCTTCATAAACGCCACCTTGTCTCTGCCACAAAGGATGAAAAAAAAACCCATCTTGCAATACATGTTCCTTCCAAATCCAGGTACCTTGCATATGTACAACATCCTTCCATCGCAGGTGACTGCCAGGTAGTGCCCTTGGATGACAATGATATGAGTGGCATTGGCCGTAGAAGCATCAAAAGAAAGTTTGTATGAGGATGATGACACGCCAACGTAGACCAATAGCAATGCATGTGATGATGATGATGATGATGGGATCCAAGAGTGCCACGGCTTGCAGGCTCTACACTCAAGTGCTACTTGAAAAGACGCTACAAGAACAACGACCTGTCACACCGTAAGGACATACCCAACATTGACATTGGCATCAGAGCATGCTGCTTCTTTCGTCAACGCGTACCTTTCAGTGCTGCAAACGTGTTCTTCCAATGCAGTCGAATCGTCCTTAGTGTTCGTCTTGAATCATTTCCAGCGATCGGCACCTTGCATTCGTTGAATTCGGCAGGTTGCATATACGCATAAAGCATGTTCAAGTGAAACGTAAGGGAACGCGGTTGAAAGGTGAAAGGGAGTGTGTCCTTGTTTCATTATGCAGTCGAATGGTTTGTGCTTCCCAAATTTCGAGCCCCGAACTATAAAGAAAAGTCCACATAATGACCACGACGACTCAATGATAATGACAGAGGTGGGGGGATAGCAATGAGAATGGCTGTAAAGATCATGACACGTCCCAACACTTGCTATTTTGAGAAAACAAAGGAAGAAGAAAAAGATGTATATTCATAGCACCCAAAGGCCATATTATTAGTGCCAGGTGCGTCATACACACATGCCCACCCCAACAAACTACCATCAAGGAATACTTTCAATTATACTAGATAAGCATACAGCATGTCTTTGCTTTCGAGTAACACCCGATGTTTGACCTCTACAGCTCTGTGTTCCTCGAATCCAAAAGCCCAATCCGTCCAGCTGCGTAATAAGGGCATCGTGAGAGAGCGAGATATACGTATATAGATGGTACTCGAGATTAGCTGAAGCGATTTTGGGATATAAGCATCGTATCATGGTTCCTTGATTTCACAAACGAGTATGGCTCTTGATCAGATTATGGCGCTATGTAGCAATTAGTATTGTATAACAGGGATGGCTTAGGAGTCAATCTACGTAATTTGCATAATGGAATGTTGGGTTTATAGGCGTCTTTGTTTGCCTTCTAGGGGGTATCTAAGGAGACCCATAATGAGTCAGTGGTACCATTATATCATCATAGCACGTTGGAGTAATTCTAATTCTTCTATAGCATGATAATCAAATGAACTTACGCATGTCATAATGGCTTGTACTATACCTTCCTCTCACGGCTATTTCTTGATCTGGGAAAGATATGAAGCACCTTTCCCTCTTGATTTGATGTGGTGTTCCCAATGTGAGCTGCATTTGTAACACATGTCTGGGTAAAAGAAGTTTCGCCTTTGAAATGCACGCCGATTTTTTTGTGATACGCGACTACCAGGATCCCAGCTCCTATGATTTCTTGTGATTTCCAATGCAATCCATGAGTAGAACTTCTGGATCCTTCTTAGCCATATGTCTTTGCCCCCACCCTCTTCCATCGTATGCAATTGCAAAAAGATCCACAATGCTGGGCATAAAGTAAAGCAGTAAAGAGATCCAAATAAAAAAGGTTTACAGGTAACATGATTTGACAGCGTCGTGCGTGGGATGATCTTTGTAAACGATTCGAGAAACCATGCGTTTGGTGTATATAGCCATTATGATGATCAAGGGGGGAAAATTAGTCTGAAACATGCAGTATGAGCGCCTTAAGCTCAAATGAACATGGGTGTCATGCTGAAAACAAACACCACTAGCATGGATAACAACTCTTGGCTTTCGGGATGTGATACAATGTTGTTGTTATGCACGTGGTGAGCAACAAAAAAAGCGGGGTACATTACCGATGGTTGTGTGTCCCATAGCCATGAAAAAAAAGTTTTCTGATCCAGGTATTGATTTCAATGCTTGATTGGTAGGTTGTGTTGGATTCAAAGAGATCTTTTTTCTTCCCGCCAAGTCCCGCTGGCTGTAGGTGTGAAGGGGAACATAATCCCACCTTTTTTTAAAAGAAGTCTACATCCATGGTAGCATCTATCATTTTGCCGCAGCAGCCATTTGTACAACGAGATTGGATGGAAAAGTGGTTCGCCGACCGATTCGACAAAGTTTGTTTTTGGGCCATCTGTTGCCATATTCAACGTAGTTGGTATCTTTTTCTGTTCCGGCAAATCCCTCCGCCGCTTTACCTTTTTCGATTCGGTCGTCGAAACTGCCTCTATAAAAACGTGTTCCGCTCATCATTCTCTTGTTTCTCGAGACGTCGTTTCCCTTTTTGATTGTGCTTTCTACCCCATGGCACACGTACAACCACGCCACCATGATACTAAATCAATTGCTGGATCGTCTGATACCATTGGCGTTGACGTTGTAGAACGCCGCGATGATTCTTATGGTGAGACGGATGCCAATGTGGTCTCCGTTGAAGGTAAAATAAATCGATCCTGTGGACTCTGTACATATAAAATTTTGCATTCTCAAAAAAGCTTTTTCACTTTATTTGATTTACAGATGCCATTGTGGAATACAATGATGTGAGGCGTGAATTATCACGGATCAGCCGTGTAGCAACGCATGAAGGAGATATGGAGAAGGGCCATGTGGAAGAATTCGACCTCGATGAATATCTACATGGAATGTCGAATGATGCTGAAGAAGCAGGCACCAAACCCAAACATCTTGGTCTCATTTGGAAAAACCTCATGGTCCAGGTTAGTTTTCTGATCCACGCCTTTATTTGAAACAATTAGATTCACACGTGGCTACTATTAAATCATAGGGTCTTGGAGCTGATGCGCATACGATTCCCACCCTTCAAAGTGTGCTTGCTCGTACTGTACAACCTTGGAAGTATTTCGGCATTGGAGTTGGTGGAAGTCAAAAGACCATTCTTCATGGCCTTACGGGTTTCTGTAAAGATGGCGAAATGCTTTTGGTGCTTGGTCGTCCTGGTTCAGGATGCTCTACTTTACTAAAGGTGCTCAGCAATATGCGTGGTTCTTATACGCGCATTGAGGGCGAAGTCAGCTATGGTGGCATTGATGCACTTACCTTTGCAAAGAGATATCGGGGTCAAGTTGTCTATAATGAAGAGGAGGATCAGCATTATCCCACTCTTACCACAAAACAAACCCTTCAACTCGCATTACGAACAAAGACTCCCGGCAATCGTCTTCCCAATGAAAGCAAGCGTGATTTCGTCGACAAGATCTTGTATCTCCTTGGCAACATGCTCGGTCTCACCAAGCAAATGAATACATTGGTTGGCAATGCATTCGTCCGTGGCCTCTCTGGTGGAGAGAGAAAGCGTCTTTCCATTGCAGAAGTTATGACAACACAATCTTCTATCAATAACTGGGTACTGAGGAGATTCTGCTTGTGTTCTTAGCGATCGTGGGTTCTTACATGTTGTTTGTTATTAGGATTGCTCCACCCGTGGCCTTGACGCAGCTTCAGCACTCGATTACGTCCGTTCGTTGCGTATCATGACCGATGTTTTCAACAAGACAACCATTGCAACACTATACCAGGCATCCAACAGCATCTACAACGTTTTCGACAAGGTTCTCTTGCTTGATGAAGGTTACTGCATCTACTTTGGCCCTGTTGATCAGGCTCGAGCTTATTTTGAAGACATCGGCTTCTATTGTCCGCCACGCAAATCGACACCTGATTTCTTGACAGGCTTGTGTAATCCATTGGAACGTGAAGTGCGCCCTGGATACGAAGATTCGGTGCCACAACACGCATCTCAATTCCAAGATCGATACTATGAATCCAGCATGTACAAACGCATGATGGCGGAGCTTGAGGAGTACGAGACCAAGATCAATGCCGAGAAACCAGCAGAAACTTTTGCTGAAGCTGTACGTGAAGAACACCAAAAACGTGCACGCAAGAGTGGCATCTATACGGCATCCTTTTATCAACAAGTCAAGGCCCTTACGATTCGACAATATCATTTGTCTATCAAAGATATCGATGCCCTTATTTCAAGATTCGGCACCATCGGTGTCCTCAGTCTTATCACTGGATCATGCTTCTATCAATTGCCAATGACGGGTATGGGTGCCTTCAGTAGAGGTGGTGGCTTGTTTCAGCTCTTGGTCTTTAATACCATGGTAAGTATATCCTAAAATACATCTTTTATCAGTATTAACGACCGTTGTCATCCATTTAGGTTTGCCAAACGGAGCTCATTAACTTTCTCGAGGGCCGACCAGTTTTGGAGAAGCACAAGCATTTTGCAATGTATAGACCTGCTGCATTTTATATTTCGCAAGTTATTATGGATATCCCATTCGCCATTGTCCAGGGTACGACATATTGATGCATCATTCTATGTATACAACGTTCTAATCATTTCACTTTAGTCTTCTTACTTGAAATCTTTGCGTATTTCATGATGGGTCTTACGTTGGATGCTGGTCGCTTTTTCACGTTCTTTATCGTTATGGTGTTCACCAATCTCATGATGAATGGTGTCTTCCGATCTTTTGGTGTGCTTACCAACAACTTCTTTTTGGCGAGTCAATTGTCGAACATCATGTATACTATCGTGCTTTCACATTGCGGCTATATCATCCCATATGCATCCATGCACCCGTGGCTATTCTGGTAAGGTTCTTATTGTTCTTTTTCCCCTGATTTGGATGCTTATCAGCCATTGTCCTTTAGGCTTTATTGGATCGATCCTCTTGCATATGCTTATAAAGCTTTGTTGATCAATGAAATGCAAGGCCAAATGTATTCTTGTGACGGTGTGGGAAATTCGATTCCACAAGGCCCTGGTTACGATGATTGGAGTCATAAAGTAAGTCAACATTTCAATGGTCAATTAAAGCTTCGAAGCTCACACATATATAAAATAGGTTTGCACGATGCAAGGTGGCCGACCAGGGCAAAACTACGTGCTTGGTGATGATTATCTGCGTGAACATCTCAGTTTCGAGCCAAATCATCTATGGGCGCCTAATTTTATTGCGGTGGTTGGATTCTTTATTCTCTTTACGGCTATCAATGCACTTGGCATGGAATACCTTGGCACAGACAAAGGAGGTGCTCTTACCAAACTTTACCTTCCTGGCAAGGCACCCAAGCCACGTACCAATGAGGAAGAAGATGAACGTCGTCGTCGTCAACAAGAGGTCACTGCCAACATGGAAAAGGTGTCTACTGGTACAACATTCTCATGGCATCACGTGAACTATACCGTGCCTTTCAAGGGTGGTCCACTTCACTTGCTTAACGACATTTCTGGTATCGTCAAACCTGGTCACTTGACTGCTTTGATGGGATCTTCTGGTGCTGGCAAGACAACCTTATTGGATGTGTTATCTCGTCGTAAGACCATTGGCCAAGTGGAAGGACGCATGTACTTGAATGGTGAAGCTCTTCTAAGTGACTTTGAACGTATCACCGGCTATTGTGAGCAAATGGATATCCATCAACCTGCTGTCACTGTGCGTGAATCCCTTCGATTTTCAGCCTATTTGCGTCAAGATCCCAGCATACCCAAAGAAGAAAAAGATGAATACGTGGAGCAAATCATTCAGCTATTGGAGATGGATGACATTGCGGATGCACAAATTGGTGAAGTCGAAAAGGGTGCTGGTATTTCGGTTGAAGAACGTAAACGCCTTACCATTGGTGTCGAATTGGTGGCCAAACCCAAGTTGATCTTTTTGGATGAACCCACTTCTGGATTGGATGCTCAAAGCTCATACAACATTGTTCGATTTATCCGCAAGCTGGCTGATGCTGGATGGCCTGTACTATGCACGATCCATCAACCCTCTGCGATCCTCTTTGAGCATTTTGACCATTTGCTGCTTTTGGTGCGTGGTGGCCGTACAGCCTACTATGGTGAAATTGGACCCGATGCAAGAACAATGATCAATTATTTTGAATCCCATGGTGGTCCCAAATGTGCACCCGAAGCCAATCCCGCCGAATACATCCTTGAAGTGGTTGGCGCTGGTACGGCTGGCAAGGCTAAACGCGATTGGGCTGATATTTGGGTGCATTCGGATGAAGCAAAGGCACTTGAAGAAGAGCTTGAACAAATCCACAACACAGCTGATCAACATCCTACACGTAAGGCACAAGCATACTCTACCTCATTCTGGAGACAACTTTATCTTGTACACAAGCGGATGGCTCTTTGTTATTGGCGCTCACCTGATTACAACCTTGGTCGTTTCATGGCGATTATGGCACTCGCATTGATCATTGGATTCATGTACTGGAAAATGTCGCTCACTGCTATCGACATGCAAAACAGGGCCTTTGCCTTGTTCAACAGCTTTTTGATGTCGTACACTTTGGTCAGTATAACTTTCTCTTTTGAACTATGCATGATACTTACCTTTAATGCTTATATGCTTTATGCTTGTTTGACAAGGTTTGCCTAGCTCAACCGAAATTTATGAATGAACGGCGATACTTTCGCCGTGAATACGCCTCCAGATTTTATGGATGGATTCCTTTTGCCATTTCCGTCATCGTGGTGGAGATTCCTTACATCTTCTTTCTCAGCGCCTTTTATATGATAGGCTCCTACTGGACGGCAGGTTTTGTAAACAGCCCTGAAACGTGTGGTTATTTCTACCTCATGCAGATCATCTTTGTCTTTTGGTCGGTTACGTTTGGTTTCTCGCTTGCTGGCATTTCCGAAAAGCCCATGGTAGCTGCTGTTCTCAATCCACTTATGCTCTCGCTGCTATTGCTCTTCGCTGGTATCATGCAGCCCGCAAAAATGATGCCAAAGTTTTGGAGTTCATGGATGTATTGGGTTGGTAAGTGTCATCATCATCACCACATGTTGCCTTTGTTGATTCGAGGATGCGATATTGATTGGGTGTTTACCTTGTAGATCCCTACCATTACTTTGTCGAAGGTCTGGTGGTCAATGAACTGGAAACGCTTCCCGTGCAATGCAATGAGAATGATGTAGCAAGGTTCACACCTCCTGCTGGGCAAACGTGTGGAGAGTACATGGCCAACTTTTTTGAGAGCGGGGGCATGGGTTATGTGGTCGATCCAAATGCTACTGATATCTGCGCTTATTGTAATTATCAATCCGGCAAGGTATACTACGAGACGAACTTTGACTGGTCAGCTGATAACAAATGGCGTGATCTCGGTATTATCGCTGGAATTGCTGGTTTTAACGTGGTTGTGTTCACCATTCTCTGCTATTGGAAACGCAAGGCAAAGCGCTAGAGCAAGATAGTGTCCCTTTATCCCCCTCTGTAGACAACATCCTTATTTTTAATTTTCGATCACCTCATTTGATTTCGCATTGTATCATTTAATACTAATAAACTTGTTGACGTATTCTGAGCGAGTTAATCACAATAGCGTTCCCCTAGACATGTCTCATTGTATGTCCCAACAACCAATAGAAGATTGATTATGACAACCGGGTCTTTGTTTTATAAAAAAAAGGAATCACAATACGTGTTTATTCAACTACGTAGAATGGCGACAGTGTCTACAACTGGTATTTGGATGATAAGACATTGCTATCATGCGAAATGGTTCTTGGCTCAAAACTTGTGCCGGATTGCTTCTAGGATTATGGTTGAAATTAAGCGGGGACCCACTGTAGGTCATGTCCTGAGTTGATCAATACGCTGTTTTTCCTTGCCTCGCTTCGTAGTTGCCATCTTGCATCAACCCAATGATAGAGTCTTGTATTCCTTGTGTGTCTGTGAACCTCGTTATTGATCGGGTCTTGGACATGTGGTTGCTCGTTTAGACGTTTTCGCCGGTTGACTTGGCTTGACTATGATAGGATTTATGGTGAATTGGAAATCGATAATACATGGAGTGGTAAAAGATACAACACCTTCTGCTGAATTCGACATCATCACCAAACTACGTACGCCTGGGTCAAAGCTCCAATCGGTAATCGCATCATTTTGCTCGAAATCCATAACCTCAAGTGTTTTTTTTCTTTCACAGGAGAGCATACAAAGCTGGCTTTGACACCTTTTGGCCTTGACTCCATCGGTGGTGATGAAAAATCGAATGTTTGATATACCCGTCAATTCCTTGTAACAAAGAAAAATCGAAGCATGTATTCCAATGCCTTTCCTTCTCAGCAATGAAATCCGTATTAGCATACGGGACACTTGTACCCCTAGTCATTGAACATTGTTGGAGTATGTAAGGCGAGTCTTCTGTTGAGATATTGGTATACGTGAACTTCACCTCTTGAGGTCACAGCTACGATGGAAGGAAAATCATCTACTTACTCTGATGGGGTGCCTACGCACATAACATACTCCGTTTTGATACATGTTTTCCAAGTGTTCACGTGGACATGCCCAGCGCTGGCATAGCAAATGTTTAAAAGGCTCTAACACGGTCGACGTTTAGACGCAACAGAAATCATTATATACGACGTTTTCGCTTACGGTATAGAAGCAGCTGAAGAAATGACTCGAGTAGGGTGGGTGTCATCAGAGTGATCGTGGTCGGCGATGATCCAACGATGATTTCCACTTAATGCCCTCTATAACCAAAAGTGAGCTTACGCCTTTCTTCCAATTACTTCTTGTGTCTTACGGATGCATAAAATGATGAATGGTCGTCGTCGGTAACTTCGATTGTACGAGGCCTGAAAAGGAAGAGATGTTAAAAAGATGCCTTTCAGGTTATGATTATCATGCCTACCGCATGTGCGTTTGTCACTGGTTCATCGTTTGACCACCTCGCGTGCTCATTACTGCTTTCTTGATGTAACGTTTAAAACCTTGTGGTACGCCTAAGGTCAATGCGACACGTGTTTCCTTTGGGAGGTGCTGTAATGACATTTGGCTGTTGTGGTCTTTGATGTACCCTTTGGGGTAGGTACATTTGTAGGCAAAAGGCAACCCCAGCCTGATGGGAAATCCGGGACTCCTTTGTTGGTGAGCTACATAGATGAATGCATCGTGAGCACCGTCATTTTGGGGATCACATAATAAAGACTATCATTGAGACTTACCAAAGGCCACTGATGATGATGTGCAAACAAGTTGAAAGAAAGGGCACATGACAGTGTTGGTGACAACAGCCTTGTTTATATGTGAGCGGGCGTGAGAATTGTTGTCATGACGGATCGAACTGATAAAGTGGTCAACATCTTGGAGTACTGGGTCGTCAAAGAAGAAGTGATGGAAAATCAACCATTGATTAATCCACGTGACATAAGTATGACCCTTTTACGGTGTATAGAGCGCATGAAACGGCCATCAAGATAGAATGAAGCTGATCTTGTTTAATGAAAGCAACCTTTTTTAAACGCATGTGGAGTAGTAGTGAGAGCTAAAGGAGGGGATGACAATGTGCTACTACTTGCTTGCTATGTACACGAGGGAGCTGTCAATCGGAGTGGCGGGGCGGTGGTAAGGGAAGGGGATAGCCAACAAAAAAACCTCGAACGCGTGTGTGCTGCTGGTTAACTTCCTGCTGCTCTTTTACTGATTTTGGGACGATCACGATGGCCCTCCGCATACCCAAAGGCACTCTTCCTCAACTCTTCAAGGAGGGATACAAGGTATATTGCTGCTATGACTACTCGTCAATGACGTTTTCGTGGGCTAAACAGATGACCGACCTTGATCGTTTGACAGTTTCAACAAGGCGTCGATGAAGCCGTGTTGCGCAACATTGAAGCAACCGCTGAACTCGCCGAAGTCGTTCGCACCTCGATGGGTCCCAATGGTAACTATCTTTGAGTCGATCTGCAGTATAAACAGTGGTAACCAACATGACAACGCCAACACCTTCAGGTCGCAACAAGATGATTGTCAACCATCTCGAGAAGCTCTTTGTCACCAACGATGCTGCTACCATCATCCGTGAAATCGACGTGGTACATCCTGCTGCCAAGTTGCTCGTTATGGCTTCTCAACAACAAGAGTCAGAATTGGGTGATAACACCAACCTTGTTATCGTGTTGGCTGGTGAATTGCTCAAGAAGGCTGAACACCTCTTGCGTCTCGGTTTGCATCCTTCTGAAGTGATCCAGGGCTATGAATTGGCACGCGAACGTGCTCTTGAAATCCTTGCTGGTAAGTAGTAAATGATCAAAATGGAGGATGTGCATGTATGATTGACGGCTTCTTTTTGTTATTAGAATTGGAGGCTGGCAAGGTTGAAGATATGGCTTCTAGCGATCAATTGAAAAAGACCGTCAAGGCTTCCATTGGCTCTAAGCAATTTGGCAACGAAGATTTGCTCACCGATTTGGTGGTTGAAGCTGCATTGAATGTGATGCCCAAGGAACCTCGCAACTTCAACGTCGACAGCATTCGTGTTGTCAAGGTGATGGGTTCCAGCATCTATGATTCCAAGGTGGTGCGTGGTATGGTCTTTGGTCGTGAACCTGAAGGTAAGATCTTGACATTGTATGAGGGATCGAAAACATGAATATGGGAGAATACTTACAATGTAAAAATAGGTACCATCCAAGGTGCCCAAAAGGCCAAGGTTGCCGTCTTCACATGTCCTTTGGATGTCGCACAGACCGAGACCAAGGGTACCGTGTTGATCCACAATGCTCAAGAAATGCTCAACTTTAGCAAGGATGAGGAGCGACATATGGAAAAGATCTTCCAAGAACTCGCCGATGCTGGTGTCAAGGTGGTTGTTACAGGTGCTGGTATTGGTGAATTGGCTCTTCACTACTTGAACCGCTTTGGTATCATGGCTGTCAAGGTCTTGTCCAAGTTTGATATTCGTCGTTTGTGCCGTGTGGTGGGTGCTACTGCTCTTGCTCGTCTTGGTGCTCCCATGGCCGAAGAAATGGGTTACTGTGATGTTGTGGAAACTGTGGAAATTGGCAGTGATCGTGTTACTGTATTCCGTCAAGAGGAAAAGGACAAATCCCGTACCACCACCGTTGTCATTCGTGGTGCCACACAAAACCATATGGATGATATAGAACGTGCCATTGATGATGGTGTCAACGTGATCAAGGCTGCTACCAAGGACAACCGATTGCTTGCTGGTGCTGGTGCTGTTGAAATGCAACTCAACAAGCGTTTGCAGGCTGTTGCTAGCAAGACTCCTGGTTTGAACCAACACGCTATCAAAAAGTTCGCCGAAGCCCTTGAAGTTGTTCCCCGTACCTTGTGTGAAAATGCAGGCATGGATGCCACGGCCGTCCTTTCTCGTTTATACGCTGCTCACTATCAAGAAGGCGATGTTGGACATACTGGTGTTGACGTTGAAGAGAACAGTGATGGTACTGCTGATGCTGTCAAGGCCGGCATTTATGACTCGTTCCCTGCAAAGTACAATGCGCTTAAGCTCGCTGCTGATACCGCTATTACTGTGCTGCGAGTAGATCAGGTAAGGTTTTGATAGCACATTCAAAAGTCAATGGATGTCTAATGGCTCTTTTATAGATTATCATGTCTAAACCTGCAGGTGGACCTAAACCCCCAAAGCAACAGGGCCATTGGGATGATGATTAGACAGGTTCTCCTTTTTCCTTTTCTACGTTTTTCAAATAGTACCCACATGCATGATGTTCATAGCCCCAAAAACAATGCTTCTTTTTTTTCTCTTGAAAGACAATCATGCGTCTTTGTTCAATGTGTTGTCTCCGATGTGTGATATGGTAGATCAACAGTATTCGCTTTGTTTCCACACGATTCGATCAATGGACGGCATCTCATTTAGTCGATGGAAATGGATCAACTCCCCTCCCACGATCTTTATGAAATTCGCATAATAAGCCCTGTTTCGTTGCCAAGGATCACATTTGTGTTACAGTGCATATACGCATAGTAATGTAAATTGCATTTGATTCATTTATGGATACCAGCTTAGTCCATAACAAGAAGTTGCTATCGATATGCAGCATCATGATGCGTTCCCATAGCAACACTTTTTTGCCTCAAGAAGGCAGATTGTATACGCATCGAGTAATAACATTATAGTATATGGAAATATTTGTAAAGACATCCTCTTCATCGTCCACGCAAGCAGCAACAACACAATATCAGGGTAAACAAAGACTACACATACAAGAGGTATTTATTTTTACTACATTTCATTTCATTGTCTAATGTATGATGGCTTGGATAGGATTAAAAGTGTTAAGCCAAGTGAGTGATGTGATCGCATTAATAAAACAAGGTCATGCGGGGTTGTCCGAAAGTAGGATAGGAAGCGGCGAGTGCAATTATACCTTGCTGTCATCCGCTTTCACCAATCCTTCATATGCTATTTACAAATATCGCCCGTGCTGCCGCTTTGCGACCCACCCTTTCACGCCAGGTTGCACACTTTTCCACTACTCGTTTCGCTATGGCTCCAAAGCATCACAAAGTCATTGTCATTGGCTCAGGTCCTGCTGGTAAGATCGTGCTTCATTTTATACATGGGGGTGTGTCCATTGACGTTGTTTTATTTTCTATACAGGCCATACAGCTGCTATCTATCTCGCACGAGCCAACTTGAACCCCACACTCTTTGAAGGCATGATGGCCAATGGCTTTGCTCCTGGTGGACAGCTTACAACCACGACCGATGTCGAGAATTTCCCTGGTTTCCCTGAAGGTGTTTTGGGTGGTCCTCTCATGGATAAGATGCGGGCACAATCGGAACGATTCGGCACAGCTATTGAAACTGAAACGATCAGCAAGCTCGACTGTAAGCAACGACCTTTCCAGTTGTGGCGTGAAGGTTATGAGGGTGAAAAGGAGCCTACGGATACAAGTGATGCTGTCATCATTGCCACGGGTGCCTCGGCCAAGCGTATGAATTTGCCCGGTGAAGACAAGTACTGGCAACATGGTATTTCAGCATGTGCTGTATGTGATGGTGCTGTGCCCATTTTCCGTAACAAGCCTCTCGTCGTTGTTGGTGGTGGCGATTCTGCTGCTGAAGAAGCCATGTATTTGACAAAGTGTAAGTGGGGGATCTGGGGAAACAAGTATCCTATCGGATTATTAATAATACGCACGCATGGTATTATTAGATGGCTCTCATGTCCATGTCTTGGTGCGTCGTGATCGTCTTCGTGCTAGCAAAGTGATGGCTTCTCGTCTCTTGAAACACCCCAAGGTTACTGTGCACTTTAACAAGGTCGCCACCGAGGCATTGGGTGATGGTAACTTGTTGACGGGCGTGGCAACCAAGGATACACAAACTGGTGAACAAGGCAAAATCGATGCCAACGGCTTGTTTTACGCTATCGGTCACGAGCCTGCAACTTCTCTTGTAAAGGGACAAGTGGATCTCGATGAGCAAGGTTACATTTTGACTGTCCCTGGTTCGACTCTTACCAATGTGCCGGGTTTGTTTGCAGCTGGTGACGTACAAGACAAACGTTATCGCCAAGCCGTTACGAGTGCAGGATCTGGTTGTATGGCCGCCTTAGATGCTGAGAGATACCTAAGTGAATTGGAAGAGGAAGGAGGTCAACATATCCAAGCCAAGCTATAAGCTGCCAACCATTAGAACAACATCCCCCATCACGCCACCGTAGTAGATATTTACAAATTTAGCATTTTTCGATGCACATACAACAACACTTCTTGCTTTGACAACAATTGACATCCCCCCTCAGCCAATGGCAACTCATATTTCCTGTACCGGTTATCCGGGAATTGCTATAAAAGTCGTGTGGTTCGTCCTTCTTTTTCCCGTTTTCCTCTTTTCATTCTGCTATTCCATTCCGCTGCTGTCTTACATTCACACCTACCCAATACATCATGGCAGCTCCAAATCAGGCTGGTGTTTTTGGTGGAAAGGATCCTTCAGCTTACAATCCTGAAGACCCAGTCGTATTGTTTATTATCCAGGTATGACTTTTGAGAGGTATCATCAAATGGCCCCCTAGCTGATTGCTGTTATTATTCAAGGCAAGCATTATCCTGATCTTTAGTCGTGTGTTGGCTATACCTCTTGGCTGGCTGCGACAACCACGAGTTATTGCAGAAGGTAATCAAGGTGAAACAACCGGCAATATTATCATCTCTCTCATACACACATATGCTACCTAGTGATTGCCGGTATCATTCTGGGCCCTTCAGTACTTGGTCGCATTCCCAACTACATGGATAGCATCTTCCCAGCGCCATCTTTGCCCTTTCTCAATTTGGTAGCCACCCTTGGCTTGATCTTTTTCCTATTTGAAGTTGGCCTTGAAGTGGATGTACGGGTGATACGTCGTGATTGGCGTGGAAGCATTTTCATCGCTGTAGCCGGTATGGCGTTGCCCTTTGGTCTTGGTATTGCAGCTAGTGTGGGACTTTACAAGCTACAGAATGATCCCGATGTCCCCTTCTCGAGCTTTATGCTCTTTCAAGGTGTAGCGTTGGCAATCACAGTGAGTGTTGTACAAGCGGAATACTCCACCTCCTTACATTTACCAACAATGATTTCTACCAATAGGCATTTCCAGTACTTGCTCGAATCTTGGCAGAACTCAAATTACTCAAAACACAAGTGGGAGCGTTGACCATGGCAAGTGGATTATTGAATGATGTTACTGCATGGTAAGAAGATCTACCTTGTTGTTCAATGTGATACCATCCTCTCAGCCCATTTGTGATCATGCTCTTCTCACAAGAAATGATACTAGGGTATTACTAGCGCTTGTGGTGGCTCTTCTCAATGCGGGCAATGGTTTGGAAGTCCTTTGGGTGCTCCTAACCACCCTGGCCTTTGCTCTCTTTCTCATCTTTCTTGTGCGTCCATTGTATCGACGTCTTTGTTTTGCCACCGGATCCATCCAAAATGGGCCGACCCCATTGTTGATGACTGTGACACTCGTCATGGTACTTGCTTCTGCTTTTGTCACTGATATCATTGGTGTTCATGCCATTTTTGGGGGCTTTTTGGCTGGTGTGATTATTCCACACGATGGCGATCTCGCGACCAAGATTGCAGAAAAGATTGAGGATATCGTCAACATCATCTTTTTACCATTGGTAAGTACATCATCATTCACTCGCGTCCATGTTGCATATGCAGGGACTAATCACTGTCACTTTTTTATTGACATACATCACGTTGATGGCTATAGTACTTTACATTGTCCGGATTGCAAACACAAATTGGCCTTCTTAATACTGGAGAGGTGTGGGGATACGTCATTCTAGTGATCGTGCTCGCTTGCTTTGGTAAGATTGTGAGTTGTACAGTGGCTGCCAAACTAGGAGGCATGACTCTTCGAGAATCATTCGCTGTGGGTTTTCTCATGAATTGCAAAGGGTGAGTTCATTGTTTCATGGAAGGATAATGAAATCTCTAATCATGGATCACCATTTTTTAGCCTTGTGGAGCTCATTGTATTGAACATTGGACATAATGCTGGCGTGCTCAACGATCAAGGTTAGAGTTAAAGTTTTGATTTGCTTGTTTTGGGAACTGATGAACCTTATTGCTTATCTTTGTTTCTGGGAACATTTACATCTTCATCCGACAGTGTTTGTGATCATGGTGGTGATGGCGTTGGTGACAACCTTTATGACAACCCCTTTCGTTATGTGGTTGTATCCTGAATGGTATCAAAAGCAACAAGCCGAATTAAGACGTGAAGCTGCTCAAGGTGCTGCTGGTGGTAGTCCAAGTTGCAAGGTTAGCACAATCGGCGCCGTGAGTTCAGTGATTGCTCCAAGATACAAGTTGGTGACGATGCTCAATGATTTGGAGAGTGTACCAAGCATGATGGCAGTCATTCGACGTTATCGTCAAGAAGGTCAAGAACAGCTGGAACTCCATTCGTTGCGTTTACGTGAGCTTACAGATCGTGCCACTGATATCATGAAGATTCGAGATGAGCGCGAGACCTTACGTTTTGATCCCGTGTTGAATGTGATTCGCACGTTTGCTTCACTTATTGGTGTCGATACACTTCACACACGGCTTGAATTTCTGGGACGGCATGAATTTCTCAAAGTGATGAGTGATTACAGCGAATCATGTGATGCCGACATTATCCTCTTGCCTTGTCCGTCAAACCTTGTTTACAATAACAACCATAACTTGTACGACAACAACACCAATGATGACCAGCTTGCTCATGATCCAGATCAAGACTTTGTCAAGGAAGCGCTAAACATTGATCGCATATCAGTGGGATTGTTGATTGATCGTGGCCTCGCAGCATCGTTGCCAACTTCGCCATCAAAACAACTCACAAAAGATACAAAGCAACTTGCAGATGATCCTTTTGGCAATATGAATATCGTTGTCCCTCTTGCAGGTGGTGCTGATGATCGTGCGGCTTTGTTGTTTGCGCTACGTTTGAAAGCTTCACGCACACACATTTTGCATGTCGCCATGGAGACCAATACAACAAATAGTATCCAACGTTACGCAACCATGCAATCAATCAAGAATACCCTTGCAACAGCTACGCCCTATACTGACGATGCCACATTCTTGAATACCCTCTTTGTGGCCAGTGAACCAGATGCTTCTGCCCTCATTGAATATGCCGCCGTTGAAGATGAGCGTCTCACACCTACTACTTTTACGGCACACTATGCAACCCAAAACCTAACTAGGCAGGATCTCGTTATCGTGGGACATGAATCAGCACAAGCCCTTGGATTCCCTACTCAACGCTTTGCTTTCCTGACATCGAGTGTCCTTGTCGTACGTGCATCGATAAAAGCTGGATCGAGTACTGCTACCGAGCAATAAGGATAACCCTTTTGATATGATTCCCTTAACAGCTACATACATATTCTTTACAATAAATCTTCAATGCCAAATGGTATTTGTATGCTCTATGTCCCTAGATACACTCCCATTTGTATGCTATGATCATCACAATCATTGGGTAGCTTCATCATTGAGAACATGGATCACATAGTGCATTATCATCCAAATTCTTGTAGTGTGGTCGTCATGGAAACCTGACATAGCCGTTTATACATATCACCCGCATATGGGACATGTGGTGGCCGGAAACATTCACGCTTGTGTATTCTTCTTAATGACAACAACTTCTCTTTTAATGAACACTTACAGAGGCATCTTCGAACAACGTCTTTTTTCTTGAAACTTGATCACAGCAAGTGATGTGAGTGATGTCGTTGTTGGATGATTGAAATTGGCACCTTGTCTATCACAGATCCTGATTTATGCATGCACATTCAATTACACCAAGCTTCTCCCATCAATCTATCAGCTCGTCACCATTCTCAACATACACTTTATCATTCTTTGTGGTCACAGAAATACCCACGCCCACCGTGCAGACATATACAAGATGAATGTTGTCGCCCATCCCTTTTCTCCCACACATCTCTTTCTTTCCATCATATCGCTCTTTGATTGCCGACTCCTTCAAGATCCCTTGGTGAGTGTCATGGATGATAGTATTATCTGTGAGCGATTCATGTACTCATATGTGTAAAGATCTTTAGCGTTTCATTGTTATTCTACTTGCATTGTCATTGTTGTCATTGTGGTATTGGCTTCTATGATGAGGTAAGAGCTAATCATCGTGCTTGATGAAGCACAAACTCACAGCCCTATTGATGAAGCTACAACCCGAGGAGGTGCATGTGCAAAGTTGGATTAGGTGGAACAGTCTGCTACAGTACAGGGCACCAGCAACCATTTTCGCCCTTTGTGACATGCCTCACAAACAAGGGTATGGCTCGTTGGCACAATCAACAGCGAAGCTTTCATCAAGCTTTCTACAAGCATTGGCAAAAGCTGCAATCTTAAGAATGCCGACGCCTGATTTCTCCAAGAATTGCAGGCATATAAAACAGCTGCGCCACTGGAGGCCGATGAACAAGGCAAACAATCCAAGAATTGGGATAAACTTTCCCATTTTGTAGAACGCCTGGAACACCAGCTTGAACAGCCCCGAGCACTTCCCTCAGCAGCACTTGGTGCCAAGCATCATTTCAATTCCGTTGCAGACTTGGCTGGCAAAGCCTTGCCACCTGCAATCAACGCATTAAGGACAATGTTATGAACCATCTTTAAAACCTTTATGATGAACGATACTGATAGCTTTATCCTCTCCAATATTGCATTGATTATAATTTTTTTTGTTCCCTTTCATACTTAAAGCCTCAATACTGTATTCCCAACTTAAATATCAAAATATGAATCGGTTTTTACTTTCATTTGAAAGCGTTCCACCATCACTCATCCAGCCAAAATGAAAGCGTTCCACCACTCCACAGCCATTTAATATGAAAGCGTTCCATCACCTCTCAGCCATTCAATATGAAAGCGTTCCACCGCGTTCCTCTACTCGGTTTTTCATTTTGCAGCAGCACCCACCCCTTTGAAGCGTTCCTCCACGCATTGTTATTGAGAAGCAACATCCCACTCTTACTCAAAGGGTGGAAAGCGAGATAAGGTTGATACGCGGATATCGTGTGTTCTGTATTGGTGAAGGGTTACACAAAGAGGCTACACAAGTTGGTTCAGGAGTGGAGTTGCATAACTAATTCGATATGATGCGCACAGACCTAATAGCTTTATTACGAGAGCTGATCTCAATTGAAGTCTTGAGCAGTGATCATTCTTATTGAGCTAAGAGCATATGATATTGTTGAGAGTACGTATAAACAGTAATAGCTGCAGCAAGCGGGGTGGCGTGTTATGCACAAATTGGGAAGTGGTAGGAACGACAAAGAGCCCCTTCTTGTTCACTCCCCATTCACAAAAAAAAGGTCTCCATTTACAAACTACAACGTGTTAACAGCTGGCATTCCTTACAATGTACAGCGCGCTTGGGGTGAACATGTGGTCATTGGCGACACTTTCCAGTTGCAGACATTCAACAGCAAGTACGCGCGCGATCTGCCCATGACTCAAGCTTCCATTGCAATACAACATGTACGTTCCATCGCTGCATCCCTTTATCATTCAAGCTGGACATTGTGGTTCTAAAGTTCACGTGTAGTTTGCTGTTCTCGTGTTTATACGAGAACCAAAGGGGGCGTCGTGTGTCGTGTGTATGCTTTCCATGGTTGCCATCAAGGAGACCTCCCAACATATTGTTACTATGGGTATGTCGACATGAAAAGCGAATGCTATCCTTGTTACCTTACATTACATTTACTGTAGCTTGAATACGTTGGATGATGGTACCTGTGGCAGCAACAACAAGACATTGATATCAAAGCAAGAACACTGTACGGTTGGCTCAATGGTATGCATGGATGGAATTGGATCTACAAAGCAAAACATGTTAATTAACGAGCCTTGCAATGAAACAGCAGCAGCATCTACCGGATGGCATGGATATACGGTTTTATTTGAGGCGTTGATGCTATTGAGAAATACCACAAGGTAAGAGTGTTCATTGTGGGATTGGTTGGATTCAAGTGGACTTACCAAACGCCATACAGCGGCAGAGCCTCTTTCGGCGATACTATTATTATCAAGGCTGCACGTCAAGGATGTCATTGTATAGTACTGTGCTCTCCTGGGGAATTTTGGCCCGGAAACAGTGTGACTCAAGATGCGATGGCAAGGCCAATTTGAAAAGGCATCCGCTGTGCACACGGCCTCCATCCAAGTACGGCTATTGATTTCCTTGCCTACAGAGAGAAGGTGGATATCTCTTATGATGCCAATTTCAGGATCCAATGAGAGTATGGTACATATGGTGGCATACCTTGGCGCTGCAGGTTGATTATTGTATTGCCTTCGGATGGTGTAGTTGGTTGCAATTCCTTGTGATCACCATGGTTCAGGCCGTCGCGTGTCTTCCTTACCGAGTGTGTCCACAATGAGAGTTCTCAAGACGTCTTTACATTGCCTCTTTTGGGTATGTTGACAACAAAAGCGTGTGGGTTGGTTTTACTTGTTATCTCACATTGCGTGTATGGTAGGTTGAACATGTTGGATGATGGTACCTCTGGCAGCAACAAGACACGTATCTCAAAGCAAGAACACTGTACGTTGGCTCAATGGTATGCATGGTGTTTGATCTACAATGCAGGACCACTTAATTAACGTGCCTTACAATGAAACAGCAGCAAGACAATATGGATGACATGGAGATACGGTTTTATTTGAGGCAATGATGCTATTGAGAAATACCGCAAGGTAAAGTGTCCATTATGGAATTTGTCCCTTCAAGTGTGCTTACGAAAGAAATATTAGGTCAGGCTCTGGTTGGGCGATTATTTTGATCAATCAGCACGTCGAGGATGTCATTGTATAGTACTGTGCTCTCCTGGGGAATTTTGGCCCGGAAACAGTGTGACTCCAAGATGCGATGGCGCGCTTAATTTGAAAAGGCATCCGCTGTGCACACGGCTCCATCCAAGTACGGCTATTGATTTCCTTGCCTACAGAGAGAAGGTGGATATCTCTTATGATGCCAATTTCAGGATCCAATGAGAGTATAGTACATACGGTGGCATACCTTGGCGCTGCAGGTTGATTATTGTATCGCCTTCGGATGGTGTATTTCTGGTTGCAATTCCTTGTGATCACCATGGTTCACGGCGTCGTGTGCCTTCCTTACCGAGATGTCTACAATGAGATCTCTTATGATGCCAATTTCAGGATCCAATGAGAGTATAGTACATACGGTGGCATACCTTGGCGCTGCAGGTTGATTATTGTATCGCCTTCGGATGGTGTATTTGGTTGCAATTCCTTGTGATCACCATGGTTCACGGCGTCGTGTGCCTTCCTTACCGAGATGTCTACAATGAGAGTTCCCAAGACGTCTTTGCATTGCCTCTTTTGGGTATGCTGACAACAAAAGCGTGTGGGTTGGTTTTACTTGTTATCTCACATTGCGTTTATGGTAGGTGAACATGTTGGATGATGGTACCTCTGGCAGCAACAAGATACGGATCTCAAAGCAAGAATGCTGTATGGTTGGCTCAATGGTATGCGTGGTATTGGATCTACAAAGCAAAGCCTGTTAATTAACGAGCCTTGCAATGAAACAGAAGCAGCATCTACCGGATGGCATGGATATACGGTTTTCATTTGAGGCAAAGATGCTATTGAGAAGTACCACAAGGTAAGAGTGTTCACTATGATGGGATTGGTGGATTCAAGTGAACTTACCAAACACGATACAGTGGCAGAGCCTCTTTCGGCGATACTATTATTATCAAGGCTGCACGTCAAGGACGTCATTGTACTATCCTTTCCTGTGGAGCTCTACATGTTGTGCCCGGGGACAGTGCGACTCATGTTGCGGCCTCAGGGATTTAAAAATGCATCCTCTGTTCGCACGGCTCTATCGTTTTACGGCTATTGATCTCCTTGCCTTTAGAGAGAAGATGGGTATCTCTATTGTTGCACTTCATCGCGTCGATCCACAGAAGAGTACTGGTACTATGATGTTTCTTTGGCTGTGTGCTTTTATTATCACTTTACATCCTGATGGCCTATTTGGTTCCCAAGTCCGCGGGTGATGATTGCGTGATTCAGGTATGTATGACTCTCATGCTTTTTGGAGACCTTTGCTGAAACGCCTACCATTATTATTTAGAGGGACCATTGCAGAGAGCTTCTTGTCTTTTGGTGCTTTGGAGTTTACAAGATCACAGCTATGCTTGCTAAGTATTGTTGGATGAGTTGGGACAATTGTTTATGGTGCATCTTTTATAGGTGAATCATGTCAGCCATGGGGAAGTGTTTATGTCTTTTGGTGTCGTCAATCGTTATTTCATTTCTGGTGGTTGGTTACCAAGCAACGGGCGATTTCTCTGAAGAGTGTCCGCCATTGCAAGTCTCTTATGAGTGGATTGTATCAGCAACAAGTAACAGCATCCATATCGTTGGTTCCATATCAAGCTTTATCCCATCATCTGGTTCTTCTCGTTATCGGCAATTCGGTGGGCATCCTGAAATGAATGACTATTATCGATTGATTGATCACATCAGCAACAAAGAACAACTTGTATATCTTTGGTATCAGCAACCTTTCTATCTCTTGGTGGTTCTGGTTATCGGCAATTGCTTTGGTGGATTCCTACAACTATACGTGCCTTATGGATGGATCATGTCATCAACAAGAAGTGAAGGCCCGCGTTCAAATCTTATGTGTTACCAAGGTCATTCATGCATCTCGTCAAGGACTCCATCGCCAAGCTGCATTCCATACCCAATGAAAAAGGATTGGTATCTCATTCATATCGGCTATATCACTGAGTGTACTCCCTTCCGCAGCTAGGATGCTGGTTTGGACTTTCGATTGATGATTTTTCGATTTGCATGTGGTCTTGGGCAGCACATTGGTTCGTTCTCGCTCCTTGCAAGGGCTCGTCGGCATCGTGTAAGTATGCTATCTTTGGTGGTACAGGTATTACTCAACCTTCTCACTGTATATTGTTCCCATCAAGTATCGTTCCATCGCTTACAACCCGGGTGCCAACGTAACGAGTTTGTCAACAAGAGAATGATTGCAAGAATTGGCTTGATTTGGATATCAGCATGATTTCGTGCGTATGGCTATCATTGGTAAATAGTGGATGATCCGTTCTTCTCTACAATGCCTACCAACATCTTCTTTTATTATAGTATTATGTGGATCATTCAGAAAGCTACTTGTCTTCTGGTCGTTGGAATTCTCATGGATGAAGCTGTTATTGGATGTCAACATGTTTTCGTGTATATGGCTATCATTGGTAAATAGGCTATGATCCATTTTTTGGCTCCAATCCTAACTACCTTCTCTTTTATTATAGTATGTGGTGCATTCAGCAAGCTACTCTCCTTCTGGTTCTTGGAATTTTTCATACATGAAGTTGTCATTGGTAAGTAATGTATCCATTCTTTCTTTCAATGCCTACTGCTAACCACCTCTATTATGTCGGCTACTCAGCGAGCCATTTGTCTTGTGCCCTTTGGATTCTTGATGGATGCAACTTTCATTGGATGTCGACAGGATTTCCTTCAACATATGGCTACCATTGGTAATTGATGATCCATTCGTTTCTTCTACACCTGCCAACCTCCGCTTTTATCATAGCATGTGGCTATTCAGTAAGCTACTAGCCTTTTGGGTCTTTGGAATATTCATGGATGCAGCTATCATTGCTAATTATCGTTCTATGGATTTGGAAAGCTGTTTACCGTGTATCGTGTATAGGTGAATTATGCTAGCATCGAGCAACAACGTCAATAGCATCCTTCAGTACATATCAGCTGGTCTTATTACATCGTCGATGATTTTCGTTACCACCTATTGGACACTTCCTTTTATTTGCATCTGCAACAACAAGCAACAACTTCTATATCTTTTGGTGTCGCCAAGCTTTGTCTCGTCTGATTGTGGTTCTAGTTGCGACTATTCTTTCGATGGATACCCGGCTATACGCGTGCGTGTTATCGGTGGACCATGTACTCTTTATGGTGTCACGAAAGTCTACTTGGTCTCTTCACAGTTGTCATTGTCGAGTCCTATTGCTTTGAAAGACATTTATCAACATTTGATTTCGGGTGGATATCAGCAGCAAGGAAGTGATCTTTGGGACATCAGGATTCAATCATCTTACGGGGGGTGGTTGTCAATTACCACATCAGAGCTATGGAAATCAGTTACTTGGCGTTTGTCTATTATTTTCGAGGCGGATCATCACAGCAACGTTCGTTATCGGTGCAAAAGTGGCTCTTCTTAAGCCCCCAGCGTGTGGATATCACTTCTCCCCAAGTACGTGTACGAATGCCTTGGATGTTAAGCCGAATTCTCGCGTGTGCTACGTGTCGCTTCATCGCTGGCATTGTGGTGGATGGTGATACAAGCATGGATGACACTCAGCATGGCTTTACAAGTGTAGCATGTCAAGTGGGCTTTATTATCAGGAAGGGTACATCATTGAACAGGTGAAACGGGTTGCTCCGTGTACCACGAGGAGGAGCCGCTTAGCAATTTCCATCGTTGATAGCACCACAATGGAGGTAATGGAACAGAGGCTTCATTTGCAAACGTATTAATACGATATTATATGTACCATCAGCCGACTTTTCGTGATTCAGCAACACAGCTGGCTTGACACTCGTTGTGTGCATTCGTTTGATGATTAGGTATATTATGCGGAGATTAGAAGCTGCTATAGAGTAGTGATGCTGAGCATGTTTGGGACAATAAAGGATATCTCTTTGGTCTGGATCTCTTGAAACGTTCATAGGCATGGAATGATACAATCATGGTATGCATTGTTATACATTATTGGCGGCTCTTTTCTGACTTTGGATGGGAAATTGGTTGGAGATGATGGGGTGCAACGACTATTTTGAAATGAAGCCATTAAGGCCAATACTCCGATGAGAGAAATACAAAACGTGGTGGCTCAAGTGCTGTGATTGAGGATTCATTAATGTCAAGGTATCCATAACCCGTGCTTGTTGAGGGAGAAAAAGAGAGAACCGCCCCCAAATTGAAATATCACTGTCTCTTGCCGCGTATGGTTATAACCTATTTACGCGCGCTCTCTCTCACCCCCTGTTCACTCACCCCCAATATTTGTTTCTCCCCCAGAGAGAGAATTATGCAGCGTGCACCTTAATAAGAAAACTGCTCAAGTGAACCAATGACATGTTACACTCACAACGAAGCACACATCTTTTATATCTCCACACAAAGGAGTATCTGATTCACTAGTGCTATATCATTGTCCTTAGTAACACCATCATATACCACGTTCATCAAGTGCTTTTTATGACCCAATGTTTAATGTTTGATGACGCTCTATTGATATGTGTCGTGTGTTTGTCAAGTTGGGCGTCTAAATGCATGTGGTGGGCGTTCCTTTTACTGCACGACGCGTCGTAAACCAAACTGAGCAATTGGGATTTGCGTGTTATCACACTGACATCATTGATAATAATGGGTGGTTGGGCAATGCCGCTCCACATCATGCTGCTGTAGTACACCTGCATATCCCGATTCCACTAGTATCTCCCTTTGAGTTACCCCTCTTTACCCATTAAAAAAGCGATTTGATGAATATGATGTAAGATTGCTTGCTTGCAAAATGAGATAAGATATATTTGAGAGTTGATTGATGGTGATTGATATGCACAATTGTGAAGGATAAAACCTGTGATTGACAGACAAGAAAGAAAGATGTACATAAGGTGGCAATTGAAGAAGAAGATCGATGAAGGAAATGATACAAAAAGGAGGCGGGGAATAAGGGGAAATGATATGAATGAAGCAAGAGGGTTCAAATGACATATACATAGATAGAGCAGAAAAAGAAGCGTAACAAGTGCGAATACACGATAAAGCATAAGAAACTATAAACAAAAAGAAGGCCAATAACACATAAGATGATGATGAGGGGGGTGTGTGTGTGCAAGAATGGTATGGTTGTGGTGGACAACGAATCTACATTGTCAGCTGTTTGTTGTTGTTGTTGATAATGAATGAAGTATTGCGTGCGTTGAGTGAGTGTGTTTGTTGCTTTGAAGATGGTATTGATTGTAAAGAAAACGTTGAGTGGATAATGGACAGTGTTGTTGTTGTTGTTGTTGTTGTTTAGACACGCAGTGCCAACAAGTTTTGAAGTAAAGCATCATCGTCAACAGCTTTATCCTGCGACACAGGTGGTGTCGTAAGCCGTTGTTGTTGTTGTTGTTGTTGTTGAACCTGTGCAGCTGTTGTTGCCTTTGCATGATGTTGTTTCCATGAAGACGAGTGTCGAGGAGAAGCTGGTGGTGAAGGAGGAAGAACAACCTTTGGAATGCTGCTGTTCACAGAGAGGCGGGTTCTGGATTCAAGTCGTTCCACTTGAGGAGTTCGAGTAAAGTGCTTACACCTCTTGATGCGTTCACGCAATTCGTCAAGGCTGATGCGACGTAGAGGATCGACACAAAAGATGCGTTTGAGGATCTGGTTGAGTTCACGCGAGATGGGTAGGATCTTTAGCAGAAAGTTTGGGTCGGCCAAATAAGCGCAAAAAGTCTCGTCGGTCAACGACGCCTGTCGCCAGGGGTTACGGCCTGCTGCAAGGTTGATGAGAATCACACCCAGTGCCCATACGTCATTAGGGGCAGTTGCATATCCAACTCGTGCTGCTGATCGTCTTTGGCTGCTTGTTTTTCTAAGATCGCCCTGGCATTCTTTTTAAGACATCGTCGTTAGCATCATCATCATCCACTAGAAGATGTATACATATATAAATGCACGTACCAGGTGAAAAATAAAATGTGCTACCACAACCATAATCACTGGTAATGGGTTCGGTTGTTGCAAGTCCAAAATCAGCGAGCTTTACAGTACGACCATTATCAAAGACGAGGATGTTTTCAGGTTTCAAGTCGCGATGATATACACCTTGTTGATGGCAATAGCTGACAGCGTCAATAAGCTGAAGGAATACATGACGAATCAATGCATGATTGCCGACATAAATGTCACGTTCGGTAATAGCTGAAAACAAATCGCCTTCAGGTCCATATTCGAGCACAACATGGGTCCATCGCTCGGGTTCCCGAATGACACGCTCAAGTTGAATAATGTGTGGATGGCCAGATAATTTCGAATGCAGCCCAATTTCGGTGCGTTGAAAAGCTCTTTGCCGTTCATCTAGCCGTTGTTGCCGAAGTGACTTGATTGCATATAGCCGACGAGTATGGATATCTTTGGCAAGATAAACTTGGCCATAGGCACCTTCGCCCAATACATTGACGATTTCATAGTTGTTGATACGTGTGCCGAGCGGAAAGGTTTGGTGAACCATTGCTGTTGTTGTATGTATGTGTGGGTGGTGGTATAGCGTAATGCAAATTGAGAGCGAGGAAAAAGAGGAGGTGAAATGGATATCATGGTGGTTCTTTTTATATTTCACAAACGAGGGCGTGGGCGTGGAAAAGAGTATATGAAGGAAAAAGGCAGTTAGGGGGATAAGGAAGGAGAAAGGGTGATAATGCTTGGGGGGATGGGTAAAGTGAAAGAGTCATGATGTGGGGGGAGATAAAAAGTGGGGGCAAAATAATGCGCACTGAACGAGTGGGGGGTAAGGAATTAGCAAGGATGCCAGATTTGGTGTGTGCACATTGCTCACCCTTCCAGACGGCTTTAGCTTGCACATGGATACTGCTTTAGGATATGATCGGTTATTCAACCCACCCAAGGAGAAGCACACGTCTTATCATTATGTGCTGCAGATCGACGAGCATGCTATAAGTGTGTGTGTCACAAAAAAGAGTGAGAGAATGAGGCAAACCGCGTCTAATGCTTGTGTTTGTTGTGTAGCACACACGCAAAGGGTTCATTTTGCAACAGATCGGCTTCTTGTGTACACGCGTAGGATTTCCATATGAAGGTCATGTGCCGATCTTACCGGCATTGCATCCATCCACTCCTCCTCTTCCTGCATACCATTACCCTTATTCCAAAGCGGAGGTTCCGATACATACAAGCTCTTTCGATATATTGTGATCACTCTTTGTGTCCAAAAGATCGACTTTAGTCTAATCTAAGGGGTGGCAAACTAAGGCACATCCACCTACTGCGATGAACAGACCAGTTTTCTTCTTTCCTATTCCAGGGTTTAAAGGAAACCCACATGTATCTCACACACGCAGCATCATCATCATCATGCTCCTCTTCAGGCACAAGGGAGAGTGGTTATGATCATCGTTTGCTGATGCCCATTGTGATTCGAACTACTCATCCGTATCCATCCTACTACATGCACGTCGTATCCATGGCAACGAGATGAGAGAGTTTATTACTTTTGCTCCTGAGAATCCGTTGTCTGTGAGTAAAAATAAAAACATGGCGTGATGACATATGGCCAACATTTGACATGATAGTGACAGGTGCAGAAACAACGCATCACCGAAAATTTGGAAATATAGACGCATATAATATCCTCTGTGCGTGCGGATGACAACCGTTATTAGGCATCTATCGACATCAGCAAACACGCACTCATGCAGATCAATACGCACATGCATTACAAAAATAAGCATCGGTTGATCTCCTCATTCGAGAGAGCCACCGATAAACATGCCAGTCGTTGTGGTTGCCTTTTTTAATTCTCATCCACCAACCATAATTGCTCGATAGCAAAGCTCGTGCTGATAGCAATATGCATGCGAAAGGCACATTGCTGGGTGAGTGGTGGTGTTGCTGCTGCCGCTATGTGCGTGTGTGGGTGTATGTGCGTGCGTGCGGAGACTCCTTCTCGTACAACACGCATGCACAAGAATCGCATTCAGAGCTATACGCACGTTTTGCAACATAAAACGGTTGCCATGATGATGACAAGGAGCAACACAATCAAGTTGATCCCATTTTTTAATCAAGGATCACGCCTGGAGGAGTAAAATTTCCAGGGCTGGAAAGAGAAAGGGGGAAAAGGAACAAGGGGTTGGTTGTTAGGTGATGAGTGTGTGGTGTGGTGAATGAGCCATTTTGGGGGATGTGAATGTGGTTGCATGTGAGGGTGCTAGGATGATGGCGTGTGTTGTGATGGTATAGTAATGAGGCGTCGTCGTCGTCAAAGCAAGGGACTGTGGTGTGGGTTGAGTGAGGCACGGTAAATAAACAAGTCTTTTTTTGGAACAAGCTTTTCATGCGAACAAAGGGGTCTTGCTCAATCTGGGTGCATTCATATGACCATTCTCTTTCACTATGCAGTGATAATGATGGAAAGGGGACAAGTTTTCCTCCTGCTCTTACACATTCTCACTCTCTCCCATTAATCATGCAATGCTGCTGGTAAGCCCGTTATGTAAAAAGTGACCAACAAGGCTTCAATTACGGCATTATTGAAAACTATAGCGGATGTAATAAAGAGGAGGAGGCAGTAAATAATCATCAAGCTGCTGCTTTTCCCTTGCAATGCAATCCAACATGGCACGTTCACCACCATCCTTGATCCTTGCAGTATTGGGATTACTGCTGATGACTACAACGACAACGACACATGCACGTTCTTGGCAATTAAAGACAACCCATCAAGGTCCATCATTTTTTGATGGCTTTTCTTTTTTCAATTACCCTGATCCAACACATGGCTTTGTGGATTACGTTGATCAACATACGGCGACAAGGCTTGGTTTGCTAGATTTTGACGAGGATGAGGATGATGATATTGTGGTGATTAAATCAGGTGCTGCATCAGCAAAGGGACGATCCTCCATTCGTCTACAATCGGATACCACCTATAATCAGGGTCTTTTCCTATTTGATGTAGAGCACATGCCAGCTGGTTGTGGTACATGGCCTGCAATATGGCTCAATGGTCCAGACTGGCCCAACGGAGGTGAAATTGATGTAAGGGCCTGGGACAACATGGTGCATTGTGTACATGTATACCTAATTACATTGTTAAGGTTGTCGAAGGCGTGAATTTGCAAAAGCGCAACTTGATCACCTTGCACACTGGCCAAGCATGTGAAATTGGCCAAAGCATAAATCAACATACACCAAAGCCCACAGGCCATGTTCTCACATCTAAATGCCAGCTCAATTCCCCAGGCCAACAGCCCCATCAAGGATGCACCGTGGAGTACGAATCAAGTCATTCATATGGTCGTACGTTTAACAACCATGGTGGTGGTGTTTTTGCCCTTCAAATAGATCATGAAGGTATCCAAAGCTGGTTTTTTGACCGAAGCCATATCCCAGATGACATTGAGGATAATGTACCCATATTGGAACCAAGCCGTTGGTGGGCTGATGATCATTATCGACCCGCCGCATTGTTCCCTTTTGATGGTATTCATTGTAATGCTACCGCATTTCATGACCTGCGTATCATTATCAACCTTACGTTTTGTGGCGAATGGGCTGGTCAACCTGAAGTATACCATCAAGATTGCCCAGGCTCTTGTGTCGATTATGTAAAAAATGCTCCGTTGCCTGAGGCTTATTGGCGCATTAGATCTGTCAAGGTGTATCAATGATCCACCCTTTCATGAATTCAGTATCACTCCTATTGGATAAGGAATCAGCTATAGTAGTATTATCACCCTCAAAGCAGTAATAGTAGTAGTAACCCCCATGTTGGCATGGGAACGTGCATACGCGCACAAATACATCATTCTTAATTCGTACCCAGCGCCATCAAATTATATGATCGTGGAACAAATCATCACCAATGAGTAGCTTATCAAGATCCGTTATTGCCAAAAATGAGTTCAAGCTATGAAAACGAGCGTTTAAGAGACCCTAGTAAACCAGCTGGTTGGTACAATCATTTGAGAACGTTGCCATGTTACGGAAGCCAATACGTAAAAGGAAATGAGAAATGGAGAAGGTGGCGGCGACTGTGCTACAAACAAACAGCACCCTGCATGATGCAATATCGTTACACACCTTGTGATGATGATCGTGTCATCGTATCAAGGTTATTTATCACACCCATTATTGGACACCTTCAGCATCACTACCATCGAGCTTCCCTCATAAATGATCCCACGTTTGTGATCTTAAAGCTGTACAGCTATACACAGCTCCTTCATGATACATGTCCTCGAATTTAAACTCTCCGTCACGAAATGCAAACAACGCCGCCCCACGCTTTGTTCATTGCGCCTGTGGCGTTTCTTGACACGTATGATCACTCACCTTAATGAACACAATCATGGTGCTATTGTGAACCCGTAAAGTCATTCACATTGTTATCATTTACAAATGACATCCTTTTATGAGCTTGATTCATGATGGATGATGAAGCAGCATGATTATTGTCCGAGCTTGGGTTTCAGTTAGAACAATGGTGTAATGTGTGTGATAAACAAGCAATGACGAGATTGTCTCTTTTTCCTATTGTTGTGTTTCTCCACCTCCCATTTTCATTGTTCTTCTTATTTACACACCTCTATGGATTCCCGTCAAGTCAAGACGCCAAAGTACATGGTGTACTGTGTACTTGTGGCGTGCATTGGATCATTCTCTAATGGATGGACCATCGGATGTGCCAACCTACCAGGTGATGTAACACACCAATGTCCAACAGGGATGCGACGATTAGCGACACCCGTTTTGCCCGATTGTATACCGATGGGCACGTCCTTGTGGGGTTTTGCAGTGGCCTCATTTTGCGTTGGTGGTCTTGTAGGCGGCGTATGTGGCGGCTGGGTGCAAACCAAATTGGGTCGTAAAAAAGCCATTATATGGAACACGCTTGGCTGGATCATTGGTGGATTACTATTGGGTCTATCGGTCAACGTGGCCATGTTTATCATTGGACGTATTCTATGTGGCCTTTCATGTGGTCTTGGATCACTTGCGATTCCCACCTATATTGGCGAGACATCAAGTATTCGTGCTCGAGGTGCAATGGGTGCCATGAACCAGTACGTTGTTGTATTGCAAATCCCATATTGATATACCTTACTCACGTGGAACGTAGATTTTTGATTGTGATTGGCATTTTGCTATCAGCTATTATTGGCCTGCCTACCTCTTCAGTACCCTATTGGCGTATCAATTTTGCCATTGTGGGTGTACCAGCTATTATACAAGCGATGCTTATGACAACATGTGTTGAATCACCACGATGGTTGGTATCCGATAGCCGACTTGAAGAAGCACGTGCATCATTACAACGACTACGTGGCAAGAACGCTATTATCCAAAATGAGTTTTACGAAATTGTTGAAGGCCAAGTGGGCACCATGCGCGCAAGAAGTGTACTCCAGCATCCTGAAAATGCTGAAAAGATCTTGAGTGGCAAATGGTCTATGGAAGAAATCAATGAAGCCAACAATAATCATAACCCCAACACCTTACCTACCGACACCTTGGATGCCAACGAGCAACAAAAAATACACCCCGATGTACCACGCACGAGTGTGGATAATGATACCATGATCAACCCAGTACCAACGGGAGAAACAGTGCCTGTAGAAACCGGTGATCCAAGTGGTGGTGTACACAAGCCCATGAACATTATCCAGATCTTCCGTGATCCCGTAATTCGACGTATCTCACTTGTGGTATTTATGCATCACGCAATTCAACAACTATCAGGTATGCAGTACAACTCTTTGCAAGGACAACAAAGTTTAATGGCATGCTGCTTGCTTGCTTAGGTATGAATGCTGTGATGTATTATTCGACCAACATCTTCGCATCAGCATTCGATTTGACCATGTCAAAGTATATGGCTATTGCTACGAATGGAGTCAACTTTGTTGTCACTATTGGAGCCGTGTATCTTGTTGATCGTATGGGTCGTCGACCGCTCTTGCTTATTGCAGAAGGTGGTGCATGTTTATTTTCAGTACTCCTTGTCGTGGGCTATGCTTGCAACAAACCAGCCTTGCTGGTGGTATCGGTGTTCATGTATGTGGCGTCCTTTGCTATTGGCATTGGTCCAATCCCTTGGGTAAGTATTAGTGCAACATGTCCGTGCATATAAACAAAACCTGATTTTCACATGTCATGCATTATTGTAGATGATCACCTCTGAACTTACACCCACGTATGCTAATTCTTCGGTGGGTGCTATTGCCACAGGTGTCAATTGGGCCATGAACTTTGTGGTTGGTCAAGTATTCCCGGTGATCTTTGCTGGTATCGAGGGCTACTCCTTTGCCATTTTTGCAGGCATTTGCTTGCTTGCATGGTTGTTTACGTTTTTCATGCTTCCTGAAACCAAGAATCGTTCAATCGAGAATATTGTCAAGGGCTTCCAAACGGGTGGTACCAGAATGCTGGGTCTTGCACGTCGTCGATCATCCGAGAACACAATGGTGGAACATCAACCACAACAACAAGGTGATGCTTGATTAATCAACATCAACATGTAAATACTTGATGGTGATACATTTTGGGGTGTGTGTATTATAGTCTTTTCCCGCTTCTTATTCACTCATACACACACGCACACACGTACATGCAACATCATCATCATCCTATCATCTTTTTCACATACCGGCGATTTTCTACGCACAACACATACAAGATGAATTTACACACAACATACATACACAGATGCCTCCTTTTAATAAACTTGTTTGCGTTCCGGTACAACGCATCTCTTTCACTTTTATCAACATGACCAACAAATTGACTTTTTTGTTATCAAGTGCCATCCTTCTTGTAACCTCACATGCCACTGCATCCTTTATTCCTGTTCACGACAATGATCTTGGGCTAGCCCCTCTTCACATGCCTATGGAAGGTGAAGCGATCTCTGATTCATACATTGTTGTCCTCAAGGACCATGTGGATTCGACACAAGCGTTAGGACATTGTTCTTGGGTGAGTGACATGTCGTCGTCCATCACTACTGGCAAGGCGCGCAACGACTATTTCTTGGATAGCGAGGCATTGATGGGTATCCAATACACGTATGACAGCCCAACATGGCGTGGCTATAGTGGCAAGTTTTCATCCGAGACGCTTGAACACATTCGACGATCGCCTGATGCAAGTATATCACCACAATAGCAGTAGCAAGAGAGAAAAAATCTCCTAACTTGATGTATTAGGTTGCGTATGTGGAGCATGATTCGATGGTATATACTTCCGAAATGCAACGTAATGCACCTTGGGGACTTGCACGTATTTCGCATCGTAATGCATTGAGTTTGAGCACGTTCAACAAATATCCACACAAGGGCCAAGGTGGAGAAGATGTCAAGGTCTACGTGATTGATACAGGCATCAATGTCAAGCATCATGATTTTGAAGGCCGTGCTGAGTGGGGTATCACCATCCCTGAAAACGAAGCTGATGAAGATGGCAACGGCCATGGCTCTCACTGTGCTGGTACGATTGCTGGTAAACGTTTTGGTGTTGCGAAGAAAGCACGACCTGTGGCTGTTAAAGTATTACGATCCAATGGTTCTGGTAGCATGTCTGGTGTCTTGGCAGGTGTTAATTGGGCCACTGAACAACATCAATTGGATGCATCACGTGCTGGTCACAAGTACAAGGGGTCCGTTGCTAATATGAGTTTGGGTGGTGGACGATCCAATGCGCTCAATATGGCTGTGAATGAAGCTGTCAAGAGTGGCATGGTGTTCGCAGTGGCTGCTGGTAATGATAATCGCAACGCTTGTCAATATTCACCTGCTGGTGCTGAGAATGCCATCACTGTGGGTGCATCCAACATCCGTGATGAAAGGGCTTATTTCAGCAATCATGGTCCTTGTGTCGATGTATTCGCTCCTGGTGAAAATATCCTCAGCGTATGGAATAGTGGTCCTGATTCAACCAACACGATCAGTGGTACATCCATGGCTTCTCCTCATGTTGCTGGTCTTGCTGCTTACTTTGTGAGCTTGGCTGAGAATAATGGCACACAACCAGTGGATCCCAAGAAAATCAAGCAACAGATTCTCGATCTTGCTACTCGTGATAAGCTTTCCAACTTGCCCAAGGATACGACCAATCTTTTGATTTACAATGATGGCGAGAGCTTAGCCATGTTGCAATAATAGTTGTAGTCGAGTAGTAGTAGTGGTGAGTGAGTGATCCCATTCCACCATCCATCCATTATCACCAGTCACACACACGGAAGGGAATAAAAAGAGCGAGATGTCTCGGCGGCTGATGCTGATTTCCATACTTGATACACACACACTCTCTCTTTGTTGGAAAAAAACAACAACAACAACGACCCTCAATGCCACGAGTCTACGATTTATGCGCCCGTATCCAAAACGGCTTCCGATCACGTTTGCAGTCGATTGCCATTCCTGAGACGAAAATGAACTTGGCGATCGCCAACATTTTGTATCGTGAAGGTTTCTTGTCGTCGGTTGTGCGTGGCAATCACCAGGGCCCTGATGCCGAGTATACCCCCACCACCAATGAAAACGTGGCCACCCGTCGTCTTTGGTTGTCTCTCAAGTACAAGGATAATTCACCCACTCTCTCCCAGTTGTCTGTTGTCAGCAAGCCATCCAAAAAGGTCACGTTTTCTGTCACTGAAATGAAGCAAATTGCTAGTGGTCGTCGTGCAAAGTTCATCAAGCCTCTTCAACCAGGTGAGATTGCTGTCATGAACACGAACCGTGGTGTCCTCGAGATTCAAGAGGCTATCAAGAAGAACGTGGGTGGTGAGATCCTTTGCCGTGCATCTTAAACAACATCTTCCATCAACAACAACAACAACAACATCCCCCTCCCTCAACCACCCCATCACCAAAACTCAGCCATTGTTCACCATCCTCATTGTAATTGTTCGTCACATCACACTCTCTCTCTTGTTTATATAATAAAAAAAGTTAGATGAATCACAAACATGGGGTTTATTGGATCACCAATGGGTCCTTATCCACTTGACTCACTACCACTTGAATACCATCCTGTTGTAACATCGATTGGAGTTTATCCTTAAGAACAGCACTTAGATAGCCACGTTCAGTGTTGGAATGTTCACCTATTATAAATGTAGCATGAGTAAAATAATAAAGCCATATTATCATTGCAAATACACATACACAAAATGACACTCGTGCCTTGAGCTACAGCAGCCAATACATCATGATGTCCCATCTCGCCCGTCAAAAACAGATCCGCCTTGACAGGGTTAAGCACCGATGAGCCTGAACCAGCACAAATAGCCACGGTCTGAATTACGTGATCCTTGGAAGCCTCAGCAACACGTACTACACGTAATAAGGTATTAGCAAACAAGAATCGATGCCATTGCATGGAGGTCCTACTTACAATAGGGCAACCCGATATGCTTCTTGACATTCTCGATGACAGTGGAAATAGGAGTAGGAGTGTCATATGTAAACACACGACCCGTGCCTGCTTGTTCTTGACCTATTCCAATCATCCAATTCTCAGTACTGTACCATGTATTGCTACGTTCCATCACTTACCTTCTGGGGGAGCTTGAGCTGGAATAATGGTTTGCACATTTCCTTTACCCAAACCGCTAGCAAGCCAATCGTTGACTATACCCAACATTGTAAGCATCTTATGCCCATGCTATCCTTGCGCCATCTCCTTTGCTTACCACCATCCACGCAATTGTCACACGCCGTGTGTGGAGAATAGATACCAATACCACGTGCAATAGCTTTGGTTACCATACTTTGCTTTACATCATCTTGAGTCAAACGCTTCATGGCACGGAAAATAGGCGGGTGATATGCAACAATGGCACCAATCTTTTGACGCGTACAGGGATAACAATACAGTAAGAAGCTGCCTTCAGTCTCCAAGCCCTATACTTACAGAAGGATCAGAGAGCGCCTCATCGAGTACTTGAGGTGTCAAATCAATGGTCAAAAAGACCTTGTTGGAGTGGGTGGCAGGAAATGGAGGCTCTATAGAACACGGCGTTAGGCCCCATCAAGAGCAACACTACCCAATCCAGTACCATGACTTGCCTACAAGGATGCCCACGTTATCCCATGTCGTGTCAGCCAACTCGAGAGGTGCAATCGTGCGCATGCATCGGACAACTTTGGAAAAGAGTGACATGTTGGTAAAGGAACAAGGGAAAAAGGAAATAGACGCGTTGTTGCTATGCGACCAAATACACACCGACACATTTGACATCATCATCATTCATGTTTGAACAAAGTCTTTTGGCATATATTTTCAAAGAAATAGCATGATGGTTTTTGGAAAGAAGAGGGGTATTATGTACACAATTGGATCGAATCAATGAGAAGGGAGGTGGGCGGATAAAAAGTGGGTGTTAGAGAATATGCAACGATGTGTTTGAGTTTCTAGTAGAATTAGAAGCCTGATAAGCGAATGATGCGACGTTTGGGCACCTTGTTACGACGTCGTCGTTGTCGAGTAGCTACCATGGTATTATGCGGTGAACTTCGACAAATAGAATGTGCAACCGCAGGTGACAATAATGAAAGAGTATGATGGGTGCTTGTCAACTGGGCCAGCCGTGCTGCAAGACCATTTTCTGTAGGGCGTAAAACAATCTCTTGTGGAAAGCTTGGAACAAGTTCAGCCGATGCATCCATGGCCACTAAGGATGGGATCTCGGGACCTTCCATCACATACCATGGTGCATTCTCAGGATCGTCGTCATAGATACTGGTAGAGGCTGCCATGATACTGCTGCGACTTGAATCTTCACTACACAGCGATCCATATTCCATCAACGACATGCACTGGCTATAGGTATCATGTTCGGATGGGCAGTAGGATGAAGGTAAAGAGGTTCGCAATCCAAGTGCACCGTATGATGAAGGCTTGTCCATCACCGTAGGATAAAGATCGGCAAAGTCTTGTGGTATGTAAGGAGGTGGCATCTCAAAAAATTCAGTGTCGGCTGGCGTTTGTGGCAAAGAACATGAAAGGGATGATAATCGATCATCATCATCAACAAACATGGAGGAGGAGGAGGATGAAGAAGAAGAGGATAAAGAGGGTGGAAGACCATTGATGGACATTGGACTGATGGGGGTTCGACTACCAATGCTGCTGCTGCTGCTACTGCAAGCGGATGCACGTTCTTTTTGTTCCTGTTGCTCCTGCTTTGTTTGAAGATGGCGCACGCTAAGGTTGTGAATCATGACCGGTAGATCCTCTTGGAAGAGTTTACGCAGCTGCTTTTCAATCTCGCGTTGTAAAAAGTTTCGCACGCTCGTGACGCTGTCAAAAGTTGAGCTGATGATGATACTCTCTAATGGATCGTTCTTGAACACAAGGGTAATGCCCTTTGTCTTGGACACTACCAACACCACAATGCCTCGTAATTTCAAATCGCTAATGCGCAAAAGCATTGGCACCACCAATGGTTTGTCAGCTGCAAGGATGCCGGGTCGAAAGAGACGTTGTCGTGGATCGGATGGTTGCTTATTATGCATTGGATTCGCCTTTATGAAACATAGCGTCGTTAGGGATTGTTTTGTTAAAGACAAGGTTCAATCAAGTGCTCACCTGTACTTTGGTTTGCAAAACAATGTATGCATCGCCTGCATAAGTGAGTTTAAAAATGCCACGGAACTTGTCCGTTGTTAGCTCGCCCACTTCAAGGATTTCAAGCTCTGGTGGCTATTCAACCCATGCTGATAAGTCGTCATGTTTACACACATACACGCGTGTGCTTGGTGGTGTTAATTACCTTGCTACCCATGTGTAATTCTTTTACAGTAATGTGGTCGACAATGTTTTTCGGCTTGTTGCCTTTGTTGAGAGCCGTCTCCAGCTGTATTTTAGCTTCATCGTAAAAGCCGGCATCGAATTCGGGCCAGTTGAACCGAAAGGCCATTCTCGTCGTTCAATAATCGGTGGGTGGGTGAAAAGGGAAAAGCAAGAGCGGTGAATGGGGAGAGAGAAAGAATTAAACTGTGGAGAAGAAAAGGGAGAAAGAAAAAGAAGAAAGCATGCAAGGAAAGAAAAAAAATCTGTGTTTCTTGTTTTGGTTTTGTGGGACCCAATGGGCCAACATCATGGCCCTTATGGATCAACCTCAGCTCCGATTTCCAATGGCCCGGTTGTTTCCGGCAAACTTGCTTGACTCATTCGATGCAAAACTAAAGTACGGCCGAATGCATATGTAACACTTTTTCCGGTAGTTGCATCTTCATACAATGCCTGTGAAACTGCAACGTAGTAATGTGCATGGATATCTTTATATATACAACACGCGTAAAAACACTATATCAACACACAGACCATGTAAATGCCCCGAATGATGGCGTGTTGTTATAAAGGTCACCCCTGCTTGAAAAAGAACATGTGGCTCCTGCCACCATCCCTCATCTTTATGTTATTCTGCTGCCATGGCAACATGGATATCCATCGGCATATAGTGCTTTCTCTCGGGAATTTGATACCTGACGTGATGGATAACAACAAAAACCATGAATGGAGAACATTGACTCCTTTGTGTACGTGTACGCTAAAGGAGAAATGTAAACAGTGAAGCATTTGTGCTCCTTTTTTCATCGTAATTGATGGCTTAAAATCTCACATGAGCAACCAAACGACGTGACCCGGGTGTGTCACATTGGATGAAATGAGTAGTGGGATGTTGTGTCGGTAGAATTTAGGCGACTGCTGATGAGGGAGGAGAGGGATGTTTATGGGAAGTGGGGAGCTGTCATGGATCAGGAACATGCTGTTGTTATTGCTCACGCGGCAAGGCAAGTAGTATCCTCATTATTCATCATCATCATTTTATTCTTTATCATTAGAGCGGCGGTAGTGGGTTTAGATTTAGGTGACGACGACGACGACAAAGACGGGCTGCTCTCCACTATCAAAATTTGTCTTGTCGCTGCTATCTGGTGAATCATCTATTCAAGGTCTTCTTGTATCTTTTTCCCCTCTCTCTCTCTTTTAGCGCTTTGTGTGTGTGCATGTGTGTGCGGCTTTAAGCGCGCAAAAACAAAGAAAAACAAAACACCCAACCAGTTCCGCAACTCGATTCCACTCCACTCTTTCCATTCACCCAAACAACAACGTGTTCCTGCAACACCCCCCATTGGCTACTCTTGAATCGACTGCCACCACCACCAACACCACCACCACCATTCAGCATATACCATGTCAATAGGAGAAGAAGAACAAGGAGCAACAGGAGGAGGTGGAGGACCTAGCAGCCTTGGTGACAGTAGCAGTAGTAGTAGTAATGGTGGCCACCACCCTTATTATGACGAAAAGGCTGGAGAACGTGAACGTCGTATCAGGAGCCTATTTGACTCACTCGACAGCAATGGCACCGGCCTTCTCGATGCGGATGCCATTTTACGTGGATTCCTAAAGTTGACTCACTTGCCAGCACACACACGCTACGCAACCGACTTGTTGGCCAAATGTGATACCGCACGTGATGGAGCAATCGACTATGATGAGTTCAGGGCATATGTATTGGAAAAAGAAAAAGAGCTCTGGGACCTTTTCTCTCAAATCAATACTTCGGGTGATCATGTGCTTCGAGCAAGTGATCTTGAATCAGCACTCAGGGCAGCTGGGATCCGCGTCACCAAAGAAGAACTCGATGAATTCATTCATGCTATTGATACTGGTAAGATCATGGATCTATATTGGATAAAGAGAGAGAGAGAGAGAGGTATTAAGGATCCATGTAAATAGAGGGCAATGGATACATTGATTTCCAAGATTGGCGTGATTTCTTATTGGTAAGTGAACCCAAATGGGGGGATGATGATGTTCAAGTGCGTTGCTAAGGCAACAACCCATAGTTATTGCCACAACAAACCACGTTACGCGAGATCTATCAATATTACCAGACATCCACACAGCTGACTCAAGATGCTGAAGTGGCATTTTCGCATACGGATGAAGCAGCACAGAATGCATACAAGTACTTGGCAGCGGGTGGTATTGCTGGTGCCGTCTCACGTACATGTACTGCTCCATTGGATCGACTCAAGGTGTACTTGATCACTCAAACATCGCCAAGACCTGACGGTGCTACGTGTCGTGCAGCTCCTTCCACATCCATTGTAGGCGCTGTACGTGCCATTTATGCACAAGGAGGCTTCCGTGCTTTCTTTGTTGGTAATGGTCTCAATGTCATCAAGATCATCCCCGAATCAGCCATCAAGTTTTATGTGTTTGAAACTGCCAAAACCTTGCTTGCTCAATTTACCGGTGTTGAAGATAAGAATGCCATCCCTGTTGGTGCTCGATTCGTCGCTGGTGGTGTCGCTGGTCTATGCTCACAGTTTTGCATTTATCCTGTTGAGACGCTAAAGACACGCATCATGTCGACCAAAGGACAACAACAACAACAAATTGCTGCTGTTGCTGCCAATGCTGCAAAAAGTGTTACGACAAATGCAACGGCGGATCGATTCTTTGTACTGAATACGGCAAAAGCCATGTATCGTGCTCAAGGCATCAGGGCGTTTTGGCCGGGTCTCACACTTGGTTTGTTGGGTGTTTTTCCATATCAAGCTTTGGATATGGGTAAGTAGTAAAGGGATGGATTGCATGGATTGCACATACTAATATCATTGTTAGGTATTTATGAAACGCTCAAAGTGACCTACTTGAATTATATGCAAACCCAAGGTGACAAGCGGAGAGGTGGCAACAACAACAACGACTTTTTACCCAATGTGTTGGTGCTATGGGCATGTGGTATGGTAAGTGGCTCAATTGGTGCCACGACCGTTTACCCTCTCAATCTTGTCAGGACAAGGTAAGGAAAAGAAAGGAAAGGGATGAAAAAAAGGGATGTGTATACTGAAGCTAGTGTTGTCTTAGGTTACAAGCTCAAGGCACACCAGGTCATCCACATCACTATTCTTCGGCTTTCGATGCTGCGAGGAAAACATTCCAAGCTGATGGTGTTCGAGGATTCTATAAAGGATTGGGACCTACTCTTTTCAAGGTATGATGATGAGAGGGGGGAAAGGATGATCATTTGGATGCATGTGTGTGTCTAAACGTCATCGATTGTCCTTAGGTGGTTCCATCGGTCAGTATCAGCTATGCTGTTTACGAGTTCAGCAAACGTTCTCTAGGCATCAGCTAATGTTATACACCTTTTATACACTTTTACATGGGCGATGATGTAGCACCTTACTGATAGAATTATTTTGCCATCCCAAATCTTTTCCTTGCACATTACCGTTTCTCTTACTAGATTATAAACTGTACATATTCAACATTTTCCACATGTCATTCATCACCCGTCTTGTGATAGCAAGAGCTATATATCAGTGCATTTGTGATTGTATGGTAGGTGGTAATGGTGTTTAAAGGTAATAAAAGTGATAGCAAAAGGGATCCCATATACGACGTTTTATGCAATACGACAAGGCCATTACCACGTGAGCAGGAATGATGGCAAACGCTAACATACCATTAGAATCATCCGCCTATCCTATTTATTAATGATTGTACAGGATGAGAATACACTATGATGGATACAAAGGGTGATGGGGTTCATTGATGGTCCATTGCTGCTGCTGCTGCTGCCACGGCCTCATTGATGACGTTAATCGGAGTTGCCACCAGCTGGTAGTAGTAGCAACAACACTGTTGTGCTTCTTTCAGCGACCCAAAAAAAAGGCCTCCACCTTCCACCCTCCCCACTCTCTCCTCTCAAAATGTTCTTTTCGACCGCACGTACTGCAGCATCCCGTGCCGCCATTGCTCGTCGTACTTATGCTACTAAGCAAGCCGGCGAATCTTTTCCTGAAGAATGTGAGCAATCGATCTTGTACTTCTTTTTATCCCGTCTCAATCGCCAAACGCTGACATTGTAAACAAAAAACAACAGCCTTCAACTCTAGCATTTGGAGAAACACCGTGATTGCCGTTGCTGCAGGTGCTCTTTGGCTTCGTTTCGATAACAGCTCTGAGGTAGATATAAGAGAATGTGGAGTAACAAAGGGTGCGGGTGGATATTGATATATATGCAATAATAGGACAACAAGCACTTGTTCACCAAGTGGATCGAAGGCCTTATGACCTCCTCGGAAAAGATGGATAGCCTTAGCAATGAAGCTTTGGCTCAAGCTGAAAAGCTCGCGGAATACAGGTATGAATAGAATGTCTGGAAAGATTTACCACGATCCTAATATAATCGGGGACACCATACAACAACAACAGACTCATTGCTCAAGATGCTCAACGTGCACCTATCTATCGCATGCGTTATCCCGAGTAAGTGTTTTTCTTACCTTTGAAATCAATGCAACGATGATGCTAATGATTCATTATAGAGGATTTGAGCGTGCCAGTCCCCGTGGTTTGATTGCCGGTCAACAGGCTGATCTTTCTGATCTCAAGGTGCGCACTGATTAGATAATAGACATTGATGATTTGCGTTTCTTCTATTTTTAAAACAACAAAAGACGCTTCATGGCAACACACGCACAAACGAGTTTATTTGGGTTGATGATGATGTGATGGAATCTGTGTATATACCGAGAATTGGACGTGATACCAGCGAATATCAAACTGATGGGCCTCATGTTACGCGCACAGCTACATTTGGTAACTGCCTTTGTGCTAGCCATCCTCCGCTTGAAAACCGAGTGATTGCATTTATTGAATAATACAACAATTGTACACCACGTCTTTTTTCTTCTTTCTCTCTCACTTTTTCTTTACCCTCTTTAATTCCCCCACCACCCCCACATAACCCTTTCCAATCCTTTTATCCATTCCATTCATTTTCATTATCATGCGTTTATCTTGCATCGCACTTACAACACTGGCTGTCTTTTTTGGTGCCGATGCAGCAGCTGCTGTTCCAGTTACTGAAAAGCACAACAACAATGTCATCCGTTTACCACTTGTTCGCAACGAGAATGGACAATTGGCTCATCTCAAACGTGGCATGCTAGAAAAACGAGCCGATAAAACAGCCTTGTATAACGCTGTTGGACGTGAATACATGGTCGAGATCGGCGTTGGTACACCCGCTCAAAAGTTTAATTTGACTCTGGATACTGGCAGGTACACACAACAACAATGACAATGAAAACGCTTATAATGGAGAATTGACTTTTATATATTACAACAACAACAACAGCGCCGAATTGTGGATCCCATCAACAGGTTGTTCAGCTACACAATGCCCCTACGAGCGATTCGATGCAAGCCGTTCATCCACCTATCAAAAGCTCACGGACCCATTTTCAATTGAATACGGCATTGGTCAAGCCAAAGGTGTCTATGGCATTGATACTGTTACCGTTGGCAATGCCAAGGTCGATAAGCAAAAGGTGGCTCTTGTATCTTCGACCAAAGATATTCTCGGCATGGTCAACAGTGGAGAGCAATCGAATGGCATTATGGGTCTTGGCTATCCAGGCTTGAATACTGTGCGTGGCGTGAAGGATGACACTCCTTTTGTTTTCAACCTTGCAAAGACGCTTCAAGATCCAGTCTTTTCCATTTACTTGAATGAGATGTTTGCCTATGGTCTTACGGGTGAAATCATGTTTGGTGGTGAAGACAAGACCAAATACAAGGGAGCATTGCAAGCTGTGCCGGTGGTTGATTATGATACGTCGGGCTATCTTGTGAAACCTAATGTCGGCAGCGGCAAAAAGGGATCGTCATCATCGGGTACCTATTTATATTGGACTGTGCCAGGTCAAGGCATCAAGGCGAGTGGCTATGAAGTAGCATTACCCTCCAATGCAGGATTCATTCTTGACACCGGCACCACATTGACCATGGTCCCCAAAAAGTATGCAGATGGCATTGTGAAGGCTGTTGCAGGAGCTGGCAAATATGCATTTGATGCAACCAACAACGTCTACCGTGTGGATTGTAGCATTGCCAAACAAAATGATAAAACGGTCAACTTTGAGATTAGCACATCCACCAGCAACAAGGTCGATCAACCTGTTGTTATCAGCACTCCTGTTTCGCAACTTGTCATTCCCATCGACACCGATTATCTCGATACAGCCAAATCATGCATGTTTGGTATCACCGTTTCTGGAACGGGCCTCACCGACGGCGAGACATGGATCATCGGCGAAGCATCATTACGTTCAATGTACGCTGTTTACAATATGCAAAAGAATACTGTCAGCCTCGCACCCGCTATTCATACCTCTGGCTCTGCTGCCGATGCCGCTGCTGCTGCTCCAACCGGTAGTACTAGCAATAACAACAATGCATCCTCATCAGCCAATCCAAGTGATGCCAATCCATCTGCCACTTCTCAACCTGGTAATGACAACAACGACGATGATGATATTCACGGCAAAATCATTTCAATGGATCATCAAGATGAAAGCGCAGCTTCTGGTTTTTCATCCAATATGATGGCATTGGGTACCGTTACAGCATCCATGATGGTAGCCTTTCTTCTTCAGTAATCAACAACACACCTTCTCTCTCTCCTCACTCATACACGATTAGCTCCTCCTCCTCCCCCTACATCTAGTAACAGTGACACAGCATGTATCAGTATTCATAAAGTGTATTACTATACTACAACATTATTCATTGCATGTGGCATTTACTACGGTTTCTTCATTTGTCTCGGCATATTTTGCAGATCTCGGTGGTTTCGGTTTCAGTCAGGTGGGCCCCATTTCTCTAAGATTTGATATCTTGTTTGCATGCATGTGCTTGTTTTAACAAATATTTTCTTTCATCTTTTTTCTTTGTTGTTGCGTGTGTACATACAATGATGATGATCCCTTCCATACTTTCATTGGGTTTGATTGCTGCTACCACGACAGCTACGGCGATCCACAATGATGTCGATCCACCACCACCATTATTGCGCCTACCCTTGATGCGTAAATCAGCAGCACCCTTAGCACAGCAGCAACAATTTGACAAGAGGGATCCTTTTACCACCTCCTTGTACAACGACCAAGGATCACAATATTTGGTATCTGTAGGGATTGGCACACCACCACAAAATTTTACAGTGACCCTTGACACGGGAAGGTATGTATGGAAAGGATATCAAAATGAAAACAAAATAGCTTACACTTTCATAGTGCTGATCTATGGGTGCCATCCAGCCAATGTCCTCGACGTGAATGTCCATTTGGAGGTTTCAAAGAATCCGAGTCATCCACGTTCAATGATCATCATGAGCGATTTGGCATCCAATATGGCATAGGTAGTGTGAATGGCACTTATGCAACTGATACAGTGACTGTAGCAGGTGCCAGTGTTCCCAATCAGCAATTTGGACTTGCCACGACCACCGAAAGCATCCTGACAGCAACCAACAATCAATCCACCGTAAAGGCCAATGGTATTTTGGGACTTGGCTATCCACAATTGACGGCTGCACAGAATCAAAATGAAAAGAATTACAATCCCTTTGTATTCAACTTGGCCAAGAACAAGATTATTCAAGATCCCGTGTTTTCAGTGTACATGAATCGTGGTGATCAACAAGGATGGGCTGGGGAGATTATTTTTGGTGGTGTTGACAAGAGCAAATATACCGGCGATTTGCATTACCTCCCCGTAGCCCAACTTACATCCAGTTTATCACCCTCCAGCAATGGCTATTATTATTGGATGGTGTATGGTCAAGCCATTGCCGTCAAGAATACGCCTGGAGACAATGACAAGACATACAACTTGGGTCGACAATCATCCTCCATCTTTGGGAGCGGCGATGATGATTTTGGATTTATGCAGCAGCTTCGAGGACAACACACAAAACGACAAACATCCTCCACGTCTTCAGCAGCAGCTTTTATTCTTGATACTGGCACTACATTAACCTATCTTCCTACACGCATGGCGCTTGATGTCGCCAGCCGCATCGCGGGTGGCTCCGATGGCTTCAAATTGGATCGTCAATCGGGTGTCTTGCTGGTGGATTGCTCTGTTGCTCAATCGTCAGCCAATGTCGAATTGCACATGTCCCAAACTTCAGAACCTTCAAGTTCACCCGTGGTGCTCAGTGTCCCAGCTTCAGCATTGGTCATTCCTCTCGATACGAATTCACCTCAAAACGCATCCGCTTGTATGCTTGGCATTGCTCCTCTTGGCAGCTCAAGTGGCAGCAGCGGTGTGGGCTCCAGCATGTTGCTTGTGGGTGATTCGATGCTTCGTAGTGCTTACCTTGTATTTGACATGGGCCAAAATCGAGTGGGTATTGCAGCTGCTAATGGTGTGCAAGGAAGCGTCAATGGCGTCTCTGGCAGTGATAACAGCAACACGGGCAACGGCAATGATGATGGTAATGGTGGTGGTGGTTCATCAACATCATCGTCATCCTCTTCTTCCTCGTCAAACAACTTGGAATCATTGGCAACCCAATCCATTCTCCAGTTCTCTCGTCATTTGCTACTATTCGTTACTTGCTTTATCGTTTCGTTCACCCATTCTCTGTAAAAGTATGTAGCTTTGCCCTTTGTTCGACGTGTACATCTATATACATTGTGATCCTTCCTTCACAGCAACAACAATATACTTTCTTTTATCGCTATATGTCTCCATGGATCTTTGATGTTGCCCTGTAAATCAAAACAAGGTTTGCTTCCCATTTTGGGTATGGATTCGATCATCATGGTTTGTTTTTGTTTTGCTCCAATCCTCGTATCACAGCAGCATATGTGCGTGTACATATACATCATGTCAATGTGATGTATGCATATCCCTCAGGGTCCTCTTTTCTTTCCCATTCTTCTTTTATGTGTACTCGTAGCCCATCGTAAGGAGGAGTGAGAGAGGTAACTGCGAGAATGAGTAATAGGCACATTGAAATGCATGCGAGCTGCTGCATGAGTGTGGGTATGTAAAGCAAGGAGAAGGATCGTTGAAGGGGGGCGCTGCTGTGAGTGAGAGTGAGTGAATACAGTGTGAGTGACCTGCTGCATTTTGCTCTTTTCAGTTTTCGTCAGATACACAAAAAAGAAAACCCAGGATTTAAATGGATGGTGGTCTGTGCGTTGCTTGTGTGCACGCGTGTGTGCGTGTGTGTGTGTATGTGATCCATAATGCAGATGATGCCGAAACCAACGTATTGACGATGGGGATTTTTAGGTACGATGCACATCCACAAAAAGATTTCTTAGCATGTCGTTACACAAAAAGGGTGTCACAGGATGCAAGGAGCGAGATGATTGGTGTGGATATTTTTTTAGTCCCCTTTTCGCAATCATTTGTGTTCCCCCCTCTTCCGATTTCTTTTTTCCGCCTTTCTTTCCCCTTACAATCATGGATTTCGCATCGACCGATCCCCTCTTACGGCGTCTAACAGCTGCCTCCCACTGCAAAATGCATCCACCGAGATCTCGTCCCAGGCGAGAAGTCTCACTTCACAAATTCGTCTTGGCCAAAAGGTAAATTCATGTTCATGCTTTGCTCTTTGCTCTCTTCTCTCTCTCTCTCTCTCTCTCTCTTTATCACGCTGGTTTCCTTGTTTTCCACACAACATACACACACACATTTTGACACGCATAGTTATGTGATGGTCTTAATAAAACAAACCCCCCTCTTCCTTTTCCTCTTCTATGCTATAGTATGTTGAACACGATACAAGAGCATGAAGAACGACTTTGCTTTCAACAACACCAACAAGATGTGTCTCACTCAAACACAGCTCAGCAGGAGCCATCATCCCCCTTCAGTATACCTGCTCCAGCACCCATACTTACAAATGATGACAGCAGCAACAGCAGCAGCAACAATGCACTTTCTTCTATTACTACTACTACTTCTACAACTACAACTACTACTACTAATGCTGCTGCGACTGCAACATCCTCAACTTCTTCAAATGTCAATGATTGGTTGTACTTGCAAGACCCTGATTCTGAGCCGCAGCAACAACCGCTAACATGTGATCCATGGCCTTGGTCTTCTTACGATGATACCCCCACATTGCTCTCTCATGATACACCACCACCATCACCATTGGCAGAAGAAGAAGACGAAGAGCGAGAGCATCATCATCAATATACCACAACCAATACCACGCCTCAATCATTTATTGATGCCGCAGCCTTTGAGCAGCCTTCAATCAACACAACGAGAGAGTCAAGTTTTGCAAACAATACCAACAACGTATTGCAACCCACACTATTACAACCAGTGGATGGTGGTTTGAATGATGTTTTGAAATCCACATCTTCGAAGAGGAGCTTTGATCAAGTGGATGGGGATGATGGTGCATTACAACCTGCTGCTTCCAAAAGACGTCTCGATCAAGAAAGCGCTGCGGAAAATGACAATGAGGCTGCTACTACTACCCCCAATCAAGTGGATGCTGATGCTGCAAAGCCCGCTACTACGTCCAAGAGAAGCTTCGATCAAGTGGATGATGATGATTCTTCACAACCCATTACTTCCAAGAGACGACTCAATCAAGTGGATGGTGACGAGGACAATGACGTATTGCAGCCCACCACCCCATCAAAGAAACGACTCAATCAAACGAATCCTGCTGTTGCTGCTGCGGAAGATAACAATGACACCACCTCCCTTCAGCAGCCAACAACTACATCCATCCGATGTCTCAGCCAAGTCAATGCAACAGAAGATGACAATGACACTACTCCTCCCACAACTACAACAACAACAACTTCTTCATCTACTACCGCTGGACGGTCTTCTACACCCCCGGCTACTCCTCCATTATCACCATTGCTATTGAGCGCTTGATTCAGCAGCAATCACATCCAACATGAATGGGTTACGACGGGTTACACTTGCATTGAAAAAATTTCACTCACGCGTGCCAACAAGCAAGCACATACACTTTTTATCAACAACATGAACGGGCGAATTTGGGTTACAACACACACACACATCCATCACATGAACAAAAAAAAAGCACACACTCAACAACACGCACCACCATTTTGCATTGTAAAAACAAATCATATCACAACACGCACAACCCAAAGGCATATCAAGCATACAATTTTACCCCCCTCTCTACCAAAACACATGATACACCCATTTCTTGTTTTTGTCTCTTGCATCCTACTTTTCTTATCTTTTTTACCCCATTTGCTTTGTCGAAAGTTAATGCACGCTTTGTCCAAGTATAACACACACTCCAATCCTAATGATTTGTACAATTGTCGATATACATAAAACAAAGGTTTTCAACACACATTCCCCCCGTGAGAAACATCCTGGGAAGAGAAGAGGGATCGACAGCGATCCATAGAGATCCAGAGATGTGTGTACGTACAAGCTTAAACCTTGTTGTGGGTTGATGATGTGTGTGGCACGTATACATACATACACAGCCACCTTTTTTATATGAAAAGGATATATGCGGTAAAAATGCTATGGAGTGGGGTGGGTGGGGTGGGTGGGAGAGAGAAATGAAAAGATACAATACATAAGAGAGTAGGAATAAGGGAGTCATCTAATGTCTGTAATCTAACCAAACGCTGACACTATCAGGACCAACAAGATCTCGAATGGTGGAAATGAGCAGTTCGATTTCGACGGCAAGCTGTTCTGAGCTCATCAAGTAGGCGCTGTAATAAGTATACTCTGGATCGGCCAAATGCTCAGGCATCAAGTTGGGTATCAAGCGTGCTTTGTTGGTGAGGATGCGTCTTGCCCGAGTAGGTCGTAGGATATAAGGTGGTAATGGTGATTTGTTACTTAATGCATTGGCACCCAAATGCAGGGCAGTAAGAAATGATGCAATCTGTATTAAACAAACACGTGTTAATGTTGTTGTCGTTGACAGGATCACACCACCACCTTCTTTTATATACTTGCCGCATTCTTTCGCTCCTTCCAGGTATTTCGAACCAAATCCAATCGCCAATGTTCATGAATACGTTCAAGTGCATGCTCCATATCAATCATGAGATTCACCATGTTCTCCAATACTTGAAGGATCTGCAAATATTTGTGTTCCTGGAATACGCCTCGTAATGCAGGTTCGAAACGGCTTTGTTCTAGTAATACAAGGGCGCCTTTGATTTGCTTTCGAATATCTGCAGCCACACAGCGAAACACCTTACGATTCTCCTTGCGCACATTTTCATCACGACGTGAATTCTTGAGCAATAAGGCGAGAAATGATGAATACAGAGCAGCCACATCACCCAAAGTGCGTGAGATACGATGTCGTAATTCAACACGGCCTGTACGTGGATATGGAAACACGCTGATCACCAAGGCAGCCACAACACCAGCAAGGACTGAAATGGTTCGCTCATAAGTGACCTCGTATACAGAAATACCAGCACCGGACATCTTGTAGTGATACGCATATCCGACAACTAATTTAGAGTGATACAAGGTTAGGTTGTTGTTGGGGGGAGAGATAAGATTAAAATGAGACACACTTACTAATTGACGTGGTGATCAGGCTAAACAAACCAGTCGCCTTCCAAAACTTGCCATTCAGGTACACGAGCCACCAGGGGAGATTGAATACAAACACCAAGATGACCATGGCAGCACGATTGGTTCGGCTGATTTCCCAAATCAACAAGGAACAGATGGCTCCGATAAATGTACCGACGGTGCGTACCATCAACCTAAATCAAGGCATTTGTCAACAACAGCTGTCAACGTCAACAACAACAACCCGACGATCCGATCACTTGCTTGAACGCTTACCCGAAAAAGTTACTTCCGACCGATGGACCCATCCACACCAATGCAACCACAGCAGCCCATTGGCCACGCGCACGATTATACCAATCAATTGATTCATCCAAAAAGGCTGGCAGTGTGAGCGCCATAAGAACAATACATGCACGAACAGCAAAGGTGGTATCGGCCGAGTAGAGATTCGCTTTACAGAATTGCCAACATGTATAAAAAGCACGCTGTGTACGCGTTGTCGGATAGGCAACATCGGGATCATGATACATGACGGTGGGATCAAATCGAGGTGGAGCCGTACCACCACCATTACTGCTACTTTGTCGTTTGCGTTGTTGTAAATTGCTGCTGCTATCATTGTTGGGTGTTGGTACTTGACCACGCATGGGTTCGGCAAGATCGGGAAGGGCTTCCAATTCATTGAGGATGGTGGTTGCACGACGCGAAAGTGAACGTTGTAATCCAGCTGATTCGTATACATGCGTCTCCACTATTTGTGCTGGTGGATCAAGGCCGACATCCTCCTGATCGTTTTTGCGGCCAAGCCATTTACGTAAGGACATGTGTGGTAACCATACTCGACGACGGGTGCGCACTTGATCCATCTCGTAAACAAGCGATGATAGCGTATACACACGTTCAGCATAGCCACGTAGATTGAATTGAAAATGGAGCAACATGAATAAAATACGACGTGGGACATCCTCGTGATAGAGTCGTTGCAAACCCGTGAGTCGATGGCTGTCAAATCTTCGGATCGCCTTTAACAAGGGTACAGAGGGATCATGATCTCGTGCATATTCTTCATCAGATGGCCCTTTACCCACTATGTGGCGTATCGTACGACCCCATCCACCACGCTGCATTCGATTCAAACGTAAAGTTGATTCATAGGCTGCTGTGGAACATGCTTGTGACAATTCACGATAAATGGGTCGCACAGTTTCAAGTATTTCATCATATTCACGTCGCCATACATTGGGTGATTCAGGTGGTAAGGTGATCGTGATATGCTCAGGAGTGAAAAAGCCGTTGCCATGGCCATGGTCGTCATCCCTTAAAGCCGCTTTTGGATCATGCTGCTCCTTCTCATCATCATCATCATCACTGCTGTCATCCACCTCCTTTTCATTGGGAGCACCACATTCTTCATAGGGTGAAGGGATCTTGGTTTGTTGTGTTGATGTTGAAGGTCGCATAAGATCGTCGTCATTGTTGTCATCATGCGTTCCTTGTGACCCAATACTGCTGCTGCTGCTGCTAGTGCTGCTGCAGGTACTACTGCTGGAGCTCACTGTACTTGCATCATCACCCTCATCATCATCGTCATCGTCACTGGTCCAACAAGGATTATCGGATCCCACCGTTGAAAAGCTTTGGCCACTGTAACTTGCACGAGGATCGGCTGCCGGATTGCTGATAGGATCAAGACTATCCAATGTTGCAAATTTCTTGAGTCGATTGGCAATGTGGCGACGTGTAAGTGCCTTTCGCATGTTGTCCTCGATGGTACGGCTAAGACCAATTCCTTGAAGAGGCACCCGCATCTTCTTCATGAGCCTGGTGATTTCACTGACATCGCGAGGGGCTACAGCACTAAATGTCACTTCGCGTCGCACCACACGTTTCTTTTCAACCAAGGTTTGCAAAAGAGATTCAAGCGTGCGCTGTACCACCGGCAATGGTTCGACTTGACTGCTTCTGGAAGGATACACCGATTGTTCACGAGGGGCCTTGTTGGAATGCAAAAAGCTGTCGACTTGCCGTTGAGCTATGCCATCAAAGGTTTCGATCGTCTTTACTAATTGCTGCACGTAAATGCAGGTGCTGTTCTCGGGCCACACCAATACACAAATGAGAAATACAAGTACAAATGCTCCCAGAATAGGAATATAATCCTGCAGCTATTGGAAGAATAAAAAGTCAGCCATCTGAAAAAGGAGAATGTCATGTCATGTCATGTCCACACTTTACCACTGCCGTTGGATCGTATTGTTGATCACGCACCGCACCTGTCAAGGTGATGACCAGAATAGTCGCTGATAACATTCCTAATAAAGCAAAAGCAAATGCAAAAGAACCCCTGAGTACAAAGAGATCGTCAGGAGAGAAAAAAAAGAGAGAGAGAGAGAGATCATTCAGGGTTGATTATTACAAACACCCATCATCATGATCATCATCATTGTTGTCGTTGTTGACATGAAGAGGAAGGAAGGAAGGGGAATAATGATAATGATGTTACTACTACTTTACCTCCCAAGTTGGCTTGATCCACTCGAGCCCGTAAAAAGTTCAAACAAAAGGCACCGATCAATAGAAAACATGCAAGGACGGCACACACTTTGGTTTGGGCTAGATCTGTACTATCAGGCACTCGTACCAGGGATGCACAGTAAATGCCGAGTAGTGACCAACCAGTGGCAACACTGCACATGACCGTGCCAAATGCAATATCCTAAAGGTACGCTTGGGCGGAAGAAGAAAAAAAAGGGTAAATGTTTGCACACAGCATCAACACATCAGTAATTATAGACCAAACAAATCGACCCTCACAACAACAATGGAACCAATCGAATATACCTCTCCCAAAGCCCCATATGATTTTGCGGGGTGAATGAATTCAGCAGCCACCTGTGCTAAAATGATCCCGTATTCTGCACGTTCTCGAATGGGTTCGACAAGAAGAAGAGCAAAGAGTATCGTGACAGCCAGATCAGCTTTCAAGATGCGTTTCACAATGGGCCAAGTTAAGGATTCCCATATCCCACGTATTCGTTCTCGTATCGTTTGTAATGGAAGGATGTGCCCAGAAGCTGGGGAAAAGTGGAAACTCAACTGAGTAACAAATGCTTCTTTGCTCATCGTCTCATAAATGTGTTGTGTGTATGGGTGTGTGTGTGTGTGTGTGTGTGTGTGTTGATGTTTAATATTCGTATATGATCTATGTGGGTATGTGGTGGCGTATATGGAAAGTAGGTGTAGGTGTGAGTGTGGGAGAGAGAGAAAAGAAGAAAGTGTGTGTGAGAGAGAGCAACCACAACAGGGTTAAAGAGAGAACAAAGGGCGAAAATGAAAAGTGAAAGAAGAAAATCAAGTTGTGCTTGTCTCCGAAAAAAGAGAGAAAAAAAGGGTCAAACCCCCACGTAAACCCCCAATCTTTTTTCTCCTGCTTCCTTTCCGTCAATACAAGTTCATAGATCTCATACACTCAAACACTTTGACTCAGTCCACTTTGCTGGGATATGTGTGTAATTCAAATGCAAGTCATTGCAGCTAACGGATAAACATCATCAAGTTGTCTCGGAGAGGTTGTTCACACCGCTTTGTCCCACGTATGCTTATACTTTTATGCTTGGTCTCAGATTGGTAGTCATGATAAAATGCTGTTGGTGATTGAGCGGCGATTGATCGTCATCATCGTCGTTGGAGAGTTTAAACAGAGCAACATCATGCATGATCGCCGGGCAAATTGCTGGCATGAGATTGTTTATGTTCTACCCTGCAGCTCTATATTTAAACATCATCGGGATCGACATCATGCTTATCATTGATTTCTTTTTTTATGTATATGTTGTAATGTGTGGATGTGTAATACATGTGGTGGTGTTGTAGTTGAGAAATGTAATGTGTGTGGGAGGGGGATACTCTTGATCATGGTGATGGAGGTGATGGGTGGTTGTGGTGGTGGTGATACATGTGTATTGTTTTGGCGTGTATGTATGTGTGTGTGTGTGTGTGTGTGTGTGGTGTGTGCGTGGTAAAATAAAATGTGAGTGTAGTGCAATGTTTATAAAAAAAAGCAAGAGAAAGAGAGATGCAGTGTAAATGTGTCATGGACTTCGGTCGTTCATCGGTATCTTACATGATGGTGCAGTCGTCACCATTCTTCTTTTTGGACATCTTTTGGCCATCGACCTTGCCTTGTAATCGTTGAATGGCACGCTTATCTCCATGTTCTGCAGCACGTTTGTACCACTCCATCGCTTCATTTGGATTCTTGACAGTGCCAATGCCAACTTCTGTAAAGTAGCCAACAGCGTATTCGGCCTTGGGTAGTTCCTTTTCAGCTGCTTGTCTTGCCCATACGTAAGCTTGTTCATCCGATTGTGGCAGGATCCCTGGTGAGCCAACAAGGTACCAAGCTGTCAATGCAAAACATGCTTCTCGATGGCCTTGTTGAGCAGCGATGGTATAGTAATGGATGGAGAGTGCTGGATCTTGCTTGCAGTTGAGCTTGCCATATTCGTAGCATTGACCCAGGCGAAGAGCAGATTGTGCGTGGTTGAGATCTTCAGCTGCTCTGGCGTATAATGATACTGCATAATCCGCATCCACAAATACCACATTGTCAATACCCTTCTCGTGTAACACGGCCAATTCGTATACGGCATCAGGGAATTCAACGGTTGCTGCTTCGGTTGCCGTCTTGAGCCACTTTACGCCCTCCCGTGCATTCTTCGACATGCCCATCTCACCATTCACGTGTGCCATACCCAACCTAAACATTGCCGCTGGATGATTTTGGGTTGCTGCTTTCCTATCATAAATGCATCATTGCATCAATAAATCATTCTCCATGTGCTTTTCATCATCCCTCCCCCTCCTTCTTTCAAGCACAATGACACCATCATCTCCCTTCCCTTATCCTTCCCACATCACTTACTTGTAAAATTGAATAGCCTTGGAATAATCCCTGCGACAACCCACACCTTCTTCGTAGCACTTGGCGGCACTAGAACAAAAATAAAACGCTGTGTAACTATAGACCGAACTATGCATATGTGGCACGTTGTTTTCTTTCTTCTTCCTCCTCCTCCTCATCATCCAACCATCACCGCCAACATCCATCATGTGTGTATGTTGTGCAAAGAAAAAGAAAGGTTGTAGGTTCCATTCTCCCACACACATGATCCTTGATCTATCCCAAATCCAAACTTACCGATAAGCAGCATCGGGATGATGATGTTTGGTGGCTTGCACAAAGAGGGAAAATGCCTTGTCTTCGTTCTTGCCCTTTTTGCTGATGAGGCCCGTAGCATACAAGTTGCCAAGATAATATTGCGACTCGGCATGACCGCGTGATGACAATTGTTTGAGTAACTTTTCAGCTTCATTCAGATATTCCAAACGCTCCTGTTCATCCGTAGAGGACTTGGCAGCTTCCACCATAAACACGGCAAAGTCGCACTGTACTTCAGGGCTATTGGTCTTTTTGGCATTCTCTCGATACATGTTGATAGTCTGAGCATAGGACAATAAAGACGCCTGAGCACCAGGTTTCAAATGAGAATGGTCGAGCAATTGGTCGGGATTGAGAGACGTGGGCAAAGCAACATAAGATGAACTTCGAGAACTTGGTGTCATGGCACGAGGAGAAGTCGACGAAGTGGCTGGTGATGTAGGTGCACTGTTGCCACCAATGTAGAATTGCTGCTGCTGCTGCTGTTGCATTACTGGACTGTCATCCTCTGCTGGTCCCTTGGGTGGCGGTTGTGGCGGTGTTGGCATAGGTGAAACAGAGGACGTGCGAGTAGGAAGTGGTTGTTGTTGTTGTTGTTGTACTTCGCCTTCCAAAACGACTGTAGGTAATTCATGATGAGGTGGAGAAAGATGATGTGGTGGAGGAGGAGGTGGTGGTGGTGGCATTGACGTGGGTGGTGGTGGTGCATCCATTATATATGAATGAGGCGTGTGGAAGGAAAGGAAAGTAAAGAAAAAGGAAAAGGAAGAAAAAGGTGGCGTGCCTTGTAAATTTAGCTTGTAACTTTCGCGAGTTAGCGTGATACTTCTTTTCTGTGCTGTGCTTTGTACTCGGATTCCGCATTGCTGGGTTGTCTATAAAAACACACCACACATACACGTAAAGCCAACGACTGCCATTGAATCGAGATCTTGAACGTCATCAAGCCAACGATATTTGTTTCCAATTTCGTTTGATTCTCAGAACGCGTGTGCCTTAAAATATGTTTAATCTCCTTTAATGCATTGCAGCAGCATCTAATGATAGCCATCTCATCATCATCATCTTCGTCACCGGTTGTCCCAAGTAAACATGGAAATGGTAAGCTGAGCCTGTTGTCATCTTGACGTTGATTAAATCCGTCACCTTATTTCCATACACTTGCTTGGTATAGTAAGGCTCAATTACAAGATGGCACGTATATCAAACTATCATCATTACACTAGTGCATATACATACTTGATTGGAAGTTGCTCCATGTTCCATTACTTGGGTGCGTGTGTGTGCGTGTGTGTGCGTGTGTGTGCGTGTGTGTATGGATGTGTACATAACAAGCGTGCCCACATGCACAAAAACCTTAACACAGATACACGTGGTGATGTTATTGTGACGCTTACCTAAAGTGCTAACGTTCCGCAGCCCAAATTTCTTTTTCGTTTCCATGGATACCCATCACATTTGCATCTAAAGATTTTGAGCAACGACTTTGGGAATGGCATCCTTGGCATACATGATCTCTTATAATAAATGGCAATAAACCCATGTAATTGAAAGAAAGAGGGAGATCATCCATTGGCCGGGGCGCACCGATAGGGAATAAATGTTGCCAAGAAACCACAAGATACACGATCACAAATTACCTCGCAACCCAAATGCTGGTGTATAGTACTCACACAACGCACAAACCTTTTTTCAACCACTCACCATCCAATCTTGCCGTTCCATTTGTTGGCAATAAAGGCAACAAGGGCGTGGTGATGGGAAAAGTGGTTGTGATTACTGTTGCGTAGCAAACGTACAGTAACACATGATCTGCAACCATTTGCACCCCCCAAGATATACCCAATGCTCCCGCTTTGAAGGTACACACGTAACATGGATGCATACATAGATCCCATCAATCATCAGTAATGGCTATCAGCACGCCATTTTACACCGCCACATGCTATATAAATATGGGCATGTTGATAGATCTGCATGACAAATCCAAAAATTTTACCAGAAACAGCAAAAGAAAGAAAAATGCATGCTGAAACATGTGTCGATGATGGCAAATAGGTTTTACAGCAAACGGGTCGAGAAGGAGGATGATCCATAGATCAAGGGAGGGAGCGTTGAGTCAACGAAAAGACCGCCAACAGGCAAACGGATGATTTGATGCATGTATCAGTATAAGGGATTACTAATTACAAAGTTCAACCAACAACAGCGGAAGAACAAAGTGTGATCCATGATCATCCATGTATGTATGTTGTGATGAGCTGTATGAATCAATCATCCGTAAACCGCGATGCCATCCCAATTTGGAGGGAAAACGTATTCCCCTCTTTTTAAAGTAAACATAGCCTACGTGGTGATCGTTGATATGGGTCTTTATCATGCCAAGCATGATGTTGGATGAGTGATGGGATATGAGGCGGTAAAATTAAGGACCGAGCCCTTTGGAACATAACCGGCGCCGTGTACCGAAAATGCTTGTCGCGGATCAAAAAAGCCCATGGTGCTCAATACGAGATAAAATGCCTGCTGTCAAGCGGTCAGTTTCTGCCGAAAAGCGGGACAAATATTTTCGACCATAGTTACTTATCGGGAAAAGGTTTGTTGCTGGATGTATGTGTCTGATCTGATTTCAATAGCAAGGAGTAAAAGAGGGGTACAGCATGTAACAAGGGAATATCAAATAAACTGGGGTTGATTATAACCTTTTTATCTTTGTGCAAAAGCTAGATCTTTGTTCTACCAAGATTCGATTAAGGCTGATACACACACAAAGTGGGGCTGCGTTCAATGGTACGTTTGGGGGTGGAAGGGGGGCTGATCAAAGTAGGGGTGATGTAAAGCGTCAAAGGTATGTTTTATGTCTAATCGTTTGCCAAGTGAAACGTTCCATCGAATAAAAACGTGGCATTGCGGGATGGCAAAATTGGTACCGACTAAGCATACGGCAAATCATGGCTGCCAGCCAATAACACTGAAGGATGGTATCGGGGGCCGCATGGCTCGAACACCCCCATAATGGAAGGTTGATGACGATTAAGTGCCTTTTTTTGATCCAAGGCTTTCAATAGTCCCCCGCCTTACTAATAGATGCCATGTTGTGGAAATAATTCAATCAGGGCAACTAGGCAGGGAATAGTGACACATATTCATTGACACAATGCCGTGTAATGCATGGGCAATAAAAAGTGCTTCCGGTGAACAGGATAAGGGATCAAGCTGCAAATCGACATTTGCATGTAAATGATTTGCCGTTCATTGCTGCATTTACCCGAATAAGAGATTGGGTGCCGTACCGAGACACTATTTCATTCGTTGTTTCGAATCAAAGCTGAGATAGGTTTATTGTCGGTAGCAGATCATATAGGGTGGATCATACATGGACCCCCTGAAAACGTCATGTAGGAAGGGGATATTGGGAGAGAAGGATAATGGATGATGGATGAGAAACGTGCTGGGCAGGGCTCCGCATGTCGAAGATCGAGAAAAGCAAAGGGACATGTTTACCCGGCAGTGTAACGCGGCAAGTCAGCCGCCCCGAAGACCCGCCTTTTCCGGTAGGTGGTTAAAACCGTAAAGAAATATCTTGATCTGCCTAAAAAAATCAGGCGCATGTTACGACATATATAAGAGTGGCGTGCTCGTCATCATTCCCCATCTTATTCTTGTTCAACAATTTCATGTTGTTCTCGCTTACTCTCTTTGCATGTGAGTACCTATAAACATTTTCCCTTCACAACCACACACACGCATACACACACACACATCTATTGCTGCGGGTGCGGATGATGACAAAGATGTTGCATAATGATATGGAAAGTGGATCTGCGACACCCACACACATGCACATCCATTTTATTTGTAACGCATCTGCATATTTCTTTTTCTCCATGTGCACACACAGCAGCGGTGTGTGATCTCCTTTTCTCCTTCACAGCTGTAACAGATCATTGACACATTTCTCTTTCCTCTTTTTTTTAAAGAAAATGGATCTGTCAGCCATCAACGTACCAACCGCTTACAACCTTTCATCTCATCAACATTCACCACAGCAATCTGATCATCAGCACCACCACCCACACCATCATCCGATTTATACGAACAACGAAACCACCAAACCACGCAGTGCCTTTCATCGTCATCAACCCACATCGATGCCATCACCACCGGAGCTGATGCACGATAGCGAAGAAGATGAAGAAGAATCAACTGGATCCCCCATCATGACAGCTATGCAACTTGATGTGGCACAACCTAGCAGCACACCCTATCATTCGATTCGTAAATCAACACCCCATCGATCACCACCTGCTGTCAAGGATGCTATTCAAGCTAGCGCTGTCGATAAAAGTGTTGTGTTTCAGCTTGATGTGCGATCACATCCTTTCTTTCCAGCATCAACAACATCATCAGCAGCACGCATGTCATCTTCTCCTGCTGCTTCATCATCATCCCATGACCAAGCACCAATGTGCCCAGAGTGCAAGTTGACTAATTGTTGTGGAATGGCCTGCACTTCTCGTGTGATTTGTGGTGAATCATTGCTTACTGCCTTGAGAAAACGTGTTGCCCAAGCTCGTAGCGAACAACAACCAAGACGTCGTCAACGTTTGGCAATCCAAAATCGCCCCTCATTCAAGCGCTCTACTGCCACTTCTACAAGAAAATCCACTCACATTGACATACCCCGAGTAGCAGCTTCTTCAAGGCAACATTATCATTCTTCGGAAGAAGATGATGATGCTGATGATGATTACACTGAAGTGAGCGCCGAAGATGAGCAAGAAAAACGCCTTAGGGAAATTCGAAGACGACCATGGATCGATCATCCTGATCAATCAACACCATCATCATCATCACAATCTACATCACCCACAACAACAACACCACAACAACAACCATCACCAACACAAAGTAACAAGGATCATTCACCACAAGAGCAACAACCCGCATTGAGAAAAAGATCACCACCTGCTGGAAGACCTTCTCGTGTCAAGGGACCTTGCCAAGCTTGCCAGGAGTCTTCTGATGGATGTATGCGTAAAGCATTCAATTGGCCTTTCCCAACCAGTTCTGTTTACAATGACAAAGGCAGGAAGTTTGTCTATCTTTGCAACAAGTGTGGCTTAAGGTAATTATTATTCATCATCTTTATCTTTGTAATCCACAATGGCTTACTAATCCTTACGATCTCTAATAGATACAACAAGAGTGGAGGATGCGTATGCCGTAATTGTCGATGGGTCTTTTGCAAGGAGGAAAAACGCAAGGCTATGCAACACATTGAGCAAATGATTCGGTCTCGACCAGATGGCCATGTTGATCCGGATGAAGATATCGAAGGCTTTGTATGCACACCCAAATATTGGACATGTGGACGCCCATGGAAGGTTGGTTGGGTCTTGCAAAACAATGCAGAAGAAGATGAAGATTTGCAAGATGCCACTGACTAGGCACGACCCACCACACACAACATACAATACTTTTTGCATCATTTGATCTCTTTTCATATATACACGCACATTCACAAGCATCTTCCCATATCCTTTCCTTTGTCCTTTTCATCATACGCACATCAACCCTTTTATGCTCGCCCCCGTTGTTTTCACCTTGTTTCGTTTTCCCTTTTTCTTTTATCTTTTGCTGGATTGTATCATTTCTTCTTATGTTGTTCTCCGTATATATGAACGAATTATTCCCTCTGCTAGCTGGCCAGCTACTCTCTCTCTCTCTCACAAATACACGCACACACCCCTTTTACATCTTGTACATAGCACACAGAATGGAAAATACACACACACATACACACACAATTTCTTGATCTGAATTGTTTCGAATACGTGGAAATGGTATCACATCGCCAAGACTTTTTTCAACGTGTGTGATTGTTGCCGTTCTTGGATCATTTATTCCATGGGGGTTTTTTTGTGTGAGATGCTGCAAGAGATTCGGCGCGAACTCCGGTTTGCTACTGCTGACCTGTTATCTCATTACCAGGGGATGAGGCTGATCTGACAAATCAATCACTCAGCCAACGCTTACAACTCATCCAACACACAAATATGCAAACCTGCCACGTTACATTTCCTAGATGAGACTTTACATGTAGCACACATGAGAGAATGCTACATTTTAAAGGTGGAACCATTTAACCGTGAACAACAACAGGTGTCAATGTACATAGGAAAAAGATTGGGAATGATCCTGTTGGACCCAATAACGCGGATCGAACCGACCACAGATAAAGCTGAGCAGTGTATGTATAGGTTATTATAGCGCTAAGTGGAAACGGGTAAGGGAACAGGGGCCGAGCGCGGAATAATGCCATCATGGTGGTGATTGTATTTCCTCCTCCTCCCCCCGCACCGCTCTTTCTCTCTTGTTCTTTGCAGGAGATGATTACGTAGTATGAGCTAATTGTTTCTCATCCACACACTCACGCACCTTGTCCCCGACAAATCGAACAACCTACTATTTGCTTGATCTCCGGCAACGAGAGTAGTAAGAAAAATGCATGTTATAGTGTCCGCATGCAACACATGTCATCATTAGCGTGTAACTATAAAGGTATCCCATCCATCCCCCTTCTCGATCTCATCATGATCCAATCCCCGCATGCTTGTTGTGGAGAAAGGATCAAAATCAAACATCAAACCACCCCCCCCCCAAAACACTCACGCCAACTAAAACAAGAAACATCTTATATTCGCTTTCTCTATCTCACTTTGACCAAATCAAATCACAAAACGCTTGTTGATGCTATAGTGCGAAAATAGGCTTATGACCACTAAAATGAGCCACCTGCTGGGTGGGCTTTGTCTATGTATTTCGCCACAAACATTGACTCCCACACAACATGTTACAATGGATCCATTACAATAAGTCGATTAAACGAAGAACAACCCAATCAATCAATGATAATAATATGCCGTGTCTCGTGAGAGGTACCAAGCTAAGGGAATGCTCCAAATCGGTCAATGTGTGTGATCCGCTTGTCCGCACACACCAATGCAGCATCCTCCTCCATTGGTGGGTAAGTATAGCCAAAAGTCATGTTCCTGTAACTGTGGTTCATTTGCAACCATGCATATGATACGATCAGCCACTTATCAGATGTGAAACGCTTTAATGAACTTGCATGTGACGGCATTGCAGCCATATGCATCCATGCATGATGACAACAATTTGTGGCGGATGGGCGTGGATGGTATTGAGGCACCTTTTTTCTTTTTGGCTTGTGATGGATGAAGAGGGTGGTGATCCAAAAATTGGTGGCCAAGGACAACAACAATGTCGTCGTCGTCGGGCCGATTTTGCCGCTTTGCTGTGAATGGACAACTTGCCAATTTCACCCTTTCTTTGTTTCCTGCAACAACTCTCCTTATATACACACACCGACGATGGCAGTGACAAAGACACCTGACGAAGAGAACAATGCCATTCAAGAATTGTACAAGGAACTAGGTTCTGAACATGCTCATTTAGACCGTGAAGTACGTGCACTTCATTGACGCTGTTTCCTGTACGCACTGACATGCTCTTCTTTGACAGTACTTGAAGCAGTTCCTCATTGCACGTAGTTGGAATGTGGTATGTATGTATTATCATTGCAACCAGAGTACGATATTAAGTGAAGTCTTAGAAAGCTGCCAAGGAGCAATTATTATCAACCATGGCATGGCGTAAAGAAAACAAGGTGGACCTATACCCTGCAGCTACCAAGGACAACAAACTACCTCTGCTTTATCCTGTACGTGGTTTCGATACTATTCCAGATGGCAACTTGACGTCCGACGCTGGTGTCTCTGAATCGGTTTTAAGGATCTATCGTTGGATGGGAGGCAGCTGTTTACACAAAACTGACAAGGATGGATGTCCAATTTACATTGAGCGCTTGGTAAGTTGTGTACACGTGGCGAAGACGATTGGATACAAAGGTAGTAATGGACATGTGTGTGCGCATTAGGGCTATCATGCTGCAAAAGAATTGGCCAAGTTCACTACCACCGAAGAAGTATCGCAGTATCATGTGGGGTGTAACGAATTCCTGCACCGTGTCATCATGCGTGATTGCTCAATCAAAGCCAACAAGACCATCAATCGCGAGACCGTCATCTTTGATTGCACGAATATGAATTGGGGCCGTAAGTATATGAACAAGGAAGGATGATGACGATGATGATGGTGTATCTCATGATGGATCCTTTTATCGACAACAGAATTCCACATGCCAGCTCTTTACTTTATCAAGGCCATTTCGGACACGGATCAAAAGTATTATCCAGAGACACTGAACAAATTGTACCTGGTCAATGCTCCTTCAGCATTTGTGATGGTGTGGAAGATCGTAAAGGCGTGGTTGGACCCTGGTGTAAGTAGTGAAAATGTGTGTGTAACCATGGGGACGGATCAACTCACTATGCTGGATATGTATGTAGACCATTGAAAAGATCCAAATTCTTGGCAAGGATTTCAAGGATGTCCTCTTGCAGCAAATCCCGGCTGAAAATTTACCGAGCTTTTTGGGAGGCGATTGTACTTGTTCGCATATGCCTGGTGGATGTGTTCCTTCTCAGAGTATGTGTTACCATTATGCGGATTTAGCAAAACGTTGGGCTCATTGTTGTTGTAGTCCTCAAGAACATCCCAGAAATCCAAGCTCAAGCACACAATGAAAAAACAGAATTCCCATACAACAAGGATATCATGGAAAAGGCGGAAACAGATGCTACGCTTCGTGGACCTCCATCATTGGCATTTTGTAACGGCCTTTCCAACGACAGCACATAAGACCTGCTTCCTTTATCATAGACTCAAATAGACCACTTCCTTTCTTTTGATATTGCTTGCATTACATCTTTACTTTACACACATACATGACCACAATACACCTTCCCATCCACGTAAAGACGTGTAATTTTTATGAATGTATCAGCTTATTGATCGATGCTACGTATTCGACTACTTTGAAGGGGCAACTTTTTTCTATCATTGCATCTGACAACAAAACGAGATCAGCAGGTGCACTAACCATGCATTGCTAACACCATCAGCGGATGCTTGATTTCTTGTATAAGCCGTCCTTGCATCAAAAAGTTTGGAATAGCAGCAAAGTGAAGCTTGATTTGTGGGCCGTCTTCCCACCGATTTCACACTTGCCAAAGTCCTTTGTCATAAAAGCGGGATGAAGATTATTACTTTGTCAGCGGAAATGCATTGACTTTTTAGCTGCAAACGGCAAGCTTCCCCACACCTTGTTACCTTCCCTCTTTCTATCTCTCTTTCTAATACCATGGATATCGAAGCACTTTTCAGCGTCAAAGACCGTGTCGTACTTGTCACTGGTGGCTCAAGAGGCATTGGTGAAATGATTGCCACGGTAAATGTTCACTCCATGGGGGAAAGGTGACCCAACGATCCGGACCATCGCATTGACTCTTTGGGTCACTGTCAATAGGGTTTTGTTCAAGCAGGTGCCCGTGTTTACATTAGCAGCCGGTCTGCCAAGGCTTGTGATGAGGTAGGATAAGCAACTGCATAGTTGACAAGTCAACTAAAACCATGGTGTTTCAAAAGGTTGCCGCCAAATTGAATGCTCTTGGTCCTGGCAAGTGTGTTGCTATTCCTGCTGATTTGCAAAAGGTGGATGATATCAAAAAGATTGTCACTGAATTGAGCAAATATGAGGATCGTAAGTAATTCGACATGATGATGATGGTCGTGGTGTCACACAAGAGATTGCTAACTCCTTCATAATGTAGACCTTGATGTTGTAAGTACTCAGCACACAAAGGCTGTCGATTAGGCGCACGCACGACCAACGCTCTTTTTCTTTATTAGTGCATTAACAATGCCGGTGCCACCTGGGGAGCCCCTATTGACGAGTATCCTGAAGCCGCTTTCAACAAAGTATTGACTCTCAACGTGAATCGCGTTTTTGGTTTGACTCAAGCGTAAGTGAAAAAGGGCTACTACTACTACTACGTACATGAGGAGGGTACTTAAATGCTGTGTGTATGTAGTTTGCTCCCATTGTTGCGTGCCAAGGCTACTCAAGAGAACCCATCCCGTGTTATTAACATTGGTTCTATCAATGGTGAAGCAGTAAGTAGAGGGGGCTGGCTGAGAGTTATCAAAATGACCCAATGTTAAATGGTGTGCATATCATCACAGGTGCCAAACTTCGAGTCGTACGCCTACTCTAGTTCCAAGGCAGCTGTCCATCATTTGACTAGACATTTGGCTGCTCGCCTCGGCAAGGAATACATCCTTTGCAATGCTATTGCTCCAGGTTCTTTCCCTTCCAAGATGATGGCTGAGACTCTTCGCAAGCACGGTGATGAAATCGTTGCCCGTGTCCCTGTTGGCCGTGTTGGCACTCCTGAGGATGTCGCTGGTAAGAAAGAAATAGGCTCAAATGGAGGGAAGGATACTCATTTTCATGTCATATGCAGGTACTTGCATTTATCTTGCTTCTCGTGCAGGCAATTATACCAATGGTGCAACCATTGTGATCGACGGTGGTGCCATTCAGAACAATTCGAGAATGTAAATATTGACCCTTTGGAATACAAATATTTACTACCAACATTTTTTTGGGGGACGTGGATGAACATGTTGTTTTTGAGTGTATTTCCAATGAGAAGAAAAAGGAACGATGACGGTATCAATAAAATGCATGCATGCTGTCTCTCTACTTTTACAAAACTTATTCGCCATCCTCGGTACCAAAGTAGCGGTCTTGATGATGATTTGAGTAAGAATACATGTCATACAAGGAGAACCATAATTGCTCTTACCTCCAAAGTTGCCAATGCCAGGCTCAATATAGAGCGTCTCCTTTGATAGCACAGGATCCACCATTGACGTAACAATCTTAACCTTGGGAAAGGCTTTTGCAATCACGTTGAGACCCACTGGTGCTGCGAGGTAGACTGTGAAGATGATGTTTTCCTAAAGCGAACAAATAAAGCAATGAGATTTGGACTATCAAAGATAGATGCATTACTTACCTCGGGAACGTCATGATCCAATAAGACGCGGATAGCCATAAGGCCTGCAGCACCCGTTCCAATGGTGGCGTCCTACATTAGACATGAGCACCAATTCACTACTTTACAAGAGCACCACCTACCATCAATACGACTTGATAATCCTTGACATCTGAAGGGATTTTACAATAATGCAGCTATTGCATATTAGCGACATGTACGTAATACCATCACCCCTCCCATGCCATAAAAAATAAGTACCTGTGGTTCACCGGTGCTGGGATCGGTCTGGATTAAGAGCTTGCCAATGGAAACGTCATTACAGACGCGACGTAAACCTGTCTCCATCGTTCCACCAGCACGTAGAATAGATACGCCACAAATCTATAACAGCAACAGCCTTAACACCACTCACTTGGAATAAATCAATGATGCTAAGCTTACCTTTTCCGTAAACTTTGTTCCCTTGTATGAGGCACCAATTGGCGTTGTCACCGTAGTTTCAGCGAATGGGAGTAGATTGAGACCGCTATATCATCGAGATTAACAAAAGAATCCCATGCTCTATGTACGTTGTCTTACGCTTCCACAATCAATGTTGATAGCCGCTCTGCGTAAAAGATGAATTCATCCCGTGAAGTGGTTCGATCACGCAAGATTGTGTGCATTCCCTAACCAAAACGAATCCCGTTAAATTAACGTCAACACACACGATCCAATGTCATGCATACCTTGATTTGGTTGGTCTCTGGCAAAACGACGACATCAGGTGGTACTTCATTGTCGATAGGCGTATTGGCAAGGTCCCATCGTAAATGCATCCTGCGCTCATTCAATTGCTTTTGGACATGTTTGGTGATCAAGTCGATAGCAACGACATTTTCAAGACCTCTTGGGATAATCTACAACAATGCATGAGCCACATGGATTCGACTGCTATTATCATTCCAGGCCACTTACAACATCCGCATATTTCACAGTGGGTTGGATATGGTCGTCAAAAGCCGGCTTGACGAATCTCGAATATTGCTACATCATATTTTGTCAGCCGTTGTTGGTTATCCAGGTGACGTCAACGAGAGCGACTCACTTGAAGAATGCCTTCCTTATCTCTGCCACGCTCTGCAATGTCGCGTTGCACTATGTAGTGATGATGATTATGTCAGCGATGATGTCAGGTACGCATTGATCCAGTGTTACATACATCTTCTTGCCAATCGAATGTCAGCATCCGTATCAACAAAAATCTATCACGTTTGCCGATAAGCTAATTGTCGTCGCCGATACATGTGGGATCCACACTTGCCTTGAGATCCATCAGGTCACGGATTCGCTTGTCGTATAATGCATAAATACCCTCAAAGATAATGACATTGGCACCATAGATGGATGTTGTCTTATCGGCTCGTGCGTGCAATGAGAAATCGTATACGGGGATATTGACCGATTTTCTAAATCACAACATATATATCATTGCTCAATCCTCATAGCAACAAACCATTTAAACTTACCCATGCTTGAGTTTGCAAAGAGCATCGTATAAGAGATCATAATCGAATGCGGAAGGATGATCGAAATCAAAATTGCTGTATAGTTTTGCTGGTGAGTTTAAAGATAAGCCATGCATGGCATTCACGATCACTTACTTTGCATGTGCCAAAGCACTTTGTTCAGGCGACAACACATTGTAGAATGAATCCATTGAAACAATCACCACCCATGGTACATTAAGGTTCTTGAGGATACGTCTGTTGATAGGGCATCACCGAATCAGCAACTTTGGATCACGTTGTCGTCGTCCCTGGATACTACTACTACTACTTACTCGGCAACGCTGGTCTTGCCACTTCCGCTTCCACCTATTCAGAATGAGTTGGCTTGTTCCAAAGTGTTCGACATGCGACTCTACCTGCAACTCCAATGACGTAGCTCTCTGTAATGGTGCCGTCGACACTAGCATTGGCTAACTGAGAATCCTGATCCACGTGGTCTCACGCGAGAATGGCTCACTTACTGGTACCAAGGGCTATATGATTTTGAAAAGCAAAGGTCAGTGACATTGGAAGAGGAGGAGAGGGATCAAGACGAGCTGCTTACCTTCTACCTGATGAATTGAGCCTGAGAATCTTCTTTTCACCCATCGCCACAAAAAGAGTTGACCTGCAGTTCTCCGCACGACCGCTCCGAGTTTTTTTTTCACATCCTCCTCCTCATCCTCAGATCCAGAGATGTGCATACATACCCACTATGAGATAGATACACATCATCCCCTTCTCCTTCTCCTCCCCCATTGCATTACATTCATGCTAATGATGGTACCACAATAAATGATGCTGATTTCTTTTTCCATGATTTCTATATGTCATCCATTGATCAAGTAACTGCGTGGCACAAGAACAAATACCGGAAACCCGGAATGGAAAGCATCCGATGCAGCCTATATTCTTTGGGTTTTTGCATAAGCAACATGATATGGCAACAACGATTACTCCATGTACATAGAATGCTTTCTGCATCTGCTGGTATAAAAATTCGCGCGAATCAAAGGAACCCCCCTTGTCTTTAGGCTACATGTGCGTATGTACATCACCCACCAACATGACATCAGGGTCACCAATCCCCTTCATAAGAATAAATTCGTATACCCGATGCCTTGCTTCGTAATTACATGATTGCCATGATCGATCCTTAATTAACTTCATGTATCTATATGCTGAGCAATCGTATTCTTTGTGCTGCTATACATCATCCAAGAGATTGCACTATTTTCATTGTCAACGTCCTTTAACACGCAACTACGTACATCCACACGAAGACGTTTATATGAAGACATAACTTTTGATGATAGAGAACATGCTTAGTCAAAGATTCAGCTATGCTCCTTGTGTTTAAAGTTCTATACATAGTCATATTATAAAGGGATGTATGTAGCTCACTCCTCTCTTACCACCTCCCTGTCAAAGCCTCGAAGATTCCATGTGTAATATAGAACATCCGAATCCATGCCATCTTAATGTCCCAAAATGAAGATTGACATGATAAAACATCGTTGTGTATGGTCATTGGAATATCAAGCCGCTTGTCTACTTGTAGTAAACCACCTATTTTTCATTGTACCATCCAAACGAATTCGCAATTAGAAAACAGGTTGATGTTAGCAATCTATTGGAAACAAAAAGGATACGCTTCTATAACGATGGCGGGACCGCAATCGACTCCCTTGCGCACAACGAATTTCTACATGATGCAGGTGGTACATATGTACACGACTTGCACATGGTAACCCACATTCTACGATGTTTATGTACGATCATTGTATTCCACAAATGGTAGCTGTTTTTGGAAAAAGTGCCATATCGGACAACAAGATCAGAAATAGTAAGAATGAAAGTAAAGGGTGAGGCGGAGAGAAGGGGGGTGGGTTATGGATACCATGCATGGCTTTTCTCAATGAACAGAAACCAAAAACCTCGTGGCTGCACAGGTGGGAGTAGTTAAACTTGTAGCACATGATAATTGTGTACACCTGTTGAACCCGTAGCATAGCCAAGACCCATATGTATGTGCATGATGCATGATGATGAAAGTCTCTGTAGTAAAACATGCATTATCTCCTATATTCTGCCAAGCCAACAACCATACATTACTCATCCGTTGATATCACGTTTATCGAAATGTAAAACACAAAAAGCTAGTATATCAAATGCTAGATCACCATGCGCGCATATTAGAAGAACGATAGAATTTCTAACGAAAGCAAGGATTAATGCTATTGACAACATTTTTAGAGGATGCAAATGGACTTACTTTTCGGCCTCGACCTTTGAATGTTACACCTGGTTCCTTGTTATCGTCAAATTGTCGTCGTTGCTCCCATTCAGGTACATAGTGGCTGCCTCGTGAATGGCGTGAAGAGCTCCTACGAGGGCTTGGGCTACGGCTTTTACGTGGGCTGCGACTTCCTACTGAGCTGGTTACTTTACGGGATCTGCTTGGGCTTCTACTTGTCGATCGGCGTGTGTGTGATTTATCATCATGGTCGCTAGGTGGTGTAGGTGTAAGAGAACGTCGACGTCGTGATGGACTTCTGGATTCGACACTCGAGCTACGTCGGCTTTTTCTCTTTTTCTTCTTTTTGTCCTTTTTGCGATCCTTTTTGCTCTTCTTCTTGCTCTTGCGCTTTTTACGTCGTTCTCTTTCTTCTTCGCTTTCTGATGATGATGCAGATGATCCTGATCCATTCTCTCCTTCATCCGATGATACTGAGCGTGATCGTTTCCTGCTATCCTTGACTAATAAAATACATGGATCAGCCTAGTGTTCCATTATTACCACCCCTTCCCCTTCCCATCATACTCACGTGCAACACCAGGTGGGAGTTTAAGAACTAATTCACCCGAATTGGCAATCATAATGGTATTCAAAGGTCGATCACGATCATCCACAGGTTCATTTTCAATCTTTTGTACAATGTCGTATCCCGAGACAACGCGACCAAATACGACATGCTTTCCATCCAAATGAGGCGTGGGTCGAGTGGTGATGAAGAATTGAGATGATTGTGTGTTGGGACCACGATTTGCCATGCTGAGAAGGCCATGTGTAGTGTGTTTGCGTACAAATGATTCGTCTGGGAACGTTGCTCCATAGATACTTTCACCACCAGATCCATTACGACGTGTAAAATCACCACCTTGAATCATGAACCCTTTGATAACCCTGCAAGTTCGTGTCAGGTGACGGATCAACAAAAGTGGAACTGGGATCGCTTACCTGTGGAGAATCGATCCTCGATAGTGCAATGGCATACTGCTTACTTTACCCAATCCCATTTCACCTATTTATCATACCATCAATATAAAAGAACTTGTTTCAACATGTCTCAAGAGTGAGGGAGGTGGTGTGATTTACCTGTGCAGAGTGCACGAAAGTTTTCAGCAGTTTTTGGGCACTCATCGGCAAACAGCTCAAAGATTATCCGGCCAACTAGAGAGACGAAAGTGTGTTGGAGATCAAGGTTAAGCTATGGTGTCTCCTGAACTTACTCCTATTGCCGTCAATGTCAATGTCAAAAAATACGCGTGGGTTTATCTTCATGGGAACCGAAAGAGAGGCACGCACACACAAAGAGAGAGAGAGAGAGAGTAGCAACGAGAAACTCCTCCTCCTCTTCTCAACATCTCCTTGACAAATGTGGAAGGTGACTGACTACTACTACTACTACTAGCTACCTACTTTGACCACCCCTGAGAGCTACTAGCAACAAAGATGTTTCTGCATTCCGCATTCTTGTAAGGAACCAAAGAGGCGAATGCATTGACACGGGGTCTGCGAGCTTATTTCCTTTGCTGATCGAACGAGGGCAGCAGCAGCACCACCACCACTACCACATAATGAGACTTGTCTCTCTTCTATGCAGGGCATCACAATCCACTCTTGTGGATCCAATGGCCATTTGTTGAATATACGAAATGCTTCTTTTTTTGCGCCTATTCGTCTCCTTCAAAAGAATCCAAGTTCCATTTCGCCCAAGCACTCTATCCCCTATAAATGCCATTCATCATATGATACCTCAATGGATGATAATGACACTCTCAAGACACATTACATTTCATATCGCATTTCGATCATAAGGAATCATAGTCAATAAACATGTTTATATATAAAAGTGTGTGGTCTCCATGGAAACTACGTCTCATGCAACACAAATAGGTGATTTGATGTACCGTCAATTCGCTATTTTCTTTCTTCCTTTTCAACGACGACATGCAACAGCCTTCAACATCAACGCACGATCGTTTGGAGACAACAACAAAAGTGAGCGGCTCCGTCATTGCCAAGCTTCTTCTTTTCACCATTGCCATGGTGGTGTTGCCGATTGGGACCTACTTTACAACAGTGGATAGGGTGTTTGGCGGTAAGGAGGGTGGGGGAGAGTAACTAGGGAACAGCAGTTGGATCATGTTGCCAAGAACGACTATTGACATGTTGTTGTTGGTTATGTAGGCAACGGTGCCTATGCCGCAGGAGCTGCAGCAGGAATGGCCAATGTCGTCGCAATAGCGTATGTGATTGTTGCCGCTATCGAAGGACAGCAACAGCAAGACAAGGATAAAAAGAGTGACTAGGTTAGGAGTGTGTGATGTGTGATGAAAAGCCAACCGTCATCGGAAGAGTGGTTTCCCCTGGTGTTACCGCGTTGTCTCCTTTCAACATACATCTCCATCCATCCACGCACATACACACCCACGCACCCATCCGTATTCATACCCATAATGTAGCCATCTTTTCTCTATTTTTGATTATCTTGGTCACTATGCTCACTCACCTTTCCCTAATCTTCACCCCCCTTGCTCCCAATGATCCTAGTTCTCGGATAAAGAACCTATTGCAATCATCATCATCATCTCATATTATCCCTGGAAAATGTGAATTGCCTACAAAAATTGAAATAGCCATCCTGCTACCTTTCTTTCTTCTCCACTTTTCCGTATGTTATGAGTCGCCCCTTTGTCACTGTTGATTACTTTTCGCACCAATGGGAAGCACTCGATCTTGGATGTGCATCACTCGAACTAAAACGACAACTCGCTGAAACTCGACGAAAACTACTATCCGTTCAAGGTCAATTGGATTCTCAACATGATGCCTTACGTCAATGGGGTCTTGGCATACCTACCACTAAAGCCTTTTCATCCTTATCCAAAGAAAAAAATCGGTTGCTGAGCGACGAATATCGGTTGTGTCGATTGGAAAACGTGGGTTGGCGACAACATGCAGCTCAACATGGCCTCAAGATCGACCCGATCGACATCAACTGGCAAAAAAACTCAGATGTCATTTGGCTGTATGGTCCCCTCTTTCGTCGAGATGACAATGATATCGATTTTGAAAAACGTTTGGCTGGTGTATCCACAACAACAACACATCCTAACCACCATCATCATCATGATACCAACATGGCTTTGAAACCCGCCCTGAAAAAAAGGAGCGAGACCAAGGAAGAGTATGTTGAAAAGCTTTTGGGCAAGGCTGCATTCAAAAAAGTCAAACGACGAAGCTTTCCAGCTGATCATACCACCACCATGATGGACTTTGACATGATTGAACAACATGATGTTACGACCAAAAAGAGGACTTTGCGATTCAAACCTGATGTTCTCGAGTACATTTATCATGCCGATATGCCATTGAGACGTAACCCTTCTTCTTCACGCTCCAAGCATAAACGTAGCAATAGCAACGGTAGTAATGGTGGCAAGTCATCCTCTGCAGCCTGTCAACGAGCCAAAGCTCTTTTGTTAGCAGCACGATCAAACGATTCATCATCATCAACAACCACTACCACAACATCACCACTTCAGACACAAACACCCCCAATCACCCTACCACCTAGTCCTCCCCTCTCACCCTCGTCCAAAGATACCAGCAGCATACAGCATAATGATGTCTATGAAGGGGGAGGCTGGTTATGGTCTTTTTTCTCATCTCCATCTGATACTACTACGACTTCTTCTTCAACACCACCACCATCTCCACCAGGATCACCTTGTCCAAATATAGGTGCTACTTCTACTACTACCACAACCACTACTTCATCTCCTCCTTCTCCTCCTCTTGAATCGGTTCCTAATCTTTGTGCCAACTTGCTTTCTCTTTCGGCTGAAATGATCACGCTTATGGGTACAGCAGCATTATACAAAGGAATTAGCTATGGTTTGGGATGTCCTGCAGCTCAGCATCAAGTGGTCAACACCACCTGTATTGCTAACCGGTCGAAAGCATCATGATCTCAAATCGTATAGCCCCGTGCTTTTGAAACTTTAAAAAAATTATTCAACGCCTCTTTTCCATAAATTAGTCAACTGGTCCGAGTGTTATCCTAACTAGAAAGTGTACGGGGATGTTCCTGACATGTGGGAGAAAAGAGAGAGAGAGAGAGCGAACGTACGTAAATAATGCATGCTGTGTGGCAACCATGGTCAAAGTGAGTGGGTGGTTGGTGGTGGTACATAGTGGTTGGTGTTCTCTCCTTGTGACAAAGGAGATGGGTGATGATGATGATCGTAGTAAAGGAGTTGTTTGCTCTCTCGATCGTTTCCCATAAATGCCATTTGTTTTCCTTGAATGGTTGCTAAGCTTACAACATGTTGGCCGGTGCGATCCCACCTCTTACCGGGTGCCTGGAAAGGAACATCGTAACGAGAGATCAATGGAGCCAAGATGATACGTACGTATTCGATCGAGCAACAATGATACCTCCTTACGTACGTACAACAAAGAAAAAGCCGAGGAGGAGGAGAAGAACGTACCCAATGATCATGACACATGCTCATACAGTGGACATTGTTCTTCCGTGTATGTGTATGTACCTGAAGAGAGGGAGAAAAGATTACGATCGAATCGCCCACAATGCAAGATCTCCATAAAACAAACGATGACCTATCGAGATGATTACTCACCACCTCCTTTTGTTATTGCTATATCGGTTTGAAATGGTAAATCCAGGTCTATGTTTTTGTTCCCAAATCCTCATCATCGCCCTTGACGCTTGCTCTTTTCCTCCTCCTCCTCCTCCTCTTCCTCCTCTTCCCTCCCTTTTTTCCACAGCAACAGAGATCGATCCGTATTCCCAATGTTTTTCTTTGTTGGCGATCGATCGGTTACATACACCCTCCTCTTTATGAACTATAGTCAATTGTGCTAAGGATTCCCCTGCATGATATCGAAATTCCCTTTATGTTTGTTATTCCTCCTTTTTTATTTGGTAGGTGTTTGATGTTGATGATGACGGTGGTGGTGCACATAGTCTCTTAGGTATTCTGTCAAATAAACTAGCATCTTGTGGAAGCGATCCATATCTCGGTATTTGAATGGCCATGCGTCTCTTTTCCGCTGCTCCCACTCGGCAAAATGCGTCAAGTGTGCCTGCACCTTGTCAATCACAATGATCCATTCATATTGCAGTAAACGTGTAGGGATAGCCGCACGGATCACATCTTCACATACACTGACGGCAAGAAAAAAGCAAAAGAGCGACGTCACCGTAAATACTGCCAAAGTCCCAATCGCCATATACGACGTCAACGTAATCAGGAATTGCGGCAGGACACGACCATGGGCTCTGAGCCAAGCCTTGGGCTCATTATTAGAAACGGCTGCTGATGGGTGCAATGTATCGACCGGTGTTGTTGTGGTGGTTGCCATCAGAGGGCACGGTATAAGTTGGGTATGTGGTGGTGGGCTTAGTTGTGGTGTCGAGTAAGAAAAAAAAAGATGTGATAGTCATGTGTAGTATTATGTATCATCATTGACTGTATCCCAGCCGTTCCCATCACTTGACCACATATGATTTTATTGTTGTTCCACGCACCATGGTAACCGTGGGTACCTATTCTTTCTTATACGTATCATAACAACCATCCATATAAAGACTCTCTTATGAATAAATCCCAAAGTTCCCAACAAGTGACATTTTCGGATCAATACAAAATCGGTTTTATCTATACTACATTGGTCTATGTATCTACTACTGTCATCGTCTTTTGCCGCCTTTGCCTTGTGGTACTGCAAGCGCATGACCCGTGCTTTTGATATGATTGAAGAGCTGATTTCGTGTTTCAAAACTTTCACCACAGACATTGCATCGTTGCTATGTACAATCATCCACGTCAATCAATGATCACATCACATCATAATCCAAGAGTACTACTTACGCCTTGTTCCTTTTCCTTTTCTTCCTTTTGTTTCTTCTTTTCCTTTCTCTTTTCACGCTTGGCTTTGGCACTCTCCTTCTGGGGGACATTGTCTTGTTCATCTGCTGCAGCAGCAGAGACTTCTGATCCAGGGCTATTTTTCCTCCTTCGTCGAGACCGTTGTTCAAGCTCAAGCGCTGCTGTCAATTGACTGATCTCATCCTCCTCGTTGGCGTCATCATCAGCTTGCTCAAAACCAAATTTGGGACCCTTTTTATTCTTTTTCTTCTTTTTGGATGAGCTGGTGATAATGGGTACGTCGCCATCATCTTCTGGTATAGGGAGCGATGCCTCGTTTGCTGCTGTATCCTTGGATGTGAAATCAAAGGCTTCATCATCAGCCATCATTTCTTGTTTCATGGCTTGAGCAAGCTTGACATGCTTTCGACTGCTTTCATGCGCCACGTATTGTTGCTCGCTCTTGTAAAACTTGTCGCAGACCACGCAGTAAAAATCCGTTTCATCATTTGCAGCGCCATCATTGTCCTCCTCTTCCTCATCTTCGGATAATACCATGGTAACCTTTTCCCATTCTTGCTCCTTGTATGAGGCAAGTTGTGCTTGGAGCTCTTCCTTTTCACGTTGTGCACGAGCCTTTTGTTCAGCTTGAATGGCTTCACGTCGTTGCTGTTCCTCCACTTGATATTTTTTGAAACGTGGATCACGTTTACGTACAAAGGCTGCCAAACTCTACAACCCTCTTGTTAACAATGAGCCTCCCTATAAAAATAGTATATATCCTACATACCCTGACGGTGTCATTGTATTCTTTCCTTGCCACTTCACGTGCCTTTCTATTCTCCTTTTCCATGGCTCGACGTACAAATCGATTGGGTGCATCAGGTAATCGCCATTTGTCCATCCATGCAAATGATTTGACACTGCTGAAATTCATCCATGCTGCATAGAAATCACGAGCATAAGCGCCATAGCCGAGATAGCCATCCTGATCCGCAAAGGGTGTCTTCGAATTGCCAAATGATGGGTGATGTGTAAAGGATTGGGCATCATTTTCATCTGGCATGTAAGCGGATGCTTCTTCCTCATCAAGTTTTTGAAACAGCTTGCGATAGACAGCATAAAAGCCCTACAAAGTAACACGTTAAATGACAATGCAACATCCCCTCTCTCTCTCTCTCTCTCTTTTTTTTTTTGTAACCTACCTTGTCATCATCTCCAAAACCACGGAACTCTGACATGCTAAAGTATCGCATGAGATCCTCGGCTGTTGTTCCAGCACTGCTATCCTTGCTACCAGGGCGATCGTCTCCACGGAGAATTGCATCACGATGTCCATCGTACCTTTTATAGACACTCAGCGTACATAAAACATGGCTATAGGTATATATCTTCTATTACCATGCACGCTCATGTGGATCGGATAAGACTTCATAGGCCTCTTGGATCATGGCAAATCGCGCAGTTGCCTCCTCAACACGATCGGCATTCTTGTCTATATATGAGACGTTTCCAATCAATAAGAAGCTCTTTAGTCCATTTCGAATCGCTCTATTGCTGACCAGGATGCCATATTAAAGCTTGCTTTCGATACGCCTTTTTAAGGTCGACGTCGGTTGCCGTTCGTTCGACATTGAGTAGATCGTAGTAGCAGATCCGCATTGGAGCACTGGTACAACAACGGTTGGCGGGGGAGAACCATGCTTCTCAGCAATAAATTCGAACAACTCAGTCGGCTGCTGCTGCCCCTTGTGATACAAGATACGGGATGGCTTCTTTGTAGCCTAGCAACCCAACAATCTTTGTCATTAAATAAACATGTTTCAAATGGATGACTACTATGCAAGCATTTTATTGTTTCTGGCTATGTTGTATATGCTTTTTAGGCGACCTGACGCATATGTTGACCGACCTTGGTCAAATCGACATCAAGGGCAATGGGGCTACTGCACTCCTCTTGATGATAATGATGATGTTGTAGGATGCCTGTTTGTGAAGTGATGCTATCATTGAGTTCTTGTGGAGGTGTCATGGGTGGTTCAGAATCCAAAGGCGAATTTTCTTCTTCTTCTTCAGGGTCACGAAGCTGTACCGATTGTCTTGGTGAAAAATCCCATGCTAATAAAAAAAGTGACCCTATTAGGTGATGCTTCGTTTCATTGGATGAATGATTTATATATATATATACCTTGGCCTGCTCCTACATGGTGATGATGATTGCGTCCACCAGAACCCACAATGGCTGGTACACCATGATAATGTAAATCAGGACGTTTATCCAAATCGATCTTGGCCAAAAATCGCATCAGCAATTGGGGTGTGGGTGCTCTTTTCAAGAATGGATGTGCCAAAGCTTCCGTTGCCGAGCAACGTGACTCTGGGTCTTTGTGCAAACATTGATCCAAAAAGCTCTGAAAATAAATGGTATAGTCATATTGACATCCACTGGATGCTAATGTAGGTGGTGGATCATTGACTATCATGGAGAAAATCTAATCCTATTATTAGCTTACGCACAATGTGTATATGGCATTTAGATGTATACTATACTTACCGCCATGGGATCATGATCCGTGTAAGGGGGTCGGCCACAGGCCAACTCAATGGCAGTGACAGCCAATGACCAAATGTCAACAAGGGTATTGTATTCACGATTTTTCAGAATTTCAGGAGCCATCCAGCAAGGTGTGCCAACAAACGACCTGCGTACTGCATTCTTGCTTGGACGACTAAATGAGGAATCACATGAAAGTCCACCAGAGTGATGACTTGAACCACCACCACCACCACCACCAGGTACCAAAAGTCGACTTCTTGCTTCATCATCATCTCCCACATGGGTTCCTTGAGGACTCAACACCAATGTGGATGCTTGTGAGATACGCACACTGGGTACATCAATACTAGGTGGTTTGTCAGCAGCGACAACAGCCAATGGTGGCAATAGCATCTGCATAAATGAATCTGACAATGCATCTTCTTCCGCCGTTGTATTAGTGTCGTCGGATGTTGAACCACCACCGCCAACGGGTTTAAGTCTTGCTTGTTGTTGTTGTTGTTGTCGTTGTCGATAACGTGAGCGTTGACTACAAGATGCTATTGAAGCACCTGCTGATGAAGAGCTTCGTGGTGGTGTTGTTGTTTTTGTAGCTGTGACCACATCCATTGTACGAAGATGGTTGCTCACTCCAAAATCGGCTAGCTTGACAGTTCCAGTATCCCGGTCCAAAAGCAGATTGGCGGATTTGACGTCACGGTGCACAAGCCCATTATCGTGAAGGTACTCCAAACCAAGCATCACTTGCTTGACAATGCTGCAAAATAGAGTTTGAGTTATACACACGTGTTAAAAGTGAAAAGGGTGATTGTTGTTATTACCATGCGACAATGGGCTCTTCCAGACCCTCGTGTTGCGTGTGTACTAGTAGATCATGGCAGGACCCTAAAATGGCGTATGTCTAATTAGCTGACTCTATACATATGCATACAAGTCTCACGGTACAATGATGAGGAAAAAAGGGGGGGTAGTATGTACATCATCATGGGTGGCAATTTAAGAATCATCATTACCTGCTGACATGATCGGCGTGATAATATACAAATGTGATAGGGATACAAAGCTCTGGTAAACAGGGAGCAAATGGGTATGGCGACACAAGGTCATGATCTGGATCTCTTTACGTAAAGCATCCAATCGAGAAGCATCCTCTTGACCCTTATCAAGCAATTCCAAATTGACCTTTTTAATAGCTACTGGATATCGGGATGGTGTATGCACAGCAGAAAACACAGCAGCGGTTGCCCCTGAGCCTATATGTAAAGGATCATGTAAGACCTCAAGTATAGAATCATCGTATATGTATTTTACCTATCAAGCGATACGTCTCGTAATCTTCAATCTTGGTGGAAAAGGAGGATGATTTTGGTGATCGATTAGCCGAGCGTGATCGAAAAGAGGATGTCAACCGATTCATCATCTCGCTCAACGATCGTTGTCTTGATAAAGGCTTTTCCTCTTTGTTTGGAATGCTTTCGCTATCGGCTCTTCCACGTCGTTTACGACGTGTCGCTGATGACAACATGCGATTTAGCGACTTTTGGCGAGAGATAGTAGTCGACCGTGACCGTTGCAACTCGACATTGGAGGAGGATGGTGATATTAAAGGCGTAACCACGGTTTCGGTTGACATGATGAGAGTCGATTTTGGTGGAAAAGTGATGCTTTACGAAAAAGAGATCTGTAAATTTAGTGAATGTTTATATATAAGATGTAGTAAGGGCTTGGCAATGAAAGAAAACCAGGATGGGGCGTATGTATTTGTGAATGGTAATGAATGTAATATACGTTATAAAGGAGATGTTGCACAACTACTACATGTGGTGTCAAAAGCAAATCAGGGGGGTTGCTATTATGCCATGGATCATGGCATGATGATGATGATGGCGGTGCTGATGGAAGCAAGGGGGAGGGAGAGAGAGAGACAAGTATGTAAATAAAGCCGGCAGCTACTATGTCGGTTGATTGAAACGTTGATAACCCAGCAACCAGCACACAACGTTCGAGACACACACCCACAAACCTTTTATTTGACATTCTCCCTTGGAATGGGATGACATGCATTATTGTCCATCACCTTTTACAAGTGACCATCCCTGAAAGGACCAGGTTGTGTTACATGCATCCTGTTTGAAGTATAGATGGGGGTTACGTTTGTGACAAGGGCGGGATTGTGTGTGGGTGTGGTGTGACCTGATGTAATCATTCACGCATGAAAAGTGACATAATTTGCATTCGATTATCGAGGAATGGTGCCATTCAATCTCTTTTATAAAAGGACAATGAGATGTCTTTTGTTTCTTTGAGCCAATTGAACGAATATGGATAACAGCAAACAATGGGCACACACATACACAAGTCGCACCACCAGATTTGGCTCGTAAATTATTCAGAGCGCTGTACAAGGCGCTGACTCAGTATCCTTCCTTCTTCTCTTTCCACACATCTACCATCGGGCATTCTGCAATCGCTCTCTCGCCGTGATGCAACATGTTGAGGCGTCTCTTCTATCAGCCACTCGGCTCGAAGAGGAAGGAAAAGTCAAGGTGAGCTCATTAACAACACCCCAATGCACACCATCACGGAAAAAGAAGGTTGGACTTATATATCGAACGCGGTTTCGTAGGATGCCTATATGTCCTATATGGATATAACACAACAAGCATTGCAGGGTCTCTATGATATCAAGTTTATCCATTCTTGTAAGTAAAAAAGGGGTGGTATCCTAGTTGAATGCAACGAAAAAGTCTCACGCTTAGCATTATTGTGAGTAGCCATTGTCTCGCAACCAAAGCAGTATACGGCATTGATCTCCGCGATGCACACTTGTTTGACACATATTGAACATATCATCGACACCCATTCGCCATCCAAAAATCAGATACCCGAGCAGCCTATTGCACCAAAGTCACCTCGACCCCCTCTTCCACCCAAACCTTCTCGTATACAAAAGCCTGTCATCCCTCCAAAGCCATTACGACCTACTCCATCCCGGCCAGCATCTCCGATCAAAGATTTGGGTAATTAATATCAGCAATAGTAGCAGTACTTTTATTATTGACACACGTGCTATTAATCATTATAGACCACCAACCACCTGTACCCAAACCACGTATTCCACAGCGTCCATTACCTGATGATATCCGCCCTGTGAGTGCACCTCAATCACCAGCCAATGATCCCAACATTGATAACTATCGACGACCTCATTCCGAGACCCCTCCACATGATGACATGGCAACCAAAGTGATGCACAACAGAGCCGTTGCAGAAGGCAAAGTCGACCCAACGCATCTTGTTCCTGCACAAACCAATGCTGGCGATAGCCTTAGCCCACCAACAACAACATCACTCAACACCGATCATCTTCCCATCATTCCAGCACCACCTCTCTTGACAACGCATCGTATCCTGCAGGCCAGGTTAGATGAATTGGAAAGCATCATCAAAGATTGCAGACAGCGTAAACAACAAACAAGTGGAAACAAAGCTGCTGAATTGGATAACACCATCTTACAATACACGGGAGCTGCAGCTGATGTGAAACATACCTTGAATCGTGTACGTACGCTGTACATGAGTGCCGCTACCATCCCAACCATATTGCAATTCCCAGCACACATGATCGCTTATCAAGTCACCCTCATCGAAAGCGCCATCTTCAATGCAATTCCACCAAAAGCATTATTGGAACATTCAGCAAAACATCCTCATCCACGCATCGTTGCATCTACCGATTTCTTCAATTACTTGACTCGCGTCATTGAACATACCATTCTTTTACCCCAAGAAGCTTCTTCACGTGCTCAGCATATCAACCATTGGATTAAAGTGGCATCAAAGTGCTTGGATCTCAACAATTATCAAACACTCAAAGCCATTGTATCAGCCCTTGGTACACCACCTGTGCAACGATTACGACGAACATGGGCTTATATTCCCAAAAAGAGCATGACCAAGCTTGAAGGACTCAATGAATTGATGAGCGAGAGCGACAATTACGGCAAATATCGTGAGCATATGGGCATGGTGAATGCATCCGTTATCCAAGGACGTAGTGCAGCCAATATTCGTGCCGAACATTATACCAAGCCTACTGTACCTTTCTTGGGAACGTTTATTCATGATATGACGTACATGCTTGCTGCTGCCAACAATAACAAAGCTGCTGCCATGGAGGATCCACGCGTTGCAGCCGTCCTTGATATCATTAGCAGTTTTCAAAAAGGACCAGCCTACACTGCTGTGCCACCGAATTGGTTTGTGAAAGCAGCGCAAAAACACCATCACTTGCGTCCTGCAGCTTTATCGAGCGCCTTATTGCATCGGTCTGCATCAGGCATTGGAAGATTTAGTGGTGGCATGTTTGGGGGGAACAGCAACAACAACAACAACGATGATGATGCAGCAAACAAAGAAAATATGGTCGAAGAGGATAGTCTCGAAGAGCAACAACAGACAATTACACAATATCTATTAATGCGATCTTGGGTGAATCAGAATACGATTGATGAGCTTAGCGTGTTACGAGAACCGCCACGCCAACAGCAACAACCCGGGTCCTCCTCCTATCGTAGCACTACAGGGAGCAATCATCATACTAGTTCAGTGATCAGCAACACTAGCTCATTGATGAGATTTAGTACCGGCAGCATATCGCAAAGCACGCTTACAGGTGGTAGTCGAGCCACCAGTATGGAAGATTATTCTCCTGATGCAAGTGACGATCCTGACACTATCAAGGTTTGGCATCGGCACAGCCACGATGATGACCACAACCACCATCCAGTAAACAAAGCACCACATATCCCTCCAAGACCACCACCTCGCAATAAGGAGGATGATGAAAAAGATTTCAAAGCAGCATTAGCTCAACGGATCCAAGCGCAGGTCGATGCACGACATCCTCCTCCTCCTCCTCCTAGTCACCCTTGAATGAAAAGAGAGATTAGCTTTTTCCACCCCCTGTCTCATTTGATTCTCCTTCTTCTTTCATGTATTTTTACACTCACACACACACTCTCTCTCTCTTATACACATGCACATGTAAAAACAAAGCGAGAGCATATAAAGTAAAACGTTACTAAATTTGTCTCACTCGCATACACTCATGCATTAGTGGTGAAATTGGGCTTGTTTAGTCGTTGTTTTTTTGTTTGGGTACCAGGGCGTCGTCGATCCTTTTTTTTCTCTCTTGTCGGCGCAACACCGAAAATGGCGCGGACGATCCTTAGGAGAGATAAACATATGTACATTTGTTACTGAGGAGAAAGAAACCTTATTTATAGTACACACTCACACATACATACATACATACACAAACGACGACGATCAACTATAAAAGACCAGCCGTCGATCTCTGTTGGGAGCTGTAGAATCACACACATTTCTTTGTATACAATTCAATAATGAAGCCCACCAATCCTCTTGTCATCACTCTCATTACTTCAGCCATCTTGGCAACCACCACTCAAGGTCTACCCGCACCTGTAGGCTATGCTCTCGATCATCAAAATGCTGTTGGCGCTCTAGATACTACCGTTGTTGGTGCACAATTGTTGAAACGCCACAAGGGTCACGATAGTGGCAGTAGCAGTGACGATCAGGATTCATCTTCCCAAGATGATGATTCTTCTCAAAGTGATGATCATGATTCATCTTCCAAGGATGATGATTCTCAAGATAGCGATAATCAAGATGATTCCCAAGATGATGATAACCAAGATGACAGCCAAGATAACGATAACCAAGATGATGGCCAAGATGTTGATAACCAAGACGATGGCCAAGATGACAGCAATAACGATGACGAATCGTCTTCCGATGCACAAGCATCATCTGCAGATGATAATGGTGATGATAATGGTGATGATACTACTGGTCAAGACACCCAAGATGATGAAAGTGGTGATGCTCAAGATGATGACAGTGGCGATAGCCAAGATGGTAAGAAACATATTTTTCGGATTAAACATGCATGCATTGATAGCTGACGTTTGCTATTCATAGATGGCTCTCAAGATGATGAAGGTGATAATGATAGCTCTGCTGCTGAATCGCGCGATGTTGGTGATTCATCTGCCGATAGCTCTCAAGATAGCAGCGATCCCTCTGGTGATGATTCTCAAGATGCCACTGCTTCTGCCGATGATTCTCAAGATAGCAGCGATCCCTCTGGTGATGATTCCCAAGATGCCACTGCTGCTGCCGATGATTCTCAAGATGGCAGTGATCCTTCCGGTGATGATTCTCAAGATGCCACTGCTGCTGGTGATGACTCCCAAGATGGCAGCGATCCCTCTGGTGATGATTCTCAAGATGCCACTGCTGCTGCCGATGACTCTCAAGATGGCAGTGATCCTTCTGGTGACGACCAAGGTGTTGCTGTTGCTGCTGGTGCATCATCATCGGATAGTGGTAGCAGTGATCAAGATGCCCAAGCTTCTGGTGCCGATGATGGCTCATCAAGTGGTGATGTGAGCACTGCTAGTGCCACTGGTGCCGATGATTCAAGCTCTTCAGATGCCTCCTCCTCTTCCGATAGCGGTTCTACAGAAGCTTCTCCATCCGAAGATGCATCTGGATCTTCTGAATCAGATGCTTCAGCAGCTTCTGCAAGTGGTGATGCTACTACAAGTGATGATGCTACTGCTAGTGACGCCTCTGCAAGTGATGATGCTACTGCTAGTGATGCCTCTGCAAGTGGTGATGCTACTGCTAGTGATGCCTCTGCAAGTGGTGATGCTTTTGCTAGTGGTGATGCTTCTGCTAGTGGTGATGCCTCTGCTAGTGGTGATGCTTCTGCTAGTGGTGATGCTTCATCCCCTACGGATAGTGCATCTGCAAGTGATGCATTTGGTTCATCAGGTGTAAGCGCAAGTGATTTCTCTGGAGCTTCAGCAACTGATTCTTCAGCCTTGTCTCCATCCTCAGCTGATTCATTTGGCTCATCCTCAGCTGGTGGTTTGAGCCCTACTCTCTCGTCTTCATCATCCGATGCTAGCTCATCATCGGCATCAGCTTCAGGTATTGAAGGTGCTCCTGCTGGAAGTGGTAGCTCGTATTTGCGACCTGTCTTATGCAGCATTGCTGCCCCTGTTGCCCTTGCAGCCTTGATTTTCAACTTGTAACAACATTACACAACCCCTCCCCATGATCCATCCCTCTCTTATTCCTCATACCTCCCCCTCTCCCTTGTTTGATTATTTCCACCACTCAATTCGCGTATACCTTAGTAAATAAAGACTGTAAGAGTGTGTATAAATCTTTATGGTTTAGCTTTTGTATGCTGTTTTCATAGCTATTTCCGTGATCAGATATGTCACTGCTATTTTGGGACATCCATGTTGTTGTTGTTATCAGGTGAAACATCAACTGCATTAGCGTGTCTTTTTATTTGTAAAAGCAATGGCGATCAGCCACGCTGTGCCTCTGTTTCATCACATGCAATGATTTGCTATACATCAAATGTCGCTGCTGCTGCCGTATACCAAAATCAACAGCCCCACGTGACAACTAGCACTGCTACATACATCATGCATGCATCATCCATCAGCATAGCAAATTATCTCTTGAACGCCATCATGCACGATGGAAATGAAAACGATTCATACATATCATCCTCACGCACACGTTTCATTTGTGTTTACAGATATCGATATCGTCAAAGAAGTACGCTATTGTTTATTCTAGTAGTCGACACTGAAAGCCTAATACGTGCTAGTAGATTGTACTATGATACCTCATTGCATCTCGTTGAGTTGTACAATGATCCCATTTACATAGACAATGAATCTAGCAATACAAAGAAACAATGAATAGAAGTCCATGTCGGTCAAATGTGCAAGGTATGACATTATGCGATCACTCTTTGTTGGATGTGTGCATCGTGAGTGTGGTAACTCCGATAGTGTTCAAAGAAGACGTGGTGGTCTTTTGACTTGCCTCTATCCGCCGTTTCAACTCTTCAATGCCCATGATCACGCGTGGGCGTAAACGCAAATCCACTTCTGACGATGAATCGAATACTCTGACACCATCCAAACCCTCATCCAAACGACGCATCATTGCTTCCACATCTCCTTGGCGATCTTCTCGTGTAGCAGCTGCAGCAGCAACAGCGACACCAACAACCGAAGCAGCAGCGACAGCCAGCAAACCTACAACAAATACCACTGCCACAACAACTGTAAAGCCAAAGAAGAAAACAACTTCAACAACCATAAGGATACCATCAAGGCAGCAACAACAGCCATCAAAACAGCAACAACAACAACAGGATACTTCTTCTAAAAGCAGTGAAACGGCACGTTTTCAGGTCAATGAAGAACGACATAAAAAGCGCGTCAAAGGAGTTCATACAAAGAGAGGACATAGTACGAGCAGCAAACACAGTGAGCAGCAACAACAACGAAAACGAAGGCGGCAACAAGATAACGACAAAGAGCTTCATTCATCGCCAGCACAAGATGATAGCGACAAAATTCTCCGCACCTTTGGAAACAAGCTCACTGAAGCCGAGGCAAAAACGAAGCGAGGGACGCCTTCAGATACTGATAAGCATCGCTTTGACCGATCCGGCAATGTTATGGTATGATAAAAGGAAAAAGGAGGAATCGTACAAGGATGTTACTTATATACGTCCATAGTCAAAGATCCATCAGAATGCAGAATCAGCACCAACGGATATGCCTAGGATTGAAAAGATACGCATCGGCAACTACTTGATCAAGACTTGGTTTGTGGCGCCCTATCCAGAAGAATACAGCCAGTATCCCACCCTATTCTTTTGTGAATTCTGCTTAAAGTACATGCACAGTGAATTTGTCGCTGGTCGACACAAGGTAAGGAAGAAGGATAATCACATGAGATTGGAAGGATCGGAGTGATTCATCGTATTACATTAGAGGAAATGCCCTTTTCGACATCCACCTGGTGACGAGATTTATCGTGATGGAGCAATATCAATATTTGAGGTGGATGGTAGAAAGAATAAGGTAAGAAGGGATGCGCTTTTTTATGTGGATGGGAAATGCCAACGTGATATGTATGTAGATTTACTGCCAAAATCTCTGTTTGCTGGGCAAGATGTTTATCGATCACAAGACGCTCTACTATGATGTTGAACCATTCCTATTCTATGTCATGACGGAGGTCGATGATAATGGATGCCACCTCGTGGGTTATTTCTCAAAGGTAAGTTGAAGGAACCAGGAGAGAGGAAATCATCACATGCTAAGTTATCATTGTAAAGGAAAAACGATCGGTCATGAACTACAACGTATCATGTATTCTTACGCTCCCAGTACATCAGCGGAAAGGCTATGGACAATACCTCATTGATTTCAGCAAGTATCATGGCGATCCCGCCCCAACGTGTACATGTAGGATTAACGCGTGTGTCATCTCCTTGCTTTAGGCTACCTGCTAACAAAAAAGGAGGAGACCACAGGATCACCCGAAAAGCCGTTGTCAAATCTTGGATTGCTGAGTTACCGCAAGTACTGGAAAACGACGATCTTTAAGGAGCTTGACCGCCAAGACACACCCGTTAGTATTGAAGGTGAGTTGTTTATCATCATTCCCCTCATAAAACTACTCCTAAACCATTCATTTCCTTGGTGTGATATTAAATGGGGCATTAGAGTTGAGCCACCGAACAGCCATGACTGTGGATGATGTGATTACGACTTTGGAGCTCTTGGGGATGTTGAAGGAGAATGAAACCAACCAGTATTATCTGCAAGTCGATCATGATATTATCAGGCAGCATTTGAAACAAATCGACCATCGAGGTTATCCAGAAGTTGATCCTGTAAAGTTGACGTGGACACCCTATGCATTGTCTCGTGATCGCCTTGCTGCTTTAACGAATCCAGAAACAAATACAACAACAACAACAACAACGACCCCTGCTCAATCATCTAATGAACCTACCCCTCGCTAATAATTCTACATACCATATCCTCGTCCTTCATTTGTATAATGCACCTTATGTTAACTACGCCGAATCTGTACATGTATACTTTTCATTTGGCTCTTTTTTATTGTGGATGTTGCAATACAAGAAACAAAATAGTTGCGATTGATGGCAATACAAATTTCAAGATGGGAATGAATGGATGATGGAGGGGGAGGTGGGGTATAACTTGCAGGATAATACAGTGTGCGGGGTCTACAAGAGTATAATATGTGTACATACAGGGATGCTTTTTTTCATGTCATGGTATGTATGCGTAGTAGTAGCCTTATGCTTCTTCACGTTCGGCTCGTTCACGTCTCCAACGAGGGCCATGCTTGAATTCAAAGTACAATGGCACACGAGAAAGCAAAAGGATACCTGACATGATGGTAAAGGACCAACCCACACCACATGCGTTGATAAGGGGGATGATAGCAGTAGTGGCGCCAGCGCCAAATAAGCAGCGAAAGATGTTGTTGGATGCGGTGATGGATGCTGAACGTGTGGGGAACAAATCAACCAGTAATGTTTGAATACAATTGAAGATGGCCTGAGACGTAAAGCCGACTATGGTAATAAAATCAATTTTGGGAACGTTGTTGCTAGGCAAAATTCGACACTTACGGAAAAATTGAAGTACAAGAGCGACTGCAATATGAGCATGAATGTACATGCACCAGCCGTAGACAACAAGCAGCACGTTGAATAACAATGAATGCACCCACACGGTACGCAAGCGTGCTTTTTCAACAGGCATGGTAAGATCGGTGGCCGACATGACCGAGAAGCGCTTTCGTAAACGATCATAATCACGGTTGAGTAGCTTGCCTTGTACAACAGAGCCAAGAATGCAACCAATGCCATTTGGAAAGTAAGCAAGGCCAAGTTGTAGCTCGTTGAGATGATAAAGTTGACCAAATAAAAGAGGCAAGCTCGTGGTTACGGCATACACAGCTGCATATTGAACGCTGTAGTAGACGAGTAAGATGAGGACATCCTTTTCTTTGGCAAAAAGCAAGGATTGGAAAGGACCAAGCCAGCTGCTAGACTTCTTTTTGGTTGAAGTGGATTGACGTTTTTGACGCAGCTGTTGCTTTTCATCATCACTAAGACGGCGATAGTGCCACCATTGAGTAGGTGTAGGATTTGCATAACCAGAGCCATTGCCAACCAAAGAACGTAAGGTTTCAGGTAAACACCATCCAAGGATGAGCCAATGGACACCACCAAGAATGGCTAGAATCCAAAAGATCCATCGCCAACCCAAGTATTGCGATACGACACCTCCGACAGCAGGTCCAACCACTGGTCCACAGTTCCAACCTAAAGAGTACCAGCCAATGTAACCACCTCGCTGGGAGGGATGTGTAACGTCAGCTGTGGGAAAAGGGACACATCGTGCATTTATATTAGTTAAACGCCGCTATGTTTATGTGTAACCCAAAACAAGATTTCCTCTTCTACTTACCAATTGTACCAGCACCAATGGCAATCACTGAGCTTGCACCAAATGCTTGCAACATGCGGAATGCAAGAAGCATAGGGTAATTGGTAACCATGGCCAAACCAATACATGCAAGGACATATACAAGTAACGTGGCAAGGTAAACAGGACGTCGTCCTCGTGTATCAGCCATTGAGCTCCAGAAAGAGGGTGACACAGCTTGAAAGATCATGAAAACTGTGACCGTAAGATTGCTATGATGGGACGTGTGAGTTTCATGATGATGCATGTCTTCTTGATTTAGACTTACAATTGTTGAGATGAAATACCTAGATCCTATGTAAGACAAAAATAATGCCCATGGGTTAGCAATCGTGCACGCTTGTTCAAATTTGGTAAAGTGATGATGGCCTTACCTGTTCAACGGCATCCATTGCAGGGAAGTAGCTGTTGACTGAGAAGGGTGCAAAGAAGGCTGCTACGGAAGCTAAGAGAACAATCCATCGGATCTTGGCTGGTGAAAATATAGAGTAAGGCTCTCTGGATCGTTGTTTCAAAGAAGCCTTTTCCAGATCTGATTCATCGCCTATGAAGTTCACCGCTGTGACACCTTGCCAATCTGTCAGACGCTTCTTGTGCTGCTGCTCTTTAGAGTTTGATCGGCTAAGCGATATGCTGACAATGGTGCTATCGGAATCGCTGTCGCTATCATTGTTCACAAGGGTGCGTGTAGAATCTTGTCGAGCAAGTGTGCATGCTGGTGCGCTTGAGGAGCGATTATGCTTTGCCATGATGATGATGATGATCGACAATGATCGTTATCATTTTCTAGATGACCAAAAGATGGAGCTTTTTTATACACATGCGGATCCAATGTTGTGTTTTCTGGATTCAATGACAATGATGTTCCCCCTTTCTTCTTTTCAGAAAACTAATACCAACGCAGAAAAATTACTCGAGGATCCACCCAGATAGCGTGAATAGGGGCCATTTGTTAAACCAGCGGATGGTTAATTGAGTGGTGGACTTGGCAGTGGTAGAGCAATTCTAGTTGATTAACGTGTATTGCTAGTCGCAAAGATAATGAGGTGGCTTCATTCACATGCATCATCTTGAAGATTTTACAATATTAATGATCTAATAGGATAGCTGCATACTAGTAGGTGGTCAAAGTTCAGGGAAGTCTACATCAAGTGCTTAATTCTCGGGCTAAAAGTGATGAGATGATGCATTCAAATTGTTATGCGTGGTCCCCTGAAAGTGATATCAACGCATACTCAGATCATACCATTCGGTATTTGACAAGCGGCAAGAAGCCGAAAGATTGCGTGCGTGTTGGTGTTGGTGGTGATGATTAGCCCCTGATCGGATTTTTCACTTTTTGCTTCACCCACAGGCCAACCAACCGTAATAAGCAGGACAACAACATGTACCACCCGATCTGCCGATGAGGACTTCTTTTAACCATTATTGGTTATGGGAAGCCCATGTGCAGGGGGGTACAACTTTGTCCCGAGGTGGCACGAGTAGTAGGCAGAATCATCTATCCAATGGTTGTAGTCACGCGTGCCATATGCGGGTGGGCAAAAAGAAATGGATGGAAAGCGCTGTGGATCACTCCGATCTGATTGGCTATATAGGACGAGATGTTCCAAGAAAATGGGCTGCTACCCTTTTCACACATCCCTTAAATCCTTGCTCTTTCTTTTTCCTTTCCAGCCATAGACCAAAAGATAGTGAGAGGATGGGATCTGACATTGACGCCAAGACCAAGTCTTCATTAGCCCCTGAAGATCCCATGTCCGCCGGCACGGTGGATCAGATCATTGCCAAAGATATTGTTGCCAACGACGACAACGAGCGGCATGAAGACCCAGAGAATCCATCAACAGAGGGTGGCAAGAAGAAAAAAACTGCCTCCTACTTCAACGTCGTATTCAGTGGTTTTGCATTGCTTTCAGATGGCTATCAATCGGGTATGAATACGTGTTCAGCTTTGAGCATGATGATGATGATTTTTGCTTAACGACCCATTGACCTTGAATTCACACGCTTTTGTGCATGTAGGTATTATCAGCTCGGTCAATTTACTATTGACCGCCATCTATGGCAAAGAAATCTTCACCTCCACAATGTCATCAAGGCTATCCTATGCGCTATTCGTGGGTGCTGTTATTGGTCAACTTGGTGAGTAGGAAAAAATACACACATAAACATGATTCACAGCATGACGTACATTGTGTTCACATGTCTCATTTTGTACTTTTTTGTAGGATTTGGACTCATCATTGACCGTTTGGGACGCAAAATTGGACTGATTCTGACAACCGCTTTTGTGATTCTTGGTGCTGCACTATGCGCCGCATCATCTGGTACCACGGCAACAGGTCTTTTATGGATGATGGTGATTTCAAGAGGCATTATGGGCGTTGGTGTAGGAGGAGAGTATCCATGCTCCAGTGTCAGCGCCATTGAATCTTCAGATGAAGTTGCTCCTGGTCGACGAGGTGGTCTCGTTATACTGGTTAGTGTTGCACACGCAAATACTATAACTGCTTAAAGTATGTTTTGTCTCACGTAACATTTGTACCTTCATCAATCGATGCCTTTTTTTCCCATCTTACAGGTCACAAACTTTGTGATTGATTTAGGTTACGTCGTTTCTGCAATTGTCATCGTTGTCCTATTGGCCATCTTCAAGGATAGTCTTGAACCTGTATGGCGTATTGGTTTGGGTCTTGGCATCTTGCCACCTTTATCAGTGCTTTATTGTAAGTAATCCATTGAGGCCAAGAATACAATAATGGTTGAGAGAAGGGGGAGGGATCACGCTTCTTGATCATATGCTAATCGTAACCTTAGTCCGATTGCGGATGGCTGATTCAAAGCGGTATCGGGAAGGCGCTTTGAGAAAGCAGGTACCCTATTGGCTTATCTTCAAAAAGTACTGGCCTCGGGTGCTGGTTGCCTCTGGTCTTTGGTTTGTGTACGACTTTGTTGGTTTCCCTATGGGCGTCTTTTCAAGCATCATTATCGATACCGCTGCCCCTGGTGGGTCATTGCTTGAAGTCAGTGCATGGAACATTCTTTTGTACGCCTTTTACCTTCCTGGTTGTCTCACTGGTGCCTTTGTCATTGATCGCTTTGGTTTACGACGTACACTTGCCCTTGGATTGTTCCTTCAAGGTGCTGTTGGCATGATCCTTGGTGGTGTATACGAGCCCTTGTCGACAAATTGCTTCCCCATGTTTGTGGTAAGTGCTGAAAAAGGCAACACCCCTTTTGTTTATTATGCAAGCTGCATGTCGCTGATTTTGAATAGATCATGTACGGTATCTTTTTGGCACTTGGTGAGTTTGGGCCTGGTGATTGCATGGGTCTCAACGCCATGGAATTATTCCCCACAGCCGTTCGAGGTACAGGATACGGTATCGCTGCAGGTAAAGTGTGATTTGGGAAACTATCCTTTTGCATACGGCATACGCTTATACAATCTTCCAATAGCAATGGGAAAGGTGGGTGCTACGGTGGGTACTCTTGCCTTCCAACCCATGCAAGATTCAATGGGAGTACGTGGTCCCTTTTTAGTAGGCAGTGGTATCACCTTGGCAGCTGCTGTTGTCGCTTTCTGGTGCCTGCCAGATGGTGGACCAGACTTTTTGAACCAGCAAGATGAAGAATTCAAGAAGTATCTTGCTGATAATGGATATGACATCTCACAATTGGGTTTGGCACCACAAAAGACCTATGAAACCATGGGAAATGGTGATCATGCGTCTTCTTCATCAATCGCTGACAACAAGAACAACGTAGACTCAAGCTCATAATACAGTCATTTGTTTCAGCCTATTTATCACAACATACTACATACCACCAATAAAGTACTATATAATTCCTCGCCTCGTATACCTAAAAGTGCCGTCTGTGGATGCTGATGGTGTTTACATGCATCATAAAGCGATTGCTTAGGTGGCACATTTGTTCTTTATTTACTCTTTTTCAATGGAATAAGGCGTTGCACAAGAATCATCGTTCACATTTGAATACATGGAAGTTGACAAGAAGGGCTACAACAATCAATGTGGTTGGGGAGGAGGAAGGCATGCTGAGCTGCTCATGTGGTTTACAATGGTTTCCAAGTGATTGTTATTATTGGCATTAGGAGGATCATAAGATAGCAGGGAGGAGAATGACATAGGAGTGATGTTTGCAATATCATTTGATGGAACGGGCATTGGGTGCTGCGTGTGTGCGGCTTCAATGAAACAATAACAAGCTTGGCATTCCCAGGTGACACAAAGACACACTCTCTCTTCCTCTTCCCTTCCAATACTACACACAATGCCCCAATTCGGCACAGACGAGAATCCCATCGATACCTCCTATTATGAACTTCTTGGAGTGCCTGTCAATGCTGAAAGCAACCAAATCAAAAAGGCCTTCAGGTAAATTCCTCGAATCTTGTAACCCTGCTTTGACAAGTGTTGCTCATTGATTCAACTCTAGAAAACTTGCCATTGTACGTACATAAGCTTTCTCATGCCGGCATTCGACTCAACGATCGTTATTGTATAGGTCTATCACCCGGATAAGAACAAGTCTGAAGAAGCCGAGGAAAAAGTAAGTGAGGGGCAATAAAGGCTTGTAATTGATATCTCGGAAGCGAGATGCTTTGGCTCACATGTACTCTGATATATATAGTTTAAGGAAATCTCGGAAGCCTATCAAGTGTTGATGGATCCTCAGTTGCGAGCTCATTACAACAAGTACGGCAAAGATAAGGATTTGGCACCCGAAGGCGGATTTGCCGACCCACGTGAACATTTCCAGCAGATGTTTGGCGGTGATGCTTTTCGAAGTAAGTGTGAACGTGTCTAAAAAAAGGAGATTGGGTTCATGTCTGTGCGCAATGTGACGACTGATCATGCATATCCAAAGGTATCATTGGTGACTTGAGCATTGGAGAAATGTTTAGCGATGCAATGGAACAGTCAGCTGCTGAGGAAGGCAAAGAAGGAGAGGCTGATGGTGCCGACGACAAACCGGGTCATCATCATCAAGTGAGCAAAGAGCAGATGGAGAAGATGCAAAAGCAACAACAAGAGCGTGTCAAGAAACTAGCCGACAACTTGCTTCATAAGCTCGACTTGTATGTCAAAGGTGATCGTGACGAAGGTGCTGCAATGGCATTCGAGGAACAAATCAAGCTTGAAGCTGAGAAGCTCAAGACTGAAAGCTATGGTTTGGAGTTGTTGCATTCCATTGGCGGTGTCTATTCAAGCAAGGCAAAGCACTTTTTGGGTCTCAAGGGCGGTGAAATGCCTAGTCTTTTCCACAATGTCAAGCAAAAGCGTCATATCATGAAGGAACTTTGGTCAACTGTCAAGAGTGCTATGGATATGCAAGCTGTCGCTGAGATGGTACAAAAGGCTGAGGAACAGGGTATCGATCAAGCCCAACGACTACAATTGGAAGAAGAGGCTACCAACAGAGTATGTGTTACATCGGATCATGTTACTTGGCATTGCATAATACTTACGGATTTGGGCACGGTAAATAGGCATACAAGGCTTTATGGCAAACGTCAAAGTTCGAAGTTGAGGCTACATTACGCCAAGTGTGCGATACAATTCTTCAGGATAAGGTGAGGATATCATCAATTGCAAATCGAGGCACATTCTAACTTTGGTTCAATAGGCTGTCGACAAGAAGATCAGATACAAGCGTGCCGAAGCTTTGAGAATCATTGGCTACATCTACAAGCACGTTGAAGAAGGCAAACCCGTATCAGAACTTGTCGTCAAGATCAAGGGCAAATAATGATAGAGCACATTACCTCCAGCATTGATTACCATTTGCATGCTTATCCTTAGACGCCAATTAATATTCTTGCATGTACGATTACAAATACATCATCACATACGTTATTTAGTGCTATACCACACAAAATCTTCCTTGACTATGCATCTCTTAAGACTCACATTGTATGTGCCCCCACCATAATGTGTAAGCAATGACTCGCAATGGATTGCTATGTAGGATCATATAACGTTGCACTGCATTGCTATTCGTTGTTGCGTTCTATTTACCAGCTGCTACATAGACGATGATTGGCAATGCTAAGCTTAATATGATATGTGCAAGCTAATGATAACAATAGCTGTTAATATGCAATGATGCATTCTACATAAAAGCTGCAAGGAGTGCTAGACTGATAAGATGTATGGGGGTATGTCAACGTTGAATCTCCTCAGCGATCCGTTCTTAGTCTCTCCCACACAAGATTTAAATTAATCAACGTGCCCGAGAGCATCTTGTGTAAAGGTTTCATCATCGAGATGGACAGTCTTGGGGGTCATCGGCCGTCCACCTTGCTTATCTTTTCGTCCGTCCTACACCCATTAAAATTTTCAAAAAGAAACGTATCGGTTTTATTTGAATGGAGTTGATCAGCATGTCCCAGCGAACCTCCTAACCAAAGCATTCCGACTTACATAGTAAATCCCACATTGCACCCTCCCATTCTATAATTTCTAATGATCATGATGTCTTTTTTAAAACCATGTTTATCAGCATGTCCCAGAGCACACTGTGTGAAAGTTACACGATTGAGAGGAGCAATCTCAATATCAAGGTTTGATGTACAGTGTTCATGCATTTATACAAGAGATGTCCGACCTATTTAGTTTCCACTTCTTCCACTCCCACAACTTCTTCCCTCTTCCTACCATTCTCAACTGTTGGTGCATTCAAGTATACAACTACCACCTACGAACGATTGTCTTGCTTCAACCCAACATGTCAATCCTACGATTGTCTTGATCCTATTGCCTTTGACTGAATGGCACATTCATGGCGTGTACACAGCCTTCATGTCACTCTACTACAACACACGAATCTTTCTTTGATGCTACACGCTGTCTTGCACGCTCCTCTGCTACGATCAAACGCAATAGCATTCATTGCAGCAATTCCTATCAGCGAGGTCTTCACTCCATTGTCTCAAACAGCATTCACAACCTTGTCACTCCACTACAACGCACGCTCTTACACACTCTTTTGCCACAACCAAACGTAACAGCAGCTGCTATTAGCGAGGTCTTTACTCTTCAAGTTACTTGCAGCAACCTGCTTTGCAAACCTCTTTTACGTGAATAGTATATAGTGATTGTATAGAGGGGCTTCATTTACGCGTAGCAACATGCTTCAATACATACGACTTCTTATTGTTATGGAAATGTGATTCTGAATATTGGTTTGGTACATGGGATGGAAGGGATTTGATATATACAACACGTGGGAAATGAGCCTTTGTTTTTACGTATCCACTATCAACTTCGACTTTGATGCTATCCTCCTGAACGATTGATGCATCCAATATTGCACTCTACACGCTATTCCATGACAGCTACTATCATCATCCATTGTGCAACCTGTCAACCATCGCCATCCAACTGCATGCTTTGACGCGCTAGGCGATCACGCATTAAGTGTAACCTTCTATCCATCCACTCACCTTTGCGCAATGCACGCTCAAAGGATAGAGATTGATGTATCATCTTGCCATTGAAGCAATTCATTATTGGACTTCTTACTCTATCGCTTGTGAACAATGATGTTGGACTAAAGGGTTATCGTAGCGGATACGACATTGTGTTGCCAACTATTTCAAAGTTTCTATGGTGGGAGACTTCCCTTATCCTGAGTTGGATCTCGCCGTGTGTGTGCATTTGATGCATTGTATTATGGGAAATGAATGGTATGGAGAATGCAGGATTGTAGACGTGTATCCATGTGTAGATACTGTGATAAAGGTTTGGTTGATTCGTTATGTATTATATAGCGTAACTCGCCCTCCTTGTTTATGGTTCGATCTTAGCAGTAATGTCATAACACACGTTCTTCTATTGTGAAAGGAGGGAGATTGATTATCGCCGTGTCACGAACATTATGCACTTTGCATGGATAAGAAAATGGTACAACGTATTCTTTATGCAAATCACACTGCACCATGCTATAACTAGATCCCAAAGCAACTGTCAACATACACGATATCGTATTTAGATCTAATGCTTTATTACAAATGCGTTTTTACGGGCGAGAAAAAAGAGAGAGAAAGAGCGAGTGAACGTTGGCGACGAAAGAAGAAAATCGGGCGAAATATCGTTTTTAGAATCTAGAATCCATATCATTAGCCTTCATCCATACCCTTTTCATCCTTCCACACTCTTCTAAATGGAGACTTACCGGTTGTATGACATGAAGCCGCGAACTCTGTTGTAATCAGTCAAGGACTCGACAGGACCGTGACCAACGACAGCAACTTCTTGATCCCAGAGATACTTGCTACCGGTCTTGTGAATATCCTTGGCGGTGATCTTGCCAATGGCCTCCTTAAGTTCAGCAGCGTTGAAACGCTTGCCAGCGACAAGGACTTGGGAACCAATATCTTGAGCAGCATCAATGGTGGATGCAGAGGGGCCAAGTTGAAGCTTACCAAGGAGTTGTTGCTTGGCAATTTCAACTTCGCTATCGGTGACGGTGGTGGAGAGACGAATCCATTCCTTTTGCAAAAAGTGGACCATATCATCAATTTGGTTGCGGTTGGAGGTAGCAAAGAAAGCACCCCAGAGACCAATATCCTTGTAGGCCTTGTTGAAGGAGACGAACGAATCAGCAAGGTTGTTCTTGTTAACAACAGTAGAGAGACGAGAGGTCAAGTTGGCGGCACCACCAAGAGTGCGATCCCAAGAACCAATCAAGGAGGACATGACAGCAAGGTTAAAGTAGTCGGGGGTCAAGTAACCAGCACCGGCAACAGCCATGGCAACGTGAGCGGTGGGGAGAACATCATCACGCAAACGAACTTCAGAACCAGTGAAAGCTGGCAACTCGGTCTCAACAAGATCGCCGGATGCAACATTGCCAAACACCTTTTCAGCCTCGCTGACAAGTTGATCATGGTCAACATCACCAGCACCAACCAAGACCATACGATTAGCGACATAGTTGTCCTTGTGGAAAGCAGCAAGATCCTTAGGGGTCAAGCTTTCAGTGTGATAACCGGCAACAGGGCGACCAAGAGCTTCACCTTGGAAAGCAGTAGCATGCAAATGATCAAAGACAACTTGGCCAACGGAGGGTTCACCTTGTTGCTTGGCAGCTTCACGAACAGCAGCTTCGCTATATTCAGTGGTCTGGATCAAATCACCCAAGACTTGAACAGCTTCAGAGATGCTGGAACCAAGAACAGTGGTCGAGAAGGAAGTTTGCTCGCGAGTAGTTTGGGATTGGGAAACACCACCAAGCTTTTCCAATGATGCAGCCTTGCCCTAATACACCACAAAGTATCAATACCAACTACCTCCCATTTTCCTCTTCATATGAGTGCCTATTATTACCTGAATAGCAGCACGCTCCAAAACATTAGCAACACCATGAGTTTGAACGGATTCCAAACGAGAGCCAGCATCAATCCAAACACCAACAGTAGCAGCACCAGCGCTGGGGTTGTTTTCAGTGGCAATAGTAAGACCATTAGGGAGAACAGTGGTACGAGTAGCAGCGCCTTGCTTGGCAGCAGTGGCCATTGAACGCGAGAGCTGTTGTCAAATACACATACAATCAGTCCAATGCACTCTAAAGATACTCTTTCATACGCGATCGATCGTGGGGTCGTGATGGGTGTGTATGTGTGTGTGTGTGATGGTGGTGGTGGTGGCGCAATGGAGGTGGTTCGCAATCGACCGAATCGTATACTGAAAATCGCGGCTAATGCCCGTAATATTTACCTGGTTGGCCACAATGGAGCGTGTCTGGAGGGTATTCGACAACAATCTGGACGCCATTGGAAAAGTTGACAAGAGTGAGGGGGGATCTGTGACCGAACAACGAGAGTTAAGAGAAGAACAGCATGTTTACTGGTCGCCATAGTTTCATGGCCCGCCTGGCTGAAGACGTCATCATTTGGCCAAAGTGTGATCCAGCTAATTTTCATGCAATTGGGTTATGGCTCCTTGTCAGCATTCATTGTCTTTATGAAAGACTTTTGGTCTTAGTGATGTAGTCCTTATAAACAATGAAGCTATTCATTCTTTTGCTTGATACCTTTTATAGCTTCTTCATTCTCTATGAGAAGGATATTAGCAGTAGTTCTTATTATAGCTCGAAGATCATATTTATGAGGCGATGTTGGCTCATTGATAAAGGCACAAGCATTATTGCTTTCATGATCGGTGCGGCAACGCTTCTACATATACATTTAATGCTAAGAAAACCTGGCAACCGATAAGGCTATCGTCATGTGTTCAAGGAGCTATGCACTGATTTCGGTAGGAACATTGAATTTGGATCAAATAGGAGTAAAGAATAGAACGTCGTACTCTTCGTGGGAATGGTGTGGGGTAATGTGTATCCCGCAAAAACATTAGATTGAATGACCCATCGTTAGCGACGTGCAGTAAGCAGCGTATTTTCCGATCACCTATGCAACCCTTGAAGATGTGTGTACGACACGAAAAAGGATAAGGTCTAGTGGCCTGCATAGTCAAGTGTCATTGTTGGATCGAGGCACTTCTAAAAGGAAAGGCACAAACCAAACAAAACGACATACACACCCGATCCAAATAACAAGATCGATGACTTTTGACAAGGGATTATCATCATCCTCCTTCATCTTTTTGTCGTTTGGTCATTGTTAATGCGATGCAGATGCAAATAAATGTACTCGGATGTCCCTAATATGTAACACTGAAGCAAGCTGCAAGAGGGAGTGATAGAGAGAAAGAGAGAGAGAAAAGAGAAGAGCGAGAAAAACGAACTCCCACACGCATTGCATTGGGAAGAACGGCTTCATCTTGGATATACAACAACAACAACAAAAACATCATTAGCCACACCATAACACGATGACATAGCCTATCACCGGAAATAGACGCGTTCAAGGCATGCGGCATTCTTTTCTTAAAGAAACGTGGCACAACAAAAGCAATCACAGGCCCAAGAGAGTGCATCTATGTTTTGCACACGCTCTCTATGCACGACCGGGATTGACAAACAGGTTGGTAGGTGCCAAGTAGTCAAGAATCGTTCGTGAGGTTTGCAAAATCGCGGCACTCGAGAGCACTGCAGCCAAAATTTATGGGGTGTAACTAAACAACAATAATGATGATACACCGATTGATCATGGACAAAGCGGAATATGGAGTACTTTTTTCTCACTCTGATCGTATCCTATGTAACATCTTTTTGGGTCAAGTGGTTTATTAAAACCCATTGTGTCGTATCGCCGCGGGTTGCATATATGCATGCGTGGTGATCCTTATGTATTTTTTTCTCATGGACATGTAGAAAAAAAATGATCTAACGACACAAGCTAGCTCTCTCATCATATCCTGCACCTGCTTGCATATTTGTGTAACGACCATGAAACAGAGAGTGCAAGCAGCGTTAGAGTACAAAGCAGCCTGATGGGTTGGTGGTGGTTATTGTAAAGTAAAAAAGAGCCTTCTTTTCTCCTTTTCTTTTCTTCAACCTTTTTTTCATTATTGGACAATGACCATTGAATCCGCCCCTTTGGTTGACACCACGGTTGCACATATTGATATCGCGTATCGTAATGGACGAGAGTATCGTGTTGAGCTTAAGGACATTGCTTTGCGGCCTGATCAGCCGTTTTTGAATGACGACATCCATGTCAGCACCACAACCACCGACAACAATGACGATAGCAAGATTTTATCAATCCAAGTCAAGGCACTCAAACCTCTCGAGTTGCTTCATTTTGAAAGCAAATACAAAACCACGGTGGATCTCAAGGAGATGCGAATGCTTGCCAATGGATTTCAGAGCTGGAGTCAAGCACGTGAGCTGGGAGCTGAAGACCGGATTGCACCCATTCGATCCACCGTAGCCTATTTGACCCAGTATAACTTACAAGGCGACTATGACTTTTTCCAACACTCAGGTGAAACGGGTCATATTCATTCGAGCACCTACACGCATTTGCGTAAAAAAGACGATGACGACGAGACGCTCTACTTTTATGGATCCCTTACAGAGAATCTTGGGTACACCTATCTCAAGGCCGATTTCACCAGCAATGGGTTCTCGATCTACAAGGATATCGTGGGGAAGCACGTGGATAGCAACCAATCGATCGATTTGGTGCGATTGTTGATGAGCAAGGGGCGTGATGCTGGTACATTGTGGGACGCTTATGCAAGTTACTTTACCGACAGGCGTGTAAAACAGCAAACACAACATGTCATCGGATGGACTTCGTGGTACAACTACTATGGTGATGTGAGTGAGGACATTGTGCTACGCAACTTGCAGGCGTTACAAGAACACAAGTATCGACTCCAGATCTTTCAAATTGATGATGGATTTCAAAATGCTGTTGGCGATTGGCTCTTGGTCAATGACAAGTTCCCCAATGGTCTCAAGCCCATTGTAGCCAAGGTTAAAGAAGCTGGTTACACCCCTGGATTATGGCTCGCACCGTATGCAGTGGCATTTAATAGCAAGCTCGCTGCTGAACATCCTGAATGGCTTATCAAAGATCCAGCCACTGAGAAACCCGTTGTTGCTGGACCCAATTGGGGTGGTTTCTATGCACTTGACATGTACAATGAGGAGGCACGTGCACATCTTAAACGTGTCTTTGATACAGTCCTACGAGAATGGGGATTTGGCATGGTCAAGCTCGACTTTTTGTTTGCTGCTGCAATGATACCACGATTGGGTAAGTATGAGTAAGCTGTTACTATGCCACGCTTTTATTCATATATGCATTTTGATATTCATACATAGGTAAATCACGTGGCGAGATCATGTGGGATGCTATGCAGCTGGTGCGTGATTTGACAGGCAACGATCGCTTGCTATTAGGCTGTGGTGTGCCATTGGCATGTGCATGGCGTAATGCAGATTATTGTCGTGTTGGTTCAGATGTTGCCCCATGGTGGGAAGGTAAGTGTCTTTTCCTATCAAAGCATATACTTTTTGTATCAACCATGGTATGGCTTGTAGATAGCAAGCTCAAGTACTTGCATGTGCGTGAACGTGTATCAACAGCCAATTCGCTTACATCAACCTTGAACCGATGGACAATGTCCGATCGCATGTTTGGTAACGACCCTGATGTGATCATTTTACGTGACAACAAGAACAAACTTAATCCCGAGGAGCGATATACGTTGTCGGTATTGAACAACATTCTTGGTGCCCTTGTGTTTTCATCCGACAATGTGGGTGACTATGGTAAAGATGAACACCTTTTATACCGAGCGACCTTCCCCAAAGTGGTTGCCAAGGTGAAATGCGTGCGTGAAATCCAGCCAACAGTATACCGCATTCAATTTGAATACGAAGGTCGTGCTTATACCGTATTTGCCAATTTGTCGGATGATGATGTGTCAGTGACATTGCCATCCTGCAGCAAAGATCAGCTGTTGTTTGCTACCGACAATGAAATGCACATGACCAAACGCACGTCTTTGATTGGATTTTTCCGTCACAAAACGACACCACTCTTTTATCACCCTGGTTCTCGTATCAACCTTAAAGAGCATGAGACAAAGACGTTCATGCACCTACCCAAGCAAGAGAATACGGAGGAAAATCAAGTTACCTTCCTTGGATCCAATAGCCACATTGTACCTGGTGCCGAGATCACCTCCCTTTCTCCTTGCAACAAAGACTGCAAGGAAGGGGTTGAACTCACCTTCCATAAAGACAATACCCGAAAACATACCGTGTATGTTGGCTGTGGTCAGTATTTGTTTACGCGAGGCAACACGCCATCCACTCCTCCTGCTTGCAAGATCAATGGTGCTACACCCAAGTTTGAGACATTCAAGGTCGCTGGTGGAAATGGTGGACCACAGCAATTGGTGTATGCAGCCGTTTTAACATCATCAGATTAGCGTTTTCATTGTCGATAGTATGCAAAGTAATATACTCTTTATAATATAAACACATGTTGAGAAGGTTATCTATATATATATACACACATAACAAACTATGCAGATGATGCTGCTGATGCAGGAAGCGAGATGATCTTGAAATCGTCCAACTTGCAAAATGTGCCTCGTTGTTGATTGGTACTAAAGTAGCGATGTCCTTCCAATGTTCCATCATGGCTACCCACTATATGGTAAAATTAATCGATCATTCTAATGCATCATGTACAATGTATGTATACTTACATCGACTTTCCAATTCGATCCCGACATAAATACCTCTTGCAAAATGTACAGGGCCAATGAACTTGATGGTGCCTGTCATGGGTAATGGACGACGTAATAGTCTTACTCGAGCACCCAATACTGGGACTTGTGGCAAATCTTCATCTTCGTCACTGCTGTCATATCCAAATCCAAAGCGGTAGTAACGTAAGGGGGATCGGCTTCGTTTCTTTTTTTTCTTTTCTGATTTTTTCTGCAAGACGAGTCGATTGGGTGCAACAATAGGACGCTGTGGTATTTTTGGTAATTCAAAACGGAGGCGTGTGGGTCGACCAGCACCCGTGTTGCTAGTCGTAGGTTGAGAGGATCCATTCTTGATGCTATTGTTGCTCATACTACGTCGACTATTTGCTGATGATGGCGAAGCTGATTCAATGGGTAGCAATGCGTCAATGAGAGCTGCGGAAGAAATGGAGCATTGTGACATGTCAGGTGATGATTTGTCAGCTTGTTGATAATGATGGCTATTGGTGGCATTATTGTTGTTGGTCGTTGATGATGTTGTAGTTGAAGAACGAGATGCTGATGATGATCTGGTGGGTAAAGAACGTGATGGTATAAGGTTGGGGAATTTGCTTGGAGAAGGTGTTGAAATGGTGCGATGAACAGGTGCCAAACTTTCATGTGAGCGTCGACTTCTGAGACTGAGCAAGGATAAACGACGCCGTGAATGATATCCACCACCACCCGAACTTCCATTACTTGCATTAGAGCATGTACTATTGCGACGGCCTCTGAGATCACCAAAGCTGCGTTTACGTGACTTGAAGCTGAACAAGGAAGCAATTTCAGCATCCAGCGTATGTTTGGTGAGAGTTCGATAGGAGACATCAAGATCCTCTGAAAGACGACGCATCATTTCCTTATCGACACCACGAAAACCACCTTGAGATTTGATGCTGCTCCAGTGTTTGGCGATGTAATCGATACATTGTTGACGTGCATCCATTAAGACATTATCAACGACGCTATCAACATCCATTTCTTGATGTCGGCCAATAAGATCACCCACAATGCCTTGGTAGAGTCCGCCTGCGTTGCGTTCGTTGATACCATGCTGCACGACTTGCATTAATAAAAACTCCAAAAAGTCAACGGAGCCCACGGCAATGCCATCCACACATGAGAGAAGAATTGGATACTCGACACAATAAAACTCGAAATTATCGGATATCATTTGCACCGTATGATTCACAAGCTGCTTCTCCACAATCTCACGCACCGTTGGATTGCGTACACGTGCAAGGCAAAGATGAAGGGCTTCAAGGACTTGGATTGCCGTCTGCTTTTTGATGTTGGTGCTTTTCATGCGTTCCACAAGCTCGTTTGCCAAGGCTGGTTTGGATTCAATCAATACGCCAAATGTATGAGCAGGCCATAATGTGGCAAGTGCATATGCTGGATCGGTGTATAATGAAATAATGTGTGCACGCAGGTCAGCGACATACCGATCGGCGAACCACAGCATGGATGGCAATAGAGCTGCACAGTCACGACACGTGCACTTGTATTGTTTGAGTATGTCAGCCATTGCCTGCATCAGAGCCTGGCACACAGTCTCGTATTGGCCAAGGTACTCGGCTACTCGGAATGCATCTTGGAAGATACGCATCATAAGGATCTTTTGTGTCAATCGATGTCCATCATGGGTGGGTAGTAATGAGAGCTGTGTATTGGTAGTAGTAGTAGTCGTAGTCGTATCACCACCACCACCACCCTCCTCGTCATCGTCATCATCATCATTCCTCAAAGCAAGTTGTACACGACCCGTATAGTAGTAATCGAGGATGACTTGAAATGCATCAGGTGTAAATACATCGCTTGGTAAATAAACGACAGGGCTGGATGCTTCACAAAATTCCTTGCAAAACATGGCATGAAAATAAGAGGATTGGGCAGCGAGAATGCAACGATGTACGGCAAAAGAGGTTGTTGCACAAGCCGATATGGTACTACTTCGACTGCTGGCATTGTTGAAAGAGGAGGAGACGCCTGCAGCATAAAGAAGGATAGTGACATCAGCGGCAAGCTGATGTTTGTACATGCGGGTGATGTCGGCCACGAGTTGATCCAGTGGATTTACCGCAACAAGTGGGTTATCACATGATGGCATCATCAGCAGTGGTGTACCAAGCAGCTGTTCTTCCTCACGAATCCCTCGGAGGATTTCATCTCCATCATCATCGGTTGACACACTCATCGAGGATGCACTGCTGCTGCTGCTGCTTTGTGTACTCGATAATGATAAGGTGGATTGTATGGGTGATGATGACGACGGGTCGTATCCTTCAGTAGTGGCAGTGGCGGTGGCGGTTGGTTGAATCTCGGCCGTGTACCAAAATTCCAATAGCGGTGCAAGCGTGCGATAAGGCAAAATAGGGTTCTTGTATACAACAACACGTCCATCCCTGGTGCTGTTGCTGTTGCTGCTATTGGTGGGTGCATGTAATAACTCAGGCAAGTGTTGAGAGATAAAGACTTTGGGTGCGCGAGCAAGGATTATCGCTAATGGTGAAGAAGCAATGGAGCCCCAACATTAGTAACCAGCAACGCAATGTGGCTGCCATGGAAACGAGCACAACATACCTCGATGAGCCCATAGATTGTTGTTATCAGGATATTCAAAGCATACATCGGCTGCATAGTGTTGTGCACTGGACAATAACTTTCTCAGCGTACGTTGTATATCGATGGAAGAGCTATGGAGCATGAAATGGTGGACGAGAAAGAAGGGAAAAATGTGTGATGATGAAAAAAAAGAGACGAGGGAAACCTAATTTAAAAATGACTTGTGGCGCATAAGTGAGCGAATCCTCGGAAATGGCAAAGCTTGTTGGGTGGGCCTGCAAGGACAACGTGCACCAGGTATAGAGTATAGACATTTGCATTATCGGTCAAAGTCCTCCGAAATCCCGAATAGAGTAGTAGTATATCTCAGCAATCGGGTCGCCGTTGTCGATGCATCTCATCACATCTTAAAAGAGCATCTTGCTAGTTGAAGAAGTAGTAGTAGGATAGAATAATGTCAACATAAAGTACTACATTGCATGACATTACAAATGATGCTTTGTCACAAAGGAAAAAAGGATGGAGGAAGCAAGGGGGGAAAGGGGGGGGGAGAAAGGGTATTCTATTAACAACAACACCCACCTTTGTTACCCCTGCTTGCTTACAATGTACCCCCAAACTATATTTTGTTTCACTTTGCAGTGAACACAAGCAATGAATATGCGTGTGCAAGTGTCCAAGAGTACATGGCATGGTATGGAATGATTCATAATCCTCTCGTCATGTGGGATGATAACCTCTCTTTATTCGTGACACCACTTGGTTTCTTGTGTTCTCTTTTGTCGAACCTCCAACTTTTTATAAACTTTTTTACCCACTTTTCGCAAGCTTGCCTGATAAATCTCCCTCCGATCATGCTGGCAAAGAATTGACGACATGGTTGTTGTTGTTGCGGGTAAACGGGGGACCCTTCGCTTGTAATGATACCATCAGCAGGCTTGGCGTTTTTCTCTTTTTCTTCCATGTGGCATGTGTCTTTGGTTAATGGGATATCTAAATGAATGGAAACTGCGGAATATCCCAAAGATCAACACGCTATACCATGTGCGCGCAATACAAGCTTCAATCATCATCCTTCATTCTCTCTCCCCCCACCTCACTCTCTTTTTGTTTGTATACATACACACAGTGAATGTTTTTTCATCTGTGTTTGTGGATATGTGCTTTATCATCATTACAAATAAACAACACCAGCCTCTTTCTTTTAAGAAACATCAGATGATTCCACAAAAAGGTGACTATCGTAATTGTATTATTACCCCAAAAAAGTCAGCTGCCAAGAATGCTTGCCCTTGTAACACAGCCATTCTCGTCGTCGTCGTCGGCCTATGAAATGAACGACAGCGCGCACGGCCATTGTTATAGATCGGTGATTTCCTAACGTAAGAAGCTCATTGGCTCCATGCTGTTGTCATGGTGACGATTGAAATGTGGGTGGAGGTGTCACCAAAGCGATAGATGAACATGATGCATTTTGGTTGCGTGTTAATAACTGGGATAGCGTCGTACAATAGATACCCCATTCAAGCAATAAAACCCGTTATAATGCAATAAATGTCATCTTTCTTTTTCTTCCCATCATCATTACACCTATTTTATGCAAAATAAAGTACCACGTGTCGTTGTTCCTTCATTCTGTACATCTCATAATAACATGGAAGATGGCTAATTTATTCCTTTAGGCATATGCAAATAATAGGTCTGATAGAGTTGTTATATATATACAAATGAGTTGATGATGCTATTGTTGAATCATCCGACGGTATATATCATGGGCATGTTCAACGACAGGAATAATCATGGTACCATCATCAGAGAAGCGAAGGCGATTGTGACGTAAGATGGGATGGCAAGCGACTTGGAATGCGTCGTCGTTGAGATGATGTTTGATACGTGTATTGTGAGGGATAGCAAGGCCACGTTCGACACCAATTTCCACGAAATCCAAAGCCTTGACAAGGTATTCACCACGTGCACGGGCATAGACTCGAATCACATCGATCAATGCAGTATTCTCGATCCGCTCGTTTCGCATTGGTGGATCAAGTTGAAAAAGGTAACAAACATACTTTAAAGCTATCCGCGGTTGTGGTGCTGCACGTATCAACTTGCCAATGGACTTTTGAAAGCATGCAATATCCAACTCCGAGTAGACTGACCGCCTCACAGAATAAGCGTCGTCCTCCAAAGGTGATGATATCAACGAATGGGCGCCGTCGTCAATGCGTTCGAGATTCAGCATGAGGAGTAAGTCACGGAACAACTCTTCGGCAGCATTGTAGTCATGGTTATGGTTGATCTCGTACTGGATAGCTCGCATGACATGGGTGAGAATGGGACGTTGACCCGCAGCAACACGGCATTTCAGTTGATAGAGGGTGTGAATGGCATATGACGAATCGCTTGGCATTGCACACGGGCCATGTGGTTTCGTGGTTGGGGATCCTGTGGACGAGGAATGTGAGAGGCCAAGTGTATTGCGTATGTAAGCAAAAAAGAATAAAAGAAAAAGATGCCAAACTTGGTGACAAACCTAAACGGAGAACAGCTGCGCACTTTCTGTGGTTTGGTTTCATGCAGTGGACATCTTTTAATAAAGGGCCGACACAATGCAAGTTTCCCTCTTTCCCTTTTTTTCCTTGAACAGCACCCACAACAATACCATGCGTATATCATGACTGATGCATTTTCACCTTCTTGGAATTGTAACAACGAGGATGAATTAAGAGAACACTTTGGACGCAATCTGACAGCTGCCTATGAGCACTGTATGCTGGATAGTCGAATGATACACGCAGCTCGAGTCTACTTTTCGATTGGCATTGTATACGCCGTCTTTGTCGTTTTCTCTACCATCATGTTTGTTGTCTTTGCAACATCCGGCATCGAACGACCTTATTACCAATATGCAATGCTCTCGGCTACAACAGCACCCTCCACCACATCCAATCGAAAACGACGGCGACTACAACGTATGAAATTACTCCATCGATGGAAACGCAATTCTTTACGCAAAAGAAGCATCTTTGGAACAACACTGGGTGCGGTCGGCAACTTGGTGTTTTGCACAACCGTATTCATGTCACAAGCCTTCTACACCGACAGCGCATGCGAGGTGTACTTGTGGGGTGTATGTATCGGTTTCTATACCTGGTTCTTTGCATTCTTTTGGCGTGCATATCGACTATGGTTTTTGATTCGGCTTAACGATCTCAAGGCTCGTTTCGGAGGCGATGTATTGATTAGCAGCAGTGGTGCTAGTGTGACGAGCAATCATTCGGATGGGAGTTGTTCACCCTCATTACACGATGACAAGGATTACAAGTGGTTCATGAAGAATAAGGATGGCCATCTCCTCAACGTATCACGTCCGCTGGCGGTGTATCTTTTATTCTTGATGGTGATCGTTGTTGTCTGTGCAGTGATTGAAGCACGTGGATTCCGCACCAATGTGATGGAATGTGAAGGCGCTTGGGGGATCTACGTGGTTATTTCATTCACGGCCTTCTTTTTGGTGTTGGTGGCACCCATCACTGCCTTCTGCTTACGAAAGTACAAAGATAGCTATGGCATCCGCAATGAAATCATGGTGGACATTGCTGTCGGCATCCCATGCTTTGTCCTCACTATTGTTTGGTACGAAGTTTTCGGTGACCCAATAGTGACGCCTTGGGGAGAGTACTTTAAAACATACTTTGCTCCACGCAATTGGCTTATTTTCTTTATCCTTGCGAGCCACATCATGTCCATCGTCATTCCTCTTTTGCGTCTCTCATCTCGGTGGCATCATATTCATCATGGAAAGACACATTCATTCGATGGCAGTTCTCAACCACCCTCATTAGCATCATCATCATCCAATCTCCAAGACACCGCCAACAATGACAACAACACCGACGAACGTAACAATACCCGCCGCTCCATACGTCGTCGCCATCGCATCACACGTTTACGACAAACACCAGAAACACTTGAATATCTGCTCGAGTCACCCGATACAAATGAAGAATTGATGCGGATTGCTATACAAGATTTCGATTCGGAAAATGTTGTATTTTACAAGCACTATCTCAAGCTTGTTGACAAGTTGCATAAATCGGTGCTTTGCAAACGTCATCGTTCACTATCATTCTCGAATGTGGCGGATACATCGGTGCCACCTTTACATCGACCTTCCTTTACGCGCATGTCATCCAATGCTACACTCGTTGTTCCACCACAGCGTGCTCATTATCGTGATAACAACAACAACAATGACGAGTTATCAGTACCAGCAGGAGGGCCCAACAATCCAATGATAACCATCGTGCCACCACCTTGTATCCATACTGTGAATCGATTATCGGGAAGCAGTTCTAAAAACAAGGGTAGCATTAAGCATGGTGGCAGCACACTGATATCCACGATTGCTGAGGACGATGGCATCTACGACATGGTCATTCAAGATGATGATATTGCTCAAGAATTTGTCGATTTATACCGCACCTACATTATTGAAGATGCACCATTGCAGGTCAATGTATCGCATCGTGCACGTAAAGATCTTGATGATATACTATTACCCCGCATACGAAACACGCTCAATCCTCAAAACGTATCGACCACCTGGAAGATCCCTTGGTCATCCAAGCAACAGCATCTGCATTGTGCCATTGACAGGGCTACCAACAATGATGAGCTAAAGCGAGCACCCTCTCTTGCCTCCTCATTCTCCAACAAATCAAATGGGTCGCTGATATCAAGATTACGCTTGAAATGGTGCCCAAAGTCTGTGTTTCCTCCTCCATTGGATTATAACAATGCCACCGTGGTTGACATGTCCGCTATTGATCCTACCAGCAGCGCTGAACGAGAAAAGTCACCTCCATTACATTTGACCTTGGGCATGTTTGAACCCGTGCGCAATGAAGTCTTTTGGAACATTTTCGCCGGCGTATTTCCAAAGTATGTCAATGAATTCAATAAAGTCAATGCATAAATTGTGTGTACATAGCTTATCAAATCAACTTGTGTTCACGTACCTCGTGATAATAATAGTGTTGCATCATTGTTTACATCGTGTGTCACGGTGAACAATGACCCCTTTGCATACAATGAATTATCTTTGTGAGCTTATTATGAATGAGCTGGTATTATCATGATACATGTTTATTATACTACAGGCAGTGTACAGGGAAAAGTAACGATATCAATAAATGTAAAAGAAGTTTGGATTTTGCATATCCGTCAAATCATCAAAGCCATGCTCGCCTTTATCGTCGACTGCATCCGAGCGCTCAGCGAGGAACCTTTCCTTCTTTCTATTTTGACGGATAAAGTGCCATCGTAACAAAGCCAACATGACAATCAAGATGGCATAGCATACCAAATGCACGGCAAAGCCTGGAAGGTATCGTGGTGCATCCTGAGATCGAAACACTTGGGGTCCTGTTGTGGGTAGACAAAGCATGTATAAGTCATCCAATAATAGTAAAGCAAATCCTCTACTTACCAACTGCATTCCCTGCTGCCCAAAAGATGAAATTGATAGCAACCGCCACGCTCTTTTTTGTTTGTCCACCAACATTTCGGCTGAGGAGTGAGATGGAAAGCGTTGATGTAGCCCAAAAACTCAAGCAAATGTAATAGCTGAACAACAAGCCTGCCTTTGTTGCTAGTGTAGTGTTTTCCACCGTCATGAGCACCACCGTACCAACGATAGCACTATGATCATAAAGAAATGAATACATCGTTCTTGCTCCATCATCATAACAATAACAATAACAATAACTTACGGTGCAACATAGGCAATCATGACCAGCACAGTATTGCCCCATCGTTTGGTGATATAGCTTGAAGACAAGAGGCAAAACATAATGTATGCACCCAGGACCATGGCAAGCAGCTGAGTATCAAGGACGCTAAAACCCAAGCCAGTGATGATGATATTAGCAAAGGCTCCCAATCCAGAAGTGGGCAATGTTGTAAAGAAGGCTGTAAGACCATAGGCCCAAATTTGAGGATCCTTGAAAAGAGCTTCATAAAATTGGTCTTTGCGGAACGTCTTGTTTTGTAAGCCTGTTCGGTTGGATCGTACACGTTCGACCATGAGCTTTTTATCTTCTTCTGAATAGCATTTTGCACGCATTGGGCTATCGGGAAGGAAGACCAGCACCACCAATCCCCAGAGGAATGAAAAGCAGCCATAGGTCAAAAAGAGCGCTTGCCAACTTTTAAGAGGGCCACTGGTGATATGGGTAAAGGCATAGGCGAGTAAACCACCCACAATTTGTTGAAAGCCATTCATCATGTACCAGATAGTGACAATCAGGTTTTGCTCATCACGTCGGAACCACATGCCTGACAACACCACAAGAATCGGCTGGCAGCTTGCTTCAAAGATACCCAATAATGTACGACACACCAATAGACTCACAAAGTTGTTACACGCTGCGTGACATGCCAGCACGGCACTCCATGCACAAATATTGAATGCGAGAAACTTGGCTATCGGTACACGTTGGATGGTCCAGTTGAGGGGGTATTCGAATACAAGCACAGCAATGTAAATACATGTTGTTAACCACGCATACTATATACAACAACGTCTTGTTAATATCAACGTTGACATGATGAATGATGGTGGTCTCTTTACCTCTTGGTCTACAAGACCAATGTCTTCTGGGAGGTTCATGATGGATGAAAATGAGATGGTTCCCTTGTCAAGCGATTGGAGAAAGTAGGACACGGTCATGATGGGTAGGATGCGATAAAATATCTTCTTTTTGAGCCGTCGATCGGTTTCATCGTCAATCTCGATTATGTCTCCTGATGCATATTTGGCGACTTCAGGATCCATACGGCTGCTATCACCCACTACCTCGGTTTGAGCTTCCTTTTTGTCAAGGGATCCAAAATCCATGATGGGATCCTTCTTTTCTGTCATTATTGTCAGGTGAGCTGTATGCAGAAAAAGAAAAAGAGAAAAAGGGAAATGTGAGAAAAAAAAGTACCTCGCTTTGGATAAATGTGCTGCTTTTATGCCCATCGTGTGTAGGTTGTGCCCTCTTGTGTGTGTGTGTGTATGCCTTGATGAGGATGACCGATTCGGGTGGATGATGTCCTTTGTGTAAGTGCCTATTGTTCGCATTATGATAACGATCACCCATGATCCCCCCCTTTCTTTCTAATACATTTCTATACGTGTTCCCCACATTTACCCCACATTGACCATGGCAGCTGCTTACTTCTTGGGTTGTGATCGAATCGTGTGTTTGATACCAAAGACTCTCACACTTGTATCCGGATGCGGCGATTTATTCCCTAATTTCCTTGCAAATTTCCCCTATGGTATGGGTTGTGTGCCGCTTCATCCCCTCCTTCTCACGCACTACTACTACTGCTGCTGCTATATTCCCAAGTAAAAACGAGTCGATCAAGATAGGAGAGCTTGTGTCATAAGAGCACCCTTTTCCCGCTTAGCTTACCTGTATCCTCGGCGGATGTCATACCAAGAGATCGTTGACATAGCAACACACGCGATAACCCCATAATAGGAACCCAAACTTGTAACCATGGGGATGGTTGTATCCACTTTCACTTTCACAATGGATAATTCACACAATTGTTGTTTCCAACACGTGATGCAGATCGACTACAATTGCTCATAAGGCGAAGCATCCAACCTTTACGTAATCGACTTGTGGTCAACCCTCCCCTTACTCTCATCCAAGCCGTAGATTGAATCCTTGATACACAAAAGTAATGCCATCCCATCATCACGTGTTGACATTCGAATAGTTGATCTCATAAGAATGGTGATATATATATATGATCTTTTTATGACTGGTATGAAGGAATGATGGTGACTAAGATAATGATGAACAAGAGGGTCGCTTCGTTACTTGAAGAATGATAAGATGGTGTTGATGAAAACGAGTGCAAGAAAGGCTTTCAAGAGGTATTTGCCGTTATGCGTGTATTTCTGTACTGGAAGATCTTCAGGCTGTGGGATCTATGTCACGTGCAAATGAGTGATATGGAACCCTTTTTGCGTGAATGGGCGATTGGTACTTACGAGTTGCATCACTGTTTTGCGACCACCTTTATTCCAGCCATTGGGGTAAACATAGCGACGAGAAGCTGGGTCAATCAAGGTCTACGCGACGGGGCAATCGAGATGAGTAATACGGTGATCGATCGATCGATTGTTCTAGACATGGTTACCGGAGGCCACTTTTTGCTCATGGTTGGTTGGTTGGTAGAGGTGGAGAGGGAAGGAAAGAAAAAGAAAGGATGATTAATACAACAAGCAGTGACAAGAGTCGCACTTGGAAAACCCGACATTTTGCATATCTCTTTCGCTCTTTTCACTTTCTCTCTCGCATGGATATCAAGTGGTCCAAAGCCTATTTCGCTGAAGCAGCTCCTACGACGTTGAATACGGGCGACAAGATTGTGCTTCCTTCATCGGCATTGGAAGAGATCCTATCAGCTGCCAACAACAACAGTGAGAACTTGCCGTCACCGTTGACATTTGAGCTGCGTCATCCTCACACACGATCGATCGTCTATGGTGGAGTCAAAGAATTCTCGGGAACAGGGGACACAGTGCAGCTGCCTTCATGGATGATGGAGAGTCTACAAATAGAGCCTATGGCTCGCGTGGTCATCAAGTTCAAGTCGCTACCTAAGGGAACATGGGCCAAATTACGACCGTTATCACGTAATGCCACAGATATCACCGATTACCGAGCAGCTCTCGAGTCACACCTTCGATCCCATTACAATACCATGGCGACAGGCCAAATCCTCACGTGTCGATATGGGTCACAAAGCTATCCATTCCTCGTGACCGATCTCAAACCTGAGTCAGCTGTATGCATCACCGATACCGACTTGGAGGTGGATCTTGAACCCTTTGATCAGGAACAGCCTCATGTGATGACACAACAACAACAGCAAAAGACAACGATTGCACTCAATGAGATTGTACAAAGTCTTACCATTGAAGAGGACCAGTATCGATATTGGGAATTGCAATTGGGAGGAGGAAATCAAAAGAACGTGGATATACAAATGACAGTTGAATCAGGAGATGCTGGTAAGTAAGGAAAGAGAGAGGTGGTAATGGTTATATTAGGGAAAAGGATGAAAAAATTCTAATTGCATGCATGAATAGACCTCTTGGTGGATACTACCGAACGACGACCGACGTTGGATAATCATGAATGGAGTGATCTCTCATCGAATACGTATCGGAGTCTTACGCTGCCAAACATCAATGCAAAAAGTGTCTTTGTTGGTATCCATGCCCACACATCCGCCGTTGTCAATTGGAAAGCAATCCCATCAATATCAGATGATACCATGGATACCGCTGAGGAGCAAGATGAACCACATGCACATGAGGAAGGCTATATACAATGCGACAATTGCAAGGCTTGGATACCAGAACGATCACGTATGCTTCATGAGAACTTTTGTTTACGCAATAATGTCCTTTGCTCCGAGGGGTGTGGTCGAGTATTCAAACGCGGCAGTACTGAATTGGAAAACCATTGGCATTGCGACAAGTGTGATTACGTTGGTACACGTGATGATATCACCAAACACGACACCTATTTTCATTCAACAAAGACATGCATCTGCAACAACTTTACCACTCAATCCTACAAGCGTCTTGCACAACATCGACACACTGAATGTCCTGAAAAATTAATCACATGTCGTTACTGCCATGTAAGCACCTTTATGTTATGGGGTCGGGTAGATAATAACTCTAGATTGATAGAATCTTGTGCCTCAAGGTGTTCAATCAATGGATGCACGTGATCGTCTCCTCAATTTACATTCGCATGAAAGCTATTGTGGTAGTCGCACCATCACATGCCAGAAATGCAAACGTCAAATACCAATCAAGGATATCCAAGTCCATGCTAAGGTCCATGAAGTCCAACGACAAAATCAGCAACTACCATCCCTCTGCTGCAACCATAATTGTATACGACCACGCGCCAACAACAAACTCAAACTCTGCCAGTATTGCTTTGGCCCATTCTGGGTGACAGATGATGATCCAAAAAATGTCAAATTGATTCAACGAGTAGCAAGAAAATTACATTCACAGTTAACAGTACGTATATGTCTTCGATCATTGTGTGTGTGTTTTTACATGGATTATTGATATCTCGTGATAGGTTGGATGTGGTCATTCTTATTGTCGAAACAAGGCAAGTAGGGAGATTGGGATTAGACAAAGTCATCATAAGACTAACATTACATGTCATTCTATAGTATTGTGCTACATCTACACAGAAGCCTCAAGAAGCAAATACGGCAGCAACGACATTGATCCCTATGATCCAAGGACTCCAGCGACAAATGATGCTACCCAATCCAAATCCTGAGTTATACCTTTGTGTGGATGAAAGTACGACGAGGAAACGATTCTTGGCTGAAATGCTAGAGGATGGAACAGAACACAAGTACGATATTGCATGGTGTGCAAAAGCACTTGAGACGGAGGATGAGGATTTGGAACGAGCAAGACATTGGCTTGATGCAAACGCTCCTCGGCAATAGCCATACATAGTGTACAGAGATATTGTATCATCTTTAGCATAATGTAATATACGTGTTATGGTTGTTTCCTTTATATGATGAGAGTGATCGTAATTGCTTGTATGAATGCTTTTTTTATTCTCTTGGTATATGTGTTAATTAATCAATGCGAACATAAACACCATTTGCAAGGCAGCAATTGTGAGCAAGAACCACATCCGCCGCTTCCTTTGGGGGTTCATTGTAGAAGGACCTGCAGCAGCATCGGGTAGAATCACATATCGCATCGATCGCAGCTATTGCAATTACCATCAGTATTCTTTTTCTTATCCATCTTTTGCACAAAAAAAGTCCCTTACCAAGAAAAAGCCCACACTGGAGGCGGTGTACAAGAACACAATCCAGAATAGCCACTTGCCAGCTCCCAATAATTTCGCCAAATCCGTCACAATGATGCATACATACTTGTAACCAGAGTACGCAATCAAATCCAACATGGATGCTTCAAAAGAAATGTTGAGAAAGTAGCAACCCAGTCGTGTAAAGCAAAGTTCTGCAAAGATAACGGCCACGGATGTGCATCCTGCCACATACAACTTCTCGGGATGAAACCTAACCATGGGGCCATTTTGAATATACAATGAACCATCTCTTTCTTTGTTATATACTTACGATCCCTGTTGACCAGCAGCAAGACCACAAAAGAGGATATACGTGACAAGGGCCATCACTATATGACACAATGTTAGACACCATGTCTATTGAATCCCCATCCATCCTTATACTTGCCTGGAATATATAAATCAGGTGAATTGATATCTTCTCGTGGAGGTTTGAAGCCATCCATTTGTCCAGTCTCTGTTCGTGTCACAGCACGGCTCCATGGCTATTTTTTTCATTAGTCTTAATACCATTCCCTTCCCATTGAATCATTCCCTTCCAATCCTTACCGTATGTCGCCAAGGAAAAAGAATGAGCTTGAGCTTGCTGATGACATACATGTTGTTTACATTGAAATAATGTCGTAGTGCAGGCATATCCACCCATCTATTGAACTATGTTTGGGAGAAGGTGAATAAAGTCGACTTTAGGGATCATATGGTTGTCTCATACGTTACGCTCCATATAAGCAGTGCCTTGAGCAACAGCGTTTCCAGCAAATTGCATACCCAGCTGTGTTGTAGGGTCATTGAACCCAAAGTTGTTGTACATGTTGTTGTTGTATTGACCCCCTTGACCCGGCGTTGGTGGAGCATAGCCATAAGCTTGCTGTTGTGGTTGAGGTTGTGGTTGAGCGAATCCTGGAGACGCGGCAGCAGGTTGTTGATGAACCGATGGGTTAAAGTTGGTGATGGGATGCTGAGGAATCGGATGTTGAAGAGGTGGTGTGTTCTGTTTATTGTCTAGTGGCATCGCTCCTTGAGGACTGTAATTATAAGGTGACCCAGCCCATGGTTGTTGTTGGTTTTGCATTGTGGTGAAGAAAGAGGAGTTGAGCAAAGGGAAAAAGTCGCGTTCCTGGTGGAGTTGCCACTTGTCATTCACAGCCAGCTCTCATCACGTGATCATTGTTCCCCTCCCCCCCTCTACACGAGCCCAATCTACCCATCGAAACCATATGTGTTTTGTTCATGTTAAATAGTCCATTGAATTTACTTTGTACAAGTTGGGGTAATAGAAATGCAATAGGGAATATGGATATTGTGGTGTGTGTTAATGATAAGAAGAGGTGATTTATGCGTGAACGGGGATGTTAACCCATGTGTTGCCATCCTTGCGATAAAGCGTACGTTGGTTGTCTGAAATCGAGTACGAGTCAATTTCAGTGACTTCAAGGAACAAGACGACAAAGTTTTCATAGCCACGCTCAAGAGCTTGTTGTTTATCTTGGTCATCGTTCTTGAACCAGCCTTCAGCATCCGTATCTCCAATCTCCAAGCTCTCGATGCGAGGCAGCTCCTCTTCTTGTTGCTGCTTTGGTTCACCAGGGGCAACATCCCAAGTGTATTGAGCACGTACATTATCAGGCAACTCGTGCCATTGACGAAGGCGTTCAGCTTCCCAGTCAAAGACAGCACGCTTGCCATGGCGATGGAATTGCGACTTGATACGTTTCAGGAATGATTTGGTGGCGGCGCTCAACTTGTCACTAAGGTCAACATCCTCTTCGTCGCTGCTGTTGCTCTCCATGTCCTCCTTGATCACTTTGGAAAGCTTCTTACGCACAATGTGATGACGAATATCTTCAACAGTCATACCATGACCAAGCATATGCAACTTGCCACGAATACGGAATTGGTGATCATCAAGTACCCTGTTATTATAGTATCGTAAGTAAAATGACATGATCCCATAGTCGATGGTCCTTGTACTTACCATGTGGCAGCATAGTTGCTATGATCGACCATCTTCAAGGTACGCTTGTCACAAGTGGCAGTAATCAAATCACTTTGCCAACCGGTCTCGCCATTGTTATCCTCGCCAGCAAAGCCGTGGTACACAAGAAGCTCATTCACAGGAAGGTTATCAGCGTCAACGGTGGCAACGGACAAGTGGGAAAGCTTGTTAGAATCGGTCTTGGATTGGATGATCTTTTTCCAAGCAGGAGAAACATCAATGGTGGGCTTGGTGGGCTTGGTGGTTTTGGTTTCAGCGGACATGATAATGTGGTGTGAAAAAGTGAAAGAATAAAGAATGCAAGATGATGGAGTGATGGCCTTTATATACGCGTCGACTATGCAATGCCGTGTCAAGGGCTGAGCGTGGTATAAAAATAACCAACAAGCGCCACTGCAGTGTCACAGACCTGATTCTTTTCGGAATCACACATCCGATGCATATGCATCCAAGGGCACCTCATCCGATATGGCATCTTTTTCTCTTGTGTTCCACAAGGTGTCAAATGGGCCAAACATTGGTATCTCATCCAACACAGCATATCAGATTGGCATCCATATACATGATTCATTTTTTCATTGTGCGTACATATGTCTTGTCAGCAGGTGTCACATTTTTTCTTTCTGCGAGAAACCACACAAGAGTATCATGCACCTCTCATACCAAAGTTGTGTAACAAGCTTTATAAAAAAGAAAACCCGGATGAAAGAAGTTGTCCTTTCACAGCACACTGACCGAACTTCAAAGTAGTACACTTGGAAAAGAACACACAATCCAATCCTATGGGTCATGATGGTATTACATCATCCTCTTTTCCCAACGTCGATAACTATAGAAGAATGGCTGCATGCATGATTTGCATCCAGTAGTACCATCATATGCAACAACAAAGTCTTCTGATAATGGTTTATTTAACAATGAAGAAACGTTAATATTGATCTTCCCATGTGTCGCTGCCACTTTACCAATCATTAGGATCCTTCATGCTGATGATACACGCGACACAAGTTTAATGCGGAGATGGGCGAGGAATGATAGCCTATGGTTGACTGGGCAACACAAAGGGTGAGTGTGTATATTGTTTTCCGCCGTTTACCGTTTCGTAGCAATGAGACTCTGGATTTCCATTGCAGCAGGCATTCCACTGGGTGCTACTGTCATTCACCATTTTCGATCACTGCCATGGTTCGAATACGTTATCAACTCGTATCCCGAATTCAAATACTCCATTGACACGGGTGTGAGTGTCGTCGACCAACCGGTCAGCTTGGTTGCCAATGTGTTTGGCCACGCCATGAACAATACTCTTGGATACAACCTTTCATGGATACTGCTCGGTATTTTCGGTGTGGTGTTGAGCATGATGGCTGTTGAAGGTTCACGTCAAAATGCAAGTCGCTTACTGGCGTGTTTCCCATTATGGGGTCTGGCGTGCAACTTTATGGGCATGGCAGTGCAACCCTTGTTTTGGTTACCGGTCTTTTATGCTTCGTTTGATAAGGTGGCATCCAACAATGTCGAAGCTCATTTTATTCGCAACGCTCGCTCCAATGCTATCTTGGTGGTCATGGTCGCTGTCTATGTGATTCCTACTGCATTCATGCTCTTGGCAACCGAACCCGAGTCCTCCATGCAACGCATCATCATTGTCGTATGGCAATTTTTACCTCTTTTGATGGGTCCTCTATTGAGCATGGCAACCTCCTCTCTAAAGTGTCTGGATGAACCTGAAGATCTTCGCATGAATGAAATCGCACGTGAAAAGATCCGCGTCGCTGACAGCCGTAACGCCGTCGAACGTTTGTACATGATCTTGGGTATCTTCAACACACTTATCTACTATGGCATCTACATTCGACTCAAGATGGACAACATGCTCAGCTGGGAAACGTTTGTTGATCTTACAACTCTTTACAGTGGCAAACTCACAGCACTGTCGATGGAACAAATGGGTCAAATTATTACCAACCATGCCTTCTTCATTGAAATTATCATCGCCTACATCACGTGTCTCTTTTGGGCGCTCTTGGAAAGTGGCATGAAGGGTGCTTTTATCATGCTCATTGCTTCTATCATCATTGGTCCTGGTGCTGGCATCTGCTTGTACGCTGTGTATCGTGAAGGTCATATCCAAGACATTGAAAAGGTCGTCAAGAAGAACGAGTAAAAAATAGTGCATTGATTTGTAGTATTTGATGATAACCATCTAGTAATAAAAGACCATCAATGGATTCTATGTATACTACCATGTGGTTCTTATATGCAATTGTTTATGTTTAATTATAGAGACGATGGTGGGGGTATGATACATGACACATTCTGGATGCAAATATTACAAATTTTACACTATATCATCATCCTCGTTTTCATCCAAGAGTTCTTCTTCCAGCTGTGGATTATTGTCAAGCAGCTCATTATATGTGAGTTCCTCGATCGTTTCACCAGTGACAGCACCTTGGCCTAGTACGGAGTCATTGGATTCCTCAATAATGGGTGTACGTGGTTTGGATTCAAGCGTTACGGAATCAATCTTGCGACCATTCAAATTGTATGTTTCCCAAACAAGTTGCCAAGGTGCATTGTGTTGTGTTGGTGGGCGGAATTCAAGCAAGACAAAGTGGAAGTCGAGGGACGTGGCTTCGTACATGCCATAATTTTCAACACGTTCAAAGTCGAGATCGCCACCAGCACCGCCAATGATGGTATAATGAATGCCGTTGTGTTGTCCTCGCTCATAATTATGCTGATGGCCTGAAATCACAAGATCCACACCGTATTTCTCAAACAAGGGCACAAACCGTGTCTTGACAAAGGAGCCCCATTCTTTCTGGCCCTTGTTATTCCATGCATCCGGATCCCAATATTCGAGAAAAGGAGGAACATGAACCACGACCACACGAAATGTAGCATGTTGAAAAGCATGTCCTGCCAATTCACGCCGAAGCCATTCATCTTGTTGTTCCCAATCCAAGTTGCTGTCGAGAATCACGAATCGGATAGCCCCATCCGCCATTGAAAATGCATACCATGGATCACTTGAAGGGCTGACACGTGTATAATGATATTCGTAAGTGGGATCATGATCATGGTTACCATGGGCGTAGATCATTGGCATGGTTTGTCCCAATCCATAATAGGTCAACGGACCCACGAAATCGGTTTGCCATTGTCGCAAGGATGGATAATTCTGTACAGCATCGCCTGCATGAATAAGATATTCCACTCGTTTGTTGATCCGCCGTAACAATGATACAAAGGTGCGTAATCCAAATTGATTATCGGCCATAGCAGCCATGCGAATCGGTTGTTGCTGGTGATCACTGGTTGATGCATCCCAATGGAAAGAATGGCGTGCCACCAATCGCTTCGATGGATGAATGGTTTCAATACGATACGTGTATTCGCCTCCTTCCTTCAATGGTCCAATAGTTGCTTTGTACAATGAATGACGCTTATCAAGAACAAGGGGTTCAATAGGTGATGATGTCGTCGTCGCTTCTTGTTGTTGCTGCTCGGCATCACGTTGCCAACTGACTTGCATATCACGCGTACCACAATTCATCTCCCATACAACTTGGACATGGTATGTGTCTTGGATATACAACATGGGCTCCTTACGAAGCACACCACATGGTACCCACCCACGGTCAAAGAGTGCATTGTCAAGCTTGATCCGGAAGAATGCCCAATAGATCGCAATGGTGTTGGAGAACAAATAGACAAAGAATAGCAAGATTGCAAGGGCTACAATCAACCGGTTTCTATGCTGTCGTCGTAAATGCCATCGTCGTTTCTTTGTGTTGCTTGTGGCGAGTGTGGGTCGACTTTCCATGAGTGCGTCCAAGAATGCTTCACGGTATCGAGTGTTGTTCTTGCCATCGTCACCTGGACCAGGCAATGGCGAAGTGGGTTGTTTGTGCTGGAAGGACACCGATGAGTAAGGTTCATAGCTGTTGGGTTGTAACATTATAAGAGCATCATTCGAGGAGTGAAAAGGAGTGTGAGAGTGAGTGAACGGGTCAAGTCAAAGAAAAAGAAACGGTTAAACCAGGTAAATACAAAACCTCGATGGTCGCACAATGCTTACCAAACCCGTGCTGACTTGGATACGCATCCTACTTTGGCTTGGTGACAGGTGATCTGATGGATCTTTTGTCGCTGTAGATAATTAACGACCCTTCTATGCCAAGGCACAGAATGCATCCTATCTCAAGTAATATTGCATGCATATTAGTCCATCGCCGAATAGCCGTCAACTTTGAGATTAGTACTCTACCTCTTCTTTTATCGTCAAGATGTCTTAGTATACGTAGTAGCATATAGTAAAGTAGTACAATTACAGTTGACTTATAGTTGCGGGGTATATCATATGCCTTTGTGGAGCATCATTGTTGAAGATACTTACTCCCTGTTAGTCGCATAGCATGCCATAAGCAATTATAGCTCATCATTGTGTGGGTCATTACAACAACAAAGTGCCCTTCTTTATTTAGAGGATTACATGTAAAAGAGAACAGATGGCCATAAGAGGAAACGGGTGGTGTTGTTATTTAGGGCTGCATGTATCGTGAAAGAATTTTCTATAGTGTACAATAATGTTGCTAGTCGGTATAGGTAGAGAAAGCATGGGCAGTGTGTGTAGTGTACGTTTATGCACTCGTGCCCCATTGTACCCAAGTTCACTCTTCTTGGACATAATGAGTTAAGCTTACAATGAACCAAGTTGCTGTAACAAGCGTATGTCAAGTGCCTTCACTCTGAGTTTATTGTCTTTGTAAGTCAAGCGCTTGAGAATCGCCCAGTGCCTATCATCTATGAACATGTGAAGCAGGGAGCTTTAGCGAAGGTGATAATGCTGTGGCAAAAGAACAAAAGCATCTTGATACGTTGATGTAAATGATCCAACTTCGCTTTCCAATCTTCAAACTACTATTCCCCTTCTCGATCCAAAAGCCAACCAAGTGATCCACATCTTGCACATGTGAGCTAATGGTATGATGCTCTAATTACTATTTTGAATCCAATTTACATCCAATGGAAGACAAAGAACATGATACGAAAGTGTGTCCATTTATCAAGTATATTGCACGATTGAATAAGATACGGGTGAACTACATAGAGTCATCAGGGACTGTAATTGTGTCCTTCTATTCTTGGTTGCTGTCGGCTTAAGCATCTTCATCCATGATCAAAAAAGAGCTGCAGCGTGATTTCACTCGAATATTCCAATTCACCCATGGCCGTAACCATCCTTCTCAAAGACATGAGCCTTTTCGTCATTGCCCATTCCAATCCATCCTTCCTGCTGATAACGTGCCAAGTAACCAAAGGAGCATCCCAAGATTTCCCTTCACTGTTCCTTGATTGCATCCATCCTTCGGATCCAATACGTTGGTTGAAAAGAGACATGTGATCACTTGCTGATATGCTTCCTTTCCCATCCGGCTGTTGATCCATCGCAGCTCAAACAGGCGAAGATCATTGCTTGCATTGCGGCGTACATGATTGCTGATATGGCAGCATCCATAGAAATCCCTTTGTAGTGAGCAAATTGCTACACGTATATAAAGCTGCTCCTGTAGAATGACTGTTGGTCACGTAAAAAAAGGCTGCAAGTAACTTGTGACAATAAATCCATTGATAAGTAACTGCTGTTACGATTGGCGTGGCAGAGGAGCGTGCAAGAGCGTGTGTTGTAGTAGAGTGACAAGCTTGTGAACGCTGTTTGCGACAATGGAGTAAAGACATCCCTAATAGCAGCTGCCAGAATGAATGCTGCAACGTTTGATTGTTGCAGAGTAACGTGTAAGAGAGTGTGTTGTATCAAGAAAGACGAGTGTTGAAGTAGAGTGACAAGAAGGCTGAGTACACGCCATGGACTTGCCATTCAGTCCAAGACAATCGGATCAAGACAATCGTAGGCTTGACATGATGGGTTGAAGCAGGACAATCGTTCGCAGGTGGTAATTGTACTTGAATGGGCCAACAGTTGAGAATGGGAGGAAGAGGGAAGAAAGTGGGAGTAGAAGAGCTGGAATTCAAATAGTTTTTTTCTGAAGCTTGGATGATACTTCTGTGTTTGAGCGTTGCTCACTCAAATCCTCTCGGATCAAGAAAGTTGAAGCATGAAGATGATGAGCTGGAGCAGGACAATCGTTCACATGCATTGGGTGGGCTAACAATGGTGATTGGGAGGAATGGGCTATCAACCAGGAGTTTACAATAACTATTCAAATTGATCATTCTGAAATTGGATTATGTTTCTGTGTTTGAGCGTTTTTCAGTCAAATCCCCTCGGATCAAAAAAGTTGAAGCATGAAGATGATGAGCTGGAGCAGGACAATCGCTCACATGCATTGGGTGGGCTAACAATGGTGAATGGGAGGAATGGGCTATCAAGTGGAGGTTTACAAATAAGTTTGCAAAATAATTTTTCTCAAGTTGGATGATTCTTCTGTGTTTGAGCGTTGTACAGTCAAATCCCCTCGGATCAAGAAAGTTGAATGATGGACATGCAGGGTTGTAGCAACAGAATCGTCCGTACGCTGTATATTGGAAACCAGAGGTGAATGGGACGAATGGGCTATCCAGTGGCAGTTCATGCACTGTGATACAGCATCATGCATTGATCCTTCCAGTCATGCAAAACTGCTGTGTTACACAAACACGCCCCTGTGAATCTTTCTCTCTATCATGGTCTAGCTACTTCACATTAAACGAAGACCACTCCTCATATAGCATTACGCTTACAGCATATGTAAAACATAACGGTGCCTGTATCTCCAAACTTTACAATCAAACGTGGGCTCTTTAATAGATCAACGTGCTCGTCGGGGTCAAAGGAATCTTGTGTCAAAGTATGAAGTTCATCGTGGCCAATCCCAGATTTCGCAATGTCGCCACCAGCCAAACTGGATCTGGAGGTCGACCTCTTCGACGACGACGACCAAAAAATATTTTTTGGGCTGTTTGCGACATTGAACGCGAAACTTTCACACAAGGTGCTGTTGGCCAAGCCGAGCCCATTGCTGTAATAAAACCACACGTTTCATTGTAAAGTTTGGAGATACAGGCACCTTAATGTTTGTAAGCGTGATGCTATATGAGAAGTGGTCTTTGTTTAATGTAAAGTATCTAGACCCTGACAGAGCAAAAGATGCAGAGGGTCGTGTTGTGTAACACAGCTACGTTTGCATGAATGAAAGGGCCAATGTATAATTACTTTATGGATCATCTAGGAACAGGCATGTATTGCTAGCTAACGGCCACTTTTATCCAATCATCATTGTTGCGAGATCCACTGCATGGGAACGATGCTCCTGCTCTAGACATTCATTTCCATGATTAAAGTAGGTTGATCCGAGCTGATTTGACTGAGCTGCGGTCAAAGAGAGATTACATCACTCTGGACATAAAGCACGCTCGATGTAGCTCAACCGATGTAATCTTGTGTGAGCGTAACTCAACCAAATCAGCTCGGATCAACCTACTTTAATCATGGAAATGAATGTCTAGAGCAGGAGCATCGTCCACCTACAATAGAATGCACAAAAGTTGGGAATGCACAAACGTGGCTATTAGCTGCCAATGTATGACATCAAAGTGAGGTATGCGTACCTGTCATGCATCGTCCCTGAAGTCCTGACTTTTTAGCTGAGTAACCCAAAGAGGTCCTTCTGCATCTTTTGCTCTGTCAGGGTCTAGCTACTTTACATTAAACAAAGACCACTTCTCATATAGCATCACGCTTACAAACATAAAGGTGCCTGTATCTCTAAACTTTACAATCAAACGTGCGGTTTTTATTAGAGAAATGTGCTCGGCTTGGCCAACTGCACCTTGGGTGCAAGTTTCAAGTTCATCGTGGCTAATCCCAGATTTCGCAATGTCGCCACCAGCCAAAGTGAAACGAGTCGACCTCTTGAATTTCTTTTCGACGACCAAAAAATATTTTTTGGGCTGTTTGCGACGTTAAACGTAAAACTTTCACACAAGGTGCTGTTGGCCATGCCGAGCACATTGTTCTATCAAAGACCCCACGTTTCATTGTAAAGTTCGGAGATACAGGCACCTTTATGTTTTACATATGCTGTATGCATGATGCTATATGAAAAGTGGTCTTTGTTTAATGTCAAGTAGCTAAACTCTGACAGAGCCAAATATGCAAAATGGCTTGCTGGTGTCACAAAGCCAAGGGGCAGGTGTTGAAGGGTGATCCTATTGGCGGAGAGTGCATAACGGATGTTTACCCTATAGTAAGGTCCACCTATGATAGCCTACGTGGGATCTTTTACAAGTCAACACGGTATGGTCAATAAGCCAAAATGAATATATAGCGCATCAGAAAGTATATTGTTTGAAAGCTTGAGAGTGGCCATGATGTTGCTTTGCCTTCAAGGTTGTTCGTCCTCATATAAGGCTGCATACGATAATAGCGGTTCCGCTTAAAATAGCGTATGCTAAAATTTGTTATTGTAGTGGTACTTGCAGTATGATACCCTTTATCATGGATCACCCCAGTTACTGATACATAGACTCATGCTACGCATCCACATTACCTTCCCTTGTTCTTTTTTGGGTATCCAATCGTAAAGCCAAAAGGCAACATGCGCTTTCGAGAGCTACCATGAGATACTGCAAAAGAGAACAAGACCCGATAGACTACATTTTTGAATACCCGAGAGCGTGATGGTAGGATGCAATGTATACACAATAAGGTATCTTTAATAAACCAACAAGCCATATTCTTACGTATGAACCTGCATCTCAAATCCAACCATATGAATGGGATCGTATAGACTTTATGTAGTATAATATTGATCTCTAGTTAGCATCTACTCCGCCAGGGCCAAGATGGAATCGTTTGGTTACTGCTCGAGGGATTTCTTCCTCATGATGAGTGACAAGAATCAGCGATTGTTCAGGACGCATATGATCTTCAAGCCATTGGTTCACCGACTTGATCATATCCACATCGAGGCCTTGGAATGGCTCATCCCAAATAATCAGATCCGGCATTTTTACCTGAAAACCCAAATTAGTAAAGACGAAGCCGCTCAATACCCAAAATCCAATGACAACTTACAAGAGAACGAATAAGTAAGATCATGCGTTGTTCACCTGATGACATGTCACGAAGACGCTTTGAGAGGAAGGATTCCATGCCAAAGTCCTTGAAAAACTTGTTCACCGTTTCTGTTTGCTTGTCATCCAACTCACGAGGTACGACAACATCATAAAATCCAGTACCAGCAGCTTCAAGACCAGTCATCATTTGATTGAAGTAGAGATGGATCTCAGGGCTGACAACACCCACGCGTTGCTTGATGTCCCAAATGGATTCACCTGTACCACGTCGACGACCAAACAAATAAAGTTCATTCGCATAGGCTTGTGGATGATCACCGGTCAAGAACGAAAGCATTGTTGTTTTCCCGGATCCTATGTATCATACCATCATCCACATTAACATGCCATCTTTGGTTTGAAATAGCATCCTCTTCTTGTTACTTACCATTGGGACCTAACAATGCCCATCGCTCGCCTTTACGCACAGTCCAAGTAATATTATCCAAGATCTTGTTGCCGCTGTAAATGACATTGACCTTTTTCAATTCGACCACTGGATCACGCATGACTTGTTGTTGCTGTTCAAGAGCCTCTTGTTTCTTCAAATAAGCTTCCTTATCCGCCTTCTCTTTTGCCATGATGGCGTCTCGCTTCTTGATGTATTCAGCAGGATCCCCTCTCCAATCAATCTTGAGGTCCTTGAGAGCCACTACATCCGTTGCCCATGATGGAAACTCATCCTGAGGACGCAACACCAAGACAACAGGCATTCCCGATTCGGCCAAATCACCAAGAATCTTGAGCATCTTTTGTCGATGTTGAACATCCAATCCCACTATGTACATGGATGCATGAATACCTTCACATGGCTCCTTTTTAATCCAAATGAGAAATGACTTACTGAGGGGTTCATCCAAAATAAGCATGGAAGGATGGCGCAACAAGGCACGAGCAATACGTGCACGTCGAGTTTGACCATTTGACAACTTGACGAATGAAAGCGATAGTAAATGGGCAACATCCAATTGTTCAGCAACCTTGTCAATGGCTTCTTGGGTGGTTTGCTCAGTCTCGAGATATTGCTTCAGTGTAACATCATTGTCGGGATCACTGGATGAAATGGAGTGTGAGTCAGATTGAATGAAAGCCTATGGATTGGTTGCAATTACATTGGATCATCCTACCTAAAGTTGAATCGCTCCTGATAATAGTGGCCACTGTATGAAAAAGCATTCGAGTCTTCTCTGAAAGAAACAAGATGGATATGATCGGATGGATAAGGGGACTTTGATTTGTCGATAAGCGGCCATGATGCTGCAGTGATAGGCTGAACGAGGTGTCGACCTGACAACGCCTAAATGGCTGCTTGTCTTAGCATTCTATGATCATCAATGATTCCCTTTTTACATACCTCTGCAAGTGTTGATTTGCCTGCGCTTACAGGGCCAACAATGACAAGTCGTTGATCGCGTTTAAGGTCGAGTGACAGGTCCTTGAGTACGGGTTCCTTGGTACCGAATCGGTAGATATTGGCGTTCTTGAATTCGACCAATGTGGAATTGGCACGGCGTAAAGTGCCATATGGAGCGCGTCGTAATGCGTGTGTCAAGTAGGGACGGCAATGGTGCAAAAGCATGTCAAAAAAAGTGTGGAGAGAAAGAAAGAGCACAAAGCGGGTAAAAGCATAACCACGCCCTGATAAATGCGCTGTTTTTGAATAATGGTGATGCATTATAGATTAGGTTGCCTTGAGTCATAATCGACAACACAAGAAGAGATGATGGGAATGGTTGTTCAGCTGAGATGGTACGTGAAAGGCCTTATATATCACTTGACATGATATCCACCTTCCCCTACTTCCTTTGTTTTCCATCTAGAGATGTTACATTATCACCCAATGCAAACCAATGTTACACAAACAAGACAATCCTTCCTCCTCAAGTTGTCTCGAGCGGCGGAGGATGCCAGCAGTCCACCATAAAAGAACCACACACGTCTCAGTTCCGCCTATTCTCTTTTTTCTTTCATCTTTTCCCCCTTTCCTTCACACAATGACTGGTATCATCGTGAATGGCAACGACACTACGACTTACAAGTATCATGTCGATGGTACCAAAGCACAAAAGGTGGCCATCAACCGTGTCGCTGAGGAGTTTGAGGTTTCTCGTGAACGCCTTGAGACCATTATCCAACAATTTGTTGCCGAGATGAAGAAGGGATTAAATCATGAAGGTGCTACGGGTAAGTAAAATACCATCCTATGCTATCATTCTTTCTCACGGCTCTCTCTCTCTCTCCCTTTTATAGTCCCCATGATTCCTAGCTTTGTTACAGGTCGTCCAACAGGTCAAGAGAGAGGAAAGTACCTTGCTTTGGATTTGGGTGGCACCAACTTGCGTGTGTGTCTTGTTGAGCTCAAGGGCGATGGCGAGTATAGCATTGAGCAAGAAAAGTTCAAGGTGGATGATAGCTATAAAACGGGTGAAATGACAGACCTGTGCGATTTTATTGCGGGGTGTGTGGAGTCATTTGTCAAGGACAAGATCCAAGATACGCCTGGGGAAGATTTGCAAATGGGTTTCACCTTCTCGTTCCCTGTATTGCAAACAGCAATCAATCGTGGTGTGCTCAAGCAATGGACCAAAGGCTTTTCTTGCAAGAATGCTGTGGACAAGGATGTCACTATTTTGCTTCAAGATGCTCTTCGGAAACGTGGTGTACCCGTTAACATTGCAGCAGTAAGTTTATTTCCTGGGGGGTCCCGTTCCCGCCACCACCCGATGGGTATTAAGGGGAAAGTCATGGTTGGAAGGGAAATCGCGGCGCACATCGGGATGGGGGATTTTGGGATCGGGCCAAGCTGAAAATAGTAGTGTTCTGATGTCATGCACTTTTTTTCATATTCAGCTCGTCAATGATACTGTGGGCACCCTCATGGCTTATGCTTATCGACATCCCGAAACCACTATGGGTGTCATCATGGGTACAGGCACCAATGCAGGTAATGATAAGATATGGAATTATGAGAAAGACAAGAAATGCTCATATGATTCCTTACATAGCTTATTACGAAAACATCAACAATATTGGCAAATGGAAAGGACCTGCTGGTACAGGTGAAATGGTTGTCAATATGGAATGGGGAGCTTTTGACTGCGAACGTGTGGTGTTGCCATTGACACCCTATGACAACAAGGTGGATCGTGAATCTCGCAACGTGCATCAACAGCTTTATGAAAAGATGATCTCTGGCATGTACTTGGGAGAAATTGCTCGCAATACCATCCTTTCCTTGGTTGACAACCTTTTGCTTTTTAATGGTGAATCATCCTCTTTGCTCAACACTCAATGGGGTTTTGAAACGGCCTTTGTCACTGCTATTGAAAGCGATTTGACGGAAGACTTGCGCCATATCAAGGAGATTCTTGAAAAGACCGTTGGTATCCCATCCACTACATTGGCTGATCGACAAATGGTCAAGTTGATTTGCGACTTTGTGGGTCGTCGTGCATCACGTTTAGCAGCCTGTGGCCTTGCCAGCGTCTTGTCCCACTGTGGCTACCTTGAAAACTTGCAACAAAAATGCGTTGTTGCTGTGGATGGCTCCTTGTTTGAAAAGTATCCCAACTTTGAATCCAACATTGTTGAGGCCTTGAAGGAATTGTATGGATCAGACACTGTGGATAAGATCAAGTTGTCTCATGCTAAGGATGGTTCTGGTCTTGGTGCTGCCATTATTGCCATGGTTGCTCACAAGAATGCTTGTGATATGAATTAACAAATTCCCCCACCCCCCTCCCACCATCTCATCTTTTCTCCATGTACACTTCTCATACTACCCCAAATCATCAGCTGTGTCCAACCAACCAACCCCCCACACGCACACCTTGTCATACCGCTGTAAACACAAACATTTCCTCCTTTCTTCCATAATGATTCTTTTTGTGCACATTCTTTATAAACAATGCATCCATTTTTCATCCAACAAAGAGTATATGCATTTATTCATTCATCCGGGGGAACTGAATATGGTAATGAATTAAGTGCTATCTTGATCATGGATATATCTACCGCATCTTCCCGTGGACCCTGTGTGTGCTGACATCCAAAATATGATACCGATGCTGACAATAGGCTGGGAATTTCTCGTCCCACAAGCTTAAACCATGGTTCCGCGGTTACCAAATTATCCACATTGTCTTTTGTCTCGCCCGTGATAATAACTACCCTTTTAGGATTGGCTTATTCCCAGTACCCAGATCTCAGCATTCGTATCATTATCGCAAAATCAAATGTGACATAAACGTTTATTCGTGAGCAAGGTACGCAACGATGTAGAATTTACATGGACTTTTTGTGTGATGGTACAAAAAACGAAGGGCAAGAGGAGGCAGTTAATGATGAGATGCAATGGTTGATGAGGAACTTGATGGTGATGGTGATGGGGGTTGTGATGCTAGTTGAATGTTGAATGACTGTAATTCGGGGCAGCGATATAAACCTTTCAATCTTGTTCGATCATTCTAATCGACAATATCAGTAAATGGTATCTGCGGAAAGACAAGGCAAGTACTTACTTCAATGTTTTCAGGAGCAAGCCAACGATGACTCTACGAGAAACATGTGAATCAACCCAATGAATTGATATGAGACGCCATTCGATACTTACAATCACCTCATCCATAGTTGGCCTCTTGGCATGATCAGTCTCCAACATCCGTAATATAAGATCCTTGGCTATATCAAGAAAACGGTATCAGCCAATCCATTTCATCCCAATGTTGGGTCATCTTACATACCATCAGCCGATACACGATGCCACACTGCATCATGAAAGCTCACTCTTCCTGTTCTTATCCTATTCTCCAATGCCCTACGACCTTCGGGGCTGTCAATGTCATTGACTAGAACAAGAAAACGTTAGCAACCAGTGGCTGTATATGAGTAAAAGCAACGTACCATTGAACGGCATGCTGTGTGCAAGGGAAGCGTATAGCATCACACCTAAACTCCATACATCCACGGACTTGTTGTAATTCAATTTGCGGCCACCAGAAGCATCCGATGCATACAATCGCTCTGGTGCACCTATTTTTCAAGCAGCAGTGTTAATAACAAAGCCATCATCCCTAAGCGATGTATTACTTACAATAAATCATTGTGCCACATGCCGTGTCGAAGTTGCCTCTACCACTCGGATCAAATCGTGACATGCCAAAGTCGCCAAGTTTTACATGCAGCTTGTCCTTGTTCATGACAATCACATTTTCAAGCTTGAGATCCCGATGTACCACTTTGTTTGCATGCATAAACTGGAAAGAAAGAAAGATGGTCAAACACCGTAATCATATCAGCGGGGGGGATAGGATTGAACTTACTGCGACGGCATGGAAAATTTGGTCAAAGATGATCCGAATCTCATCCTCCGTAGCTTGATTCTTTTGCAAGTATTCAAAGAGATCGCCATCCTTGCCGCTAAGATACGCAAATAAGCATCCTCATTCGGTAATCCATCGCTCAATGTTAACACCTACTATTCCATAATGATGAATAATTCTGTTCTTGACTCAAGGACGCGTTCTACTTTCAGCACACAGGGCTGAATACGAGCATCGTGTGAGTCAATGTCATAAACCAGCTACACATACAATTGACTTACATGTTTCTGGAGCTCCATTTGTATGCATACTTCTGTATACAGCATCCTCAAGCTCGTATTCTCGTCTTTGAATTTCTCCAGGTTGATGGTCTTGCATGCATACATGTCGCTTGGGTTATCTTTATCCTGCACTTTCTTCACTTGACCAAATGTGCCCTGTCCCAACGTATAATCGATATCCCGGTATAATTCATCAAATGTCCTCTAAGCAACACATTAATAAATAGCGTACATGTGTCATTCTTAACTACTAACCTTGTCACGCGGTACATTGGCAATGTGAACTTTGAAGCGATCTAATGTAGCATACGAGTATATATGAGTAACAAGTATGATTGACAAGTATGATATCTATTACTTACATAAGTCCTCCCCAGCAGAATTTTTGAATATTAGCTCGCTGCCCTCATCCAATACTGTTCGCCCCTGCTTGAATACTTGTTTTCCCACCCAAGTTCCATTTTTGCTATTGAAGCACACATTCAATACCATGTAGGGTGTTCGTCATGCATGTATATCGTCTACCTGCGATCGACAAGATGTAGATTCAACGCAACGTCATTTTTATGGTAGCTAAAAGTCTGCAGGTCCATGGGTTAGAAGAGAATGACCGTGCGATCCACCCCTTTCCAACTTACCGGGTATATGATGCAGTGTTTTCTTTCAAGACCTTGTAACCTACAAATAAGGTGAATTTAACGACTAGGATGGACAAAGATAAAAGGATGACTTACCTTATGTCACAGTCCTGGTGCGAACCAATAACGCAATGCTGTCGTTTGTTGCGACTGTTGCTGAAATTTTCTTTGACAAGCTTGTTCGCTATCCATGGATCTTGGCTCACCAAAGTCGCAAGTATATCAGGATCATCCGAGCAGGTTCCTGTTGATGCATTGGCTATCTCGCGAGTATGTGGAGGAGCAGGCAACGAACGGCTACGTATATTGAATCGCGAAGCACTGGTTGCTGATGACGTTGATCCTATAATGCCATCGTAATTAATCACTTATGAATAAAAGTGACATGCTATATAAGCACAATACCTTTTTTGTTGCTGGACTTGTGTGGTTTTATTTTGCTATTATGCTTGGAGATGCTGTTCTTTGAGCGTACACTGAGAAAATCCTTGCTTGATAGACGAGAACTTGAAGGGGTGCGAACAAGTGACCCTGAGCTTGTGTTACTGGTTGGCATGGTTTCTGCAGAACCTGTTGCATTGGCAATGGCAGCAATGACTTAGTATTCAAAGTTTGACAGACGCGCTCTTTTGATAGCTGTCTTACCTGGCGGTGTCAAAAGGTTGCCAGGATCAGGTCCCTGTGGCACCGATTGACCTGAATGCAAGGACGACTTTGTTTTTCCCATGGATTGGCACTTGCAAGAACGAATAAAGTTGAAATGGGTGCGTAAGTGAAAGAGTGAGTGAGAAGCAGAGTCAATAAAAGGAAGAAAACGAACAACGCAGTAAGTGCACCTGCTCACCTGTAAAATCATTGTGCCCTTCCACTTCCCGCCCTTGTTTTCATGGTTCACACACAACAACTACCAAGCTCTCCTAGCAACACACTCGTCACCTCTTTTTACTTTACATCCATAGCACTTCTTCATCCAACCCCATATTAAATGTTTATCTCTATCTCTTTATGCGCTATATATATGATAACGGGATCATAGCCGAAAGTCAATGTTCATGCCGCCTCCCCCCAAAACGTATGTGCATATACTGCAGTATGAAAATCCTGCATAATGAAAGTATCGCTTCTTCACAACCACATGTCCCATTCATTCTTATAAGCGAGACTACAAAGAAAATGATTATTAACGTACATCATCCATGTTTCACAAGTGGTCTGCTTTATCAAGCGAAAAAAAAAAGTTGGCAGAGACCCACACACACACCCCGCTATCTCTCTTCCACTGACAAGGACAATGACACTTCAAACCATACAAACAGCTCGCCTTGTGTGGAAAGACCTCAAGACTTGCCCAAAAGAGTTACACTTGGATACCTTAAAGTGTGGTCAAAGCTTTCGTTGGCGGCAAACCAAGGATCTCTGGTACGTTGTCCTTTTTCTTTTGCGATCGGGCTCAATTGGCTAAATCGTGATCGTCTGGCAGGACTTGCGTATTACAGGGGAAGCTTTGTGTGTTGCGACAAACGGGTAAACAATTATGGCTATACATCATGAAGTCATCATTTTGATACCAATGTATGCATATGCAGATTCCACAGTGTTTTATGGTGTCCAACCCGAGGATGAGGAGCATCAAGTGAAGCAGCTGGATACATTGCTGCGTGATTACTTTCAACTGGATCGGGTTTCACTGCAATCGTGTTACAAACGATGGAGCGACTTGGATGCAAACTTTAAGGCGAAAGCAATTCACTTTGCAGGCATACGTATGTTGAGGCAGGATCCATGGGAAAATCTCGTTTCTTTTATATGCTCTTCCAATAACAACATCCCTCGCATATCACAAATGGTAAATAACATACATAAACAAAAACAACAAACATCGTTGTATTCTCATACGACTCTTTCCATTAGGTTCACAAGCTATGTATCCATTATGGTTCTCCTATTTGCGTGGTGGATGATATTGTACATCATGATTTCCCATCCATTCAAGCCTTGGCAAATGATGGCGTGGAAGAAAAGTTGCGACAGCTGGGATTCGGATATCGGGCAAAGTACATTGCACAAACAGCAAAACAGATTCTACAAAAAGAAGGAGACGAACAATGGCTTTGGAATTTGAGAAAAACGTCGTATGCTGAAGCAAAAGCAGCGCTTGTTGAGCTTGCTGGTGTGGGACCCAAGGTGGCTGACTGTGTGGTATGTGTCTCTATTTGTATCTATTTGTATGCATGTGTGTGTGTGTGTGTGTGTGTCATGTGCCTTATCATTGTACTCATAACAAACACCACCAGTGCCTGATGTCTCTGGACCACGCTGAAGCTATACCAGTGGACACACACGTTTGGCAGATTGCTCTACGAGACTATGGTTTCAAGAACAAGGGAGGGAAAACATTGACAGCAAAGTTATATGACCAGGTGGCGGATCACTTTCGAAAAGTCTTTGGTGATTATAGTGGATGGGCTCATTCGGTATGTTTTGCGTGTAACAAAAAGGTACATTTTGACTAACACATCATGTAGGTATTGTTTACAGCTGATTTGCGTGCATTTGAGGATCGAATTCCAAAGGCAAAAGTGAAAGAGGAAATCGCCACTACAGCTTCTGCTGCTGTCAAAATAGAACAACAAGATGATACAGTGCAAGTGATCGAGACACAAAAAGTGATCGACAATCAACGAAAACGGAAACGCAATCCCACTTCATCATCATCATCGCCACCTGCAGCATCAATGACTGTGCGACGCAGCACACGGATCAAGCGTACTTGAGATAGATGCATGTATACCCTCCCACGTGAAGATAGATTATTCAGCCAACAAAAGCATTAAAGAAAGTTTTATCTTTGTGTGCGTGTGAGTGAGTGAGATAAAGGGGCCCAAAGAAGAGATTTAACAGAGTCATGAGGGTCTTCTTGAGATATGTACGTGGTTGGCAGCTACCATGAACAAGTTCTAGATCTCCTTTCTCTCCCTTAATGAATTGAGCATAAAAGAGTGATATTCATCTTTCAGGTGTACCAGCACATTGCATGAAAAACGCGGTGATTTATGATTTAGCTACGACTGAGAATTATTCAAGGTGGCACAAGGCGACTTCTTTCGTCCCTCATGTTCGACTCTCAGGCAACAAACTCACCACCGTTTGAATTCTCGTCATGGAGACAACGATCCAATAATATGCAACAGCAAACGAACGTGTTTGGATATCAACTAGGTTGGTTCATACCATGCGCCCTCCAATCTCTCTTTATTGAGTAACGATCGTACTTTTAGATGCCCCTTTTACGTGTTCAACGACATTCAACACTATTCCCAGAATCGATCCACTCTCCAACGCAGGATCCATCAGTATTATCGATCGTGTGATTGACCGTGAGCCACAAGCAATAGTCGTCGACCACCCAAGTCCCAACGTCGTTCCTATCGAAAAGCACAGCGAGCTTGATGATGCGCAGCAGCATACTGAATCGACGACGACCGATAAAGAAGACAACGACGACGACGATATGTGGATGTCTGTATCCTACGACAATGCACCTGAAGAGGATAGGCCGTTGACATGGGAAGCACATGAGCCAGGAAAGCGATTTCTAACCGAGATGCCACCAGAGTGCTATGAATCAATCTATCAACGGTGAGTGTGAGAGAGATCCATTCTCATTGTATTACATCATGCTGATCTTCACCTATCGTCATAGCTTTGTGCAACGTCCCTTCTTATTGATTCGAGAAGAGCAATTGGTAGAGGTAGGATGGATATAAATGGCGTGTCTTTGGATAATGGGAGGAGGGCAGCAGCTCATACATTTAGAAATTAGAGTCTTGTACAAGCACTTTGTGGTCAACCCTCCATCTGCTTTAGGTGGAACATGAACATGAATATATTCGAACCTCGTGCAAAGGACATACGAATACTCGGTGTGAGCTCATCGACGCTTGATCAGTAAGGCGAATTGGTTTTGGATTTATACATATGGATTCTCAAGGGTATTGATGTAGAGTGATCCAACGACTTTTGATCTTTGCGACACAAATGCGAAGATTGGAGCGGGTATCTCGTCATTGCAAAGCAAACCCAAGGTAACAAAGAGTGGACAAGAGGAGGGTATATTGGTCATGACACTCACTAAGGGGCATTTTTTCCTAGTTACTATGGCCTCACAGGCACAGCATTTGCTTGTTGTCTAGGCGACCTTCATATTCGATTTCAGCATTCAATATGGACCATTTTCAAGTCGCTGAGCGATGTCACGGTGATGACAGTATACCATTCAGTGAGGACATTGGCAGAAACGGTGGACAACTTTGCCCGCATGATTCATCTCGACGGCTCTGTACCAGAGGTATATATAAAAAGATTGCATTCGTATGTCCGTTGCTCACAACTATCTTATCATAGCATCATGCTCTCTCGGCTTCTGCTATTGAGCACCTGAGCAAGTTTGGATTTTATATACCCTTTGGCAAAGATTTGCTTGTCATGATACACAAAGAGGTCCTTGCTCATGATCTTGCGACGACGGGTGATACCATCTTTTATCGTGATATATGCCTGGCGATCCTATGTCATACAAGCATACCCTACATCACGATGCTCAACCAATGGCTTGGTCTTACGGGAAGGGCAACAATCAATGGAGAGGCTATATTGGATTGGGATGATATTGTGGATGAATCACCCTTACATGATCCATACGGCGAATTTTTCTTACGTGCTTCAACCAAACCTGTGGGTGGATCACATCAATGGACGATCAAGACGGTGACAGCTCCTGGTAATCATTCTGATTCATTCATTCAACGATATCGGGTAAGCATTACAAACAATGTATGTATATACCTTTATATGATCCTAATGTCATTGATATTAGCTGCGAAAAGAAGACAACCTCCCCTACTTTGTTGACAAGGTGCAAGCCAATGTTATTCTTCGTACCGGCTGTGCGTTGCATTTGCTTCGTCGCTTTCAACCAGGACATCCACTGTGTGCTTTGGACGATTCAACACTTCGATTACGTTGGTCTATGAATGAAGCTCAGTATAATGAGTAAGTATGAATCAATCTCCCATGCATCATTTTCTTTTACTCAATGGAATTTGAATATAGACATACAAAAGAGCTACGGGATTTTGCCAACATTGTCCGCCAATACAATACACAACATCAGGTAATTTGATTGTCTTTTGCATAAGGTTGGTTGGTACGACATCTGACATTGGTTGATATAGAGTATGGAAAGGAGAAGTCGTTCATTGTCGCCGACACAATCAGGAATGAATGAAATGCATGACAATGAAACCAGCACCAGCAGCACCTCTATACCAAGTTTGCAACCTTTGAATGAATTGGAATTTGTGAACGACTTTTCAAGGACGCTGGATCGTATCATGTCAAGTCATACATCACTCAACCCGGATCATTTTATACCAACATTGGAGATTATTGTGAACCAAAGCATCCATCGACCTTTACAGATTTGGTGTCCATTGGTGAACGAGTCAGCATTGAGATTATTTACCCATCAATTCCATATCGAAGATCATTTCCGCTTGCTGCAGCAATTCTACTTGTTCGGCGATGCAAATTTCAGAGCTAGTTTGATGAACATGCTATTGATGACGGATGAAGAAGGATGCGGGGTGCGTATGCATGGAGATCAATGGCCACCTCGAGCCTCGGCGTTGAACATGTCGCTTAAAGCGGTCTTGCTGGAAAGTATTGCTCAAATCCCTGAACAAGTGAAGGAGCGTATTTGCAAACCCATTCAAGAACAACAACAAACAGCAGTGACAGCAGCCATGCATCTCGATGACTTGCTTTCCTTTGGTGTAAGAGATACACTTTATGATAGTCCATGGATTGATCCACGGGGTAAGTGAGCGAGTGAGCGAGCGGCGGATCTATACATCTCCATCACACCACGAGGTACTAATATAAGGACCATCCATACATAGCAATCACCGCGTTGGATTTTTTGTTCTTGTCGTATCATGTTCCTTATCCCATCAGCTTGATTATCAGTCCACGTATTCTCGAAAAGTACAATCGACTCTTCACATTCCTGCTGCAGGTGCATCGTGTGAATGCAGCCTCCAAGCATGCGTTTACAAGGCTAGCAAAAACATCATCATCAGCCAACGACACTTTGCATCGGATGCGATTTCAAATTGATCAATTTATCACCACGTTCAGTAATTACATTTTCGACACCGCCGTTCACGCTACATGGCACACGTTTATGCAGCAAGTACGAGCACTATGTGATGATGAAGGGGAAAGAACCAATGATAGCAGCAATCCCTTTACCACGATGGATCCCCTGATGATGGCTGAATATCACGAGCACATCCTTGATCGCATGTTGTATCAGTGCTTCCTCAAACAAAGTCTGCGGGCTGTGCATGGGATCATTCACAAGATTTTCCAAGATGTTTTGGCCTTTTCAAGTGTAGTGGATAATATTGATGATGATGATGCAGCTGATACTTGCATTGAAATCCATGCTGCATTCAGCCAACATGCGGAACAATTTGCCAAAGTACTTGGGAAACTGCACGATCGGGGTATCGGGCGCCTTGGTAATGTCATGAATTCGTACCATGATCACGGCAACTTTGGTCGCTTTGGTGACTTTTATGACAAACAAGAAGCTCGTTCAGATCAAGGCGCTTTTGCTCGTGAACTCTTAACACGACTTGACATTAATGGATTCTACGATAAGGATGATCATCCCCTGTAACAATAAAACTTGTGTATATAAATGTGATCTCGGTGAATGAATTAACGCAATGATATTAGAATAAGTGGTAGTGAGTGGTAGGTGGTACAAAGAAAGAAAAAAAGCAAAAAGATAGAGGTGTAGAAATACATTAGGCTATGAAGGGAGTAGTAGTAGTCAATAGCAGGAGGAGGCGGGTTATACCAGAATTAGAAAGAAAATAAAGATGGGGTAAGCAATAATGGTGAAATTAGATGGCATAGACCTTGTTGGAACTTGGATGCTTATGGTGATGCAAGAGCTTTTTGGCAAAATCCTTGACTCGATTACGCACTACAACAACGTCGTCGTGATAAGGAACAAAATCTGGTGACACCATTAAATCTGTAATTACCTCCGTGCTTTCGCTGGATCTCATTGAACAAAGCTTGTTGCTCTTCTTCATCGCTTGATCCAATATAGCGTACCGAGGGTGGTTCGGCCGAGAATGACACACAACGTCGTCCATCCGGGCTGCTTCGAGAAGACATGATGGTTTCTGGACATGGCATGGATTGAATGGATAAGGGAGATGCACTATGATGCTTTCGATCCTTGTCGTCCATTTGGGGTGGATACCAAGCATCCAATACAGGTAGGGAATCATAAAACGAGCATCGCTTGTCGCTGGACCGAGAAACCATGGATATATGGGTTGTGTGGAAAGAAAGAAAGAATGAGACACAGCTGCAAACGGAGAAGTGGGTTGTGTTAAAAAAGCATTTTCTCTGATCCGCTCGCTCACTGGTGTGTGTCGGACAAAAAAAGTCGAAACAGCAACACGCACACACATCTCCTCCCCCCTTCAAGTCATCCACCCGAGACGCCCGACTATAGTGTAGCACGCTTCTTGGCACTTTTTCTTTTTGAATTTTTTCAACATACTCAAACTAAAACTACTACTATCCAAGTTTGGATTATCGATGATGGGATCTTTGTATTTTGCTCATTGTCAACGGCGGCTGCTACTCTCTTGGCTGACACGCCCCCCAAATTTGGTTATTTCACTACACCCGCCCATGGCTTATTGGTGTATACTTGAAGGGAAATGGGGTAGCTTGTTTTGGGTGATACGATATCAGCGGCATGGATGTGGATGGTTTTTTGTGTATAAAAAGTACCTGCATGGTCAACATGGCAATACATAAGCAAAAGAGTATGGCACTTTACATGGGAAGCGTGAGTATATGTGGTGCATGTGTGTTTGGCATTCCGGAGGTTTTTACCTTGTTCACTATACACTCATCCACGTTTTCTTTTCCTTTTTTGCATTTTGCATGGTGGATCCAAGAAACACCAAAATGCGGGTGGTACACGCAATGATTGCATAACATTGAATGTCATGTATACAGCAAATGAACATACAAGTATGCTTTTTGAAAGATGTTAAAGCATACGTGTTATTGTGTTGTTTCTCTTCTTATACTCTACCCCACTCCTGCTTGATCCCCTTGGGCCCCCCGCACACACCCTTTTAACAACAAAATCTTTGGATTTCCCCTTTCTTCTTTCTCTTGTTCCTCTTACGCTTAATACTCAATTACCCATGGGTAAGCGCTTTTTTCTTTATTCACCACATCCATCATTGACTTCTTGGTATTACATGTAGTTGATCAAGTGAGTGGTGCTTCATCTGGGGTATGTCTTTCAATCACAAAGCAGATTGTGTGGGTTGGTGACACCAACTTTTACATCTTGATAGATCACCGTTGTACGCAAAAAGCTCCAAGGCTATGTTGGATTTGCCAATTTACCCAACCAAGTACATCGGAAGTCAGTCAAAAAGGGCTTTCAATTCACTTGCATGGTTGTTGGTAAGCCATCTTTTCGTCAAAAGAAAGGATCTTTGCTGGACTTTATTTCTTCAAAGAAAGAAATGGAGAATCCGTATAGAGAGGGATGAGAGAGAGGGGTTAGAAAAAAGAAAAGTGAGGGGATTTGGGAGAAAGAAAGAAAAAGAGAGAGAGAGAGAGAGAAGGGATGGTTCCAGTGAGGGGGTCGCTGTGGAATTCAGGAACTCAGCTTGTAATGCACTTGATAGGTGAATCTGGTCTCGGCAAGTCGACCTTGGTCAATACTCTTTTCAATACAGGGCTGTATCCACCCAAGGAAAATGTTGAATTGACCCATGAAACACCCCAAACGGTGGAAATTCAATCAACCACAGCTGATTTGGAGGAAAACGGTGTCAAGCTGAGATTGACGGTGGTGGATACACCTGGATTTGGTGATTTTGTAAATAATGAAGAAAGGTATGGGAAAGGTAATGTTGATGATCTTTTATACCAATGCATGTCTCTTTTCTTTATAGCTGGAAACCGATTCTCGATAATATTGAGTCTCGCTTTGATGCTTACTTGGAACAAGAAAATCGCGTCAATCGACGACGCATGGTTGACAATCGCATCCATGCTTGCATTTACTTTATCATGGCAACAGGCCACGCTCTTAAACCTTTGGATATTGAATTCATGCGTCGGTTACACACACGTGTTAATTTGATCCCTGTCATTGCCAAAGCTGACACTTTGACTGAAGAAGAGGTGATCGCTTTCAAACAACGCATCTTGGCAGACATCAACTATCACAAGATTCAAATTTATCAAGCACCCGTTTATGAATATGATGATAAGGAAACCATTGCTGAAAATCGTGAAATCATGTCCAAGATCCCATTTGCTGTTGTTGGTTCTGACAAGGAATTCGAAGTTGAAGGTGGTCGTCGTGTACGTGGACGAAAGTATCCTTGGGGTGTCATTGAAGTTGACAATGAAGAGCACTGCGACTTTGTCAAGCTCCGTCAAATGTTGATCCGGTAGGACATTTGGTGTGTATATACATAGCAACATGGCCTTATATGCTTCTTAATAGCACCCACATGGAAGAGCTGAAGGAATACACGAATGATGTGTTGTATGAGAACTATCGCACCGAAAAGCTCCAAGCCATGGGTATCCAACAAGATCCTTCGGTGTTCAAGGAAGTCAAGTAAGCGTTGTTTACAATAATTACCATGGATGTATTATACTCATCAGCAACGTTGCTATGATAGCCCGGTCCAAAAGATGGAGGAAGAACGTATTGCTCACGAGCAAAAGCTTGCCAAGATGGAAGCAGAAATGCGATCCATTTTCCAAGCCAAGGTGACCGAGAAGGAACAAAAGCTCAAGCAATCCGAAGAAGAGGTATGTGTACATAGTACATGGATGACGCTATACTTGCTAAACCCTGAACACGTTATAGTTGTATGCACGCCACAAGGAGATGAAGGAGGCTCTCGAAAAGCAGCGTGTAGATCTGGAAGAGAAGAGACGCCGTTTGGAAAGTGGAAGACCCATCACCCCCGAGAAAGTCAAAAAGAAGGGCTTCTCCTTCAACAAGTAATAATATCCATCCCTTTATCTTACTTTTTCCTTTTCCTATCTTTTTATAAACTTGCTATCCTTAATACTGCTTTCTGAGATGGAACGACTTTGGTCTATAAGCGTTTTTAGTATCATGATCCTTGTTGTATGTATAATCCACCCTCACCAAGCTTACCTGACAAATTGATCGAATCCGTGTTTGCTCATGGAAAATCCAAGTCCACTATCCTTTGCACCAACCCAAGCCAGAGCTGGATCCACATAATCACAGCGATTCATGAACCATGTACCACACTCGATTTGATCACCAATGGCTATAGCTCGATCCACATCATTGGTCCAAATGCTGGCAGTGAGACCATACTTTGAGTCATTCATCAGGGTAATGGCTTCTTCATCTGATTTGACAGGCATGATTGCAAGCACAGGACCAAATGTCTATTTGTTTATAGTTTAGCATGTGATATTGATCCAGCGTGGGAAACAAACGCGAGCACATCATACCTCTTCTTGCATGATCTTCATGCTGTGATTAACATCAACGACAACTTGGGGCCCAACAAAGTTTGATCCAGGCTAAATCATGGTTGTGTACATTAGCAACGACCAAAATGATTGGCAATGGATGTACTACCCCTTACCTTGTCTTGTGGAAATACTTGGTCCGTATCAATCAGAAGCTTAGCGCCTTTGCCAGCTACGCGTAACGATGCAAAGTATCGATTAAGATTATGTCACTAGCGTGTTGCGTGCAACTTACCTGCTTCTGCAAGATGCTCACGGACTTTGTCGGCAAATCGCTCATGTGCCATAGGACCCAAGGTTGTGTCAGGATGTTTGGGATCACCCAAGACATATTTCTTGTTGGATGATTCGATAAGTATACAAGTTGTTCATACACACCAATGTACATACCTTGGTTAAAGCCACTGCCTTTTCCACAAAAGCATCGTAAATATCAGCATGGACATAGCATCGCTCAATGGAACAGCAGCACTGGCCAGAATTGAAGAATGCACCATCGACCACATTTTCAACAGCATAATCGAGATCCACATCAGGGAGTACATAGGCTGGATCTTTGCCACCCAATTCCATGCCAAGTCCAATCAACCGTTCTTCATCACCAATAGCCTTCCTGATCTTTTTGCCAACCGCCACGCTGCCCGTAAAGCTGACGTATTCGATGTTTGGATGACGCACCAGGTAATCAGCACCACTATCATCAACGTGAACAGCTTGTATCACATCCTTCGGAACGCCGGCTTCGTGAAACGTCTCAACGAATAGATCAGCACACTTTGGCGTTAAGGGGGATTGTTTCAACAAGACCGAGTTGCCCGCCAAGAGTGCTGGCACCACCGTGTTGACTACAACGACAAGAGTTGATACATTGAGTATGTAAAAACGAGTCTTATTATTTACTTACCCATGGTCATGTATGGATAATTCCAAGCAGCAATGATGAACACAGGGCCAAGCGGTACCTTTCTGAGGAAGCGTTGAATCTTTGGACCATTCTCGATACATTCATCGGCAAGGCTTTCTTCTGCCACAGAGATCATGTAGCCTGCACGCTCCAATACGCCATTCACTTCTCCATTGCCATAACGCACGGGTCGACCCATTTCAGTCACGATGGTCTCTGTCACCTTGTCCTTTTTTTGTTCAAACACCTTGCAAAACTTGTTGAGGATGGCGACGCGTTCAGCAACGGATACATTGCGCCATGCATGAAAGGCTTGAGTGGCTTTGGCAACAGCAGCATCGATTTCAGCTTTTCCAGTGGTCATGCTTGATAGATAGAAAAAGAAGAAAGGTTGGATAAAAAAAGAACGTGTGAACAACAGCAGCTATTTGAATGCTGAAGCTTGAGTTGTTGAGTCATGCAGCCTTTGTTTTGGATCCTGCAAACGCTATTTATGAGCTATACCCAATATGACAGTTTCCGTTATACACCCCAACTCACACTCACCTTGTCTCTCTTTCACCTTGACATACTCTTCATGTTGAAATGGAACGCATCTTCAATACACGATTTCTCATTGTCAGCCTATGCACCGTCTTTTTTATCTCATTGGTTACCTTGATATCAAGCTTGTTCCCCATTGAACGGTGGCCACTCGATCGCTTCAGTCTAAATCCCGGCAATGAGACATGGACAACCTACAACCATGAGAACAACGGTACCTTCCTATCCGAAACGGCTGTTGATAAGGATGATGGTGGCGGCATGGCAACAGAAGAGGCTGCTGAGGATTTGGTTCATGTGGAAACAGCACCCACCAAAGCCAGCGAGTGGAAACCCAAGCAATTTGACTACCCCGAGCCCATTATCATGTCAGCTATTGAACGCAACATACGCAAAGAGAACAAGGACAAGATCTTGTTAACAGCAGTGGCCAATTCGGGTATGAGCGAGTATACATTGAATTGGATTGCTTCATTGGAGCGCACAGGCCAAGATCATCATTTCCTTGTATTCGCTATTGATGCCGAATTGACTACGATCCTGCAAGAGGCAGGCTATGGCGATCATGTGGTCACGATTCCCAATACCTGGTTTCATAAGGCGTTGTCCAGTGAATTCTCTAAATGGCTTCAAGGCGGATATACACCCATCACTCATGCCAAGACACTCGTCGTTGAGAGATTGCTCTATGTGGACATCACCGTTTGGTTCTCTGATATCGACTTGGTCTTTGTATCGGATGCTATCTACTCGTACCTACTTCAAAAGCTCAATGCACGAGGCAGCAAAACGGAGACTCTCTTTACACAAGAAACGGAGCAAAGGATCGTCAATTCAGGTTTCTACTTGATGCGGCCTACCAATACCAATAAGCGCATCCTCGCAGATACAATCATGATTCAAGACAACGAGCCCAAAGTCACCCAACAACGTGCTATCAATCGTGTATTGGATGACATGGATCTATCTTATCAAACCAGCTCCATTGCATTGCTCGAATTAGCACTTTTTCCACATGGACGCTTATACTTTGAACGCAATATCCCAAACCGATACGGCTTTGATCCAATGATTGTGCATGCAAATTATCGAGTGGGAGATCAGAAAAAGGAGGCTCTCAAAAAAGCTGATCTATGGTACATATAGCTATATCCTCCCCTCTCTCTTTCTCATTCATCATCACATGATTCATATGCAGTATACCTCCCACAATATAAAAAAACCATGTATGTTAAGCAGTGCAAATCGGGGGTTATGGGTATTCAGGAACATCACATCTGGAGAAAACATCATTATAGTGAAAACATTTGATCATGTTGAAAACTCGAGTACATGGGGAAAGGGGAACATTATCCAATAGAGGGATGATTAATCGATCTTGGTAATCTTCCACAAGAGGCTCTTCTTATCAGTGTCGACCTTGCATTTAGTAAGCTTGGTGCCACCAGAGATAGTCTTGCTATCAATGCAAGTAGGAATCATGTCAAACAAGTGAGAGGCCGAGATAATCTTGAAATAGCCATCGTGCTTTGGATCAGGGACAGCAAGCCACAATTGCTTTTCAGTAACAATAGGGTCATAACCACCAGTGTCATGTTTCTTGGTATCAGTCTCGCATTGCCAGAGCTAAATCAAGTTGATGGATGAGTATAATTTTGTGATGCCCCGATTGTTTTTCTCCTTTTTCGGAGAGATGCCAATTTCAAAAAACTCACCACAGCAGCATCGGGGTAACCGCCTTGGCCATCACCGACAGTCTATATAAATTGCATAGGACGCGTGAGTATGAGTTGGCATGTGTATTAGGCGTGGTGATATAGTTTTTTGATCTGTATTTACCCAACGTGTGGAAATGCACTTTTCGTTGCCGGCCTTATTTTGACCTCGAGCTGTCCAATATTTGGTAGCCTTGCTCTTTTCTTCGTGCTTACGGATCTCCCAAACACGAGGATGATGGGAGGATTTGGGGACAACAAGGTTGCCTTCGCTAATGAATGAAAGGTATTGCTTGCTGGTAGCCGACTTGAATACATAGTTGCCAGGGCTGAGCGTCTTGGCAGCATCGTAAATAGCGTTTCCATCCTTTTCACCAGTATCGCTGACGCCCTGAGCAGATGTCAAGGCAGCCATTACGGCTACTACAAGCACAAAATAATAACTAATGGAAAATGAATGGCGGGGCATCCTCTTTAAGAGAAAGTAAAAATTGGGGAAAAGAAGAATCTGCTAAAGGGCCTCTCAAGCTCTTTTCATTTAAACGATTTGTCCACTGATGCTTGATGTTTCACAAACTAATATACAAATGCTGCTTTGACTGGCGAAGCGTAACCGATCCAAGCTTTGGGTACACACACGAATAATACGCTTTGGAACCTGCAGCTCGTCTGCTATAGTGATTCTTCATAACTCGTTGAATAGTAGGGTGGAATGGATTTAATCCATGGTCTATTTCGGGCTTGACGTAAATGCATTCATACTTACAGCGTTTGCAAGTTTATTGTTGATGTCGTCAATCAAGGTTTCTATGGAGAAAATGATCGGAGACGATTCTTAGCAGATTGTTGCTTGTACCACGGGCATTGTTTCCTCTGTTGGCTCATCACGTTATCATGTCATCCACTCAAAATACAACATTGCATCGTTATTATCCCTGGTTGGGTATCAAAGATACCATAGCATATTCGGTAAGAACGCTTAATTGACCTTTGTGCAATAGTTCCCCAGGATACACAACCATGATATCCCACATTTTGCACAAAATGAGCATTTCTGTCGCTGGTAGCTGACAGAAATGGAAATCACTCGTTTAGGTAAAATGCAGTAACAACCATCGTCATCATTCTTTTCCTCCTATATAAAATGAAAATTTCACTTCCTCCTATTTGGTATCTCCTCCTCCTATACCCACATGTCCGTTGATTGAACAAGCCGAAGCAAAATGATACCACATTTCATTGGGTGCTTGGTTCATTGTTATAAGAACAATGGATACCATCATGGGGGTTGTGTGCCGGCATTGTCAAACGTTAGCCAATGAGCAATGACGCATGCAATAATTGATAGTTTATTGGGCTCAGGCCATCAGTGATGATGAATGAGGACCGGTATATCTCTTACCCTTTCAATTCATTTGTATACGTTGATTACGTCCCTTATAAACATGTCAGCTTTTTATTTTGAAGGACGATGGATTTAAAGGTGAGGAGAATGATGATGATGAAACATGATGGCTAAAATGGTGGAATTGCCCATATAATGCGTATGCACGATCCTGTCGTAATCGATCGGAGAGCAACTTTAAAAGGTAGAATGCAGGAACGACAAGCTCTTGAACGCCATCGGTGGGCGCCCATCGGAATACGGGTGCAGCAGCCGATTCAAAAAGTGAGGTACATACATGGCTGCTGCTGCTGCTGCTGGGCTTGTAACACAGCTAAGGCAATGGGCAATAATACAGCCAGCTAATTGAGCACTTGCCTACTTTGTCGAGGTGTCCCTAGCATGATACGAAGCAACATGGGGAACAAGGTCATCCATCCACCAATGAAGATCCACTGCCCATTTCTCACAGTATCAAGCATGAATGATTTATTGGCTCTTTGTTAGAGTAAAAGTAAACAACAACAACATGAATACATGATCGCGATAGTGCGATGATGAGTTATAAAAAGATGGGCTTGTGTTTCCATTCTCGGACGTTCATCTCAAAATAGGTACATCGCTTTTTCGTTTCTCGACTTTCCCGCTCCTGCTGCTGTTTTCTTTCTTCTTTACAAACGACCAACACACGCACACATACACTTGCTGCTTGCAACGACCATTGTCAATCCCAACATCCTCGTCCCTTGTAGCACCCTTTGCATTCAACCTATCCATTCACCCAGATCAGCCTTTGAATTCGAGGACTGGAAGAAGCAGCAACAATGGTCGACATTACCTTTCAATTCGACGCATTCAACTTTGACGGCATTTGCAAGACCGTTCAGTTAACACTATGTCCCATCATTGGCAGAGATGAAGGCATAGTGCCTGTTTGCTATTCACGTAACGTGGAGCTTGCCGATAATCTCATTTTCCAACCAGGTAAAATACCGGCCACATGCCGGTTGAGAACTTTCGCCCCCCCCTGAAAAGGCTCGACCTGTACTAAATCACTCTATTAGCCACATTGATCATCGATGTTGTCGCTATCATCATGGTGGGCTTCATGATCTATCACATTCGCTCCAAGTACACAGCAGTTGGTATGACGACTTTGATATTGATCACAACCAAAATATCTAATGTATGTCTTTTTACAGGTCGCAAGGAGATCGTCATGTTCTTTTATATGTATCTATTAACGTTGATCCTCGAAATGCTTCTTCTTACTGGCATCATCCCTATCTCATCACCCGTTTATCAAGTAAGTAAATCATGTCATGGGTGTATGCCAAGGTGGCTGATCATGTATCCAAATATAATAGTGGTTTACGGCTATCCAACTTGGTCTGATCACATCGTCATGGTGGTGTCTCATGTTGAATGGTTTTGTTGGCTTCCAATTCGCTGAAGATGGTACACCAATGTCACTTTGGGTAATGTGTTTATCAAAAATGTATTGCAAAAGGGGGTTGATATGCTAACTTGAGAGTACATAGTCAATCCGCCTCAGTTCGTTGATCATCTTTTTGATTACTGGATTCATTGCTATTGCTACGTTTGTTGAACTTGGACCTTTCTCTCATCGGAGTCCTGGTGCATTATGGGTGTTTTATATCATCATCAATGGTGTCTTTTTCATCACCTATGTCATCTCCCAAATTGTACTTGTCTTGAGATCGTTGGATGATCGATGGCCTTTGGGTGATATCTTGTTCGGCTTTTTGTTCTTCATCTTTGGACAAGTGCTCATGTATATCTTCTCGGTGGCCATTTGTGATAATACCAAGCATTACATTGATGGTGCGTTCTTCAACACAATTTGTACTTTATTGGCTGTCATGATGATCTACAAGTATTGGGACTCTATCACCAAGGAAGATCTCGAATTCTCTGTGGGTGCCAAGCAAAATGTGTGGGAAGTCAAGGAATTGATGGCAGAGGATGAGCTCAGCAGTCATCGCAATAGCATGACACCTCTTCAACAGTATCCTCCATTTGGACGGCCGGCATCTGGTGTACCCATGCAGCAATATGGCCAACAATACCATAACCAATTCGATTAAGAAGAGAAAAACTACTCCAATCCATTTTGCATTGTCATTGTCTTTTTGTATTATCTACATATCCTTGTTCGTACATAAATAAATCTTCGCCCCCATACAAGCTGCTGAGTGTAACTTTTCTTCTTGTGCTGCTATTCTCTTTCAATGGACAATGAGTGGAAACCCAAGTCGACTACCCTCTCGTTATCGTTAAAGAAACGACGACCCAAATCAACAACAAAAAAGAACGCATCACAATCCTCCTCACAGTCCTCGCAACGGTCATTGACCTCGTTGTCATCGATCCCCTCACCACCAGTTGCACCCCAATCGCCAATCGCCCACCGACCACAACCACCACAACCACCAAGTGCTACACAGCAATCGACCAGTTCCTTGTCAACAGAATCGAGCCATTTGCAAGACTATCAGTGTCCCCTATGTAATAAGGACTTGAGTCACTTAAGGTCCAGTTACCTACGACAAAGCCATGTTGACAAGTGCTTGACTGAATCCGCAGCATCCGAAACCAACACACAGCCGACGCCATCCAGCCAAGATGAATTCATGTATTGCATATTCTGTGGAAAGGATATCAGCTCATATCAAGGATTACAAAAAGATATTCACTTTGGCAGATGCTTGGATCAGCTGGGTGAAATGGATACCTCTTCCTCCACATACGCCGGCAATACTGTTCCATTGATTGACGAGCTTACCACATGTCCAGTGTGTCATGAATCAACGCATTGTAACCAACGAACAACTACAAAACGCAAACTCCAGCATATCAAAACATGCATGAGATCCAAGAATATGAGCATGAATACCTTGTTGCAGAAGCTGCGTTGGATACAATGGGGACATAAACCTATTGAGCGCACACCAGCACCACCACCAGCACCACCATCAACCATAGCTCCACAACGACCTACCACAATTCATGTTACAGAAGTTGCCGAGGGTGATGATGACTTTTCCACTCATGTCATGTTCCACCGTCAACCCAACGATCCACGTCAACAACGAAATCTAGCAGCAGTAGACGCAATGGATGAAGACCTACAATTGGCCCTGGCTATCAGTCGATCACATGCAGAGATGGAACTCAATAGCAATATACACCAAAGACCTTTGAATATCATCGATCCCAATGAATCTCGTCAAGTGGCCAAAGCCAAGCTGGACACCCTCTCTACACATACGCCCAATGCATTGATCAAGTATAATATAAAGCCACTCTCCCCCTCCAAATTACAACAAAGATCTTCAGATACCACTCCCTATTGGGATCTTGCCACAACAACACATAAGCAAGATTGTACATATTCATCAAAGTTTCTAATAAACTTGCATCATCATCCTTCTTAAGCACATAGCTTTACTTAAAAGCCGATTCATGCTCGAAGATGTGGGATCAAATTGTACTTCATGGCGAAGCTTTCCATATCCAAGTACTCCAATACATGATACGTTAGGTAGATTGCTGGTCAATAAAGGAAGCTCCAACAGACCAACAATGGCGATGGTTGATACTTTTTGTGCCTACCATCCAGCACAGAATCTATCGCCAAGAGCGCCATTTGAGCGTGTTGTTGTCAAAGTTGTTCGTAACGCCTCTGATGGTGATAGATTTGTTTTAGCTTTCGTGTTGTGTTTCACATTGTGATATCTTGTTGGCCTTTACCACCATATCAATACCTTTGAAATCAATATCCTCGTTTCCTTGATGCGGATGCCTGCTATCCAATCATTTTGATACTTTGACAGAGGCAGAATGCATCTATCATAGCATGAAAGTGTATAGATCCAATAGCTTAAAGTTTCTAGAAAGAGTTATCCAAGTTTCACAACAAAGACGTGTAACAAGATGACTTCTGAGAACGTGGTACCTGATATTTCAGAAGAAGAAAACTCTTAAAAACGCTTTTCTTTTCGATCGCTCGAGTTATATATATACCCTTTACCTGCTACCAACCTTCGTAATAGATTCGAGAACAAGTTTGCACCAGGATACCGCATGTATACGAAAGCCCTGGCTCTACTCATTAGAAACATCGGTGATTCTATCTTTGGATTACTAGCCGTGGCCCTTTTAGTGGTACTGTCAGCAAAACAGCAAACCCAAGTGGTAGCCACCAATCCTCCAAGAGCATATGGTAGCCGTACGTAGTCTTTTTTGACACTTTTTTACATGTAGCCCTACCTATCAGCCTGAAACGTATACTAATCTTTATATTGAATAAGGATGTGTCTATGTGGATTACACCATATACTGCTACGGCGGATCGCAAAGCTACCTTGACGACTTTAATGTTGACCTTCAGGGCACGCAGCAGTTCTTTTCTTTGAATGTTTCAGGGCCAATCAATGCTGTCGATAATGCCTCCTCCTGGAGAATGATCGACCTTAAGGATCAAGCTATGCGACCAGAACCTAACATGTTCTTCTTTATGGATGCAATGGATACGCCAGAGCATAAGCTCTTTGTCATAAGCGGTGGTGCTGGATCAAGCTTTGGTGGGCCCGCACTTGTGAATCCACTGATATACTACGACGTCCAAACTCAGCAATGGAATAGTATTGATTCATCAAAAAATCGTACTCAAAGGTATGAAATCGATTACGGTCTTTGAGAATCTTAAGCTGATTATGTTCGCAATGATGATGATGACCAGGGTCTTAGGTTCAATGATATTCGACAAAGCTGGAAGCGGTGATCGATTCTTTGTGTGGGGTGGTGATAGGTGAACTTCAATGCAACACCAACAACATCACATTAGCTTAAAATTTATACGTAAAGGCAATTCCTTTTTTATGCAGATCTATGTACTATGTGGGATATCAAGATGGGACTTCAATAGACATGAACATGTCCATATTGACCTATAATGATGTAAGGAAGCACATCTAAGGGCGGCATGGAAACAGCAAACGTTGGTGTATTATTTACAAAGGACCTCCTATGCTATTGTAGTGGAGCTGGACATCACCGACAAATACCCTTCCAACCAATTCTCATTATGCTGTACGCCCTAGGACTCAACATGCAGCTGCACAAGGTGGAGATGGAAGGATCTATATTACAGGTGGTCTGCAAACAGGGGAAAATACCAGAACAGAGGAGAATAGCACCATCGGCTTATTAGTTTCGGCATCAATGGCAGAGACGCTAGTATACGATGTTAATACTGGTTGGAGCATTAAGCCGACCGTTGGAGACATACCAAGCCAGCGCATGTACCATTCCATGGTTCCTGGTGAGTTGTATGCGATCCATTAACAGCAGCAACAATCACCTCACGAAGGAACCCATAACAGCCGCTGATGGTAAATCCTTCTTTTGCTATGGCGGTTCCGATAGTAAGTGGATTACTCTCCATCTAAAAAAAAAGACCACGCTGACATGGTATCATTTGGGAAAGCATCTTCAATTTTGAGTAGAGATCATTTACCTGTACCAAATCCTGTGCACGATGTTGCCTATATTTTGGATATCTCTGATCCCGAGCGACTGGAATGGAAGAATGTTACCGATATTTTCATGAGAAGCATGGGATCGTCATCCTGGAACTCGGGGCGTTATCTTCGTTTCCTCCACTCTTGTAAGTATAATGTTGTACTACAACAATCGAATCTTGCCAATCCTAGATGCTTATTTCTTTTTTGCTATAGCTATTCTCTTGAACAACAAAAGCTTGTTCGTCCTTTTTGGTGCCAACAATCAAGATGTCCAAACAGATTTTTTCATCATTGATACCACAACCTGGAATCTAACCAATTCTTTTGATTGGATCACCGATACCAACAATCAATCTGGTGATAATGATAGGGCGTCAGCAGGTGATTCCATTTCAGGTGGTACTATAGCAGGCATCGTTATTGGATCGATTGCTGCCGTATGTATTATGGAATGTTACTGGTTCATGGACGTTGTTGATGTATGCTTACTTGACGTTGACGTTGTGTATAGGTTGCTATCATGATTGGTCTCGTTTCCTTAATCATCTATCGAAAGCGGAAAGCGAGCATGGACAAGCATAAACCAAATGTTGTCACCGCTAGCTATAATGATTCCAATAACCGAACACCAAACACATCTTCTTCACTAACTCTCGCCTTAAACCGCTCCTATAACATACCCTCAAATCCCAATGTACCCACCGTAAAACCCCATTCGGATGAGATTTTCAAGATAAAGGCTGTCAAGCCGGATGGCGAATAAACCCAATAATGCTATTACAAGAAGACTTGTGTTAAAAGTACGATGCATCCAGCTAAAAAGCCATTATCTGCAATAAGCATCACTCACTGGCGCTGTACACAATAAATAGACGTATTCATTTGTAGTTAATAGAGGACTTCTAACATCGGCTATTGGATCAACGCGATAACTTTATTTATGATTTGTCACTCACGAAACAAAGCAATGGTAGGTAGCTTTGAGCTTGTATTGTCTTGTATATCGGGGTGGGTAGGTGGTGGGATACCAAATATAGTCACCTGGCAATCAGCGACCGCCGCCCGCCGGCAGCGAATTTTACAGGCAAGCCGTGGTTCAGGCTATCCTCCTCTTTCAAACTCCCAACACCATGGTCAAGTTCATCAAGGCTGGTAAAGTAAGTATCAGGGGTGAACAAAGCGGCGTAGGATGAATGGATGGATAACGGATGAGGATGGATGAATACGATATCATGGGAGGGGGGAGGATATGCGGTGGTCGTCGACATGGCAACTCATTCTCTGTTCGTTTGCAACATTAGGTTGTTGTTCTCTTGCAGGGTCGTTACGCTGGCAAGAAGGCCGTTGTCGTTCGCAGTATGTATTCAACTTCCCTAATTCAATTCAACACTCGACGCATTGCCGAAAAAAAAAGAGACACACACACACATTCTTCGACTCCCATGATCGGCATTGCGATGCGACACACGCTACACTATTCCACCATGAGACGATTGTATTGAATGCGTTTATTTGAATAATAGACCACGATGAGGGTACCAAGGACAGACCCTATGGCTACGCTGTCGTTGCCGGTGTCGAGCGCACCCCCTTGAAGGTCACCCGTGCTATGGGTAAGAAGAAGGTTGCCAAGCGCTCCCGCGTCAAGCCCTTCATCAAGATCATCAACTACAACCACATGATGCCTACTCGGTAAGTAGTGCTGCTATCCATATTCCAAAAAGGGAGGAGTTCTTACATGGATCTATAGTTATGCTCTTGATCTCGATGCCATCAAGGGTACCGTTGCTTCCGAGACTTTCAAGGACCCTGCTCAACGTGAGGAGGCTAGAAAGGTAAGAAAGAGGATATTGTGTTGATGATGATGGTTCAATCATCTCACCTTGTATTTATAGGTCATCAAGAAGCTCTTCGAGGAGAGATATCAGACCGGCAAGAACAAGTGGTTCTTCAACAAGCTCAGATTCTAAGTTTGTTTGCTTGCTCGTTTGTGAATAAAAATCGATCTTGATTGATCAGTAACCAACAAATCACTCTATGCGATCAATGGCAGGATGTTTGGTATATATACTTTGGAGTGGATTAAAAAGACATGCATGTTACACGTGAAACGTCCACTTTGCAAGGATCATTGTTCTTTAGTATGAGCTACAGCGTAATCGAAATCCTTCTTTTCATCTGTACGAGGGCTGCTCAAGCGTTAAAAGTAGAGAGCATCGTGCATATTACAAAGTTGTCATTGTATCGTGGATCGCCAAAATGCTCCCCCCCCCATAGAATAGGGCATATACAATAAGCGTTTCATGAAACAGCATAGCATGTAGTTTGATCCAAAAAGGGAGTGAGTGAATCATGCACACAAATGGGGCCCACTTGCTGTCGCAGCATTGTTTATAAAAGCGAGCTTCATCATTGTTGATGCAACCTATGTATGTTGACAGATCACGTGTTCGTGCTCCGATCATGTGTGTTGAACGAGATCAGCATCGACGAGAAATAGGATGTATATCAATGGGTGACAAAGTCTCGACTTTTTTTGTTATCATTGCCTTGTAGGAATTATACACGATGAGCAAAACCATATGAAGCCTGAAACGGCGGAGGCGATTACTCAGTAACAAGATGATTACACCGCCAAAAACACCATATACGAATAGTACGTGCTCACGAAATGTGAAATGGGACACCCATTATCGGGCCAACAGCGATAATCAAGGTTTTGTTGTAGCACAGATAACCGCGGGATTGACCGATTGACGTGCAATATTCCACGAAGAATGGTTTCCATAGATACACGAGTTACTACTACTATGGGAAGAATGATGATCCATTATGATTATGATGATCATGATGCTACTATTGCAAAAGAACATGAATGCTACATAAAACACGTAAGGAAGAATGGGGGTTTAGGAATTATCAAAGAGGGATGTCAATTCTCACAAGCATCGTATATGGTAGCTTTTCGTGTCGAGGCAGCAGGTGATTGGAGGATAAGATACAAGCACAATGAAGGTACCAATCCTTATACTGCTACAGCTTACAAATAGGGCTCACGAGGCGTAACCAATCGGATTGATAGCTAAAGGAACTACATTACATGAAAGAGGGTTATGTTAACAGGATGACTACCATAGTTGAATGGAATAGACATAATGGATGATGATGTGGGGAAGTAGGAGGAGGGGGGAAACCTGTTATGGAGAAAAATGCAATGCCGAGCGGCTAATCACGGATAAGAGAGAGCAGCTAACTGATTGTGGGCTACGTCCCTGAGTCAGGTTGGCCACCACCACCAACCCACTTTACTCCGCAAATGGGGGTGCGCATATAAACCGACTTTCGCACGGCTCTTTTTTTGTGTGTCAAACGTCTCTTTTTCTTCTTTCTCCCCTCTCCGAATTGACAATGTTGTCTGCCATTCTCAAGTCGTCTTCTTTGAACCGGTAAATGAACTTGCCCATGGCTCGACCAAGACATGGTGTGTGGTTGAACGAACGCTCATTATGCTTTAAAACAGTGCCGCTCAGTCGCCGCTTGCCCGACGTGCCTTTTCTACAAACTTGCCTATGCTTCAACAAGCATCTCAAGTCAAGCAAACTTCTCAAGCACCCACTGTAAAGAACTTTATTCATGGTGAAATGGTCGAGTCTCAAGCCAACAAGTGGATCGAGCTTCATAACCCTGTAAGTTGTTATTGGTGCTACTATTCAATTTTTCCCCACGCTATGTCATCCCCCATGTTCCACTTACCGAAAATCTTCCCAATTCCCAATTCACAGGCTACCCAAGAGCTCCTTGGCCTTGTTCCAGAGTCAACCATGGATGAACTCAAGGAAGCTACAAAGTCGGCTGAAGCTGCTGCTAAGGAATGGAAAAAGACCACTGCCTTGCACCGTCAACGCGTCATGTTGGATCTTCAATACCTTATCCGCCAAAACATGGATCGTCTTGCTGAGAACATTGTACAAGAACAAGGCAAGACCTTTGTTGATGCCAAGGGTGATGTCTTCCGTGGCTTGCAAGTCGTTGAACAAGCCTGTGCTCTTACATCCCAATTGATGGGTGAAAAACTTACCGTGGCCAAGGATATGGAAACCTGTAAGTTAACAATCATTTATGATGAGTAAGCTTACCTAATGGCTGATTCAATCTCTTTGATTAGATATGTATCGTGAACCTTTGGTAAGAATCAATGGGGGAGTAGCACGTGATATGGGGTTTATTGACATGTGCTTTCTTTCTCTAGGGTGTTACTGCTGGTATTTGTCCCTTCAACTTTCCAGCCATGATTCCTTTGTGGATGTTCCCATTGTCGATTGCTGCTGGTAACTCCATGATCATGAAGCCCTCTGAACGTGATCCTGGCGCTATGATGATGCTTGCCGAGCTTGCTGCTGAGGCTGGTGTGCCCAAGGGTGTTCTCAACATTGTACATGGCTCCGTTGATTGTGTCAACTTTATCTGTGATGAGCCTGCCATCAAGGCCATTTCATTCGTCGGTTCGGATAATGCCGGCAAGCACATTTACACACGTGGTAACGCTAACGGCAAGCGTGTCCAGGCCAACCTTGGTGCCAAGAACCATGCCGTTGTGATGCCTGATGCCAACAAGCAAGCTGCTTTGAACGCTATTGCTGGTGCTGCCTTTGGTGCTGCTGGTCAACGTTGCATGGCTCTTAGCACCCTTGTGATGGTTGGTGAGACCAAGGAATGGCTCCCTGAACTTGCTGAACGTGCCAAGCAACTCAAGGTCGGCTATGGTATGGATCCTGAAACTGATCTTGGTCCCGTCATCACTCCTCAAGCCAAGGAACGTGCCGAGCGTCTTGTTCAAAGTGGTGTGGATGAAGGTGCCAATCTCTTGTTGGATGGTCGTGGTATTGTGGTCAAGGGTTACGAAAAGGGTAACTTTGTCGGCCCCACTATCCTCAGCGATGTCAAGACCAACATGGAATGTTACCGTGAGGAAATCTTTGCCCCCGTATTGGTGTGCTTGCAAGTCGATACCCTTGATGAAGCTATCGAGTTGATCAATGCTAATCCCTATGGCAACGGTACCGCCATCTTCACTAACTCGGGTCCTGTTGCTCGCAAGTTTGAACATGAAATCGATGTCGGCCAAGTTGGTATCAACAGCCCCATCCCTGTACCAGTTCCTCCCTTCTCCTTCGTAAGTTGTTACATACGCCAAAATGTGTGATCTCTATACTCATCATCATCTATCATATATAGACCGGTAGCCGAGGCTCCATCTTGGGTGACATGAACTTTTACGGCAAGAGTGGTCTCCACTTTTACACCAAGCCAAAGACAGTGACCGCTTTGTGGAGAGAAGCTGATGCTACTCACTCTCGTTCCAGCGTCGCCATGCCCACCATGTAAAATAGCCCTGTTTTCCCACGACTCATCTCTCCCTTTATCCTTTTTGCATTCCACGCTTTATAACATTAGTTTCCATCACAAATGGATCGATAAATTGTATGCGTAAAAATTACGTTAGATATCTCAATCAGTGTCTTTTTGTATACTACGTCGTCGCCATGGACAACCAATTGCTGTTCCTATGTATGTATCTAGGCAACCCAAATTCATTGGCAACAACTTTTACCACCTCGTTCTAAACGATCATCATCCATCTATGGATGTATGTATGTATGTAGATGCCTTCAATATCCTTGCTCTCCTTTGAGATGATATGCGATTCATGAACCGAAAATAACACGATTCCATCCCCTATATCCCCTGGATCAAATACGCATCTTGTCATTCTGTCATTGTGTGTGCGTATAGAGCACATCATGTGGGAGGATCGTACATGGCGGAGTAGCACTTTTGCATTATGCAAGGTCTAATGATGATCATTCCGTAGTCGCTGTATAGCCATTTTTTGACCATTCTCTCTAATTCAACTGTACCCAAAAAAAAGAGTCTAATACAACATTGCATGTACTAGACATTATTCCGTTTCAGGGGCCATCAATCAGGGGCGGGGGACGTAGCACGTTGTTTTTCTCTTTGTGCAGTAGTCATAGTGTAGCAGCAGCAGCATTGATAGGCAGAGTGAGTGATAGAGTATAAGCAGTGGCAACCTCCTGTAATGTCTTTTTATATTCCATCCCAGTAATAATGATTTGCTATTTCTTCCCCTCGAGTCCGATTCATGTTTTGTGATTTTTTACTTCTTTTTCCATTGCATATCCTCTACTTCTTTCCCTTACTACTCGTAGTGTACATATGATATGGATGCCACTACCACTACGACAACGACGACAACACATAACAACACGGCCAATGCTCAAGAACCACCCACTTTTATCAGCCATCCAAGAGTACCAACAAGCGCCTTTGGCCCGGCCACTATCACTATCATTGTTGCCTTGGTCCTGATCACATGTTGCATCCTTCACTGTCATCGTGTACAATACACTGTTCGTTCCCGGAGGTGGATGAAGACCACATCACCATCCACTGTCGTCGCTCACAATACATCATCAACAGCAACACCACTACCACTACCACGATCCAATCATAATAGTAATCCACATTTTGCATTGCAGCAGCATGGTGAACAATGGGATGATGAGAAATATCAACAACAGCAAGCTATACAGCAACCACAACCTGTCATGATTAAATCACACGGATAAAGCAAAAGGGAAAAGAAAGTAATAATGTGTGTGCAGATCCAGGGTTTCATTTTGATGCGTCATGTCGAAAAAGGAGAGAAAATCGTGCATGTGTGTGATGTGTGTTATCATCCTGAATAATTCTTGGGTATTTACAATGATGATGAAAATTCAAAAACAGGGGAGGAGATGGTGTATGTATATATATCATCATGAAGAGTCATTGTCGCTATGGGGTGGTTGTTGTTGTTCATTACTACAAGTACTGCCAGTAATTGAATCGTGAGGAGAAGCAATTTCATTATCTCCATCAGGTGAAAAGAAAGTAATTTCCTCCGCCTCCTCCTCCTCCTCCATTGTGGTATCATTGTGCCTTTTCGCTTGTGGAGAATAGGTAGTAGCAGTAGTAGCATCCTCGGCTCCAAGGTGGATCAGCTGTGCATCTTCAAACGATAAAGGACTTTGATGATCAACACTAGTGGTAGTAGCAGGTGCATCTCCACTTGAGGAAAGTCGCATTCCAGGGCTGGTGCCAAGATATTGAGTGGGTGTCGATGGTGAAAATGACGTCTTCATTGCACTGGATAGATTATCTTGATAACCAATGTTAACAAAATGAACAGAGTATGGGTGTTCACAAGACCTACCTTTGAGCTCATTCAATGCATTATCCAATGCTTCACCTTCTATCCTTCCTTCTTTACTTGCAATGGCAATACTGGTCTTGCCCACTCGATTCACACGGATGTTATAGGGTTCTGGGATATCACGTTTGAAATCAAGGATTGTTGTTTCTGGTATCATGCCCTCGTTGAGTTGCTCTTCGACGACCTTTTTGTCACCACCAGAAAAGACATGCATGCTGAAACCAGGTGTCATCCATATAGGTTGCTGTTCCATATTATTGATGTCATAGGTTGTGATTTCTGCACAAGATAACCACCCATGTGCTGCTGCTGCCGCTGTTGTGGTGGTGCTGTTTTTTGATGATGATGATATGGTCTTGACGAGGAGGAGAGGTTGTTTGACTTGAGCCCAATCAGGATAGCGAGCCACATGCCATTCAGCCACATCACTTTGTTTGGTAACAAGCTCCAACCTCTCAACAGCACGCCCATGTTCACGTGTTCGTACCAGCGTCTCAGTCATGCAACATCGATGTAATGTCAAAATACCATCCGGATGAATTGAAAAAAGATCGCGATGGGCCACGGCCAAAGGACGATCCTCTTCATCTTCCTCTTGTTGTTGTTGTTGCTCCTCATCAAACCCAAATATACGTGCATCATCACTCCATCGACGACGTCCCATAGCTGCATCCATCATACCCTGACCAAGCTGATTGGCTTGATTCTTTAACCATGGCAATCCACTATAGACTGATGAGGATTCTTTTTGATGACGATGATGATGATAGGGTATCTTTGTGACAGGTAGAAACAAAGTAGCAAGTCGTACAGCTGAATCACAACTCCAAAAAGGTGGGCTTGATAATGCTGATAAAAATGGTGGTGGTGGAGGAGGCGTGATGGGAGATTCAACACCATTGGTGGTGTTGTAAGTATAAGAGGAGGATCGATTGTCCACGTGTCTATTGCTGTCATGAATGTTGCTCTTGGATTGCATAGGATGTCTTTGTTTGATCCGCACCATGGGACCAAGAGATACAGGCTGCTAAAATAGCATTCAATCAATAACACCGCCGCATAATACACATGATCCCACAATGACATTACCGAAACGTGTTTCCAACCATCCAATGTCGTCAAAAAGTTATGCTTTGGATTCAACACCTTGGATTGAGCATGGCCGTGAATTTCAGGTTGTCCACCATAAGGATTAATAGCATAAAGATGAGTCGTTCCTTTGGTCGTCGTGACAGCACACCATAGTGAATCGGTTGCAAATCGGGCATCAGTGACTTGGGCATCAGTAATTCCACGCGATAGCTTGTAGATGACCTTGTTCTCCATCAATGAATAAACATGAAATGTGTGTCCTTGGCTGGATGCAGAAAGTAAAAGCGTGCCGGATGGGTCGAATGTGAGATTGGTGATTGGATGTGTGTGGGGTCGAAAATGAGCAACAATGGGGGTGCCTTGATGTGAGGATGATGATGATGCCTTATCACCCGAAAGATCACGTATCATGACCTGCATGATGCATATTTGATTAGCTCCATGCGCTCAAACGCTCTATCTTGATTGGATGTACATAGGACTTACCATCCCTGAAGGTAAGGATCGTTGTTGAGTACTACTACTACTACTAGCACCATCAAACGATCCACTGCTAATGCTTCCAGTTGTTGCTGCACGTCGATGTTGTTGTTGCTGAAATGCCATATCAAGTGATGATGATGGTGATGGCTCTTGTTGATTAAAGTAATTGGAAAGCGATTGATATCCATATTCGCCCAAAGATCGTACACCACTGACGACTTCTTTGGCAATACCCCTCGCTGCGTCCTTCATCATATCCTTGTCGGTCATATGAACAAAAAAGTTGCCAGAGCGATCTTCTTTAAATGGAACTTCAGTTGTCGTTGCATATGCCAAATAACGAGAGCCAAGGCTGTAGACAGGTCCACCACCACCAGCACCATAACATGCAACATCAGTGAGGGGTGAGCATACTGGTTCAAGCGTGTTGTTTGAGAGGATGTGTAATGTGCCGGTGGTTGGTGGTGGTGGGAGGCGCTCTTTGATGCTGTCACTGTTGCTGATACACCCCTATTAGCCATATGAGTAAAGCGGTTCTCTTCATAAGGGAATGTATGTATGTATGCATACCAACACGATATGTCGATTGTTGCTTTGTATGCTCTTGATACAAATACTCTCGTCGTCTCCCACGTGTTGAAACTCCCGTATGAATTCTTGAGTATGTAACGAATAGAAGCGTACAATGGTGGTGGTGGTGGTGGTGATGATGTCATGATGATGATTGTTGTTGTCGCATCTGGAATGATAAGATATATAAGAAATACGTATTATAATGGTTGCATAGCAATACTACTTACACTAGGGCCAACAAGGGTCGTTCCTTGGAGAATTGATCGTCGTCAATTTCAGGATGCCACAGAATGTGCATGAATTTCACTTTTCCCAGCTGTGATTGTCGCACTGAACATGCCTCGTGTATGTTATCGAGATTCGTCACATCCCAAAGTTGAAATCCATCTTCATATCCCATCAATAGAAATGCACTAAGCACATTGATTAATTGGATGATGATGTTGTTGTTGTTGATTTATAATATGTTACCTTGATGCTCCGTTTCCCTGTACTTGTTGAAATGATGCATACGTCACCTTTTCATGTTCTGATGATGTTGTTGTACTATTATCTTCATGCTGTTCGTGGGTTGTAGTAGATGATGGAAAGGGAGTCGGTTGTTGTTGATTATATCCACCACCACTGTATCGCTTCTTCTGGAGATTGGAAGTAACATAAAGAGATAGCCATGATAAACCGGAAGATAACGATTCAAGAGAAGTTGGATCCCTGGATACATGAGCCTGTGTTAGTTTACATGCAAATACAGGTCTCTCTCTCTCTCATAATCTGCGTCACCTCAAGAGCTTGGCCTCTGCTCGTACACCACCTTCGTTTTCAGTATCATGGTTGTTCATGTCACAAAGTCAAAGGAACCAAAGCACAACAGCCCAAAGATAGACAACCCGTGTCAATGGAGTTGAATGTGCAGTAGATGGAAGAAGAGAATGGAGCAATCAAGGAGATTGGATGAGTGGAATGGGGTAAATAAAGGTTGCCAGGTAGCAGGTTGTACACCCGTCAAGGATGATCTGTCGTAAGAGGGAAGAGAAGGTAGAAAGATTTATGCAGCTGGATCATGCGTGTAAATTTGACCCTCAGTCATCATGGTGCCCATTGACCTATATCACTCTCCCCAACACTCATCCCACACGCCCCACATAGACACACTCATTAGCATTATTGCTTTGGTTTGTAAAAATAGTAATAGCAGTATAATAAAGATACAACAATGATCACTTTTTACAATGAAAATGATTACGATGGATGATGCGATTGATAAACATTGACTACTACTACTACTACCATCACAATGACAAGATTAAAGGCGGGCGGATCACATGACTCAAGCAAAAGGAAGGGTTAAAAAAAAAAGATGTAAAACAATCTGTCGATCTGAGATCCTAAGGGCAAGATGCATTAGTCAATAGCCCGACGGGTTGTTTCAGCATTGTCGAATCGTGGCGGAGATAAGGATGGTGCCTTTGATATTCGCCTTTTGACATAGGTGAGCACGCAATTTTGAGTGGCTCTTAGTGGTTGAATTGAACCCGATGGCGTGCTGCCCAATCAGTGAGATGCTTTTATTATATTTTATTTGTTTGTTGCAAGCAAATCTTCCTCCTCCACACATCTGTCTCTTTCATCTATACCATCATCATGTTCGCTTCGACCGCCTTGATCGCAGCACTCGTCAAGAGCAAGGCATTCCCAACGAACAATGCTCACGCTGGCAAACCTCTTCAGCTCTCACGTGAAGCTGTTGAATCCGTCGCTGAACAATTAAAGAGTTCTTCTACTATCACTGAAGATGCAGCATCCACCGCTGGCAGCCAAACCACCATCGTTGACGAAGAATCAGCTCTTCAACTTCAATCTCGTATCAAGAACGCCATCGAAGTCTTGTTCCGCAACAACGAAAACGTACGCTTGTTGGATGCCAACCATGCTGTCGATTATGTCGCCTATGGCTTGTCGGATCTCGTTTTTGTGTATCCCGGTCATGCTGGCAACTATCTTGGTCATCAACTCAAGGAGTGGCAAGCATCCATCCGCAACAGCCAAGGCGATCTTGTCAAGGTGATCGAAATGGAAACAAGAGCCGGTGCATTGCAAGCTGTTCAGGGCGCTATTGAGAACAACACAAAGACAGCTTCAGTGCTTACTTCTTCTCAAGCTCTTTTATCCATGATCCCCAACATCCACGCTCTTGCTCTTGCTCGTCAACCTGTTGTATTCCATGTGGGTGCTTTCTCAGTCGATGAGAACTTGGTTGCTTATTCTCAAGTGGATGCTGTCCTTGCTGCTCGCAATTCGGGTGCCATTGTTCTCTCTTCAAGCAACGTTCAAGAAGCACATGATATGGCTATTGCTGCTCATCTCATTGCCAAGGCTGCTGGCTTACCCGTCATCCACTACTTTGATGGTGCTGCTTCTGATATTCAAAAGGTCTCTCTTTATTCATATGAAAAGTTGGCTTCGCTTTCTACTACTACCTCAGCTGCTAATGGTGGTGATGCTTATGCTGTCGTTGAAAGTGTCCTTGGTCAATTTGGTTACAAGGCCTTTGAATATACCGGTGCTGCTGATGCCGAAACCGTTTTGGTATCCCTTGGTGCTTCGGTTGCTTCAGTATCACATGCTGTTCAACGTGCTGCTGCCAACAAGAACAACAAGGTCGGCTTGGTAACGGTGCGTGCTTATCGTCCTTGGTCCGAAGCTGGTTTCATTGCCAGTTTGCCATCCTCCACACGTCATGTCGTTGTCCTTGAACAAACCGATGGCTTGTTTGCATTCAATGGTCCTCTCTTTTTGGATATTGCTGCAGCCATCCGCTTTGGTTCCTTGGCTCGTCAAGCTCGTCCTCGTCTTGTTACTGCCCAAGCTAGCACATTTGGTCACCTTGGTGCCGCTCATATCCCTCTCATTGTCAAGGAGGCTGAAAGCAAGACCTTTGTCGATTTGGCATCTGAAGAATTCTTGCAAGTACAAAACGAGGATGTTGTTGTTGAGGACGGCGCCATCTTTTGGGATCTTGAACAAGACGGCAGCGCTGATGCCGCTACCCATATCGCTCATCTTTTGCATCAAGACAAGAAGGATATCACTTTGCAATCAGCACGTGATGCATACCGCGTGGGTGGTGCTGTTATCAACTCTCGTCTCAACCAAAATGTCGACAGCAAGTCTGGATTCATTGGCGTTCACAACATTGCATTGACCAAGGAGTACGATATTTTGGCATCGGCTGGCAAGAAGGCTACCTTGGTGGTGAATGGTCCTTGGAAGCATGGCGAAGAGATCGAAGGACAATTGACAAACGAGTTCAAGCTGGCATTGACTCAACTCGACATTCAACTATACACTTTGGATGCTGCCTCCATTCTTGAGCAAGTTGGTTTGCATCGCAAGTCGAGCCATGTCATTTGGGAAGCTGCCTATTTAGTGTTGACTCAACAACAACAAGCCAAGGAGGCCACCAAGCGTCTTGCATCCTTGTACTATGAGTTGGACCCTGCTGTGGCTGAGGATGATCAAGGCAACAAGCGTGAGCTCTATTCTTTGGTGGATGAAGTCCTTGAATCCGTTGCCAAGCAACTTGTGCGTATCGAGTTGTTGCCTCCATGGACCATTTTGGAAGTGAGCGATAAGGTGTTGCCTACTCGTCCCATTGCACGTGCCGTCGTTGATGAGGAGGAAGCTGCTGTTGACAGTGACGCTGCCACTGCTGTCGATGAAGGTGAACAAGAATTGGGTCAAGTTGGCAAATGGCATCAAGCTGCCTGGCAAGTCATGTTCAAGGAAGCTTATGGCACTGAGTCTGCTGTGAGACCTGATTTGCATGAGAACACCTACTTGATCAAGTTGTCCGAGAACAAGCGCTTGACTCCTACCACCTATGATCGTAACGTGTTCCATCTCGAGTTTGATACCACTGGTTCCAACCTCAAGTACGAGCTTGGTGATGCTCTTGGTGTGCATGGTCACAATGACTACGATGATGTTATTGCTTTCCTCGAATGGTATGGTCTCAAGGGTGAAGATGTGGTCACTGTCAACAACACCGATTTGGGCAAGAAGGAGACTCGCACCATTTTCCAATTGTTCTCTCAAACCTTGGATATCTTTGGTCGTCCATCCAAAAAGTTCTATGAAGCCCTTGCATCGTATGCCACCGATCCCAAGGAGAAGGAGCAATTGTTGTTCTTGGTGTCTTCTGAAGGCAAGGAGGAATACAAGAAGCGTGTCGATGATACGGTGACTTATGAAGACTTGTTGCGTGAATTCACCTCTGCCAAGCCCCCTGTGGAAGCTCTTGTCAACATGATCACCTCCATCAAGCCTCGTCACTACTCGATTGCCTCGTCTCAAAAGATGCATCCCAACTCTGTGCACTTGTTGGTGGTTGCTGTCGACTGGGTGAATGCTGCTGGCAAGAAGCGCTATGGCCAATGTACTCGTTATCTCGCCAACTTGCGAGTGGGCTCCGATGTCACTGTTTCTATCAAGCCTTCGGTCATGAAGTTGCCTCCTCTTGATGAACAACCTGTCATCATGGCTGGTCTTGGTACTGGTATGGCTCCTTTCCGTGCCTTCATTCAAGAACGTGCTATTGCCAAGGCTGCTGGTCGCAAGGTCGGTCCTATGGTCCTCTACTTTGGTTCGCGTTATCGCAGCATGGAGTACTTGTATGGTGAAGAACTCGAAGCTTACCACGCTGATGGCTTGTTGACGCGCATGGGTTTGGCATTCTCACGTGATGGCAAGAAGAAGGTCTATATCCAACACAAGATGATGGAAGATGCCGAGTTGCTCCATGATTACCTCGTCACTCGCAATGGTCACTTTTATCTCTGTGGTCCCACTTGGCCCGTACCTGATGTCAAGGATGCTGTTGTCTATGGTCTCAAGAACTTTGGTGGTATCGATGAGAAGGAAGCTGGCAACCTTATCGAAGAATGGAAGGAGAAGGAAAAGTACATCTTGGAAGTCTACTAATCACCCTCACATACTATCTACAATCTCCCTCCATATCATTTCATAATTCATGTTGTACAATACACACAATATACATTTCTTTGCGTTTATTACTGCATATGTTTCATCGGGCTCATTAATGATATTGGGTGAGGATGATTCCTAAAAAAAGAGTGTTGGATTGAAAAGTGCATAGAAGTCATAAATTGTGCTTTGAGTTTATATAAAGGATCAACGTTTATTATCAATGCCATGTGCAATACACTTTTACATGGATTATCCATTTGACAGGTAGAGTGGGGATTTGAGTGACAAAGGACGAGATTCCCAAAATGGGTATTACCAAATTAGGCCATTCCCTCCGAGGGGTACCTTGAGAGGTCCTTATACGATGAGCTACATCGATGTGCTGTCGCCGCTCAACACCCATCTCAATTCCTAATTGGGATTCACGTCCAAATTGGGCACTGAGCTACAGCTCGCTTTTCCCAGCCAAAATTGCGGACCACAGCGATCATGAGAGTGGCTCTTGAGAGGTATCCACTTCTCCTTCTTCCCCTAATATGGATGATCCAAACGAACAACATAAAGTGTGACGACGATACGTGGCCTTTAAAAACTTTTGTTTCTCTTTTATTCCTCGTTTCATTGAATCCAAGATGCTTAAAACTAACAACAAGCAACCTATTCCTGGCACGTCTGTTTTCTCGCTTGCTGAGTTACCTTCCGCTGACACGACCACCACTCTTGCTTCTTCAGGTACACCCTATAAACAAACACGTCATTCATGCAACTTACTTTAACGTGTAAATCGTAGATGATCAAACGCGTCATTCAAATCATGAAGATGGAGCCACTCATCATCCTGAGAACTCTGCGTCATCCAATGTTGAGAACGATGCTGCAAATACGACACCTCCTGTTCGCTGGGGACGAGAACGTACAGAGCTATTCATCGCCATTATGACTGAACAATATCCAAAGATGCTTCTGAATGATGATCCATCGGATGATCTCCCGATATGGCATGATGTTGATAGATTGTTTCGCGAGCGTATCGAAAACGAAGAAACGGGTGATGATCCTCAAGCATTCCTTTCCAACATCAACATGCGGCGGCTTCAGAAGAAATGGGATAAATTGATAGATCGATACATCGACTATCATAGCCGCAATAACATAAAGGGTGTTGGTGGTACGCATCCAAATATCACATGGCCCTATTTTGATGCGGTTGGCAAGGCTACCAAAGACGATCGCACGGTGTATCCAAGATATACGATAGAATCTCTGCGCCCTGACGGTACGAATGGAACGCATGTTACTATTCTGGAAATCGAAGATGAACCACCACAACAACAGCAACAGGAGGCGGATAATACACCTACTACTCGAAAACGCGGTCGTGATGACAATGACAATGACGACGACGACGACGTTATGGTCCCTCTCAGTCAGGTTCGCCGTCTACTTGAAGAATCCACCGGAAAGCAAGAACAAATGTTTGAGGACTTTCTCGCAAAGATGGAAGCCAGGAATGAAGAGGCCCATCGCATGTATCTTGAGAAATTGCTTGAAGTGGAAGATCGACACGATCGTGAGTGGAAAGAATTGATGAAAAGGCAAGACCGGTGTCATAAAATGCATATGGACGAACTCGAGCGGACGATCAGTGCTCTAGAAAAATGCTGCCAGGATGCTGGTATCCCCATTCCACCAAGTAAAGACATTGGCGATGAAGATGATAGCGATAAAAGAGATCCAACCCTCAGCAATAATGATAAGCAGTAAACCCGATCACCTTTGACACACATGTATATTACTACCATTCATCATCATCTCGCTCTTCTTTCTTTTTGATCCCCTTCTTTAAATTAAAATTCCAAGCTGCATACTACTACTACTTCCATCTTCTTAATCGATTGCTGTACGCCAATGGTATTGTCATAAACAACATGTTGTGCCTCCCCCAAGAAGTGCGTTTGGGATGCTACCTTTTCCATGGCTGGGTGGGTGGATTTATCAGTGATCGATGTGCCAGCTCCTTTGACCTGCTAGTATTCTAAGATGCTTGACCACTTTGTCACCTCATTCAATCACGACCTCCTTTTCTTGCATCGACAACAACTCCCACGCCCAGCCCACGTACATAAAAGCAATGTTGTTGTCATCATCACCATCACATCTCTTTTGCTTATTTGATTGCATCCTCCACCAAAAATGCCTTCCGGTACGTGTCAAGGATAGCTTGCTGTGTAATCCCATGCATTGAGGATACCCATTCAATGACCTTTGTCTCCTACGTAGTCCATCTTTGTTCCATCAACAATTGCTCTCATTGTTCCCTTTGTGACATTTGATCCCGTTTCCTGATGGGTCCTTTGTGATAGAAGTATGATAGATTATCATTTCTCCTCTTTCTTATTATTAGCTTCTTGTATTGATATCCATTGGAATAGTGATCCATTACCTAAATGGTCCATATCCCTCATACGTTTGCAAGAAGAAGAATACAACTTCAACCTTTTGTTGGCCCATACACCATACCAAGCACCAGCAACAGTTGCTTGGCTAGTGTGGTTGATGTTAATCCCACCTTGATCACCAACGATAAAGGTAACCTATCATTTGGCCGTGAACGTTTTTAGGGATCTCAGCCTAATGCATGCGCTTTATTACAGTGTACGGTACACTCATTTGTGGTATTCGCTATCGAAGAATATGGCGCTTTGTTACAAGTCATAGTAGCCAACAACGAAGCCGTGGGATTTGATGTCATCGCCATGGCCAGGAATGACATGGCGCGTCTTTGTCTGCAAGTTGGAAACATCACGTACCTACAGCGCTGATGGTTTTTCTTCTAAGTTCTATGAGAGTGACATTCATCAGGTAACTTTCTACGGTGTTACAAGACATGCATACCACGCTAAAACTGGTACATCAGCTCTGCTAGCCTCTTTGATAAAGATGGAATTGGGCAGCTCCGCGTTCCTGAAGGAGCATTCAGTTCGTACATCAGAAGGAGTGCGTGCAACAAAAAAGGTTGGTGCTGAAGACACCAGGATGAAACAATACTATATCGGCGGATCATCTATCAAGACGACAGCACGCTTCGCTGGAGACCTATCCTTGCCGATCCAGCTTTTGAAAGCACAATAGGTAAGTGACGACGATCAAAACCTTAAACCTTCATACTGAGCGTATGATATCAAATAGCGTGCTTTCAAATCTTACAATTGACTCCATACGGATGGGACAGCCAGCTCGTGGTACTGAATTCACCATTACTAATATTCGGCAAACATCAAGTGGTGCAGTGCGAGGATTACTATGGGTACAAGGCACAATTGCATTGTTGCGGTCATATACAAACTCACAAGCATCATGGGATGCATCATCACACGCGATCAAACACCACCCAATGTCCATACGTTTGGCGACACATACAACATTTTCATATGGCTCCAACAAGACGAGAACAACACATGCTTGCACTCGAAGCATTAATGCCAATGAAATACAACCAAGAGGCTATTCCTCTCGCAAGAAGAACAGCAGCATCATTGGATCATAGAGATTTACCGGGGAGACTACATGTAAATGAATCACTCTCTGAATAAACTCCAAAGGAGCGGGCGGGGTATTATGCCTTCCTCTCTCTCTATGCGAACTTGCTTGTCATCCCCACCATTTGATAATTTATTCTCACACTACTTCTCTCTTTGTCTTTTCACTCTTTCTCAATGGCGACACAAACTATCGCCAAGTCTCAGCAAAGCCCTGAAGCTGATCTTGGTACTCAATGGCCTGACATTCGACAACGAGCACGCTCAGCTACGTCTGACAAGCAGAGCACGACTTCAGACATAACAGCAAGAGACGACACCAACGACGACGACACCAACGGCTCACCAACGTCGACCAATGAGCAAGAAAAAGCACTGCTACGAAAACTCGATTGGCGTATTGTGCCTTGGATCTTTATTCTTTATTTCTTGAGTGTGGAGGATCGAGCCAATGTCGGTTACGCTATGACCATGAACAAACAAGAGGGCCATGATCTCGCCACCACAGCAGGGCTTACTGGTCAGGAAAACAATATCGGTCTTGGTTTGTTCTATGTTGCATACATTGTAAGCACAAGCTTCCTGTTGTGGATGGATGTATGTACTCAACTTTTGTTTGTTTCAAAAAGGTGTTCGAGGTCCCATCCAACTTGATCATGGCACGTGTCAACCCGGCTTATTGGATCGCTCGGATCATGATTACATGGAGCATCGTTACCGGTTGCATGGCAACCATCTCACAAGCATGGCATTTTTATTTGTTGCGGTTTTTGCTGGTATGAGGAGGATGTAGGAAGAGTGGGTGGATGTGAAAGGCACGTGTCACTGATTGCATATGGTATCATCATCCAGGGAGTGTTTGAAGCCGGCTTTTGGCCAGGTAAGAGGTCTCATGAATGTTGCATTACTTGTTTGCTGATGAAGTTGTGATTATATAGGAATCAGTAAGTGTATTCGATAGGCATGGATATGATAATGGCCATGGGCTGACAAAGGGACAACAGCTTACTATACCACTCTATGGTATCGACCCAATGAAATATCATCAAGAATCGGTGTCACCTACTTGGCTGGTCCTGCATCAGGTAATGATTTGGTTATGGCAGTTAAAAAGTGGTGGTTGACGTACGTTTGCTATTAGGTGCATTTGGTGGTTTGATATCTGCTGCTGTACAACTCATTGATACCCGAGGAAATCTATATGGATGGCAATGGTAGGTTATGGTTATTCTTCCCTATGGTAGCGATGTATGAATGATGTATCCCACCTAGGCTTTTCCTCATCTCCGGTGTGATTTCAGTCATCTTTGGCGTGGCCACCATCTTTTATTTACCATCCAAGCCTGAGACGAGCAAGCACTTTTTGACCGAAGATGAACGTCTCTTGATCCGTGAACGACTTGCATTAACAGAAGAAGAAGCAGCCATCGAAGACAGCAACGAAGATGAAAAGAAAAGGAATATCTTCTCAAGTGGTGACCTAGCTGAAGTGAAACGCCAATTGATGGATTACAAGGTGTGGCTATTTTGTGTGCTTTACTTTACACCGGTGATGGCAGCTACCTCTCTCGGCTACTTTATTCCCAAGATTGTGCAAGAGATTGGTTCATACACCTCGATCGAAGTCAGCTTGATGAGTATTCCACCCTATGTATTTGGCGGTATCATGGTGTACGTGCTCACTCGGTGCAGCGATCATTTTCATGATCGTGGATGGTTCATCATTGGATGCTCAACAGCAGCCTTTGTGGGATTTTGTATTCTCAGCTTTGCTGGTCCTCTTGGTGCTCGTTATTTTGGATTGATGGTGGTTGCTGGTGGTACTTACCCCACTGTTCCTCTGGTAATTGTCCGATGGTATAGGGTGAAGACCAGCGATGAACTAAAATCACTTTTACGTTGATAGAGCATGGCATGGACGGCCAATTCAAAGGAAGACGGTGTAGCGGTGGCATCCGCAACGGGTATCGTTTCTTCAGTCGCCAACTTTGGAGCCTTGATTTGTACTTTTGCACTCTACTCGGGATGGCCATCAGACGCTCCTCGCTATGTAGGCTCAAACATGATCAACGGTGGTGCAATGCTGCTGGCAGCATTATCAGCAGTCATCCTCAAATTGAATCTGCATAAACTCAACAAGCAAATGGAGGAACATGAAGAGAACTCTGGAAAGCGTAAATACCTCTTGTAAAAGAACACTGTACTTGATATTATTCTAGTTCTATGTGCTAATTATAGAAAGCATTCATCTGATTTTGATATACAAATTATCCATGTAATAAAGGAATGAATAGAGAAGTCTCAAAAGTACATGATAACCATATATTTATCCATTCAAATACAAAAAGTACGAGGTTTAAGGAGGATCTATTTTACACGCACACTGCTTACAAGTGACTCTCCAAGGTACGCATTGACCACTTTTCAGCGGACTCGTCATTGATTTCCAAAGCAGAAGCAAGTACGTCCCAAATATGCTTTGCGTATACGAATGTGATATCTTGCTTTACACTTTCTGGTACATCGGATTCAACATCCTTGCGATTCTTGTGGCACATGATAATCTTGCGAATGCCTGCTCGATGGGCAGAGATCACCTTTTCTTTGATACCACCAACAGGGAGCACTTGTCCACGCAAGGAAATTTCACCTGTCATTGCTGTTGTGGGCTTGACGCAATAGCCTGAGAAAAGAGAGACTAACGCACTCACAAGTGTTACACCTTTAAAAGAACCATTGTTGTCAGTGAGCTGTCACCATCGGTAAATTCCACATGTAATGATTATTACCTGCACTAGGGCCATCTTTTGGAACAGCACCTCCAGGGAAATGGATATGCACGTCATAATTCTCAACGATATTGGTATGCTTGGTGGGTGCGATCTTGAGTGCATATGCATGTGCTTTTACCCATGTCAATGCGATTTGTGCTGATTCCTTGATAACATCGCCCAATGAACCTATTGATGATCCATGTTAGTACTCTCAATGGATGGCAACAATAACTCTATATAATACGTACCGGTCAACTGCAATTCTCCTTTGCCTGGCATCTTTGTCGCTTCCACAAACAAGATTCCACCATTACCACTACCAGAGTACGCCAATCCAGTGACAACACCCGGATAGGGTTCACGTTCAGCGACCTCTTTCTCGAAAACAGCAATCTAAATTTGAATTGTAAGCTTCCCACTCCAATAAAAAGTGTGTGTGAGGGAGGTGACTTACGCCTAGGATGTCTTCGAGATCACTCAGCTTGACTTCAGGATTGTATTTGTCCATTGTACCGGTCTCTTGAAAATCTGCCAATTCAACACATTTTGCTCGCACCACGGAGGCAATAGTACGCTCCAAACTACGCACACCACTTTCCCGGGTATAATTCTCAGCAATCTTGAGTAGGACTTCATCAGCCATAGTCACTTGGTTAGGCTCCAATCCGTGTGCTTTGATTTGTTTTGGGAGTAAATGTGAGCGAGCAATGTGAAGCTTCTCCTCAAACGTATATCCATTAAGGTGAATAACCTCCATGCGGTCTAATAGGGGGCCTGGGATAGTCTCCAAAGAATTGGCAGTGGCGAGGAACAACACATTTGATAAGTCGAATGGGATGTTGAGATAATGATCAGAGAAGCTGTTGTTTTGTTCAGGATCCAAGACTTCCAAGAGTGCAGCAGCTATACGATGATCGATCATTAGTTACAATAGCCTTTGGGTTGTTCATGGTCGTTTACGACGTACCTGGATCACCATAATATGTTGAATGTACAAGCTTATCCACCTCATCTATTTTTAGAAGTGGATTAGAGCGCACGGTTCATTATCACGTGCTCTCATATACACTTACCAAGCAAAAAGAGTGGGTTATTCACGCCACATTTCCGCAACCCTTGAACAATCAACCCTGGCATAGCGCCAACATAGGTACGTCTATCCATCAATGAATAAATAATCCATTCCAAAGGACGAGAACCACAACAACATACCTGTGACCACGCATGTCAGCCTCATCTCTTACACCTCCAAGCGAAACTCTGTGGAATTCTCTGGATAATGACGTTGCAATGGAACGGCCAAGGGATGTTTTACCAACACCAGGCTATTATAAAAGATAAGGCATTGCTCCGTACACTGGATAGCTTGTTCCCCCCCCCCCACACACACACACTTACGGGTCCAACAAGGCAAATAATGGGTGCCTTAAGATCTCCCTTGATCTTGATAACGGAAAGATACTCGATGATTCTCTTCTTGACATGATCCAACCTGAGTAACATCCAAAGTTAGACTCGCATAAAACATGTGGATGAAAGAAAAACACAACTTACCCAAAATGATCATTTTCCAATTGTTGTTTAGCACGTTGAATATCAATCGTTTCATCTGTCTTCTTCGACCATGGCAGGTCTGCAATCAATTCGAGATAGTTGCGTATGACGGACCATTCGCTGGATGATGGTTGTAGCTTTTTGAGTCGTTTGAGTTCTCGTTGCGATACGTTGGCAGCTTCTTGAGGAAGGTTGGCTTCTGTCAATCGGCGGGTCAACTGGGCGATATCATCTTCATCCTTGCCACCTGCAGATCCTTCGCTTTCACCAAGTTCCTTTTTGATGGCTTCAAGCTAAATGAGGGTTCACACGCATTAATTTATCCATTGCGTAATCAGAAACCAATTACGGAATCTCACCTGTTGGCGGAGGTAAAACTCGCGTTGACTCTTGTTGAGCTTGCCTTCGATGCTTGAATGGATTTGTTCAGAGATCTTGAGCACCTAAATGATGAATGATGTGAGTAACAACAGCCTAGTATGATATATATATAAAATACATACATGTAATTGTCGAGTCATCCATTCAGTCATTTTGGTCAATCGTTCCTTTGGATCTGTATTGGAGAGCATCCACAACTTCTCATCAAAGGAAGTTTCAATGATGGAAACAAGCATGTCGGCCAACACCAAGGGAGATACATTGTCAATGAGCTTTGCAAGTTGATCCACGAGCGAGTCTGGCATTTGAAGATCACGCATCTTGGTCAAGAATTCACGGCAAAGCGCCTTGAAAGCGATCGTTTCATCACGCAACTTGTCGTCGATCTTGATTTCCTTTGTGGGCTTCTCAATGTATTTGACTTTGGCAAGCATATTGGCATCATCCTGGATAATACGATCCACATGGATACGAGCCACACCTTCGATAAATACGGATACAACGCCAAGCCCAGATCTCTGAACACGAAGGATACGAGCTGCACAGCCATATTCACACAAGCGTTCCTTTTCACCCTTCTTGACCAAAGCAACAGGCTCTGACTCTTCATGATCGTCCTTTTTTTTGTTGTTGCCTTGAACGACCACGGCTTTCTCTTCTGTCAACGTGTTGGCTTGGGTATCGGCTGCTGGAAGAGGCTTCAAGGGCACACATGCGAGATGAGCTCCTTTACGTTGGTCTGCAGTACGGAAATGACGGCGGGTCAAAGCGGATGCATCTCTGCCTCTCATGGAGATCTTGAGGACGACAGCTGGTAAAAGCACCTTCCCATCCAGTGGTATAATAGGAAGCGTTTCTGGGAAATGTGACATGATAAGTGGAATGAAAGAAAAAGAGACGAGCAAGAGTGAGTGAGTGAGTGGGTGGGGTTTGTCAGCTAAGATAACTCCAAAAACGGCATGTGATCGGGATTGCGTGCTTCCTTTCCATGGATTCATGCCGTCATGGAAACAAGGCCTTTTTTAATAGTCATTGTTAGCGTCTACCATCATCATCTTCTTCATTTATCCTTTGTCAACATTGCCTGCTTGATATTCTTTGTTATCCCCCTTTCTTTTACAATAAATGGAATACTGTGGAATCGAATGTAGCATGAAAAACACTCGTGTAACAAGGCATACTATATTCCCATCACCATAAACCTTATTTATACGCCATGCTAATCAGTCATTGGCACATGTCTTGAATGTCAATTCCGAAAAAGTATCATTGGATTCTCATAAACATGATTGTGATGATAAAATCTTATTATAATGCAATAAATGTGTGTATACAAAATGCTCTATTTGCTATGCTTGGCATCAAACTGTTTATAAGATCGCTTCTCGTATACCTTTGGTGTATACTTTTTGAATGGCTTGACTTCTACTCGGGGCTCGATAATGTTGCGTTTTTGAAGGCTGTGTTGTCGATCATGCAATAGATTTCCTTCGGGCTATTGAAAAAAAGTCAACCAGTGAGATGGGGATTGTGATGATATATGCGGGCCCATGAATACTTTACCTTGAGTTGCCTTAAGGACTCACTTAATTCATCTTGTAATTGAACATCAATGGCTCGTTCCTTGACGTAGTGCTTGCCTAATCGCTTTACGCCTTCCTTCTCGATATATTCTCTGGTCTCCTGTCGCTTTTCAGCCATTGCCTTCAACTTTTCCTGATGCTGCTTGACTTCCTCTTCGATCTGATTCAAGTGATCAATTTGCTTGCGGATCTCCTTTTCATGCTGCTTCTTCTTGTTCATGATTTGCTCCAACCTCACACGCTTTTCCTTGTTTCGCTGTGCTCTTGTCTTTCGCTTGGCTTCCTTGTTGTTGCTTTGTTGTACTGCATCATCAGCCTCATCATGGTCCGATTCAGGTGCTGATTCCTCATCCTCATCCTCTAATGATTGCTCGAGTTCATGGGCGATGTCGTCGAGTTCTTTGCGATAAGAAAGCTTCTCCTTCAACTTGAGAGACTCGGCCTCCTTCTTCTCTTCCATCTCATGTGCTTGTCTCAAAAGGGCTTGATGATCTTCCATTGTTGGGTTATATGATGCACCAGCATGTGGTACGGCAACGGCTGGTTGATGTACTGCTGCGGTTGGCTTTCTTTTGAGGGTGACAGGAGCCTATGTAACACACATGCCATTTGTAAATCCCATTGTTCTCTTTTTCCCATTGCTTCACTTACGTTGACTTTGCGTTCCTTGACAACATCGAGATAGCTGTTCTCTTCAACAGGCTCTGCAGCAGGTTCTATTTGAATAAAACAATGAGCAACGATGTTCATGTATATGCAACCAATAACCAACATACCATCTCCCCACATGTCATACGAAGGTGTAGTTGAGCGCTTGCTCTTCTTTTTCGGTAATGGTGAAGCGTCCTGTTGACTTTTGCGCTTTGCAATCTTGTCGATTTGTTGCTTTGTATATTTGGAGATGGTCTTTTCTTGTACAGGCTTTCTGACACGATTGGTAACACCAGGAACAGCCGATCGTTGGTTCAAAATCTCGTCAACTCGTAGAGGTCGATCTTTGGCAACTTGTCTTCGTACTAGGAGGGAGTCATGTGATCATATCAGTATCCTAGTCAACCTCGTATCCTACCAATTTCAATTACCTGCAGCATCACCCGTTGTATCAATAGTAAAGAGGTCGTCACCATCCGACACCTTGCCTCTATTGAATGTAGTCGTTCAATCTCGACGATCCGACCTGAATGTGGGTGAGTAGAATTTACCTGACTCTTTCTTCTTCTCTGTTGGATTCAAGACCCTCTTCAACGGGCTCCATGTCAATGTTCTTTCTCCATGCCTTCTTTCCTTTACGGCTCGGTTGAAGCTTCTTTGCTACTGCTGTGTCGGCCATGTTTATGCTGCTGACTCGAGGTGAAAGAGTTGAAATGAAGATTTTTTTTGGCAGATTATTGGTTTCAACCACAGCCAAATGGATTGATTGGCCCATCCTAAGCAGCCGCATTATGGTACACACACACACCACCTAGAGTGATGCTCTTTGACTCTTTACTCAATACCACATTATATGTACAAACATCCATTACACCCAATAAATCAACATCCAAAAACCCATTGCATCATGACATCGCATACTCTACGTCTATAAAAGAAACTTGCATGTTGATTAGCTAGCTCGCCGTCGTAGGTCCACCTCACATCGCTTCTCATAATAAGATGCAAAGTCTCGTCATCCAGCAGACTCAGGTCATGTATTGAGTACTATCCAATGATACTTTTTGCGTTGTTGCTTTTCTCTTAAAATAAACCCACACATCCCAATTTCTCATTTCTCGCTTGCTACGACTACCAATGCTATCCCAATCACATGAATACGAAGGAATACATGCTTCGTGAGGATTCACGGATCCATGAGCAACATCTTTATGTAAGGTTCAATATGATTTGAGTGGCATCCTTTACTGTGGGTACGATAAAGCCAGATTTATCGGAGCGGAATGGAGAGATAGAGAGCCGTTTCCTTGGACGTTTCCATGGTGACAGCGAAGCAACCTTTTGAGCCAATTTACCAAAGGATCATGCCATTCGTCCAAGGTATGTGCTTATGCTTTGTACACCACTTTCCTATTTTGCATTAGTCAAGATGCAGCAACCATTAATGACATGTAACAATATCATCCCTTGCAGAAGAAGGTTTAAAAAAATGACAAGGCGGACCTGAGAAAAGGGTTCTCTCCGCTGATTAGAATCACATGACGGACGACAAGAACACGAATTGACAAGGAAGCATCTTCATCATGCGGGTAGTGAATCTTTAAAAAAAAGTCATTCATCATCATCAAGGGACGCACGTGAACCCACTCCAATGATACCATATCTGATAGGATCAACAACAATGGAGTGTTCTAAAATAGTAGCGTTGGCTTGACGACAACAACGAAACGTACATGTAGGTAGAAGAATCACATGTTGCAATGATGATGGGACGACGTCTCTGCTGTCAATCCGGAACTGAGGATGTGACATATCAAATCTGGAGATAAGTCATTACACACTCATAAATTACTAAGGAGACAATAATGTAAGAGGAACGATGGTAAGCGTTGGGGCTAGGGACTGGACGAATAGGGAGGTATGTACGTTCCTCGTGCAACTCATGCACAAAGGCGATTGCTTTTTTTAGCAGGTGTCGGAGCCTGATGCCTTTCATGCAAAGCAAATGTTGATTTCGGCATGTCAGTAGGTAGGTACCCACACACACGCACGCACGCACATGGATGGTGTCACGGAGCAAAAGATAAATGTGTCTCACGACAGATAGGAGATGATGGCTGTCAAAGAGCGAGAGAGAGAGAGCGTGGTATTGAATCACACCAAGAAGGAAGCTCCTCTTTTGGTGACCGACATTGTGATGTTGTGCTGTATTCATGCTTTCGGCTTTACTGTTGATATGACGACTGTGCACTCAATCTTTTTTCCTTGAAAGGCAAGATCAAAAGAGAGATGCTTCTAAATAACGAATTGTGTCGTTACCCGATAAAGATCGTTTGGATCCATTGTTAATGCGTAATCCGACTAAGAAATGGGTCCAACAACAATCAATCATAGTAAAAGTGAATCATGATGATGATGAAAGGGGATGTCTTCTGCTTCACAAGCAAGTGATTTATTGTTAAGAAATTGAAGCAACAAATTTTTATACTGATCATATGTACACCAACGGGGAGTTGAAAACAGTGTTGTATTAAGGCTTCGATGAAGAAGGGAAATAAAGATCAAAAGAAGAAGAAATGGGTCATAAGGAGAAGAAGATGCCACGAGATGAGATCGCTCATAATCAATATCAGCGGTAGTATGCTCGTGTGATGATGGTGTGAATTGCCTTAGAAGAAGAAAAATGCTGCTTATTACATATCCTCGCTTGTATGCTGGAGAAGTTATTGTTGATGAGTTGATGATGCCTGTTGATATGATAAAGAATTGAATATGGAAAAGATGTCGTTGTCGTTCATATGTAGGCTTGAGCGAAGCTTGGAAAGCTGGTGGGTGCAGATACTGATACGCTTGTAGTAGAAGGGGGAGTGATCTTGTTTGGTGCTGTAATATTAGGAGTATCCTTGGTACCATTGCTGGTGCTATGACGATGGATGCGAATGTGTTGGTTGAGATTGTCTGAGCGCGAGAAACGCTTGCTGCAACTTTGATAAGGACATTCAAAGGCTAAAAAAAAGAAAAATGTAAGCACAAGGTGATAGATGGCATCATGATAATGATGATAACATACGTTTTTCCAAAGTGTGAATGGATCGAATATGACGTTTGAGATGTTCTGATCGCTTAAAGACTTTGCCACAGCCATCAGCCTTGCATGTGAACATGCGAACACCATTGCTGGGGACATTGGACACGCGACGACCTCGAGAACGGGGAGTCTTTTGTGGTTTGCCTTCTTGGGATGATGAGCGTCTATTGTTGTTGTTGGCTTCATGGGCTGTGGGTTGAGGAAGTGGAGGTGGGTAACCCATGCGCATAGCATGGTCATCCTTTCCAAAAGACATGACAGGCCGAGTGGTGCACAAGTTGGCAAATCCTTGAACAAGGCTATCATTGCGTTGATCGAGAAAGGCGTTTGGATGGCTGAAAGAATGATGTCTTGGTGGAGCATTATCGTAAAATCCAAAAGGAGAAGGGCTTGCAATTGAATGCCTATGTTGAAATGGAGGCGCCATGCTACTGGCAGCAGCAAGAGGATGTACAGGCGAGAACAAGTTGTTACCAAAGCCTGCAGCTGCAGCCATGCTCATGGGATCAGCTAGCATTGTATTGTTTGGGGTGCTGACAGCTGCGTGGTATTCATCACCGCTACTGCTGTTGGAAGGTGATGAAGAATTGGTCATGGTGGGATGATGCAAATGAGGATGATAGCTGTTGGCATCATGCTGTGTATAATCTGTAGCAGCCGTGGCAGGAGGTACATGTTCAGACAACATTTCAGTATAGCTGAAGCGACGATCAATGGATGGATGTTCCTTGTTTTCTAGCATTTGAGGAGATGCATTGGATGAAGGTGACGATGCTGAAGAGGACAACGAGCTAGGATCCACAAAATTAAGAACGCTGGTGGGTTGTGGTTCGGGTTTTCCGATAGCAAAAGACGACGATTGGATACAAGACGACGACATTGGATAAATGTATAATTCTTTCCAAAAGTATTCAAATGAGAAGAGGAAAGTAAGAAAGAAGGTAACGAATACATGTCAGTGACAAAAAGAACTGGGTATTTAAGGGCATCTGCAGATGAGCTCGAGCCGACCCGAGATAGTCAGCCTTTCCAATTTGATTGGTCCAATCCGATATTGTGAAGCATCCGCCTTGTGTTGCGTGGTGTGTTTGGTTGTTTCCATGTTAAGGAGCAACGTTCAATTTGGAATGACGAGTCCATCGAGAGCGAGCGAGCGAGAGCAAGTAAAGCCTAGACAGCGGAACCGGAAAAAGGTGGCAAGCAAGTAAACTCGAACACGAGGTTCAGGGGAATGGTAATGAAGAAATATGGAAACCAATGGTGAGGTCATGTCTCCTTAGCCTTTTAGCTGGCAACTTGTTCTACTACTACTACCTTTCAACGCATATCACCAAAGTCAGCTATTGCCATGGCAACACTGCTATCAACAAAGAAACCAAATCAACAAGCTTAGATACCATGTATGTTTGTCAATTAAAGGCTTCTACGGCTATTGCAACTTGATGTTTGTTTTGTATCATGTCTTGGTATCCCCTGGTTGTTGTCAATTGTTGAGTATTGGATAAAAATAGGGTACAGCAGCAAGCAATACAATATGTGTGCGTGCGTGTGTGCACGAGGGTTTTGAATAACTGCAGATCACCAATCTTAGTTGGATGAATGGTGATGATGATGGGCAAAGGAATATAGGGGTAGTCGAGGGGTAAGGCTGCTGCTTATTGATGCTCTGTTGCTGTTGCTGCTTGCTGTAGGATGGGCTTATTGTTGCGGATCAATGTCTCTAATTAGATCGCAGGCACGCGAACACGCTGAGTTGTGCTGTACTCCATAAGCAATGCAAAGACCACATTATCTAGTTCTAAAAACACAAGTTGGAACACAATCAACCCTCCCCCCTGACGAGATTAGAATCAAGTCTAGTTATCAAAAGGAAATTATGCTACTCGTTAATGTGGATCAGGGTCTTTGTATCGCTCGAACAATCCGGCCATGGCCATGACGTGTTGTTGGTACTACCCCACAAGCATATTGCTACTGCTGCTGCACATAAGATGTGTCACCAATAATGCCTTTTCCGGTTTATTATCTTGATCATTGCAGAATCACGACTTTGGTGCAGCATTAATATTCATTTTCGGATTAACTAATGATGGATAAACTTTTCATCTAATAAGCTTATCGACTATTCTAAGCAGATTCGAGATGATGTTGGTTTGGCAGCTCCGTTTAGATCCTCGTCCATTTCCGATTCTGGGGAGAATGCCGTGCAGCTGTCACCATGGCGTGCTCATATTCCATGTTGAGAACAACAAGGGAGACAAAGACAAAGAGAGGAAAGAAAGGGGTATCGACTACTCAAGGAAATCCATTGTGTGCTTTGCTCATCCATTTATGCTCATTATTCTCCTCCTCTTTAACGATCGGCATCCATACACTTGCTTTCACTTGAGCTTGTCTTTTCAACCACACACACACCGTGCATTTGAACCATCATTGGCAATTTGATTGTCCCAATTTCATATTCTTTGCATGACCAATAATCCCAGGGAAGCAATTCCTCCACCTCCTTGCACACGTCAGCACATTAACCATCATCATTCACGATTGTGTGTTTCATCCTTTTGTTGATTTACTACCCATCCCGGCTAACCAGCTAGGGTAACTCTTCATTAGATCCTTATCGAGAAAACATTATCTGTCACAGTCAATAATAGAAATCTTTTTTTTGTATGATGAATCACATGCTGCTCGGCAACCCATACACGTCGATACTAGCACAATGATGATCCAAAAATGTGGTATCCTCGGTGACAGCCGTGTATCACGTATCATCCAGTAATCAATACAAGATTGCATTCTAGACTACTATCCTATTGCATAATTAGGTAACTAAGCGGCCGTCTGAGTAGAGAAACAAAGAGCATTTTCATCTCAGCACAAGCTCGTGTAAGCACTTAATGTGGTTCTTTCCATTTCGCGTAGGATATGACGCACGGTAAGGGTTCACCCCCAATAACTTTTTGTCAACTATCTCATTGACGCGTTCAAAGACTTGAATTCTCGACAGCAACAAGAGGTTGAAAAGCTCATCAACGAAGAGTACAAGACTTGGAAAAAGAACTCGCCTTTCCTATACGATCTGTTGATCTCTCACGCACTTGAATGGCCAAGTCTAACGTGTCAATGGTTCCCCGAAGTAGAAAAGTAAGTCAACACTCAACTGCCCTCAACAACCACGTGAAAAAAAGAACCACTTTATTCAAAGTAAATGGGGCTAACTTGCATGTCTTAGGTTTCCTGACAACAATTTCAAGATTCAGCGTCTCCTGTTAGGAACCCATACGAACGATGACGATCGCAACTACGTGCAGATTGCCACAGTGAGACTACCAAACGATGAGCAAGTCCTCAACGGCAAGTCAACAACGGATGATACAGCAATGGGTAATGAAACTCTATTGTTCACTTTACATACTCAAGACTAATACATGGGATGGGAACCGGCTGCTATATAGAAGAAGATGATGATTCCAACGCCAATGGCACAGCACCCTATGACGCCCATATCAAGATTGAACAAAAGATTGTACATGAAGGCGAGGTCAATCGTGCACGTTATCAAGTGGATAATACGGATATCATTGCAACCAAGTCGAGAACGGGAGAGGTGTACATCTTTGATCGGAAACAATATGGTCAAACGCCAAGAGTATTTGAACGCTTCAATCCCACATTCAAACTATCAGGCCACGATAAGGAAGGGTACGTATGGGGGGGGGGAAATACAAGCATTCGTTCATTGATGATTGATGTTGTTTGTAGTTATGGTCTGGCATGGAATCCACACAAAGCCAAATCGACCCATTTAATCAGTGGTAGTTTTGATTCACGCGTGTGTTATTGGTATGTTGCTCTCTCTGGTTTATCCACAAGACAATGACTTACATTGATCAACTTTCAGGGATATTGCTGCAGCATCAAAGGAGAACAAAGAAATCGAGCCGCTAAATGTATACAATGGTCACACTGCTCCTGTAGAGGTATGGCTTATGGCATTTGCATACACGTATATCCTTACATGGATGGCTGTTATCTATATAGGACGTGGCATGGCATCCAAAGTATGAGACGATATTTGCATCGGTTGGTGATGATTGCAAGTTGATGATGTATGTATATTGTTGGTAGTCAATATGGATGACGACACTAACCTATGATTGTATTAAAGATGGGATGCTCGAAACAAGTCGACCGATACGCCAATTCACGACATTTATGCGCATAATGCTGGTATCAACTGCGTTGGCTTCTGCCCTAATAGTGAATGGGTCCTTGCCACTGGTTCTGGTGATCAGGTTGGTATCAAAACACAAGATGTATATACCTACTCTGCTAGGTTACTCATATCAATACCTTAGACTGCAGCATTGTGGGATTTACGTAATCCAAAACACAAGCTCCATGAATTACAAGGACATCAAGGTGAAATTCTTCAACTTGCATGGTCACCCCATCACGAGTCGGTGCTTGCTACTGCTGGAAATGATCGACGGGTATTGGTTTGGGATTTATCAAGGATAGGACAAGAAATGTCACCAGCAGAAGCTGAGGATGGTCCTCCTGAATTACTGGTAAGTAAAAAAAAGTGTTGGTTGAATAGCATGTGTCTTACTTGTTTATCACTAGTTTATGCATGGAGGTCACACCAACAAGATTTCCGACTTTGGCTGGAACCCAGTAGATCCCTGGATGTTGGCAAGTGCAGCTGAGGATAACATTGTCCAAGTTTGGCAAATGGTAGGTTGAGTGGGCTTCGATTCCTTTGGATCAAGGTAGCTTATCAACGAGACACATAGGCAAGTACAATCTATGAGCCTGAATCTGCAACCAAGGAGGAGGATAAGAAAGAAGAAGAACAAGAACCTAAAAAGGATGAAAGTGGAGATGTACCAATGGCTGAACAATAAAAGGCTATTTCATTATTCTATGTAATACACTTGCGTATATATTTGAGGCACTTGGGATATCAAGAATTGAAACATCGTCACTATAGAGAACGATGAAGACACGTCATTTGTGTAAGGAAAATACAAACGTTAGAATAAAGGCCATCTTGTTAGCAAAATGTATTGATGGTAGGAGTGGCTATAATTCGCCACCTCAATAAGGTGATAACAAGGGAACCGCTAGAGAGCCAAGAGACATGACTTGAAGGGTCAATCCTATTGGTTGAGAAATGCATGATCGATCCTTCCCCTGCCTGCCTATACCTATGATGGCTCGTATGGAATGGTCCGTTCTTGTATAATGCTGCAAAAGATAGCTTTGGCTGAAAGTTGTGATAGATAGGATGGAGTATCCATGTACCCGTGCCAATTACAGTTTATAGGAGCTCACCCTTTCTTGAAGATAATGAATTAAGCTTACAACGCACCACCAAGCTTATGTAACAAGCACTATTATGTTGAGCATCATCGCTCTCGGGTTTATTATCTTTACAATACAAACGTTAGAGAGACACCACTACATTTCATCTAGACAAAAGCATCTTGATACAATGATGTAAATGATCCAATCTCGTTTCCGACCTTCAGATTCCTATTCTCCCTTTCAATCCAGGAACCAACCAAGTGATCCACATCTTGCACATGTGGGCTGATAGTACGATACCCTTCTAATTATTATGTTGGACCCAATCTTCATTCAATGAAAAAGTGGAAGCATAGCAAACGGTAGTGTGGATGTTTATAAAGTAAAGATGATAAAGAGAGAGTATTACAAGTTGTATAAGGCAGGGATGAATCATAAAAGAGTCAACAGGGATAAATGTATCGTTGTATTCTTGGCTGCTGCCGTCATAAACATCCTTCATCCATGGTTGTAAAATAGCTGCTGCATGCATTGACTCGCGTGTTCCAATAGCATTGTCAAAGATAAAGCCCTCTGGATAATCCAACCAATCCATCATCATCCTCAGCCGTATCCACGTGATATGATTCATCGTTCCTGCTGACGACGCGCCAAATAACGAAAGCAACATTCCCAGGATTTCTCATCCATCCATCCATAACCATTTCAAATCGAATACTGCTGCTGACCCTTCTCCATTGGTGCATCTCGTTTTTTTGGCCCTTTTCCATCGCAGCTCAACAAGATGAAGATTGCTTGCATTGCGGTGTATTGATATGGCATCATCCATAGGAGTTCGTATGTATTGAAGCAAGTTGCTACATGTAAATAAAGCTGCCTCTGTACAATGACTATCTGCTGTTCACGTAATAAAAGCTGCAAGCGAAGAGTGACGGTTGAGACAATGGGTTGAAGACCTTGCGAATAGCAGCTGCTGGTACGTTTGGTCGTGGCAGAGGGATGTGCAAGAGCATGTGTTTTAGTAGTAGAGTGACAAGGTTGTGAATGCTCCTTGAGACAATGGAGCATAGGCCTTGCTAATAGCAACTGCTGGAATGGATGCTGTTGCGTTTGATCGTGGTAGAGGAGTGTGCAAGAGCGCGTGTTGTGTCAAGAGCCTCGTGTGTTGTGGAAGAGTGACATGAAGGCTGTGTACACGCCATCGACATGCCATTCAGTCAAAGACAATTGGATCAAGAGAGTTGTAGGATTGACATGATGGGTTGAAGCAGGACAATCGTTTGCAGGTGGTGGTTGTACTTGAATGGGCAACAGTTGAGAATGGGAGGAGGAAGAGACAAGAAGTTGAGAGTAGAAGAAGTGTAAATTAACTAGATTTTTTTTATGCTTGGATGACGTTTCTTTGTTTGAGCGTTGCTCAGTCAAATTGGCTCGGATCAAGAAACTTGAATGATGGGAATGATGGGCTGGAGCAGGACAATCGTTCGTATGCATTGGATTGAACAACAAAGGTGAATGGGAGGAATGGGCTATTAGCTGGCAGTTTACAAATAACTTTGCAAAATGATTTTTGTGAAATTGGATGATGTTTTGTGTTTGAGCGTTGCTCATATAAATCTACTCGGATCAAGAAAGTTAAAGGATGGGCATGATGGGATGCAGCAGGAGAATCTTCCACACGCATTAGTTTGAGTAACAACGGTGAATGGGAGGAATGGGCTATCAAGTGGCAGTTTATGCACTGTGTATAGAGCATCATCCATCGTCCTTCCAGCCCTGCATGATAGCCTGTGTTACACAAACACGCCCTCTGCATCTTTCGCTCTGCTACGGCTATCTACTTTACAATGAACAAAGACCACTTCTCATATAGCATTATGCTTACATCATATGTAAAACATAAAAGGTGCTTGTATCTCTAAACTTTACAATCAAACGTGGGGTCTTTAATAGAACCATGTCGCTCGGCGGGGTGAAAGCGATCTTGTGTCAAACTATGAAGTCCATCGTAGCCAATCCCAGATTTCGCAATGTCGCCACCAGCCAAACTGGATCCAGGGGTCGATCTCTTGAAACTTTTTTCGACGACCAAAAAATATTTTTTGGGCTGTTTGCGACATTGAACGTGAAACTTTCACACAAGGTGCAGTTGGCCAAGCCGAGCACATTGCTCTATTCAAAACCCCACGTTTCATTGTAAAGTTTGGAGATACAGGCACCTTTATATTTGTAAGCGTGATGCTATATGAGAAGTGGTCTTCGTTCAATGTCAAGTCGCTGGACCCTGGCAGAGCAAAAGATGCAGAGGGACCTCTTTGTGTAACTCAGCTACTTTGCATGACTGGAAGGATGGAAGGATGATACTGTATACTGTTGACAAAAGCCCGTTCATTGCGAGCTAACAGCCATTTCTTCACAATAGCCACTGTTGTCCACTCTATGACATGTGAGCGATTCTCCTGCTTCAGACATTCATTTCCATGATTGGATTATGTTGATCCGAGTTGATTTGACCGAGATACAGCCAAAGAGGGATTACATCAATCCACACATCTAACCATGCTCTATGTTGCTCAACTGAAGTAACTTTGTATGAGCGTAGCTCAGCCAAATCAACTCGGATCAACATAATCCAATCATGGAAATGATTGTCTGAAGCAGGAGCACCGTTCCACTGTCATAGAATGGGCAACATTGCCGATTGTGAGGAAATGGCTGTTAGCTCGCAATGTATGGGATATTGTCAATAGTATACAGTATCATCCTTCCATCCTTCCAGTCATGCAAAGTAGCTGAGTTACACAAAGAGGTCCCTCTGCATCTTTTGCTCTGCCAGGGTCCAGCGACTTGACATTGAACGAAGACCACTTCCCATATAGCATCATGCTTACAAATATAAAGGTGCCTGTATCTCCAAACTTTACAATGAAACGTGGGGTTTTGAATAGAGCAATGTGCTCGGCTTGGCCAACTGCACCTTGTGTGAAAGTTTCACGTTCAATGTCGCAACTAGCCCAAAAAACATTTTTTGGTCGTCGTCGTCGAAGAGGTTGACCCCCAGATCCAGTTTGGCTGGTAGCGACATTGCGAAATCTGGGATGGCAAGCTTGATCGTGAAACTTTCACCCAAGGTGCAGTTGGCCAAGCCGAGCACACTGCTCTATTCAAAACCCCACGTTTCATTGTAAAGTTTGGAGATACAGGCACCTGCATGTTGTGTGCCTGATGCTATATGACAAGTGGTCTTTGTTCAATGCCAAATAGCTAGGCCCTGATAGAGCCAAAGATGCAGAGGGTCGCGTTTGTGTAACTGGGTTAAAAAGTTTGGACTTCAGGGACCATGCATGACAGGTACGCAACCCTCATTCTTAGGCCATAGATTGGCAGTTAATAGCCACTTTTGTGCATTCCCAACTTTTGTGCATTCCATTGTAAGTGGATGATTCTCCTGCTCCAGATATTCATTTCGATGATTCAAGTAGCTTGATCCGAGCTGATTTGGTTTAGTTACGGTCGAACAAGGATTACTGAGCTGAGACATTCGAATGTATGCTGATGTATGAATAGATGTAATCTCTCTTTGACCGTAGCTCAGCCAAATCAGCTCGGATCAAGATAATTGAATCATGGAAGTGAATGTCTGGAGCAGGGGCATCGTTCCCATGCAGTGGATCTCGCAACAATGATGCTTGGATGAAAGTGGCCGTTAGCTGGCAATACATGCCTGTTCCTAGATGATCCATAAAGTAATTATACATCGGCTCTTTCATTCATGCAAACGTAGCTGTGTCACACAACACGACCCTCTGCATCTTTTGCTCTATTATAGTCATACTGCTTTACATTAAACAAAGACCACTTCTCATATAGCATCACGCTTACAAACATAAAGGTGCCTGTATCTCCGAACTTTACAATCAAACGTGGGGCTTTGAATAGAGCGATGTGCTCGGCTTGGCCAATTGCACCTTGGGTGCCAGTTTCACGATCAAGCTTGCCAATCCCATATTTCGCAATGTCGCTACCAGCCAAACTGATCTAGGGGTCGACCTCTTCGTTATAGGGAGGCTTGATTTGCCTCGATTTTTATTGGGAGTATGTCGAGGAGTGATACCCCAAAGATGATACAGCAATGTGAAAGTAAAGAAGACTAACTGAGAAGAGAAATAGATCAAACCGGATCATTGTGACTCGAAGAAGAGACACTTTCCGATGCAAAAGAGAACGAAAAGGGGAACGCTTTCCCCTTGTTGCGAAGTGTAGCATAAAGTCTGTCATAAGATGCGCTGGTCAGTGTTTCAGTAATGGTTCTTGCTTCGTCGGAAATAGGGAACAGGCGGTTAAGTAGTCTGCGTTGGCGACCAGTGATAGGTTTGGCGTTGGGGTCAGTATTGGGCTGAGGTGGGATAAAGTCGACAATAAGCTGGTCGTTGTGAGCTTCACGATTGGAAAGGTCATCAGAACGCATTGATACATCAGAGTCGTGGCTGTGGGCAGAAGAAAGTGTGGGCGATGGAGGCGATGGTGGCACGTGTGGTTCTTTGTTGTTGGTTGGCGTTGGGGTGCGATGATAAGAACATTTTGCTGCACGATGGCCTGGTTGACCACATGACCAGCAAAGACGATTGCGACTTGGATGACTAGGACATGATGAAATAGAGTGACCGGAACGATGACAGTGTAGACAATGTAATGGCATTTCAGCCCATGTTGCATAAAAGAAGTCGGCGGAGTTGGGCCAAGCAATCGTGTGTGTGAGTGGGAGGAAATCGAGTGAGGCTGAAACGTTTAATGTTGCGTAACCATGTCCCATAAACAAATGGGAGTCATGGTCGCGAAGAATACCATGATCTAGAATCTTATCAAAGGGTGCGAGTGCTTGTCGAATACCATCTGCTAGTTTTTCCCTA